CCCCGGTTCATCTGTGCGAACGTGATCTCGGGTGGAGCCATGCCCAAACAGGCTAGTTTAACAGAAGCTACTTCCACGTATTCAATGCTCAAGCTTCGCGATTCATCGCAACACACACGCTCTCCCACGACACCTCTCGAGAACATGAAGCTCCTTCATACGGTCGGCCTTGCTGCACTTACTTTCTCATCTGCTGTGTGTGCAGCAAGCTCATGGACTTTCGATGAAGCGACGGTCCAGGTATCAGGAAAGGGCGCAGAGCCGGTAAAGCAGAAGTAAGACACCGATCACATGCAGCGTATCCGGCAGCAGCTTTGATTGACATATTTTCCAATGCAGGCTCACCGTGGGATCTCCACTTTCCTCCTCGTCCCCAATCACCCTCCCAGCATCCTCGATCTTGAAGGTCATCCTCACAGCGCAAGAGGGCCAAACCCCCAAGAGGCCACATCAGGCCTTCCTGACACTGCAAGAGACCGACACAGGGCTGGAGGAATCGTTCGCATTCAGCGTCAAGGACAATGGCAAGGGCAAAGTGGATGTGGTAGGTACCAGGGAGATTCACGACGCGACGTGGTTGGCATGCAGGAGTGCCTGAGGCTGACAACTCTGTTTAACCTGCAGTCTCCCAAGGACCTCCCCTTTCAATTCCTCACGAGCTCGAAACCACTCAAGGCTTCAATTGTCTTGGCCTCCTTTGGCTCATCAACGCCTTATAATAGCCATGCGTTCAACGTCAAGGTTGAGAATGACTCCAGCAACCCGCCGACCGTCCCGTCTCCACCAGAACGATACACGAGCAAGCCCGAGATCCATCACGTCTTCCATGCAGACCCTCACTCCCCGCCACAAGTCATCAGTCTCTTCTTCACGCTTGCGATCCTCGTGACACTCCCCGCACTGATTGGGAGTTGGCTGTTGCTTGGAGGGAACTTGGACCACATCGGGAAAGCATTCGGAGCAAGCCCATTGGCACATGGTCTCTTCTTTGGAAGTATTGTGGCTATGGAGGGGGTCTTCTTCTTGTATTACTCGAGCTGGAACCTTTTCCAGACCCTGCCTGTGGCGGCCGTGGTTGGTACGGTGGCCTATGTCAGCGGAAGCCGAGCATTGACTGAGGTTCAAGAGAGGCGTCTGGCGGGAGAACGATAAAAGTTTGTACGTATTCCAGCTTGCGGCTACTTTCAGCAAAAGGAGAAATAGTCACTTGTACTGTAAGTATGATACAGTAGAGTCTACAACAGTTATGACACTCCAGGGCGTCCAATCCGACAGCGTATGGCGGAGCCTTTGAACGTATCCGAACAACTCCTCTTATCAATGCCCATTGGCGTAACAAGGTAGACGCGTCTGAGAAACTTTGACATAGTTCAAAGCGCCGCAATCGCCTGGCGTAAGACTTCAAGGCTTCTCTCGGTCGTCACGAGCTGTTCATCATCAGCGTTGTGCTTGAGCAGCCAGCTCACATCGCTCAAAAGTCCCAATGGCAGCCACTTGCTTTCTTGAGCCCGCTCAAGCGATTCCTTGATACGACCAGTGTGCTCCCAGTTTTGGGCCGCTTGCTCCGCCCGATCAATCACCTTGTCTGGGATACCGCACATGGCGGCACAATGCATTCCATAACTGCCTTCTGCAACACCGGGCTCGAGCTGGTAGAGGAAGGTGACGTTGCGCACGTCTTGCTCCACTCTCACGGCCATTCGCTTCGCGGAAATCTCGGGATGGTGTTGGAACTCTGCGGCCAAGGAGTGATAGTGGGTAGCGAAGTAGCCCAGAGAGCCGACGTGTGTGGCGACATGATGTAGGACTGCTTGTGCAACCGCCACACCGTCACAACTGCTCGTTCCACGGCCAAGCTCATCGAGAATGACCAGGGAGCGTGGTGTGGCCTCTGAAAGGATCTTCTTGGTCTCGCTCAGCTCGACCATGAACGTACTCTGGCCAGCAAAGATATTGTCGTGCGCTCCCAGACGAGACATGATGCGGTCGACCGGAGTCATACGAGCGAAGTCGCAAGGAACATAGCAGCCAATCTGGGCGAGGATGACGGCGATGCAAGTCATACGCAGAATGGTAGACTTGCCAGCGGCATTCGCTCCGGTGAGCAGCGTAACAGACGCAGCCTCGCCGCCCAGGCCGATGTCGTTGGGTATAAAATTGGTCGTGGTCTCGATGCAAGGATGACGCAGAGTCTGAAATTCGAGAACACTGCGAGCAGAATCGTCGTCCACGAATACTGGTCTGCAGGAGGGTGAGCCCATGGAGGACGAAGCCTTTGCCAGCGAGATGAGACAGTCTAATTGACCGATAATCTTGACGGCAGCGAGCCAGATGCCGTAAGCCTCGTCGAAACGAGCGAAAAAGCGGCCCGACATGTCTTTCACAACTTGCGTATGCATCTCCTGAGCCTCTTTCAGGTCCTGGATCAAGCTTTCTAGCTCTGGGAAATACCATCGCTTGACCTGCTTAGTTGCCGACATCTGCTTCCAATTCTTTGGTATATTGGCTTTAGCCCTAACGGGCACCTCCAACTGGTAGATCTCCTTTCCACTGTCCGTGAATTTGATGGCGCTGGAGCCTAAATCCTTCCGGCACTTCTGAAGTAGCTTGTTAAGCTCCTTCTCGATACCATTGATTCGGTCTTGACTCTCGTCGAAATCTTCTTCAACGCCAGGCTGAGGGATCAGTAAGCCCTCTTCTTTGGCTCTTTGGCGGTCAAAAGCATCTTTCCAGTGGTGTAATGCGCCAGCAAGATCCGGCATGGCCGCAATGAGCTGTCCCAGGAGGCCCTCTCCCTTGCCAAAAGATCCAAGCAGGGACATGGTGTAGTCTATCTGCTCAAACCCTTCAAGTACCTTGACAAAATCTTGCGGCCTGCAACGACCTGCATGAATGCGCGAGATAAGGCGTTCCAGGTCCGGAAGACGTGTGAGAGATGCAGTGAAGCGGTCCATGACGGTGCCATCGGCGTTGAGAGCATCTACCGCGTCGAATCGTTGATTGATTTTCTGCGCATCTGCCAACGGATGGCAGATCCATTGCCTCAAGATACGCTTCCCAAACGGAGTTATGCAGCGATTAAGCATGGTGAAGAGTGTACCCTCGGTGCTACCATCAAAGGTGTTTGCGAAGATCTCGAGATTGATCAGGCTCTGTCCGTCGAGAACAAGGCTGGAAGCTTTCCGAATCGGATCGTACCAGGCGAAGTTCTTGCATGTGATGAGGTCGCGCTCAATTTTAAGGGTCCCGAGATACCAGATCAGTGCACCCAATGCCGAAAAGACAAGCTCCTTTGCTCTGGCCTCCTGCAGCACGATCGGCCATGAATCGCCACTGTCCTCGGTCTCACTTTCGAAGTAGCCCTCGCCGGCAATCTTCATTCGCGTCTTCTCGGCTGTTAGAAACTCTTTGTCAGGCTTTAAATGGTTCCAGATTGTGGTAGGGGGCGTGTTATTCTTGAGAATTCGCAACGCTTTGGCTGAGATGCATCCCTTTTCGAGCAGCAATTCACCAGGTCGGGTCTGCGCGACAAAAGTCTCAAATCGTGTCAAGTCCGCGTCATCAACGAAGTCCGTGAGGTGAAACTGAGCGGTAGCGGCATCCACAAACGCGATGCCAAACGACGGCTTGCCATCGACCTCTCCTTCCTTGATGGCTGCACAGAAGGTAGCCATGTCGCCTTGGAGCATGCCCCCATCCACAAGTGTGCCCGACGTCAACACAGAAGCGAGCTCTCTGCGAATGACCTTTTCTTCCTTCTTGCCTTTGATGTCTCGCTCTCGCATGTCCTTTCCCAGGGCAGTCTCCATCTGATCTACTCTTGCAATTTTGAATCCCTTGGCAACGAACTGGTTTGCCCAGTGATCTAGACTCGCCTCAGGAACACCCACCATGCGCATGTTGACCCTGTCAGTGAGCTTGAGGTCGAACAGCTGATGTCCGACGGTGGCATCGTTCTCGTAGAGCTCATAGAATTTACCCTTTTTGAAGAAGACGATAGTGTCCCAGAACTTCTGCTTGATCTCCCAGTATTGCTTCTCAAAGGGCGAAAACTTGTTCCAGGCCATTGGCGGTATGAAAATCGTCCGAGGATCATAGTCAGGGTGATCTGGTGGATGGCGGTCCGCGTCCTGAATGGAAGCTAGCCAGGGATAACGGTCAGCGGGCTCTGTTACGTGCGCCTTCTGCTTCCTCGATTGCCCAGTTGATGCCTGCTTGCTTGTAATTGGAGCTTCGCGACGTATTTCAGTCGCAGGAGGAGCATCTGGATCGAACGTCCACTGGGTGGTCGTCGAACCAGATATCGGGACATCCTCGCTCTCTTCATGAGGCGGTGGTGGCGGGTTCTCGGGGCTCCGTGCAGATGCCTTCGGGGCAGAGCTCCGCTTCTTGGACTTGGATGGCTTGGCCTCGTCCTCTAGGTCATCATCCACCACGAAATCGTTCATGTCTGAGGCTTTATTGTCAGCCTGGGAGTCTGCAAAACTTGGCGTATTCGATGCGGAGTAGAGGGAGAAAGACACTGATCCTTCCTCGTAAGTGGCCCCAGTGAAGGCACAAGACGCCAAGCATACCTTCGTCACTCTCCAATGCAGCCAGCGTGCTCGCATCAAGGCCAAATTCATCGTCTGAATCGTCATCTTTGACGCTGATGCGGCGACGTTTCGCAGCACGACGATTTCCTGTGGAGGGCTGCAGCGCTTCATCGTCGTCTTCATCGGATTCTGCGTAATTGACCTGCTTCTTGGCTTTGCGTGAAGGACTGGAATAGTTGGTGCCTGGCGTCTCTATCAGTGGGTCAGTCACTGGTCTCTCCAGCAGGCACGCAGCACTCACCATTCTCCTTGTTACGACCGCTTCCGACAGAGCTCTGTTGAGATGCTCCGGGAGCGGTATGTGGACTAGAGGCGAGAGCGCTCGATGCATCACCACCGCTGCGTATGGCCTTCGGTGCAGGGGAGTCATCGGCAGAGCGCTTGACTGGAGTGCTGGCTGCAACGGCTGGCAATGGCCGCTTTTGGAAGAATCCAGCGATGCTCTGCTGCTTGTGAACGTGTCTGGCTGAGCTTGCCGGTGCAGCTTTTTGGGACGCATTGCCTGGCGTAGAGGCGCCATTGGCGTTGCTGCCGCGTGCCATCTTGGGTTGACAACGCACCAGAACGACGTTGACGTGGTGTGAAGACGTGCAGTGGGAAGGAGATCGATGGAGGAAGATGAGATGGGATGGGACGGATGTATTGGAGTCGCGATGCGGGACGCGTTAGGTGAGACGCGTGAAGTGCTGGCCCGAGCTTCCCGGCCCAAATCCAGAAGCTCAGGCCCTGCACGAGTCATGAGCGAGATCATCCATCCAAGATCTTCCTCGGCGATTACAGCGACTTCTTTGCTCCTCAGAGCATTATCTCGACGTTGCCCGTGCACGACTCGCCATAATCGTACTTCTGCTACACCTCTTCCAGGAGAGACGCGTCGGCATCCGGAGAAACACACGTTGAAATGGCATGAAGCGCACCATCTTGGTACCTCTCTACAGCCATGACGCTGTACAGGTCCTGCTCCGAACGATTTCTAGTTCAGCAACGGCGACGGTGTAGCACAACACGAGACTACAATGCCGCCGTGGCCGCGCTCAACGGCCTGCAGAGCAATTTCTCAATCGTCGAGGCCATCCGCAAGCAGGGTCCTGGCTCAAACAAGCTCGCCCTCCCCGAGATGATCAGTTGGGTGCGCCGCATTGGATACGAGGTGTGCGTTGGCCAAGGATATGTAGGTGTTGTGTAGAGCTGACCTTCTGTAGCCCTCGCACTTCGACCGGCTGAATCCCATCCACGTAGCGGGTACCAAAGGCAAAGGCTCTACCTCCTCGTTTATTTCCTCCATCCTCGCTCAATATCTTCCTGCAAAACGCAGTATCCATGCCGAGAGGTTGCCTTCGTCAGTCGGCCTCTATACTTCGCCGCATCTTCGTTTCATCAGAGAGCGAATCAAGATCGACAACGAGCCAATATCTGAAGAGCTGTTCGCGCGGTGCTTCTGGGAGGTGTGGGACCGCTTGGAATCAACCAGACCAAGTACGGAGCAACCAGGCACAAGAAGTGTAGAGGGCAAGCCCGTATACTTCCACTTCCTCACTCTCATGGCCTTGCATTGTTACATGCAGGAACAGGTCGGCTCTGCGGTCATTGAATGTGGCATCGGAGGGGAGTACGACACTACCAATATCCTGGTCCAACCCTCTGTGACCGGCGTCACAAGCCTAGGCATTGATCACGAGACGCTGTTGGGAAGCACCATTAGCGAGATCGCCTGGCACAAGGCTGGCATCTTCAAGCCTGATGTTCCTGCATTTTCGGTTACTCAGGCCGGGGAGGCTCTGGAAGTTTTGCAAGAGCGAGCCCGAGAAAGGGCAACGGAGCTGTACGTTGTGCCCAAGCACGCCTCGATGGACTCAATAGATTTGGGATTACAGGGACACTTCCAGAAATTGAACGCGTCGCTTGCCATTGCGATGTCGTCTGTACATCTCAATCGACTGGGATACACTGACTTACCAGACCCTTACGATCCCAGCGCTGTACTGCCGCCAGAGTTTGTGAAAGGCCTGGAGACGACCCGTCTTGGAGGCCGCTGCGATATGCGGTCAGACTCCAGACTGCCAGAAGTAACCTGGTACATTGACGGAGGCCATACGTTGGAGAGCATCGAAATTGCAGGGCGATGGTTCGCAGACCGGACAGCGAGGACTGGAGCAGGAAATGCCACGCGAGTTCTCTTATTCAATCAGCAAACACGGGATGCGGCGTCTCTAGCGCGACGGCTGCACGAGACTCTGGCTACGGCTCTGCACGATGCCAAGCCCTTTAAGTATGCGATCTTCTGTCCTAATACCACTTATAAGGATGCTGGCTATAAAAGCGATCTTATTTCCATAAACACGAATCAAGACGACGTACACAGCTTGCGAGTGCAACAGGAGCTTGCCAAGACTTGGGACGGAATCGACCCCGATGCCAAAGTCCATGTCCTTAACACGATTGAGGAGGCTGTGGCAAAGATCAGAGAATTATCTAAAGGGCGAAAGGTCGAGGTTCTGGCTACAGGTAGTCTGCACCTCGTGGGCGGTCTCATTGAAGTGCTCGAAAGCGAGGCCGAGACAGGACAATAAGCGCTTCGCATAGTGTCCGGTCGTAGGGAATTGAGTTTTCTTCGCAACTGTCATAGCGAGGTGTTGGCTACCGCAAGCAATTGATTCTATTCTAGAGTCTTGCTTGTCGACCAGATACCGCCCGTATCTGGTATCATGCACGCGAGTCATGAGCGCTTGCCCTGCCAACACGCCTCACCTTAATCGATAGACAACAAATAAACAAGCCGCCATCCAGGTATCTGAACCATTGCAACAGCCGCAGCCAAGCTGCAGACCTACTGATACCATGTTTTGCAATTAGCCACAACTGGATTGCGGCCTTCTGAGGCCGTTGCATCTTTTGCACAATGGACGACGCATTTCTTACGCCACGAGCGTGCTTCACGATCGCTTGTATCACTTTCTCATTTATTGCGATATCCACCATATGGAGAAACTCGACACCGACATCTGTTCCTGCAGGCAGAACAAAACGGACAGAAAACGCCGTACCAGACAGATCGCGACCTCAGCGGAGGCTAGCAGTCAGCGACTTGAACGCTGACAGAGGGGACGTGCCGATAGAGGTGGGCATGCAGAAACGTTTGTCAGAACAGGAGAGACGGCGCAGCATTGATGATCTGGTATCGCTTTGCTCCAGAGTCGCGCAATGTTTGCGAGACTTCCAGGACGTGGTGGAATGGAGAGCGCTCGTGGTAAATTTGCTGGGCGAACTATCACTCCTTACTACCTCTTTATGCCGACTTCAGCAGGTGCATTTATCAAATGCCCACTTATTGCGCAATTCCGCTGGATTCACAGCGTGTTTTGACGCGGCGATCGGGTCACTTTCAGCAACTCTCTTGGATCTGGAAGAATCCTATTCTAGCGCCAGCCAAAGTCACGATGCGCTGGTCGATGGTGTACAGCAAGTAAAGAACCAGCAGCAGGCCATTTGCTTTCTGCTGAGCAACCTGACGGCGACCATTCCGCCGACTCCTCCGGAGGATGATATCCAAGCCTCTTCGCAGAGCCTGGAGATCCCGTGCTCATCATCAGATGCCGGATCTGCTTCCGAAATCTCCACAGGTATCACGCCAGGCATAGACGACAGGTGTTGGATGGAGCCACCACCTGAGTACAGTCCCCCCCAGCAAAACAGGGCTACTCGTTTCATAGAAAAGGCCTGCAGCACTACCGAGCCACATGGCATACTAGCCAGGTCACCGGAGCTGGAAACCTCCAGCGAATATGATGAGAATGCAATTCTCGGTATGCGAGACTATATCAATGATAAGACGAACATAGCTAATGCTTTGTCAGATGCTGTCCTGCAGAACGACAGTCGAGCATTATCGTACTTGCTTGACAACTTCGCAGATCCGTCTGTGCACATTGGAGAACTGCAGCGAACGCCCCTACATCAGGCAGCCCACTTGAACCACTGTTCATGCATCACAACCTTACTGAAACATGGCGCAGTCATGAGCACTGAGGACGTCAAGGGCGACACCGCACTGCATTTGGCAGCCTGGGCGGGACATGTCGAGGCTCTCGCAACGCTACTTGCGCATGGAGCAGATGTGGACTGGCTGAGCGGAGGCGATGGTTATAGCCCGCTCTGGTGCGCCATCAGCAGCTATCAGATTGATGCGGCTCGCCTGCTGCTCAAACACGGCGCTAGAGTGAGTCTGCGTGCAGCCTCAGGAGGCGGCCTCACGCCTCTTCACCAGGCAGCTGTCACTGGACAGAGTGCAATGTGCGAGCTTCTGTTGGAACGGGGTGCGCAGACAGACTGCCTCGATGACGAGAAGAACACGCCACTTCATCACGCGGCCGCCTGCGGCTCCGCAGCGTCGGTCAAGGTTCTGCTTCGTGGCGGGGCCAGGATCGAGGCCCGCCAGGTACACGGGTTGACGGCGTTGCATTGGGCAGCTCATAAGGGGCACACTGAAGTCGTGAGCGTATTGCTCGACTCTGGGGCAGCGATCGATTGTCAGGCGAACGAGAGTGGTGGTGTCACGCCTCTTCATCTTGCTGCGAACCGCGGTCATGTCTCTGCGGCTCGAATGCTGCTTGACAGAGGCGCGGACGGCAACGTCGTTGCATTAAGCTGGGATGGTATGAGTGGGACGCCAGTAGAACTGGCAAAGGCAAGGGGCCATATTAGGCTCATGAAGATGTTGAAACGATAGTCTTTCAACCTCACACGTCGAAGTGTTTGTTCAAGAGCGGACGTGAAGTCGCAGAGTTGCAGGTGGTAATTTCCTTGTCTGGTCACTGAGAGAGCGAAGCACAGATTAACAACCCCTTCAATATGGCGGTTTGGCCCTTCATTCGATCTTCTTACTGGTTCATCCAACGATGCAGCGTTCAGGTCCATAGCCAGAAAATATAAGAATTCCTTTCATCGTGATATAGCTGCCCGGTGGCAGCATGTCTCTCCATCGCCTCCTGGGGTACATCAACCAGAAACGTGCAGTTACCAATCACCCAATCATTAGGAACTGTGACGAAGCCATCCAACACTGTGCCGCTTGATTCTTCTGGATACTACTACAAGCGAAGATGAACTCAGCAACAGAAGAGCAAGCAACGGTCCGCTGCGGCAAAGGTGGTATGTTCTTACGTCTCCTTACGTAATTAAGAACCTCCAATTTCAAGGCCACCATGGCCATGTAGCTTGACGCTCAGCGTGCAGTTTTAAGAAAGGAGTCGCCTGGGATCGCACGTAAAGCGAGCTCGGAGTTGGTTGCCAGTCGGTCCCAAGAATGTCTACCAGGAATAGCTCGTTGCTTAGCTCAGCGGCTGGGCCAGGAGCTGCTTTGCAAACAGATCCCATACGACAGACCGGCAGTAGACGATTCATTGTATCCATATGATCGACACGAGAGCTCTTAGCATCTATACAGATTCCAACACCAGCCCCACCGCATGGTCCTCGCCTTAATGTACAGACCTAATTTACAATTTGCTGCGATATTCGGAGATCTTCTCTGCAAGATGACTCACGTCAACCTCTTGCTTCACATGGAGCCTCCGACACTGGAGCTCAACTGCCTTGCGCTGGCTCCATGCTTTGCCGAGAATCACGATGAACGGGTAGCCAACCAGGTCGGCATCGTTTAGCTTCCACCCCACCGGCCTTTCTCGATCGTCCATGATGAGGTCCAGATCCTGCGAGGCAAGTGTCGGCCTGAGCGCGTCGTACACTTCGGTTACGTGCTCTCTCGCGGTACTCGGCGTCCCCATGAGTAGAATGTTGAAAGGCGCGATTGCTGTTGGCCAATTGAGACCCTTGCTATCGGCGAGTAGTGAGGCTACAGCGGCCATGAGTCGAGAAACTCCGATACCGTGACAACCCATCTCGATGCCAACAAGCTTGTTGCTTTCATCCTTAACGGAGGCTTCAAGCGGTTTGCTGTAACGCTTACCCAGGTGAAAGGTATGACCAATTTCTACGGCCTTGTTGAGTTTGAGGGCCCCTTCTGCACCACACGCAGGACATGGGTCAGTGGAATGAGCTTTTGTCAGCAGGAAGGATGCCGGTTCGATAGTCGCTGGCTTAAGTTTCTGATGCACCTCAGACTGATTCCAGAAACCTGTATTCTCTCGGATGGATTCGACGGGCACGCGGGGATCTCGGAATGACAGTAGGTTCCAGCCTGCCGAGCATTCTTTTCTCAGCTGCTCTAGGTCCCACTGCTCTTGAGCGGTGTCTAAGTCCGGAACCAGGGTCTTTAGGGTACGCACGTTGACTTCGTGTCCATATGGAACAATAACTTGTACCAGTGTGCGTGGTTGATTTGTGCTGTGTCGTGCCAACTGTCCAATCCACATGTGGAACTGGAAATCGTCACTAGAGGTCTTCTCCCCGGAGGCTGTCACCGAGGGTGAACCTGGTGCACGAGTGACCTGGCGATCCGGATCGTAACGTCCAACGTAGAGCTCCTCGTTGATGGAGAGATCGCAGCTACTGCAGGTTATGATGACGTCCTCGCCTTTTGAAGATGCGAAGTGGTACTCGTGGCTGTGTGTGCCGCCCATGTTGCCGGAATCAGCGCTTGCCACCAGGTACGGTAGATGAAACTCGTCCAGAAATGACTGGTACGCAGCACGAACAGATTCATAAGTTTTCGTAGCTTGGATCTCGGTCTCGTCGAAAGTGTATAGATCTTTCATGATGAATTCTCTTCCCCGTAGGAGTCCTTGCCTTGGTCTCGCTTCATCCCGGTACTTGCGCGATACTTGGTACAGTCGCAGTGGAAGATCTTTGTATGAATGCACCGAGTCCTTTACGATTGTAGTGATTTCTTCCTCGTGGGTCGGCGCCAGCAGAAATTTTGCCTTTCTGCGATCCTCCAGCTGGAACAGTTCCGCATTGCGGCCATCGAGTCGACTGGACTTTCGCCACAAGTCCTGCGAAGATAGAGAGGATAACGAAACTTTTGATGCACCGAGAGATTGCATGTGTTTGTCAACGAGACGCTCTATCTTGTCCAGCACGCGCAAACCGAGTGGGAGCATGTGGAAAATGCCAGAACTGGCTTGGCGGAGAAAGCCTGCCCGAACAAGCAGGTCGTGACCATCCTCGTGGACTGAATCCGGTTTCCGAGAGACGGTTGGTGTCCAAAAGTTACTCAGCCGATTGCGTCCATCGTACTGCAGTAATCGGTCAATAAGGAATCCGTATGCTCAAGGAGTCGGCTCGTCTCACGTGGATGGCCCGCCTGTGGCAGAAAGTCGACGTCAACGCCGCATTGGTTCGATGCAGCCTTGTCAGGCTACGAGTGACTTGCATTCGGGTGCATCAGGTCGAATTGCCGGAGAGAGCTCTGATAGGGAGAGGCGATGAAGTCAGAGTTGTTTCTGGATCCTATTTGTATCTGAGGTTCGGGGAGAGTGGAAATAGAGTTGACGCTAACATGCTTTCCCGGAGTTCCTCCGCGCGCAGAAGGTCCTGCTAAAAAGTTCGTCCTTGGCCTCACTCGCTGGATGCTTGCTTCCATCTACCACGAATGCATTGAGGAGCGCGCCGCGACAATGGGCGCGAAGAGGAAAGCTGCCAGCAAAGACTCGGGCCCGCAGAAGAAAGCGAGGCAGGAAGACACCGTCGCTAAGAAGGAGGACAAGAAGAAAAACGATGGACTGCTCTTCCAGCCCTGCCCGGACTGGCACGCCGCCGAACTGCCTGCACTCCCGACGAAGGACGTGACGAGTCTGCCGCCGCAACGATCGATCGAAGAATTGCAACAGTACGCGGAATCATTACTGGAATCGGAGAACAAGGCATACAATGACGTTCACCTCACCAAATCGTCAGAGCACAAGTTCCGCTCCACTGTCATGGCGTCTGGTACGTTGGAGGACAAGGTGTCTGCTCTGACACTGTTGGTACAAGAGTCGCCGCTACACACCACGAAAGCTTTTGAGCATCTGCTGGGACTGGGGAAAAAGAAGAGCAGGAATCAGGCTCTAATGGCCGTCGCTGCGTTGAAGGACTTGCTCGGCCAAGGTGTTGTTCTGCCGGGAGACCGCAAATTGCGTGCATTTTCCAAGCAGCCCGGTGTTCTCGGTGCGTTGCAGGGCAAGTCCGCCAGGTGGTCGCAGGGCGATGCTTTGCCCGCGGGCTTGGAAAAGGTTCACCTTGTGGTGTGGGCGTTTGAGGACTGGTTGAAGAAGAAGTATTTTGAGATGCTACAGATACTGGAGACTTGGTGCAACGACGAGATCGCCTACTCTCGGAGTCGAGCCATCACGTACGTGTTTGAGCTACTCAAAGACAAACCTGAGCAAGAAGAGAACCTGCTGCGATTGTTGGTGAACAAGCTGGGAGACACGGATCGAAAGATTGCTTCGCGAGCCTCATATCTGCTTCTCCAGCTGGAAACATCGCATCCCGCCATGAAACTGATTATTACCAATACTGTCGAAGCCGACTGCTTGTTCAAACCGGGCCAAAGCGACCATGCTAAGTACTACGCTATCATTACCCTGAATCAGACAATTCTTGGCCAAAAAGATCAAGAACTTGCAAATAGGCTGTTGGAAATCTACTTCAGTCTCTTTGTCCAGCTTCTCAAACCAAAGGAGACTACAGAAAACTCGAGCAAAGCCAAAGTAGACGGGAAACCTCAAGGAGGCGGCGGAAAAGCGGGCAAGATGGCGGCGAAGAAGAGGAAGGCTGAGGAACGAAACGAGGAGACTGCCCTCCAGCTTCACGACAAAATGATCTCCCAAGTGCTGGCTGGTGTTAATCGAGCGTTTCCGTACGCAGACGCCAACGATGCAACCTTCGAAAAGCAGCTCGATACTGTCTTTCGTGTGGCACATTCTGCCAACTTCAACACTAGCGTTCAGGCGTTGATGCTACTTCAACAGATCTCATCCCGCAAGCACTTTGGTGCGGAGAGATTCTATCGGACTTTATACCAGTCCCTCCTGGATCCACGCCTCTTCACCTCAAGTAAACAGGTCTTGTATCTCAACCTGCTGTACAAGAGCTTAAAGGAAGATCTGAACGCCAAACGCGTTCAGGCCTTTGTGAAGAGATTGCTGCAAACCATTACCATGCACGAGCCGCCATTTGCCTGTGGTGTGCTCTACCTGATCAGCGAACTGGAGAGGACATTCCCCAGTATCCGCAACATGCTAACCACGCCGGAGGCGAATGACGATGATGAGGAAGAGCACTTTGTTGACGTTCCGGAGGACGGCGAAGCAGCGACTGATAACGCAGGGCGATCGTTGGAAGTGAAGTCTCTGTACGATCCCCGAAAACGCGATCCCGAGCACGCTGGAGCCGAGAAAACGTGTCTGTGGGACATCATACCCATCATGAGACATTACCATCCATCGGTGGCGCTATTTGCTGAAGCGGTGTTCGGTACCAAGGACATGCCTCCAAAACCTGACACGACTCAACATACTCTCATGCACTTTCTCGATCGCTTCGTCTATCGAAACCCCAGCACGAAGCAAGCCAAGACGCATGGAAGCTCCATCATGCAACCGCTGGCAGGCAGTAATGCGGCCAACCTACTTGTCAAGCCCGGCGAGGGTGGTGCGAAGAGCGCGCCACTCAACACGGAGCAATTCTGGGCCAAGAAGCTCGACAACGTTGCTCCCGACGAAGTCTTCTTCCATAGCTACTTCAATGCTGCGGGCAACAGCAAGAAGCGGAGGGAATCCGAGCAAAAGAAGAAGGCCAAGGGAGCAGAGGAAGACAGCGAAGATGAGGCCGAGGAGGAGATCTGGCAGGCTATTGCCAACTCACGGCCTGAGGTGGAAGGCCCTGACGAGGACGAGGATGATCTCAGCATGGGAGATCTCGAGAGTGCCTACGATCGAAGTGACGATGAGGAGTCAGAGGCAGGCATTGATCTGGGTGGCGGCGCCGAGGACGACGACGAAGACGCGTTTGCCGACTTTGACGGACTTGACGGGGAGGATCAGGAGGAGGAGGACGAGTTCGACCTCCCCGAGCTCGAGAGCGACGAAGACGCGATGCTGGATGACGACGACGATATTCCCGTCGCGCTGGCGGGCGAAGAGGAGGAGGATTCCGAGGGACAAACGATGTCGAAGAGCAAGAAGAACCGCAAGGAAAAGAGGAAGCTCAAGGCTCTGCCGACTTTCGCTTCGGCGGACGACTATGCGAAGCTGCTGGATGCCGAGCCGGATGACATGTAAAATGTAACATCAAAAGTGTCGACGTTCTTGCAATGAAATGAAATATGTCGGATTAGGATAGTATGTAGACTGACTGTTCCTGAAGCTTCGCAGAGGCATGCTGCACAAGCACAAAGAACAATAATGATGCGTGCGTCTCCAACCATCCAACCATCCAATCCCACAATAATGATCGTGGCTTTCGTACTAGCGTGCGTACGGCGGAGACCGCCCCGTAGGTATCTAGGTACTACACGTAAGGTAAGGTCAGGTAGGCTTCGCAACCTAAAGCTTTGCGGCTGATGAGCACGTCTAAGGAAGGATCCCGGGACGTCTTGCATCCTTAAGGTAGTCAATCAACGTAGCCTAATATTATGGCCGCGATGGATGGATGCAGCGATCGATACATGTACATACCTGACGGAAATCCTCCAAGACAGGCGACTGCTGCTGCTGCTGCTGCTGCAGCTGCTGCAAACATTGATGAAAAAAAAAAAAAAAAAAAGAAAAAAAAACCGAAATACATTTGGAAATCCAAACGTTTCCGTTCAATCTGCATCTCTTGTTTTCCTTCCCTCTCGGTCTTTGACCACTTTTATCTCTGATCTGACAACACTTGGAAAGATTTTCTTCATGCCGGTCAATTGAAATCCAACATGTTTTCATCCTCACGTCCACCACCATCACCATCACCATCACCATCACCCTCACCATCGCCCTCCTACGCAAAGGGTTTCCTATATACACCCACGCTGGGAGGATTGCGTGGATTGAGCTGGGAGGAAAAAGGTTGGTATTTGAAAGTACTGGGGGAAGGTTTGATTTGGCAGGGTCGTATGGACGCCGTCAGGCCTTGTCATCATCGCCTTTTCTGTGCGTCCAGAAAGGGGATGGAAATGGTGTGTGGTGACGGAACGAGAAGCAACAGGTGTTCACATCGATGCTGCTATCTATATCTTTCAAATAAATCACGCCTTGCTCCTTCGTAAAGACCACCCTCTCCGCGGGGCTTTCGTCGGACGTTCGTAGATGGTGGGTTTCAAAAGCTCATCAAAGGTCGGCGCATCTGGTCCCTGTGAACCGGGCCTGCCTGGACTACTGCCATGAGGTGTCCGAGCGGACGGAGGGGTCTTGGGCGTCATGGTTCCGGTGATGTGACTCTCGCCGTCATCTGTCGCCTGCTTTGGATCGTAGTTGTTCCATGACAACAGATGATTCCTGCGCCTGGTGTCGTCCGCCAGAGATGTGGTGGAGGCAGCAGTGCTAGGACGACCCAAGATTGGCGAGTCAAGAGAGCTGGGTGAAGCTCGTCTTGATGGCACTGGTGGGCCATGAGACTTGGAAAGCTTGTCAGCAGGAGACTTGATGATCGTCCCGGCTGTAGGGAGGGCAACATACCGTGTCTTCCATCTCCGAGATGTGCTCCACGAAGATGGAAGATCTCGACGTCGACGAGTGTATGCCGAGACGCCCCACTGGCGTTCCGTCGAGCATCTGAGGAGGCCGCAACACCGCAGCCGGCAGGTTTCCACGCCCACGCTCGGCTCGCATGCCAGGTGACGTGCTGGTATGGCCCTCGAGCTCGCTGAAATCAGCACTGTGTGTGACAGGCGTGGGAGAAGGACCTACACACATACCCAATCGTCAGACCCAGGTCTGTTCTTGTTTGTGCTGTTCTTGGAAGATACTTCTCTGTCTGGTGTGTTGGGGTGGATAGTACGAACCTCCTGTGGGAGACCACACATCATTCGCGGTGCTCTGCGAGCGCATGTGCGTGGTAGGACCGGTGAAGATGGGCGTTACTCCACCGACTTTTTTCTTCATCTCTTCCCTCTCCCGATTGGCCCTACGTTCGTCGACGGTTCGGCGGTGGCGACGAACGAAGAATGCCACGAGGGCTAATATCAGGACGAGTCCAACGACTCCGCCAACTACGCCTCCCGCTATGGGACCCGCATTGTTTCGATTGCGAGTCAATGCCTGAGCATCAGCCGTGGACGATGGTACTCCCGAAGTCGTTGTCGATGTAGCAGTTGATGCTGTCGTCAGTGTTGAAGACGCTCGTCGGGTAGTCGCAGATGCTGTCGCCGCGGCCGTCGAAGGCGCTTTTGTGGTGGCCGCTTTTGTGGTAGTTGGTTTACGGAGAGTTGTAGTCTGTTCAGTATTCGAAGTTCCGTCAATCGTTGTGACTGTTGCGATTGAAACGCTCGTCGATGCCTGCTGGGCATTTGAGACGGCTCTCTCAACCAGAGAGGCAGGGCATTCGCCGCCTCCATTGCACGGATTGGCCGCACAGCATCCAGTGTATCCATTTTCACAAACGTAATAAGCAAGACCCGAAGCGCATGTCTGTCTCTCGGCCGGAGTAGTTCGAGCGGGGCTGCCACTTGCGATGAAGAAAGCATTCGCGAGATCGAAGCCGCGCCGTCGGCGAGGGATCCTGGTGAAGTCTGTCTGGCCCTTGCTGGCTGTGGCGACCGGGTGGGAGTGTGTGATGGCGTTGGCCAAGCCCTTCAGACCTGGCACTCTCATCCTGGCGGTTGGCTGATGACAAAAGCGCTAACAAGGTCGAATGAGAAGACTGCAGAGAAGTAGGAGATGCGAACGAAGACGACGTGGCGACATAGGAAAGGATTGGCCGCATCGAGACATGAACGTCGACATAGGAAAGGATTGGCCGCATCGAGACATGAACGTCGACAAAGGAAAAGAAGTCGGATTCGCACCATGGACAATATTCACCGCGCGTCTGGCAAGTCTCTGCCGCAGAGATTGTCATGCGAGAGCGCACGTTGTCTTGCAAAAGACAACGCTGACATGGTAGTCAACTAATGGCTGAGAGCAATGGCTGCAAGCGATGGCTGCAAGCAATGGAATGCCGAACGAGTCCCGGAAGAGGGGGAGCGTGCCGAAGCGGTGAATTGGGAATTGGATACAGTGTGGGCGGTCCGAGGTGGTGGATGGAGTGAGGCAGATGTATCATGTGAATGATTATTATTAACGATGATGGATGAGAGAGATCAGGGAAAGGGCGCACGTGCTCCGGTGAATGGCGTGGGAGGTCGTGGTTGCCGCCCGCGGAAAGCAGCAGCAGCAGGCGCGACTGACGATGAGGTGAGCATGTGACATGGGAAGGAGCACGCCGAGGTGCCGCACGCGCTGATTGGCTGACCTTGTCATGACAAGGTGGAGGGGGTGCTGGGTGGGAATTTGGTCGAATGCGCACGCGACACCCGACCTCGTGTGCCAGACTCTCGACTGCGACTGCTGCACCGATTGCCGCACCGACTCTGTGGACTGCTGCAAGAGATCAGACTGCTGCCACTCCTTCCCAAGCGCTGTCCGCTGTCCGCTGTCCGCTGTCCGCTGCCTCATCTTCGGCCACGCACATGTCGCGCCGTATACAACAAGCATCCACGTCCCATCGCCGCGCCGGCCGCCGTTGTCCTGCGACCCTCTGCCCACCGTGACTTCCTACTCCCACCACGTCTTCTTCGCGAGAAGGCCTGCTCCTGCTCCTGCTCCTGCTCCTGCTCCCCCTTCTTATCATTCCCCTCTTGCACTTGCCTCTGCCAGCTCTGCCTCTACCACGCCCCTCACCATGCCACGCCCCAATCCCCCCCTCACCCCGGGCCCCTCCAGCGACATCAGAGGGAAGGAGGGGCCTCACGCCGCGCCTGCCTTCCATCTGCCTCCCACCGCCTACCACGCCGAGCAGGACCGCGCCAGCACCAGCTCTGCCACCCCCTCCGCCAATGGCTCCGATTCCTCATATCGCCCCGTCTCCCCCAAGTCCCCCGCAGACATGGCCAGGAAACGGCCGGCCGTGCACCAGGGTTCCGTCATCACCAAGGACGATTTCGCCCTCCCTCCTCCCCCGACAAGATCGCGCAAGATCATCCAGATGAAGCCTCGCGAGGCCGAGCAACACGAGACTCCCCCGGCCGCTGTAGACCAGACCACGGGGAAGGCCCAACCTCAGGCCGGGGGCAAGCGGAAGCAGAACAATGCGGGTTCCACAGCAGCGGGACGCAAGATTGCTCGAAAGACGGCCCACAGTCTCATTGAGCGGAGACGGAGGTCCAAGATGAACGAAGAGTTCGGCGTGCTGAAAGATATGATTCCGGCTTGCAAAGGCCAAGAGATGCACAAGCTTGCCATTCTGCAGGTCAGTATGCCCATACAACTCTCCTCGGCTTGCACTCCTGAACCTAACATGTAGCAGGCAAGTATCGACTATCTCCGCTACCTCGAGCAATGCGTCGCAGACCTGCAAGCCCAGAATAACTCTCCCCGACCACCACCCCCACCAAGCACCATCAGTAGGGCGCAAGGACAGGATGAAGAAGATGACGAGGATGAAGAAATGGAGGACGAGCAGGAAGCAGGAGCCGGCACATCAACTCCGGCGACTCTCGAGCCATGTGCCTCGGCCGTCTCCTTGCCCTCCCTCTCGCACATCACCACCACCACCACCACCACCACCACCTCGCCCTCCATCTTCTCCGCTGGTGCCGGACGACACTACTCCATCTCCTCTGCAGCTTCCAGCTACTCGCCCTACTTCCATTCCAACCAAGCCTCTCCCGCCTTTGGACCCCAGCTGCATCACGTCTCCACCGCACCCACCTTCAGCGGTGCATTCGGCCTTGGGAGTCCCGCTCTGAAACCCGTAGACTCTTCCTCCCACCTGCGCCAGATCGCCGAAGGTGCTACAGAGCTGACCGAGAAGCAGCGCTCTGCACCCAACACGGCCCGAAGGGAACATGAGCTTGATCAAGAAGCGACCGCTGCCCTGTTGATGTTAAATCACGACCGAAGGAATTGGCGCGCCGCTCACGAGACGGAGACCAGCCGTTCGAGCACCGGTATGAGCGTCAAGGATCTTCTGAGTGGGTAGAGTGTTTGCGGCGTAGCTTGATGTTGAACTGTATTTGTGCTGAGGCTCTGGGGTGGCGCTTCTTCGCAACTCTTGGTTGCGCATTGCGCGGTAGGCGGTACGACTTGTGCATGACGAAATAGAGGCGTCGGGGGTTTGGGTAGGAAAGTTTGATGCAATGATACCACTCCTGCTACTGGGTCGGAATATTCTGTTGTGAATTGCATGTGATGAGGGAAGAGAATGGCCGGTGTCTTCCGGGAGGATATTCAAAAAGCTGGGTATGGTAGTCATTGTATGAATGCAAATTCGGTCCACATCGCTCTCTCTGTTGGCAATCTAAATCCGCCAGGACTACAAACCACTCACTCACCCCCTACAAACCATTCCATTGATCCTGCGCCGCGAACACGTCCCCCCGATCAAACATATCCACCAGCACGACATTCGGCCCCCCGTCCCCCATACAACCCCTCACACAACGCCGCCTGCGCGCCGATACTCCCCATCCCCTCCCCCATCGCGGCATTCGTCCGATAATCCCCGCCATCATCCGGCAGCAAGAACCCCCAAGATTTCCACATCTAAAAAAGTGATTTTACAATGTACATCCTGCCCTCGGGGGGGGGGGGAGGTTTTGGCGGGGCGGCGGTCGAGAGTGCATTTGGGGGAAGTACTTGGGGTCGGTCGGTGGTGTCGTAGGGTGTTTCGAAGAAGTAGAGGAATTCGGAGAGAGAGGATGTACGGTACGGAAGAGGAGGAGGAGGAGGAGGAGGAGGAGGGATTGGAGTTGGTGACGACGACGATGTTGTCGAGGAAGATGATGCAGCGGGTGGCGTTTGCGATGAGGGCGGAGTTAGGTGGGCCAGGAATCGTAGGGGATTGGGAGGGGGGAGTGATGAGGGCGGCGTGTAGGCGTACGCCGCGAGGCCGGTGGTATGGAAAGCGGCGCCGAAGCGGGCAATGTCGATGCCGTCGCCGTTGGTGAGGAGCAGGGTGACGACGTCGTCCGGGTGCGCGTCGAGCCAGGTCTTGATGGTGGAGAGGTATGTCTCCAGCGGGCCGGCGTCTTTGAGGGCGCATGAGGTGTGGCACAGCGCGATCCCACTGTCGTTGTCGTTGTCGTTGTCATCATCGGCGCGGAGGTGGGTTTGGGCTTGGAGGAAACGGATTCCGGCGTCGAGTTGTTGGGTTACGGTTTTCTCTTGGTTGATTCGCGGGTCCTGTTCAAAATGAAAAACGTTGTGAGATTTGTGTCGTGTATTTTCTCGGCCGGTATTTGTTGTGTATGTATGCCCTGGGAGAGATATCTAGACAGACAGACTGACCAGGATGCTTCCTACAAACGCCGAGTCGTGCTGATGAGAGGGCAATAAGCATACATGTGACTGGAAGATGAGCATACCCGGTCGGCTTCGATTCGCTTACTGTGCCAATGAGGGAGACGTTGGAATACTTTCGATCGCAGAACTCAGCATGGCCATTGCAGACTTGCACTCGGCGTTCTGGAGCTGTGGCTGCCGTGGTGAAGGAGACAAGGCCAAAGCTGACCAGAACAGCCGAGGACAAGTACATCTTGGACAAGGAAAGAAATCGTTCAAAGAAGTCGTTCACAGCGGAGTACGCGGAGAAGCGTCGACGTGAGGATGTATGCAGATGCTGTAAAGGTCAGGTCGTGAGGCGCGGGACGCGTTGGACAAGCGACAGTTTCTACTCGACGCTCTTTGTACTGGTATTCAGATCAACAAGGTACCATGTGGTGATCAGGGTGTGGAGTCCATAATAATTGAAATGGAACCAAGTGACAGCAGGCGTGCTGCATGTGAAAGGCTTCGAATCGATCTACTTACTCCCAGGTGAGCAGGTGAAGTGAGCGTGGCTACCTGATCGGTGCATCCAGCCGCGCACAACATGTCGCCCCCAAGCGACAGAGGCAGCGGTTGGTGCAAAAGGCTGTACTCGAGCAAGACCTGGTCTGGAAAGAGAGCGCTGGGTCGGAAGTCACGCATACTGTTGTCGATCGAAGAAGGCAGCTGGCGTATCGTGGCGGCAGTGGCCCAGCTCATTGGATCACTTTGCACTTCCTCTGCGCTGCCGATGCGGATCACCCGACCGAAGCTCGCGGCCCTATTCCGACACAGCTGCACACTGATGCGACCTTGTGCGACGACGGCAGACAATCTCCTGGAATGGACGTGTTCGCAGCTGGGCAGCGCGTCGCGAGACAGAAAACATTCCGTCGTTGAATGTGGTTGCTTGCGAAGCTGTAACACTCCTGCAGCACCTACCTACAGTAGTGTCTGCAGGAAAGATTGGTGGGTTGCCAACGCGTCGCGAACAGGGCCCGTGCCGTAGGTGAGGGTATTGCAGTACTAGCAGTGCAAATGCCGAAACGCAGATTCATCGTCCGCCCTGGGTCTCTGCAGCGTAGTCTACCATGGGGCGCTGGAGATGCTTTCAAGAAGTAGCGAAGTGAGCTGTGGAAATCCTAGGTTTGCCAAAATGTAGTTCGTTCGTAGGAGACCTTGCGTTGCATCCCGATTTCTGGAGTCCGCTTTATCATCTCGTATAGACTCCTGAAACTTGCAAGTGCAGTTCGGACAACTTGCGCTGAACTCATGAGAATATCAGGCGCCAGGCCTGCCGTCCCGACCGGAGAAGCCGAAGCCTCCGCGTCCGTTCTCACTAGGACCCCGCGGCTGCCTCAGAGGATGGTTGTCGTCTCTGGGGGAATCGGTCATATCACGTTTGGGCGGCAGTCTCCTGCCCATATCTTCCGGATCGAACAGCTGGCTGCCGTTGTTGGACTGGTCAAGGGTGGAAGGAGACTGCTCAGCTGGCGATTCTGGCTGACTGCGTCGATTACCGTTCCTGTACGGCACCCCTCGTTGCTTCCGATTGTCTCTGCCATGTGGGCTGTCCCTGGAGTTTTGAGGCGGCGAGGGATTGTTCGAAGAGCCCATGATCCTCTCACGAGCCTCAGCGTAACGGCGCTGCTTGTCTTCGCGCTCGAGTTTCGCCTGACGCTGACGAGCCTCCAGCTCGGCCTCGCGTTTTCTGCGTGCTTCGTCTCCGCTGTCCTCTTCATCCTCCATGTTCAGTCTGGCAGCTGCATCTGTGACATCCCTCTTGGCGATCGTCGCCGGTTTTCGGCTCAGTAGTTTGACCTGTGGCTTGATCTCGTTTTGGAGAGGGACGACGCCTTGCGCTTCGAGCCAAAGACTCCGGCCCGGATTCTCGGCAGAATGCCATAACTGGCGCTGTTGCTGGGCGTGTTGCGCCCTCCGCTCGGCTTTGGTGAGTTTGGGGGCGGGCTCTGGTTTGGAAGGCTCTTCGGTCTTGTTCTGCGGTGGATTGTCAATTCTCTGTGTGCTGACAGCTAGACGGCAAGGAAGATACATCGGCGACGTTTACCCAGTCATCGTCCCAGGCGTCAGGCACTGCTCCTGTGCTGCTCATGCCCGCGCCTCGTATGTCCGGCGCTGGTAGGGTCTGCGGTTGGCAAGAAGTTGTGCGACGTGCGTAGCTTGGTGGCCCTGGTTGCTGCGCACTGGTAATGAATCAATACATCGGGTGCGCGGCAGGCAGTGAGGAGACGTCGGAAAGGTGTGGGAATTATTATTGCGAGAATTGACGGAGCATCGCACTTTCAGCTGTCCTCGGGATCGGGAGCTCCCGCTTCAGGATTTCCGGCATTCATTGTTCAATTAAGTTGCTGCTGAGCTCTCGGAGGCTCCACTTATTATGCATATATATATGTGCAATTCTGTGCATGAGATGACATCTGCGCGGGCTCGACTCCGGTAAGTTCAGTTGACTTATTACTCGCTCCGGATCCGAGTCAACGAGTGCGTTTGCGCCTGTTGTGGAGCACAGCACAGCAGCACAGAGCCCGAGCGGACGCACGACGAGACGGCAGACGGTCGGCTTGCCGCTTCCCCACGTCTCCCCGCCACTCCGTTTCACGCAGTGACCTCTTATTAAACTGGAATGCTTCGACACTAATCCAGCGTACCTGAGCCAAGGAACTCTACCTTATCCTCTCCAACCGCAGCGGATCAGCCCAGACGGACTCACAGGGCCCCGAGAGGGAGGACTATGGGTCGATTATTGCGGAAAGCAGCCTGGGAGTCGGCCGCCAGTGCCTTGATGATGAACACTCGTCTGGCAGTAGAGTTCTTCGGATAAGCTAAAACGGGAGCTAACGTTGTCTCTACTGGCCTTGATCCTGGGCCTTATAAAACTTCGCAGATCGCGACTTTTCCAAATAACTCTCTCACTTCAACGGGTTTAGCGAGTGCCCAGGAAAGTCTTCTGCTACACCATGGAAACGTCATGATCGAACGGCAGAGCGTGGAGTAGCATCGCCAGCGCCGGAGAACCGAATTCGCTGTAGGTATAATAACCACGAGGTATGCCCACCAAAGGATTCCTCTCCTTGTCGACTCCCCCATTCTAGTATCCGATACCTCTCATAACTCAACATGAAGTCGTTCACTACCGCCGCGGCCGTTGTCGCCCTTGGCTCTCTCGCCTCTGGAAAGAAGTGCGCGAACATCACTGTCCCCGTGACGGTGAACGCCAGGAACGCCGTGTTCGACAAGGCGGCATTGACGCCCCACTCCAACATTGATGTCACCAACTTCATCTTGAACCTCTCGCAGCAGGGCCACAACTACACCCAGGAGCAGCTCAAGGGCGTAAGTTCCTCTGGACACCCCGCTTCTTGCCTATCCTGATTGATCTTTTCTCCAGTACCAAAACGTCGAGGGCACCTACCATCTGGCCACGACATACTGCTACCCTGATTCCGGAGCTCCTTCCACTGTGCAGCTGCTCACCCACGGTATTGGTTTCGACCGCAGCTACTGGGACATTCCATACGACAACTACCAGTACTCATACACCAACGAGGCGGTAGACAAGTATGGCTACGCCACCTTCTCCCACGACCGTCTTGGCATTGGCATGTCCCAGCACGGCGAGCCCGTCAACGAGATCCAGGCCATGCTGGAGATCCAGGCTCTCCGCATGCTGACCTACGGCCTCCGCAACGGCACCATTCCCGGCGTGCCCAGCTTCAAGAAGGTCGTCCACATCGGACACTCCTTCGGCTCCGTGCAGACGTACGCTCTGACTGCCCTCTACCCAACCATCTCCGACGGCATCGGCTTGACCGGCTTCTCCCAGAACGGCACCTTCCTGCCCTTCTTCGAGCTCGGCGGCGACTTCGTCCAGGCCAACACGAACGCCAAGCTCGCCGACTACCCAGACGGCTACCTGGCCTCCGCCACCCCCTCTGCCGTCCAGACCAACTTCCTGGCACCCAACGCCTTCGACCCCAACATCCTCCCCTTCGCCTTCGCCAACGGCGAGCCCGTCACCATCGGCGAACTGCTCACCATCGGCGGCGCCGCCGCTTCCAAGAACGAACTCAAGGCCCCCGTCCTCATCATCACCGGTGAGCGCGACGTGCCCTTCTGCGGTGGCGACTGCTACAAGGCCCCGACCGGCTACAGCAGCATCCCCGAGACTTCCAAGGCCATGCTCCCCAACGCCGCGCCCTTCCAGGTCACCATTGTCCCCGGCACCGGGCACGGCTTGAACCTGCAGTACACCTACCAGTTCACGTACAAGACCATCAACGACTTCTTCGTCGCCAACGGTGACGGCCCCAACGCTGCTGCTTCTGCTGCTCCCGCCCCAGCCGGTAAGGGTGCTGACTCGGGTAATCCGAACAACGCGTGGTCTTACGCCGACCACGGGAACCACCATGAGGGAGGGTGGTAAACAAAAGTTTCACAGGTGATGGGATCATTTCATCTGCAACGACAGGTTACCATCAACCATTGCATATAACGACAGATGGGCTGTGCTCCTCCAGTGAGCCTCTAGACTACTACATAATGTAATGTCATCCAGACCTCAAATGTCTCGCGTCTTGCTTCAATCTATCTCCCAGACAGTACTCTATAAATTTACCAGGGTTCGAACCGCACCCGATGGATATATGCGAGCCTGCTAGCGTGGCGACAGAACAAACGAACGTTGCAAGGGTATTTGTCAAGGTTATATCATGCGATGAGAAAGAGAATCATGGTTTGCTTGCGTCCAATCGCTTCGTCTCGTTTGGAGTGCTTCAAGCACTTCGCTATGTAATCTACATGATTTGAGGTGAGGAGCGCATCAATCTCTTCGTGAAAGTCGTGTCAAACTCGACATGCCCCGATTACACCACACTCTCTCCAAAAAGCAAACAGAAATGAGCAACGAGAGCCGTGATAGTATTCGGGGATCTCAATTTGTGGTCGGAACGCGCTTTGATGAGTGCTAGCAGTCCTGAAGGCTTGCATTGCATCGATAGAGAGGCATAGTCGCCATGCCTCAGTTGTGGAGCTCTGGGAACAAATCCCTCAGCACGCTGTTGCCGGCAGTGAGGGTTGGTGGGTTTCCACTGTCGAAATGCGCTCCCGAAGCAAATGTAGAGCCACTTCCGTCGAGCTGTCCCCACGAGCCTTCGTTCACGAGCGAAGGAATCATCGCCATCTCGCCGTCAGCAGCGCGAGAGCCAGAGGCAAACAGTGTAAAGTCCTCGTTCGGCGCCGCGCAGTAATCGTTGTCGATATTCATCGCATCATTCGTGAATGTCTGATCCATTTGCGGAGACACATGTGGCATTGCAGCACCAGCACCAGCACCAGCACCAGCACCAGCACCAGCACCAGCACCAGCACCAGCACCAGAACTAGGACCGGCGACGCTGGAGTTTGGAGTGTACGTCTGGAAGTCGACTGGGAGATTTCCGAAGTCGAAGTTGTCAAACGTGAAGTCGGCAGGCGAATGACCGTCGAATGAGTTGGCATCGAACTGCAACTCAGAATGCGACGAGAGGGAAGCAGAATCATGGCGCTCCTCGCTCATGGCCGGCGTGATCGGGAACTGTGGGAAGTTGCCCATGTCGTTGAAATCAAAGTTCAAATTGTTCATGTTGAAGTGGCCCGCAAAGTCTGGCGATGGCTGCGCGAAAGCGGGCGTGCCGTAAGCCGGAGTTCCATAGCCACTCGCTCCAGTAGTTGGCGGTGGCGCCATGGATCCGCGACGCGACGATTCGGACCAGCAGTGAGTAGAAGGAGACGGCGCGATGGGTGTGAGGGGAGTCAGCATGGCCGACGATGGCGATGGAGGCACAGAGCCTTGCTGCAGGCGCACAACGCTGGATGCGCGACCTTTGCCGTTGCTCTTGGATCGAACATATTGCCACCCGTGAGCCTTCTCCATGTGTTGCTTGCAATTGCTCTCACGCTTGGACGTATACGGGCAAGGCTTGAACAGGCAGTGGTAGAGAGATGGGGTGGAAGAATGCTTGTCGTTGACATGACGATCCCGCTCCTTCTCGGTTGGCCAGCCGTAATCGTGGTATTTGCAGTCTTCAGTCGGACACTTCCAAGGGCGCTCGTGTGTCTTTACGTGCTTCGTGAGGTCGCATGGGCGCTTGAATTCTTTGGTGCAAAGCGGACAGGTATGGATCTCAGGCTTTGCGTTCTTCTTCCGACGAGCCATGGAACGCAAGGCATCTTCGTCGAGGTCTGCATCAGCAGCTCTCTTCATGGTGGAGTTGAGTTCATCTTCAGTGAGAGCTTGGTCGTCGGCCAGTGATATGACTTGGCCGTCTGCAGTGTGACGGACTAGCTCAGCCGGCTTTCCGTTATGTGTCATACCCCCATGGAGCGAGACTTTCTCGATCCTGTCCATGTCGTTAGCACAGGCCATTGCCTTTGCGATTGTGTTGATCGTCGACGGCGGGCAGGGTGTGTAAGGAAGCAAGACGAAGGCCAGAGGCAGGTTTCACGCTTTTTATATGACAGTGTCCGCCGAATGGCCAACATGACAATAGGAGTGCTGACAATAGCTGTAGCCTACCAACAATAGCGAAGAGAAGCTATTGTACGCAAGCTCACATGTAGAGGGGTGACGACAACAGTACGAGGGCGGGGTGGGGAGAACTCACTTTGTCGATACCATCTCGCCCTTCACTTGGCGGGCGCGATTGGCGGCCAGAATGGTGGCGTATCTACGAATCTGTCCAAGAACAATGTCAATCAATGCCGCTGTGCCTTTAGGCGACAGAGACCCAGAACGAACCTGCTCAACTAAATCAAAGAAGTATCCTTGAGTGTACGGACGATCTTGAGGCGCTTTCTGGTCGGACTCGTGTAGCGTCGTGACCGTCGTGTGCAGAACCCGGATTGTCGACTCGCAGAATCGTAGATACTTCGAAGGAGAACGCGAATAGTCCTACGCCAAAACACCATAAACAAATGTACGACCACAGATTGATGGCTCCACTACTTACCGTGGCGAGAAAGAGCAATGTGCGCTCGATCTCCCTCAGATTCTTGACCTCCCTCTCTTCGATGCGCGATGGTATGCTCTTAATGAGGTCGTGGAACTGGCGAAGGTGGATTAGCACGCAGCTTATAGACTACGAGGGACACGACGACGCGAAATCGTGAAGGGAGGTACGTACTTCTTTCAGTGACTCTTCTTCCAGAATGGGCTGGACAATGTTCTTTTGGATCTGTTCGGCCGCGTACTTGCTCAGTCCAGCGTGTTCCTCGGCAGCATCCGAGATGCTGGAGAGAGATTGTCTGTCCGGAGACCGCGCAGTGGCTTGGAATGGTCAGTATACATGTTTGCACCAGGGTAGGGTAGCGCTCACCAGAGTTGGTCGGATGCTTAGCCGTGGAATCTGATCCAGTCTCGACGGAATCTGCAACAGAGGAGCCGATACCACTGTCGGATGAATGGCTGTGGTGACGAGCACGCGATCTTGGAGTCTGATCGGAAGCAGCGGCGGCGTCTACTGCGACAGCTGGGACGGCCAAGGTCTCCGGTTCGCTGAGGGCCACGGCCAACGCATGGGTCGACTGAGCAGCGACGGCCTTGTCCACACGGTGGAGAAGCTGGGCAACGCGACGCTCACCCGGACCGATGAGGAGATCCTCAAGAGATTGTGGTGATGTTGTAGACCGCAGTGGCATTGCCGGTGACTTTGCCCGTGCCTCCAGCGGATCCCAGAAGCTGCTATTACCGGTGCTCGTCTTTGGGTGAAAGGTCTCGCCCTTGCGAATGTTCATGCTCTGAAAGGAGTCGATAAGAGTCAGGTGGGAATCATCAGGCCTGGCGGGCCGGCGACGCGGGTGGGAGGGGGCCGACGACATGTTGGCGGCGCGAGATCGAGGTTATGTACCGTGTTTATTAGAGATCGAAGCATCCGGTGTCCTGCGAAGCGGTTAGCGTGGTACCAGGTATGGAATGATGCTATGAGTCACTCGTACTCCAATCGTGGCCTCGACAGCGTGCTGCGATGGGAGTGGCTCCCCGGTTCCTGGAAGTCAATGCAGTGGACGGAGCAGAGGACAGACAGCCAGGAACAGCGGCATCCAAGGTTGATATGCCGACGGATGGTGGGCAGAGGGGAGAAGATGGCAGCTCTCAGGCAGCAACAATGGGCTCGCCAACAGCGACGTGCCAAGCAGAGTAGCGTGTCCTTTTGAGCAGGTCGGATTTGCAGTGCAAGACAGAAGTAGAGACGAAAGAGAGAGTGAAGTGAAGGTGACCAGTGAGGGTGATGTGAGGTCGCCAGGCAGCCCTCTAGGCAGCAGAGCGGGACGCGGCGCTAGTCGTCCGTGGCGCAGCCAAACACCACCTGCATCCTCCTCGCACTCGCGTTCGGTGCTCTCCTTCAGCAGAGTATATGAGACTCTGCTGCCCGCTGGGATGGCGGAAGCTCGTCGTCCTGGTTTATATATCGCCTGCGGGAAGACTGACCTGTGCCCTCCCTCCCGCCGCCCGTCAGTCGCGATGAAGTCCAAGTTCGCGTCGACGCGTCCACGTCTGTCGGTGCCCAAAGAGTCGGTACGGCGACTCCACACTCAGATCACCCACGTGACCGGTGAGAGGAGTCCGAGGAGGATGCGTTGCGGGGATGTTGATTGGACAATAATGCTCCAAGGCACATGAGGCACAGCAGGAAGATGCACTCACACACTCCTCTGGGTCTTGGCGGGCATCCTTCGGGTCTTGGCGGACATAGACATCACGATGGAGCAGAGACGGACAACAGCAAGAGCGTGGAAGAGGAGAACAGACGTGCCCTTCAAGCTGGACAGCGAGTTGAGTCGTCCATAAGGAGATCTCGTGAGGCGGGATCGGCGACGGCCCCTCCCGCCTCCGGATGCCCTCTCGTTCTGTTTTGTCAGCACGATGAACCACCCGCAGCTTCTATGCAGCAGCATCCTACGACAGGACGCAAGAAACGCACGACTCGAAGGGTCAGTTTACGTGTCATCTTATCATGATCTTGATGCCTGGCCCCACTCGCGCGAGATCGAATTACCCCGACGGAAACGTGTTCTGCCAATATCTCCGCCTCCGGTGAGAACGGGCAAGCAGATCATTGCTCTTAATGATTACTGCACAGTACATGTACCTATCTAGCGACAGAAACCGGAAGCTGTGGAAAGGACCCGATCGTACAATGAAGGCACATCACTCGGCTCCATCTTCGACAGAACACTTGGACCTCGACATACGCTTTCAGACCATCTGCGAGCCCTTGCTCCATGCCCCAGTGGCCCCATCCCAACACTCTACTAATCTCAGAATACTACAATTGGATTCCGCCGTTTCTAAACAATAGGATTGATGCAATCACGGGCAGCACGATAGCCGCAGCGTCTGTTCACAGGGCAGTGTAACATTGCCGCCGCGCTCTTGGCAGTACTGCGATTTCATTGGCTTGCACTCGCGTTTCAGCTCAGCTCTGCGATGCTTGTCTCGACCTCTATCATGCAAATCTCACGGAATCGAGGACGAGACTCGAAACTGGCGGGCTTGAACCTGAGATCTGGTGTTGTCGCTGCCGCTGCCACACAAAGCCTGATGAACCATGCGATGTTGGTATGACCGAGACGCTCGTTACTAATCCCTACACTCCTCGCAGACAATGGTCAACGCGTCGAACAAATAGCCTTTGTCTCGTATTGTCGTTCACCATTGTCAATTTTCTTTGAGACGCTTCTACATAACACTGCTGCAGAAGCTTCCTAGTGGCTCAATTGACTCTCATTTCTCCATGCACAATTTCGCAAAGCACAGAACAGCCAACAGATCAATCATTTTGGTCCACGCACAACATCTGTGCCTCACTTCCAAGACGCGAGGATGATCGCCAGCATCCTGTGCATGGTCCTCGGCGGGGTCGCCTCAACTTGGGCGCTGCCGCTCCCTGACAGCGGCGCCAACAGCATCAGCGAAGAAGACCTGGTGAACATCGCGCCGATCACGGCTGCTTGCGATGGGACCTGGGGAGGAGAATGCCGACCAGCTTCTGAAGCCGCCCCTGCCATCTCACAATCCTTCGTCGACTACGCCGTCAAGACTTTCAATACCCAAGCAGCACTCGTCGCGCTGATGCTCTACGAGTCCGCAAACTTCAAATACGCGAAGAACCACTACCCGGGGATCCCAGGGCAGGGAACGCGCAATATGATGTCCCCCACCAATGTGGAGAAGTACGCCGAGTGGCTTGTGACAAACCAGCCGGACAGCGGTATCACTGCGCAGGAGATCTCCGAGGCAAAGGCGCAGGGCCCGACTGCTGTTCTCGATCTTGTCAACGCGACCAACGAGTTGAGTTTTGGATCTGCGGCTTGGTTTCTTACGACGCAGTGCGATTCGAGCGTGCGAGCTGCTTTGGACGCTGGTACTGGCTGGGAGCAATACCTTACGAGCTGCATCGGCACGACAGCGACCGCTGAGCGCGCAGCGGTCTACGCGAAAGTCATGGCGCTGAAGCAATGGTAGAGGACCTGGCGTTCCTATCAAAATTCGAGGACATGATCGGGCACACAATGGGTTGATGATCTGAACGTGGTCAACGCCGTCTGAAATGGATTGGCATTATGGTTAGCTCTGCATGGGTTAGCAAGCATGATCTTACGGCCTCTTTTCATTGAGAGTCTCTAATCATCACCCACGTTCTCAATTTTTATTAGTAAGGTGCAATGCGGTCTCGTTGTGCAAACGACTTACTCAGCGCTTTTTCTCCACGCATACCATGATGATTATCTGCTTGATGGTAGGCTCTCCATCCTGCGCTTGCCATGGCGCTGGGACGTCTTAATTGCTCGTCCCCTCACCCTCCTTCGTCACTTTTAAAATGCCCTCCATGGCCAACTTCTCATCAGATGCTCTCCTCTTGCTTCGATTCTTAACAAGCATGTCGCAAACCAACAGAACACAAGGGTCCATCGTCAAGCGAGTCGATTTCATCATGGGAGAATACTCCTTGAGCGCCCCATACCGCGACAGACACGCCCTCCCGCCTTCCGTTCGAGCGCGAAATGCCGATCTCGTTGCTGCCCGGTCTGATTCCTCACTAGTTGGAGAGAGCCAGGCCCGTTCGCCTCCGTTGCAAGTTCCCTCGCGTGTATCGGTAGACCACAGGATACTCGGGTACACGACACCACCGCAACGGGGCACTTCTCGGTCCATCCTGGAGGAGAGCGACACGGCCATGAACATATTCATGGAGGTAGAGATTGCGCCCGACGAAGATGATACGAGCCTTCAGCAAGTACGGGAGCCGAAGAGGAGGAAAAGTCTTTTCAGGCACAAGTGGTTCGGAGATGATACCAACACCGTCTCTGATACAGACCGTGATGATGAGAGGAGACAGAAGCGCCAGAACTCCAGGTCTTTGAGCAGCACCATTATGGGTGCCGGACGGGTGTTCAAGCGACGAGTATCTGCCTTGGGCAGCTGGGGCAGGAAGGATTCTGCAGGATTCGTGAACATTGGTGATGGTCGCGCCTCCGTCGTGGACACGGACTGGTATCACTCTCAGGGGCTGGTAGCGCCATCGTGGTATCCTGAAGAGACCGACAGACAATCTTCTCACATGATGATCGATGGAACCTTGTATCACGTCCATCAGAGAGATGGACTGCCAGAAGACATGGCTGAGGAAATTTTGCGTTCGATGCAGCCGTTGTCTCGCACGAGCGCCGTGGTCCAGAGAACACCGTCTCTGAAGGAGCCGGCCGCAAGCCCAGTCTCAGGGGCTTTCGAAAGTCGCATGAACAGCATCGCGAAGCGGCTGTTGGAAGCTGAAGTTAGGGACGAGTTTGATGAGCAAGCGATCTCCCAGCGATTTTCGCAGCGCCCCCTCCCAGATCCCTTCATCCAGAAAGAAGCGGCCAAGTCTTGGCGCGAAGCCTGCGAAACCGAACGCCAAAACCATGAGCAAGGATTTGAGCGGATGCTCGCAGCTGGAAACTCCGCCAGAGCTTCTCGTTCCGAGAACATATTGGCAACGACGCACGAGGATGCCTACATTAGTACATCCTCTCGTTCGTCGCCTAGTGAGGAGACTCTCACGGACAACGAGCCACGCCGGCCGAAGAGCTTCTTGGAAGAACAGACACCCACTCTGGAGGAAAGCGGTGTGCCATACTAAAGGCCAGTCGAGCTCACGAGGTGAGTGCAGACAGGATCTCCTTGTTCTGCACATCGGGCACCTCCGGCAGGAAGACATGAGCAGCCGAGTCTCGCTGTGGATCGCCTTCGGCTCTCGTGAAGCGTTGCAGCAATGCTACATTCCAGGATTGAAATGTCTTCGCGCTTTGTGGTAACAGGGCCGCACTCTGGGCCAGCAGTTCTCGCAGTAGCTGCATTTCGTCCGACGGAAGCTCAAGCTCGCCCTCTGCCAGAGCCTGACGGTTTAAGGCACCAGATTCGCTGGGAGCCGCAATGTCATCCTTCCACAATATTTTCGTGCATCGGATGGGTTCTGCATCTTTAGCCGCGGATGAGGAGATGCTGATGTCTGGAGTGAAGATCCATAATTTCAACACAAGTTCGCCACCATTAATTTTTTGAATTGTGAACTTTCGCACGCCCTGGCTTTCCATGGACGACAATAGATGGCATGCAAGCCATCTCTGGATATCGAAAGAGGCCATGGCGCAATCTCGAGCGGTAGACACTGAGAGGTGGAGTTTACGAATCTTGTAGCCTTCACTGGACGAGTGAATGCGGCCGATGGGGGTAGAACAGGAGGTACATTGGATGGAGTCGACGTTAACAGTAGTATTAGAAGATGGTGTAAAGATCTGGTAAAAGAGAAATCAGCAACTGCATTTGGTTCTATCTGGAGATCTCAAATCCCTCCTGTGAAGGCATGTATCAAGCCTAAATCCCGCCGAGACTAAGGGTCTCTAGAAGCGACGGTGAAACGCAAGACCGCGACAAGAACTTTCCACCAGACCAACCGTGAAGGCTAGCTCTGGTCTCCAGTTCTGTCTGTTCAATATTGGACATATGTATCCCGAGGCTTCCCTATACTTGACCTTGCGGCCCGGAAAGACCGGTTCTTGTTGCCCGTGTAGCCACACACACATCAGAAGCGAAAGAGGCAATGAGTAAATGGAAATGTGAGGTTGGTACCTACCGCCACGTTCGAGCAGTCTGCTGCCGTCAGTATGAAGTCCACTGGGTCGATCATGCCAACACCAGGCTCGAGTGCTAGTCTGCTATCGGCAGAGTACCCCTTTCGTGGCAAACTGTGATCGTCGTCGTGGGGAACATTGGGTCGGTGGCAATGCCAGAAGTCCATCATCTCAGCCCAATTCTCCGATGGTAAGTCTTTCCAGACTTTGACCCTACTGCGCTCGACGATAGTTGCGCCGCAAGTACGACAGGCGATCTCGGTATCAGGGGTGAGGCTGGGTGCTGTCCACGGCACAACGTTCGTGTCCTCGAGAGTGCCACTGGTTGGCAGTCCGTTCGTGCCTGGCTTCTCTGACAGCGAGACTCGAAAACTCAAGTCCTTGGTCGGAGCTGCGGGAATCGTGAGAGTAGCATCATTGTGTCCGCCGGGCAGCGAAATGGGCAGCTTGATGGTAGCGACTTCGCCTTCGTGGGCAAGAGTCAAGGTGCTGCCATCCGCAGAAAGCGTCGCTCTGGTTTCCTTATTAGAGACGGTGGAGAGCGAAGCCTGCAACGACAGCGAGCGAATGTTCATCAGATGCTCAGCATACAAGTGGATGGTCATCCCGTCGAGGTTTGCGAAGCGCCGGTGTGGTGGTGTTGGTTAGGCGGTGGTGGTGTCTGCGAAAAGAAGATTGATTGTTCAGGTGAACTTCCAGAAGCCGTGGATCAAAAGTCGTGGTACCAGGTTCTGTGGCCACAAGTCGTAGCATGTATCGGCTAAAGTGAGAGTGGTTCGACATTCCTTGGCGTCTTGAATAGGAAGTTGCGATTGTTTGCTCGGTACCATACCATCTTCACGACTCCGATATCCTGCCTCCCGACAACGACAGCATGGGCGAGAAACAGATTCGCTCGCTGGGAAATGTCTTGGTGACGGGAGGCTCAGGCTTCCTGGGACACCACATTGTCTCGCTACTGGCATCCAGAAAAGCGTGCTCCCAAATCACCGTCCTCGACCTCAAGCAGCCGCCGAATCCCGTCGACGGCGTCCAGTACGAGCAAGGCGACCTTACCGACTATGACGCTATGGTCAAGCTATTCGGGAAGCACAAGTTCGACGGCGTCATTCACACAGCAAGTCCGGTCATGACTGCCAGCAAGAACAAGGATCTGACCTACAAAGTCAACGTGGAAGGCACCAAGACCATGGTTCGGGCAGCACAAGAGACGGGCGTCAAGGCATTCGTCTATACCAGCTCAGCTAGCGTCATTCACGACACGCAGAGCGACCTGATCAACGCCAACGAGTCGTATCCTCTCATCATGGGCAAGGAGCAGCCTGAGTACTACACTACCACCAAGGCTCAAGCAGAAATGCACGTGCTCTCGGCAAATAGGGCTACTTCCCATCCCACGTTCCTCACTGCCGCAATCCGACCCTCAGCAATGTTCGGCGAGGGCGATGTACAACTCATACCCCCCGGGCTCAGCGCATACTATAGAGGTCAGACTAAGATCCAGATTGGCACCAACGAGAACCTCTTCGACTTCACCGAGATCACGAATGTTGCTCACGCGCACCATCTCGCCCTCGCAGCTCTTCTGGCTACTCGGGAACGATTAGATAATGGTCAAGCAGCACCTCTGGATCACGAGAAAGTTGACGGCGAGGCTTTCTTCATCACCAATGACGCACCAGTTTACTTCTTCGATTTTGCACGAATGTGTTGGGCAGCAGCTGGAGATAGGACAAGGCCGGATCAAGTGTGGTGTCTGAGTAAAGATCTGGGGTTGTTTTTGGCAACGTTGATGGAATGGATCTTCTTCCTCTTCATGCTGGGCAAGCCGAACTTGACGCGGCAACAAGTCAGATACACTTGCATGACGAGATATTACAACATCGACAAGGCGAAGAGAAGACTAGGCTATCGGCCGCTGGTGAAGTTGGATGAGGGAATACGAAAGGGCGTAGCAGACGCACTATATCGAGGCGTTGTCGTGGGACAGCCACCGGAGCTGAATGGCAAGAAAACACAGTAGCGCTACCGGCTCCGATGTTGTATACTCACTGTACAGATATATTCAGCATCAGCTTCGTGCTGAAAGACTATCCCGTCGAGCCCTTGTCAAATCGAAGACATACGAACGAGCGAACACCGGTGCGATACTGCGGTGAGAAGGCTCGGTCTTCACAACTCAGGTGGAAAATCTGCTACCACCCGCGCAGCTGCTACCAGGACATATGACAAGAAATTTCTGACTGCGCCTCATCTATGCCCACATACATTTCCTGAGTGACGAGACTCAGAGGCGTCAGGATGAACTCCATTCCATCAACGCATCTTCTGTCGAAGATTGATTCGGCCAGGAATCCTCATCTGTAAACCCTTCATCGCGCAGGCCCTGATCTTATGCTGCCACGAGCGAATGACCCACATCATTGTTACTGAGATTCAATCCAGATCGAGGATCTGCTCTCAGCGTCCAGACAATGGTAAATGGCGAGTCTTCACTCTCGAGGCCTGGCTGCACATGGGCGCTAGCAATTTGGGCTGACTTCAGCCGGATCATCAGGGCCTGGCTTCCACTTTTTGTGTGAATTGTCATTTCCTCAGCAGCCATCCCTTTCTGGCTGGCATCTGCACAATGAACAGTGCGATGAGTCTCAAAAAGTGTGTTAGGTACCTAGCACACTGACGTTCCTCTCCAATTGGAGTCAACGGCATCTGCAGTTGCCGCTGCCAGCACAAGTGTGTATAAGACTTGTCGAAGATTCTGAGGTCTGACATAGATATACTGCAGGTGAGTACCTCATTTTTCCTGTCCTGGAGGAACAGCACCGAGAATTGCGCAGCGGCGATTGCTTTGTCAGAATGATCCTTAGTTCCGATGATTCGATAGGAATCCAGACCGTCTCGTCTGCAAGGGCATCTTTCAGCCTGCTCACGATAAGAGCCGACCGCTCACGCTACCCGCCATCGACGTTCGAGATGTAGAGGTCGTTGTACGATTCTTTGAACGATTGGCCAGATACCAGTTCGATTAGACCAAGGTTTGGAAGTGCTGTACTTGTGATTCAGGTGACGGGAACGCGAGATGAAGAGATAAGTTTGACGTTTTGGATGCAGTTCTTCAAGTATTCGATCAAGTCGGAGTCGAGAAGCTCTCGTAGGACATCCATTATTGATCTTGTGATGGCCTGTAGCACGGTTAAATGCACATCGGAGGGACCTTGCAAGTGAAGTCGGATACTTTTCTTCGACCCGAAGGCGACCAATCAGGAGGGAGAATATATGGGTCTTCCTAACAGCACTTTATTACCTTACTTCCCGAGTCCCCTGCTCGACTTCATGTTGACTGCCTCGTCAACTTCGGTCAATCACAGAGTCCAGTCACCCATCGGCCCAGCAGTACTGCATGGCACTCTTTGAGGGAAAGCTCTGCGAGTACAAGTTGCTTGGACGGTGGAATTGAACGCTCCCTGGCACGGCATTCTCGCGCAGCCTTTCCTCTCTTTCACATCACGCCACCACACACTTCACTATCAGGAAACAATTGGAGCCGCCAACTCACGAATGGAAGAAGTGTTCTATCACATCGAAAGACACTGCAGTAGCTCTGGTAATAATGACGCATCTAGGCGCCTGCGGCCTTGCATGCTTGGTGTAACAAGGCCAAATTCCTTTCAATCAGCCATCTTGGTCAATTGAGCAAACTACGTGACTGATTCGCGTACATGCGGATTGGCACCGTTTTTTTCGCATGCATTTGGAAAGGCTACCGGATAGCTATGGAGGGAATTAGGCTTCGCTCCTACCAGCAGGAGATGCTGGTTGAATCCCTCAGAAAGAATGTCATCGTGGCGGTATGATAGACAAGCCTCCATTTGGGCAAACCGTACTGAGTCGCGACAGATGGACACTGGTTCTGGAAAGACGCATGTCGCAGTTTCAAGAATCCTTGCCGAGCTGGAGCGGACTGATTCTAATCAGGTGCGATCTTTTATTGGCCGTTCAAGCTTTCGTTCTGACAAGCCTTCTTCCAGCTCGTGTGGTTCCTCTCTCCATCTGTGGCCTTGGCCTTACAACAGGCGCAGGTCCTATCCGAAAATCTCGCAGCATACCATGTGCGCACTCTTACCGGCCTCGATGGCGTGGATAAGTGGACGGACCAGAAGCTCTGGGATGCCATCCTACTGAATCTCGACGTGGTCGTTGCCACTCCCGCAGTACTACTAGATGGCCTTACTCACGGATTTATCAAGCTTGAGAGGATATCCCTTTGCGTATTCGATGAAGCTCATCGAGCAACGAAAGGCCATCCCATGAACGCTATTCTTCAGCGGTTCTATCATCCTGCGAAACAGTTGGGGCAACATACGCCTCATATCCTTGGACTGTCAGCAAGTCCTGTGGTCAACAGCAAGCACGGGAATCTAGAGTTCGTGATGCCAGTGAAATCCATAAGCGATGCTGACTACAAACAGGAAGATCGAAGCCAACTTGGACGCGCGGGCTGTGACTCCAAAACAGCATCGAAGCGAATTGGAAAAATTCGTTAACCCGCCGCAATTCGTCACAGTGCCCTATACCGGAAGCATGGTGGCTGACTTTGGAAGCTCGGACCGTCTTTGCTGCGCTTTGGCACAAATTGCAAAGACGTATGATCTCGACAGCGACCCATATGTACTTGAGCTAAGGTAAGACAACGAAGAGCGGAAGCAAGCACAATGCTTTCTATAACCTCCGTGGCATCCAACTTCCTCCGCATCGTCTTGGGGTGTCTGGGTCATCCGCTGACATCAGCCTTTCCGTGGCCAGGGAACAGGACGATGAGAGATCGCGGAAGCAACTAGCAAAGATCATGTGCAATCGTAAAACTTACTGCAGCGAGCAATTACGTGCACTCGATCTTCGAGCACTCACCCTAGAGAAGGAGCTGGGCCCTTCCATGGTACGTACATCATCTTCCTGGTTCGCACGGGGACAAATTTGTGATCAGAACATGTCCCAGGCCCACTGGTACGTCTCAACATGCATTGCCAAGTTCCAGGAGTCTCTGGCATTTGAAGGTACTCTCGTCCTGCCTGATCTGTTGGAAAAGGAGCGGAAGCATCTGGCCACTATATTTGAAAGCCTTCAACCACTAGGCAAGTCGACACAGGTACAAGGTGTTGACGGTACTACTGATCTTCTGCTATCTCACAAGGCCGAGCAATTGATTGAGATTCTCCGGAAGATCGACACTTCTTCGGTGCGAGGCATCGTCTTTGTCGAGCAACGCGCTCAGGTGACGGCCCTGGCTCATTTACTGAGTACGGTACAACAGGTTGCTCCCCTGTACAGAATCGGGTCGTTCGTAGGGACGTCTTCTTCTACCTATCGAAAACAATCGGTGGCGGACCTCACAGATTTGAAGGAGCAACAAAGAGACCTTGAAGCCTTTAGAAAGGGAGAGAAGAATTTGATCATCGCTACAACTGTCTTGGAGGAAGGCATCGACGTCTCTGCGTGTAATCTGGTGAGCTTCGTAGCAGTTTCCGAGCCTCTATCTTGTTGCTGACTCCGTTATTCGCAGGTCATCTGTTTTGAACCGCCGAAGAATCTCGTCTCGTTCGTTCAAAGGCGAGGCAGAGCCAGGCAGCAGGACTCAAAATACTTTCTCTTCATTGCGGAAGATGACCCGAAAAGAAATAGTCAAAAGTGGTCAGATCTAGAAGCGAGTATGAAAGCTGCCTATATGGACGAAGCGAGACAACTCGCCGAGCATCTGGACGACGATCTCGAGATAAGCGACAGCACATACCACGTGCCCTCCACGGGCGCTCTGCTCACATTTGAAAACGCCAAGTCGCACCTGTACCACTTTTGCAGCGTTGGAACTCTTCAAAGCTCTCAATTCGTGGATCTAAGACCCGAATTTGAGACCCATCAGGACCCCAGCACAGGGGAGTGGGCTGCTAGTGTTGACTTACCGGCTTTTGTACATCCTTCCCTGCGGTACGCTTCCTCTTCTCGCGCCTGGAAAAGCGAAAGCAGTGAGTAACGTTTGGACTAAGTGGTCGTCGTTCGGCATAGATGCTAACGTAAGCTTCGATAGTGGCAATAAAGGAGGCTGCCTTCGAAGCCTACATTGCTCTGCACAAGGCAGGTCTTATCAACGACAACCTCCTACCGCTGGTCAAGGACTACGGTCCCGACCCAGGTCAACAGCATCTCAATCAACCTTCCCTGGTCGAAGTTCCCCAGCGCAAGTCTTCTTGGAGGGACATGTGGAGTAGGCATACTGCCGGAGCGAGACAGTGGTACTCGAGTCGCGTGTCAATAGCGCTGGATGGCCAGATTATTGTGCAGATGGTGCTTTGGACGCCCGACAAAATGACATCTATGGACACCTTTCAGCTTTTCTGGAACCCAAAGGTCACCTACGATGTCACATTCCACTCAATCGACCAGAAAACGGTGAACATGGACGAACTGTTGATCGTACGCGAATGCACGGGTCACATCTTGAGGTCCGTCCATAGCAGCAGGATGACTGGCGATGACGATTTCGCTATGCTCATGACTCCTGGAGAGGATTTTAGTTGGACTTGGCTGGACAGTATTCAAGGAGAGCTATCGGCAACCGATGCCAACGCTCACGCTAATGATCCTATGGAGGTAGGCCTGGTCCGCGTCAAGGGCCAGACCGGCCATCCATTTTTCTTCCATGGAATACAAGCGAGTGGGCAAGCCGACGTGAGTGCGGAAGTTGTCGCTAGTACTTTTCCAAAACGCAAAGACTTCCTTCACCCAATCCCACAGGGGAATCTAGGGGCGATGGCGTTCACCGGGAGGCAGGGGCTGAGGGCCAGCGAATGCACTATCGACAAGTTGCCAGCGAAATTCGCCCTGTTCTCAGCCTTTGTACCTTCGATCATGCATCGTCTGGACGTCGATATGCTCGCTCAGGAACTTGACAAGACGTTGCTGCAATCCGTGGGCATTCATAATAACGAATTACTGGTCGAAGCTATATCCTCGCCAGCAGCCGGAGAAGCGAAAGATTACAACCGGTTAGAGTATCTCGGAGACAGCGTTCTCAAGCATTGTACAGAACTTCAAGTGATCTCTCAGCACCCTTGTTGGCCGGAATCATTTCTGACTGTGGAGAGGGACCGCATCGTCCGTAATACCAACTTGGCGAACGCTGCAATGGATATGGGACTCGACAAGTACGTCCTGAGCAAAGTTTTCACCGGAGCAAAATGGAAGCCTCTCTACGTCAGCCAGCTGCTTGCCTCCACGCAAGAGCGGAGAGAGATGTCAACGAAGACGCTGGCGGATGTAGTTGAAGCACTGATAGGAGCAGCGTACGTTGATGGGGGCTTCGACAAGGCCTTCAAGTGCATCAAGACGTTGCTCTCTGGAGAGACGTGGAATACGTCAGATGAATGCTTGAGCGCACTGGTTGGAGATATAGGATCGACCGACTACAAGAACATTCACCTCTTGGAACGACTCATCGGTCATTCTTTCAACCACCCGGCCCTCTTCGTGGAAGCCATCACGCATGCCTCATTTTCGAGCAATTGTACAGGCCTATCGTACGAACGTCTGGAATTCCTCGGCGACAGCGTACTCGACATGCTCGTCACACCCCAGCTGTTTGCTCATCCCCGAAGGCTCAAACACTGGGAACTCCACCGAGCTCACGAAGCCTTGGTCAACAGTCATTTTCTCGGCTACTGCTGCTTGCGCTATGTCATCCATACAGAGAAGTGTGACATCGTAGCCGATGATGTCCGTCAAGAGATCGAGACTTCCTCAAGACCAGTGCATCTGCGTGACTTCTTGCGTGCAGGCCGCCCTCTCATGCCGCTGAGACAACAAGCCATCGCCAGATTCGAAAAGCTCCAGCCCGAGATTGAGCAGGCCCTAGAGCACGGCGACGAATATCCATGGTCGGAATTGATGGCGTTGAATCCGCCCAAATTCTTCTGTGACCTGGTGGAGTCTATACTGGGAGCGATCTTCATCGACACACGAGGCGATCTCGGCATATGTGAGGCTTTTGCGGAAAAGCTGGGGATCCTGAAGTACATGAGGCGTCTTCTGGAAGAGCATGTCGAGACCATCAATCCCAAAGAGCGGCTGGGCGTTGTTGCGGATCAAGACGAAGTGAAGTATGTCAACGGCCAGCAAGAGGATGAGAATGAAGTGAAGAGTTATAGCTGCACTGTTCGAGTGGGAAACGAAGATGTGGTCACGGTCAGCCACTGCGGCAGCAGGGACGAGGCAGAGGTTAAAGCTGCTCGACAAGCTTGCAAACAGCTAGAGGGCCGGCCGAATCCTACAGAAGCAGGACGTCTCAAGAGGAAGCTCGAGGTTTCTGCGACGGACGAGGATGAGGATGCGGATATGGAAGATGAGGTGGGAATAGACACTCATCCTTTCGACGATGGAGCCTCTAACATGTAGAAGCACAACGTCGTGGATCCCAAGTGAACAATTCGGGCAGAGTGAAGAAGAACGCATGAGCCTTCAGGGAGTGGTAGGGCGCCATGTTGCTATTTCATACATTTCTTCGTAGTCCAGACTCGTCCTCAGCCTGATGAGGCCTGGGCATGTCGAATATGCTCGCTCGCATGATGCTATTCTACAAGTTCGTGAGATAATCCTCAATCTCTTGCGGGCTCAGTGTTCTGAATCGCGGTCCGACCGCACCTGCCGTATATGATTAGCACTGAACATCGCATTGCATGCTTTTCGAGATGCCATTGACTTACCCTCTACACCTTCATATCCCAGCAAATGGTTGGCGGGTGGGCCGATGATTCCGATCTCCACAGTCTCTCCATTCATCTCGCCCTCAATTGTCTCCTTCAGCGTCAAGAGCGCAATGTGTACCGCATCCTCCAGTTCCAGACCCTCAGTGTACCGCTTCTCCAAGAAAGTCTTTGCACTCGTCGCACTCTTTCCGATAGCCGTCGCCTTCCATGGGAAGTAGCTCCCACTTGGATCCACTTGATACAAGCTTGGTCCACCCTTCAGGATGCCACCTGTCTTGCTCGTCTTCTTCTTCTCGTCGCTGTCCACCGCCATGTCTTCAGCTGCCTCCTTCTCTTCCTGCTGTGGCTCGACGCCCTCGTCCCAGCCGGCAATGAGGAGGCTCACACCGTACGGCCGCACACCTCCACTCTGTGTCGCCTCTTGCATGACGCGCGCGACATCCTGCACTAATATCCGAGTCGGGGGGTATTCGTTGTATATCCGCTTGTAGTTGGTGTGGCTGACCTTCCGGGCCTTGTCGACTAGCACGCGGTAGTCTGGACCCATACCTGAGTAGACCATTCCGATGTTTGGCGTTACAAGGGAGACCTTCGACGAGGAGGCGGCATCGATGAGTGGTGTGGAGGATTTCTTTTCAGTGGCGAGGACAATGCCATTGGCGGCTTTGATGCCCAGAGAGGTCACACCCTGGTTGACTGCATTGAGCGCATATTCTTGAACATAGTTAGCACAGGGCAAATCGTGTGTTGGACTTGATCGGCATTACCAATCTGGACGAGTTTTCCGCTGCGAGGTGTCAGTTACGTCGCAGCAATGAGCGATGGAGTCCGACATACCTGGGCGAGAAGGTGGTAAGGGAGAAGGAGTATCTGTCGGCCATGGTGGCCTCGTTTGCTTATGGAAGTCTTTAGGGACTCGGTTGAGTCGCGCGCGAGAATCGAGAGCGTGTGTTGGTTTATCGCACGAGGGCGGAAGATGAGTGCTGAGGTGATGTGATGTGATGTGAGGAGATTTGTGTCGATAGACGTTCCAACGGCGTTGACTTATATGGCAAATGGAGCTCAGGCAGCTGGGGACGCGAAGCGAAGCGAAGCTCAAGGCTCAAGCTACACGGTCACGTGCTGGCTGTTGCCAAGTCTTCGGCTGCGGATGCGAATGAAAGAAGTCACCACAGCTGCACTTGGTTCTTCGCTTTCTCTTCCTCCTCGAAAGCCTTCTGGCCTGGCCCTGGTGCATCTCAGGATGCCAAACAGCGCCAGCTGTTCTTCAATCCTCAAAACATATAATTCCACACACGTCTTTGAGCTCGGCTGACACAGAATTGCAACAAGAACCCATCCTTCCCCGCCAGTCTGGCTACCATCGTTGTCAAACCAAACGAAACCAAACACCACCATGGCCGCCTTCACGACAGGCGCAGATTGGTCCTTCCCCGATGAGATTCCGGGCTCGTGGCAGTCTGGTCAACAGCAGCGTGGACCGCGACCAAACTCTCCCCCGACCTCTGATGCACCCGATGATGCTCCCCGACAGCCTCCAGAGCCCAAAACCGCTGAGTCGCGATCGAAGCCCAGAAGAAGGCACTACCCGCCTCGACAGTGTCGCATCTGCCTCGACGTTGTGCAGCCCACCTTCCGTTATGACACAGAGTCTCCACTCCCGGCTGCAATGCAACCAGCGCCACGTGTTACTTACGAGAGCGAAGAGGGTGGCCGCCTGCTCAGTCCTTGCCAGTGCAAGGGCAGTCAAAAATACGTGCATGAAGAGTGCCTAGGGGCTTGGAGACGTGCGGACCCGACGCAGAACCGTAACTACTGGCAGTGTCCGACTTGTCGCTACAAGTATCGACTGCAGAGGTTGACATGGTCGAGCTGGATCAGCAGCACCGCCTCGCAGCTTGTGCTTACACTTCTTATCTTCTTCGCTTCCATTTTCTTGCTCGGCTTCGTCGCCGACCCTATCATCAACATGTATTTGGATCCCGTCAATACGATCGCTACCGCCGGAGGTCCTACTGGGTCCTTGATATACGAAGATGAGCCAGCCACTTGGTACGAACACATGGCCAAGGGCCTTGCCTCGCTAGGACTGCTGGGATTCGCCAAATTCATCCTGACCTTGTCGCCCTTCCACTGGATTAGGATGGGCGGTGGAAGAACGAACGTCGGCGGTACCGGCAGAGACAGGATGCAACAGCTGAGCTGGATCACCCTTGCGATTGGGATCGTCACATTCCTGTACGCTGTCTGGAGGGGCGTGCGAGCCTGGAGTAGAAAGACACTGGAGCAAGCTGGCGAACGTGTTCTAGATGTTCCAGGTACTGCTGAGGATGACGATGATTCTGAGCAGGGAAGCAGAACCTGAAAGCAGAAGCTCTCTTGCATGGACTTCACGTCTCCTTGTTCCCTCTGTGTACACATCATTTGCAAAGATGGACTGTGAGTACACTCTATTGATACTCTTCTAGTCCTTTGCCGCACAACTTAAGTTGGCACTACCCTGTTCAGTGGCGTGACAATTAGTCAATGTGCAAAGAGTAATCGGCCCACGAATATCTTGTTCTCCGGCGTTATGTTGGAGGGGCAAGAAGCTCGTGTGGCTTTTTCCAGAGCTTAGTAAATATCCGTCGCTTTCTCGAAAGAGGTAACAAACATCAGCTGTGCGGGCATCTTGCGATCTGGTACACTTGAACACCTGCTTGGTACATATTAGGCCTCTTGGCGAGCGAAATGAACAAGATCTATGGAATCGCGTTTGCTCTGATGCTGGGCTTCTAGACGACGCTCGTGCACGGTGGGACGCATGTAGAAGAGGTCACTCGTTAAAAAGCCTTGTGGCTCGTGCACGCTAGCTCCTTCCGTATGGGGAAGACCTATGCAGATCTTTAGCATGTGAAATTAGAGAGCATGCTTCGAACAGTAGGGTGTACGTTGCTTAATAATATTCTGCAGTGCACTATGCACTGTCGCGCTTTGTTTAGGTGTCTCTGGAATACCCACGCTGTCGCATAGGGATGGCAAGTGCGATCAACATCATCTCGTCCGTGCTTCGTGGCCCGTGCCTGCTGCACCAATTCCCAGATGCTACCTGCGTTACGACTTCACTTCCTCGAAGCCACCTCACAACACACCCAACGCACCCAACACGCCCATTACACACACCAGTCTTCGAAGATGAACCCGCCAACACCACCAGAAATCCCATTCCCAGAGCACAAGCTCCGCGCTTTCACCGACAAGGTCTACCAGATTGGAGACCTTCTCCAAGCGGCGTGCGAACGCAGATTGCTTTGGCCTGAAGCTATAAGACACATTAGACCGGCGGCAAAGAAGCTCGTGAGGAGTATCGAAGAGTTTGATCACATGCACAGAGAGTACATCGCCCTCATCGACAGCGAGCCATTCTCCAGGGCCAAGCTTGACATTATAGACCCGAGTCGAGAGTCCGAGGTGGACCGATGGCGAGCTACTCTCGAGTATGTCCATTTCGTCCCACGTTTGAGTCGGCTAACAGTCTTATCAGGCCATTATTCGATCAGCTCTCTGCAAACAGCATTGTCTTTGAACACACATCGGAACTCTATCATGACGAGGTGTATCGTGAGTACACTTCAGGCCGCAGGGGACTTCCTCGTCGCCAGTACCATTGGTCGAATTGACGAGTGTCCATAGATCCATTCCTCGAGTTGCACCGCCGACACCCTGATCATCAACTGTGGAACTTAAGCAACTGTCTGACCAAAGTCGACTTTGCGGTACAAGAGCTGTGCGATATGGCCGAAGAGTCCATGCTGTGGACACGAAGTATCCATAGCCAATACATGGCCTACAAGCAAGCAGCACAGATTGCAGCACGGCCACTCGAACCAGAGCCAAACCCGCTGTCACCCAACGAGGCGGATGACGATTATTCCAGCACTGCGGCCACCAACTTTGCATCAAAGGGAGGAGACTTAACTGCATCACCGGGCTGGAGTGCAGATCAATGTCGAACGGCTGCACTCGCGCTCCAACCCAAACCCGCAAACTCAGGACCCGCTTTGACCACCTCATTTGGCGCTGTTGAAGAGCAGGTCAACCGCGGCCATACTCATAAGAGAGCGGCCACGATGATGACCGCTGAGTACATGTTGGAATATGATACGGTCGGTCCTCCCAGGTTTGGATCCGTTTTCCGGCGTAACAAGAACATCCCTCGGATTTTTACAGGTACGTGATCGGAGACGTGTGGCCATCGGTCTCGGGGATATTGTAGATCGACTCCATTGACCTCTGCGTAGGATCCTCTTCAGAGCTAGAGCAAAGCATTCGCAAGATGCAAATTGCCGAGGCAGACATTCTGAGCAGCAGAGAAGCTAAGAAGACTTATACAGGAGTGGTTGCCAAGGAGATTGCAAAGCAGCCAGCTTCGAGTCCTCCTATGGGAAACCGTCACCGGGCAGAAAACCGCGAAACCATCAACGATGTCGGCCAGGACGTGGAAGCCCGCAAGCCACGGGCCCGCTTTCACGGTGATCGTATCCGGGCCCGCACTATGAGCGGAACTTTAGGAGGCCTCGAGGCCTGGCTCAATGAGTAGCCAATGCCGTCTACATCGGCTGCAACGGGTCGATTCTGATGTGAGTCAGAGACTCGCGGCCCTCATTCGTTACAGAGCACTTTCGCCTTGGCAATCAAGGTTGACGTATGCATGTCCCCACCACCCTCGCCGCCGAGCTTCGTTACGGAAGGGGACGTAGCACAACGGACCGAACGATTTCCTGCCACATCACTTCCACCAGTGTCTTCCATGCTGTCTGAAAGGAAAGAAGAGCCAGCAGAAGGTAGATCGAAGTCATATTGAGCCCGTTGGGCTTTGCAAATATGCGCCAGAGAGATAACCTTCTTCACAATCACTGTCAGAGCCGCAATTCGAGAAGTGGACTCCTCTGAATCAGTCAAGGTATTGAGCGTAATGCATATAATTTCTGACATGCTCCTTGACGCTGATTCGACAGAGTCCCGAACACTCTCGCTCTGACGTATGGTATCGGCAGTGACTGACCTCCATCGATTGAACGCTTCGAAAGACAGGATGGTCGGCAAGGTCTCTGCACATTTCTTGAGGTGACGCTGCTGGATTGGCAGACCAAAGAACAGCGGGTCCTGGAAGATCTCCACGAGGTAATAAACGGTCACTGTCTGAAGAGCTGAAAGCCTTGTCACAAAAGTCGTTTTCTCAAAGACGGCTTTCAGGGCTAACAGCTTTGGCTCCGCGATGCTTTCCAGCTTTGCGCACATGTCTTCCGGAGATCTTTCTGATTTTCGGTAATTCGCGACAATCCACGTCTGGATTTCGTGGTACAACAATTGCATCTGCTCCGCAATGTTTGCATCCGATACCTGATTCTCTACGCGGGTATTCGTTGCAATCGTCCGCTTGAGTTCCAACAGCTGTTGTTGCGTCTTGCTCGCCTCATCCTGCAAGCGACTCTTCTCGATAGACAGAATGTTCTGCTTCTCTACTTCGGCTTCGCACTTTTCATCCCTCTCCAGCAGAGATGCCTCCAGTTCCTTGACGCGCCCTTCCAGTGTCGGAACTCTCTCTTCCAGCGCCTTTTGTACTCTGGTGCTTTCTTCCGCTTGCTCTTTCAGCTTCTTGATCTCCTCTTCTCGACGCTCCGCCAGCTTCGTCACGGCATTTACTTGATCCTTCAGCTTTACTATTTCATCCTGGCTATGTTCACCACTTGCACTTCTCTCGAAGCGTCTCTTGGGCGTTTCTGGGCGCAATGAATCCCCGTTCGCATCTTGCTGCTTCTCGAAAGCCGCCCTCAAGTTGGCTATTTTGGAGCTTGTCCGACGGAGGGATTCTGGGCTCGATCCAGACTCAAGCCGTGCAGACGCAGGAGAATTGTCCGCAGGTGCCCCATTCTCCTGCGATGCGATGGGTTTGACGGCAGGCTCAGAATTGGTGTCCTCAGGACTCTTTTCGATCATCATGGCGGATTTCTTCGTCCTCGGCAGCAGGATCGATGTCCTCACACAAGGTTTATGCTTCAATGCGGGTCGACTCCGTAGCACCGGCAAAATAATTCGACGACTTCGGCTCCACAGTCTCCGCCTCGCATGCGAGATTCCCGTTCACGACAGCCGCAGAAGTTCGGACTGCGGTACAGGCGCCATGAGGTGGCTAAAGCTGAAAGACGCGTGCGTTGAAACATGCACCAACCCAATCCCTCTTTGGATTCGGAGCTCCCGCTTGCAGGCAGCGAACCGTGGTCTCTTGACGTCGCGCAAAAGGTATGCAAGATCAAACCACTTGGCTCTTGTAGAAGGTTAAGCTGCTAGCTCCTATTGCCTGGGTCCTCTCTCTGGAGTGTTTCTACCTTAAGCAAACGAGCTCTTCTTTTTGGCGTACACCCTCAGCTCTCGACTAACCACCACGCGCACAACCCGGTGGATCACTACAGACATCACTACAGACACTTCCTTTGACGCGCATCGCCTTTTCACTGGAACACATGACTCTGGGATCGGAACCAGTAGACGGAATCCAAGCGCGCAGGTCTAGAGCATGACACGCAATGCAGACGAACAAGAGACAGAGCCAAAGATGAATGGGACGGGGATCGAGAAGAGTGTTGCAGCTCTGTCATTAGTAGAAGACGCGAATGGCGCGAAGCCCGTCGACCGACTTGTTGTTGGCGTGGACTTTGGCACGACATACTCTGGCGTCGCTGCTTGCTATTCAGCGACTCCGGAAGACGTTGATATCATCAAGACTTGGCCCGGCGGTAATGGAATAACTTCGGACAAAGTGCCTACAGAGATCGCCTACGATGCCGTGGTGCAGTCGAAGCTGCACGATTCGAGCGAAACATCCAACTCCACTCCTGCGATACGATGGGGCTTTCAATTCAAACCCGAAGAGCCCCGACTACGCTGTGTCAAACTCTTCCTCGACCGAAATCAACAGCTTCCTCACTTCGTCAGTCCATTAGAGACAGCTAGCCAGCTTCGGAAATGCGGAAAGACAGTGATAGATGCGGTCACAGACTACCTCACGAAGATTTACGAGCACACCATAGAGACATTGACAAGGCGCTATGGCCAAGGTTTCATAGCCTCTACTCCAATTGAATTCATCCTTACGGTACCAGCCGTATGGTCGGATGCGGCCAAGAATGCGACGCTACAGGCCGCAGAAAGAGCAGGCATGGGTAATAGGCATGACTTGAAGCTCATAAGTGAGCCCGAGGCTGCAGCCGTGTATACGCTGAAGATGATACAGCCAAGCGGGCTTGCCGTAGGCGACAACTTTGTCGTATGCGATGCTGGTGGCGGCACAGTCGACTTGATTGCATACAGGGTGGTTCACACAGATCCTTTGAGGATTGAAGAAAGCGCTGTGGGTACTGGTAGTATCTGCGGCTCTGCGCTGTTGAACTACCGCTTCAGCGACTTCGTTGCGAGCAGAATAGGCCAACAACAGTTCAAGAGTATGCGACCAAAGACGTGGAACATGGGTCTGAAATACTTTGAAGAGTTTGTAAAGCGCAACTTCAACGAGGAGGAGCATTCCGAGGTCAATGTTCCTTTACCGGGCTTAGCTGACGACGAAGAAGCTGGACTGGACAGTGGATTCCTGACAATGAGCTCCGAGGAAGTCAAAAACATCTTTGAGCCGATCATCCGCGAGGTCACTGCGCTTGTTGAAGGGCAAGTCGAAGCCATTCGTGAGAAAGGTGGGATTGTCTCTGGGATCATCTTAGTGGGTGGCTTCGGACAATCGAACTACCTCTACACGAGGCTAAAGCAGCACTTCAACGCTGCGCCACCTCCTGTGTACTCCGAGAAGCCCACGCATGAAGCAGCAGAATCTCCTCAACAGAGCGTGCAAGTCTTGCAGCCAATACATGCCTGGACCGCCGTGGTTCGAGGCGCAGTGATCCGCGGCATCGAAGGTAGTGTCGTGGAGAAACGAAGGAGTCGATGGCATTATGGTACCTCATATGCCACGGTTTGGGATGAACGGAAGCACCCGATTGAAGATCGATACTGGAGCCCTCTGTGGGAGAGATGGATGGTCGCGGACCGCATGCAATGGCACATCTCAAAGGTAAGGAACTCGTCCCTCTCCCATTGTAGACATCGCTCATTTATACGCAAAGGGCACGCCCATCTCCGCCGATCAGCCTATCTCATTCCATTACACCCGCAACTTCCGGCCTGGACAGACCCTCGTCGTAGAGGACGATCTGATCGGCTGTGAGACAGAAGAAGCACCTGATGCAATGGACATGAGTCTGGTCAAGGTGTGCACGCTGACTACCGATCTCAACGCCGTGCCCAAAGGGCTATTCACAAGATTGACAACGACTAAAGGCATCGAATTTGATAATCTGGACTTCGAACTGGTGATGAAAATTGAGAGCGCCAATTTGACCTTTGAGCTCCGCGTGGACAACCAGCCGTACGGCATGGTAAAGGCTGACTTCAATTGAGGTGTGCTTGGAGATGGAAACACCGGCGGCTGCGCAGTGGTAATTTTCTGTGTACATCATTGAAAAGCCCCTGTTTGGCGCGATTGGAATCAACCCGTGGCTCGACGGAAGGAGTTGGAAAAGCGTTAAGCTGATACAGGGATGCGTTGATAGTATGAAACCGCTACCTTGGACAAACGGTACAAACGGCAGATCTTGCTTTGTCTCGTGCACGTGACTGTGAGACGAAGTGAGTGAGTTGAGTGAGTGAATCTGCGAGCACTTTACGCGTCCAAACGCGTCGTTCCTTCCCCGCCAAACCTTAAACGTTGCCGCCTCCCTGGACGTCTCAAAGGGTCCAGCATTTCAGTCTGTCCAACCTCATCACAAACACTCAACTCCGATTTGCAGACCAACACGAAATGTCGGGCAGACGGGGAGGAAACCGCATTCGTGGACCGCAATCGGCTTTGACGGACTTCTTAGCCGCAAACAACATCTCGGCGGCGCAGATCCGAGACGATTACGAGAGGCGACGACGACAGGCCGAGCAGGACTCCAACGCGGGCGAGGGCGCTTCAGCTGGCACGCCTGACGCCAACGATGACGAGGCGATAGCGGCGGCGGTCGCGGCGGAAGCAGAGGAAGAGGCAGAGAAGGCCGCGAAGAGCAAGAAGCGCAAGCGCGATGCAGAGGAGGCAAAGGCGAAGGTCAAGAAGGCCAAAGCATCTGCATCGAAGAAGATCAAGAAGAAATCGAAGAAGGACGGCTCGGATGATGACGAGTCGGACGGCGACTACGCCGATGAGGATTTCGCCAAGGACATGTATAAGAAGTCACGCCCAGCCCCAGGCCAGCTTGAGCATTGCGACGTCTGCAACAAGCGATTTACTGTCACTCCATACAGTAAGGAAGGCCCAGATGGCGGATTGCTTTGCACCCCGTGTGGCAAAGAACTCGCCAAAGACACCAAAGTTGAGAAGAAAGCGGCGGCCAAGCCTGCGGGTCGGAAGAGACGCAAATTGGAGAGCGAACGGCTGGATGGTGTTGCAGCCGGCGGCGCGAAGAGTCTTCAAGAGCTCTGTATCTCGAAATTGGCCCAGCATCATGACGATATTGAGGAGCTGGGAGACATGCCGCAGCCGGTTCTTGAGCGTCTCAGCGAGATCTTCTCTAAGAAGCGCGTGCTGAAGCCGAAGACGCTACCACTCTTCCTTCGACCAGATCTCGACGCAGTAGTGGTCCACGATGCTGCCTATCTGGAGACAGAAGACTACGATCGCATCTTTGCCACCGTGCCGAAAATGGAAAAGCTTGTAATAGGCAACGCATGTCAAATGAAGGACAACACGATTGATTACATGCTGGATAAATGCCACAGTCTGAGACATCTTCAGCTGTATGCTGCCAATCTCGTCTCCGATGATATGTGGCATAGACTATTCCGCGAGGCGGGAGCGAAGCTCGAGGTTGTACAACTCAAGTGGCTCGACGCTGCCTTCGAAGACCTAGCCGTTCGCGACATGGTAAAGTATGCTCCCAATCTCAAGCGCTTGAAGCTCAAGCTCTGTCGTCGTATTGGCGAAGATGCTGTCAACTACATAGCGGACATCCCGGAGCTGGAGCATCTGTCTCTGCTGATGAACAAGGAGGTGTCCACCACATCCCTGGTCGAATTGGTTACCAAGCGCGGAGCACGGCTTCGCACGCTTTCGCTGGAGAAATTCATCGACGCCGATGACACTCTTCTCCAAACCGTTCACGACACTTGCAGGCAGCTGGCCAAGCTACGAATCAGTGAGAACGACACAGCCACTGACGCCGGCTACAAGGCTCTCTTCACTAACTGGACGAACCCACCTTTGTCTTTCGTTGACTTCAATTCCACCCGGGATATTGACAACAACAACCCAGAGGGGCCGGAAGAGGCGGTCGGGTTGGCTTCTGGTGGTTTCAGAGCCATGATGGCGCACTCTGGTGTGGCACTAAAGCATGTTGACGTTTCCTCTTGTCGTCACATCGAGCTGTCCGCTTTCATGGATGTCTTCAACGGCGCTATGAACTACCCAGCACTCGAGAAGATCAATCTCAGCTTCTGCAATCGGGTCGACAACAGCGTCGTCGCGGGAATCTTCAAGAGCTGCCCCAATCTCAAGAAACTCGTGGCCTTTGGCTGCTTCAACGTCCAGGATGTTGTGGTTCCGCGCAGTATTGCTCTGATCGGAATCCCAAAAGCGCAAGATGCGATCGAGCAATTCGGCATTGGCATTTCTATTGAGGAGGCATTGGGAAGAATGGTTGAAGTTGGCGCTTGAGGGCATGAGGCCGATGCGCGGATGATCACACCGCAAACGAGATGCAACATGAGAGTTTTTAGCAGAGCTGACACCAGACCAAGTAGTTATAAGCGTACAAATAGATACCCCGATCATCTACTTTTGCTCGCTTGCCATGGCTTCCAACTCTGCAACCACACTGTCCTCCCTTCCCGTCGGGATGAATAAATGGTCATGGTAGTACGCAGCAACGCAATTCACGCCCACACTCAACCGTGTCAACCGCGCCGCAATCGCCGCGATGAAGCCGACCGCGTCCAGGCTGGAATGAATATTCAGAGTGATCTGTCGGCACGGAAACTCGTAACCCAGGCCTTCCCGATCCGCCACGGCTTGGGGCAGGATGATCGTCCATGCCTCCCTTTCGCGGAACAGCATTTTGACATTCAGCTCTGACATCCGACTGAACGTATCCGGCAGCTTCGACGAGTCTGCGAGGAGGTGTGCAAAGACGAATTGCTCGGGTTCCAGGATGGGAGTCGTGGACTTGATGAGCTCGCGGAGATTGGTCGTTCCGGACGAGGAGGAGGAGGAGGAGGAGGCCATGTTGTGTTGTGTTGATTTGAGGTGGCTGGTGCGGTGACGCTGAGCGCAAAGGTACGGTGTTCGGTGGACGGAAGCTGCCTACGAAGCGTCTCTGGTTGCCCGCCCTCGCGTTGGTGGAAGACTTGATATGGAGGTAAGGTGTATGAGTGTTTGCATGAGCGAAGCGAGGTGCTTCAGCTTGGCTTTTCAGCTTGCTCAATGGAGCTCGAGTGGGCCTTTCTCTCCCGAGAGCAATCTTTCATGTCATGTCATGTCATCAGGACGACAGATGTGTGTGCATATGGGCAAGCGTCTCTCTCTCTCCAAAATGGACATGGATCGTTTGGTGGTTTTCATTGCCCGCGTTGAATAAGCTGCTGCCCAGACAGACACTTGCGCTCGTGATCCAGCACTCCCAAAGACCACAACGGAGTGTGAATGGCATATATATCTCATGAGAGAGGTCCTCACTCGAAACTCGTAGGCCCTCAAAAAACCAGATCTGTCTAGGTCACAGAGGTGCAGGATATCTTTCGACGTCGCGGCTATCTCCTATCAGACTCGCTGCGAAATAGTCTGCAGAGACCCTTCATTACCCCACAGCATGCCTAACCGAATATAGAAAGTGGGTGTGGTAGAAGGAAGGAAGGAAGGAAGGAAGTCACAAAGCGAGAGATTACAAAGTTAGAGACCGGAGTCACTGTTGCACAGCCATGATTGATAAGGCGACAGGAGTATGTCTAGAAGGGCTGATCATTGTCCGACAAGCGGTGGTCGAAGGACTTTGTCGGTGTAATGTAATGCGATGATGAGCCTCCATGGCCAGTGAGACAGTTCTCAACACGTTCCTATATAGTCTTCGATAGGCTATAGCGTCTTCCTCTATCCGAGTCCTCTGTCAATTCCTGACACAGTGGACATTATACTATGGTCCTCTCGAAGGCGACGATTCTCGAGATAAGGCAAGGAGCTCCAACTAACTATAGACAGACGCTGCTACGTCGCTTGTTCGGGTAAAATTAGCAAGGAGATCTTTAGCTAGCAGTTTAGATAAGACGTACTCGACCATCCAGTCTAGAGAGATGCTATACACACTCTAGACACAACCTCATAGAACCAACCAAAGTTGATTCTCTTTTTCGAGAGGAAGGTAGAGACACTCCAAAGCCGCGAAGCACTCGGCAAGAGATCTGTCGAGCTCTGCTATGTAGAGACGCCCCACTGGAATCTTTATGTCATGCTTTGAAGACATTAAGTCGCAGCTAAGGATGTGTATCCTTTCCACGAGAGATGGCCATATCCGGCAGGACCGGGTAGACATCGACTGTATTTTATCCCGACGATGCAGGACATCTCCAATGCCTGGAAACCCTCTCCATTGGCTTTGTCGTACTGTACAAAGCTGAGATGAATCCAAGGTCTATTCAATATGCTCCGGGGCCCATAATATTGCAGCTAGTATCATAGGCTCGCGGCATGGCGAGGTCGTTTTCTCAATATTCTGGTGCCTGAGGCTCCGACAGCCGCTCCTTCCCCTTCTGGAAAGCCGACTGCGACATAGCAGACACACCTTCTATGTGAAGAGCAAGCAGCTCTTTCCCGCCTCGGATTTCCAAGCACCCCTGGTAGGATTACCATACTTGGTGTTCGGCAGATGTTTCGCAATGCGGTGGGCGCACGTGACTGCATGATCGATGGCTTCAGTTCTGGAGGGTGTGAAGGCCGAAGCAGGGTACTACTGTAAGGCAGTCGCATATGAGCCCCGCGGTGTACAAGTACAGCAGCTTCTTTTGTAGCACATCGCGACCGTGGCGAATGCGGTGTCGCTCTTGGGCCCGTCGGTGCTGCTCTTGATCCGGCTCCACCTCAGCTGCGAGACGGCCTGCTGGTTTCCAAGCAAGACACGAGAGGATCGCGCATGGCTGCCTCATTAAGCGGTCGTCGCTATTTGCGATGCTGGTGCAACCCCGGCTGGAGTACGAGGCTACAATGGCAACTGCTCGGCAAGGCTTGCGGCGAGCTGTTGGCGGCGCATTCAATGTTTTCCGTACGGTCGATGCAGCGCGATGATTTGTGATGGCGATGATAAGGCTGCGAGCTGTCGCTCAGTGCCAAATCAACGGCCACTAGCGTGCAAGGGCATGCAGCGTGCTTTAGCGAATCCTCAGCCCTACCATCCATAAGTGGGTCTCTGCTCTTCACAAGGTCTCGTCACGCCGAATGTCTGGCACTGGCCGCCTTTATGTTATTAGTGGTGGACGCTCATGGTGCAACGCCGGCGTTGCCGATCTGTGACGAATTCGATGCCGACTCCGACCATCCCGAAAGGACTGTATACGGGCATGCAGGTGTGTTCCTCCGTTGGAACATGAGATTGTAGGGCTACGCGCGAGGATCAGCCAAAAGTTGAATGGATTGACACGACGTCTGGAAGATTTGGCAAATGATTGGACTCCTTCCTCTTTGACTTCACTGCCCTGGTGTGAGGGCGGAGCGAAGGATCCTCTAGACTGATAATTTGCATCATCACCAGTAGCGCCGAAATGGTAGCTGAGCTTCAGCAGCTCCCCAGAACTGAGAGGATGCTGAAAAGATGTTTGCTCAGGTCCAGTGCCATGTCGAGACTCGCGTCTGGAGGCCTCGTGAGTCGCTGCGGCTGAGATCGCCGGACGTTCGCTCAGCACGCGCATCGCTCACAAATGCTGAACGACATGGCATTGTCATGGCTGAGGATAGAGGCGGGAGTGAAGCGGCCTGCTGTGGGTCCCAGTGACAGCACACTTGAGGGTGAAGAAGATCTTCCTCATCCCTAGGCTTTCGCTGTGAGACAGCGCTGTACGAGCGTCTTATCCTTCTGGCTCGCATGGCAGTGAGCACTCTAAGTGACAAGGTGCTGACCGCAAGCTCCACGGCAGTGGAGATTCTGGAGAGTCAGACGCCCTCCCACTCTGGAGGATCTACCGCTAGTGTGAGGGAGCTGCCGAGATGGAGCGCTAAGCGAATGTAGGTAAAAATAACGGCTGCTGAGCAATAATGCCTCCGTTGAACTCGCGACGCACATGGACTACAAATCAAAACACATTGTCGGCGCGGGCCAACCTACTGTACGCCGTAGGGCTGGGTCAGCTGTCTGCCGGCGACAGAAGGCCTTGTGCAGGAGCGGTGAAGTGGACGAAGGAAATGCCGCGGGGTGCATGAGGGCCAAGGGCTGAACTGCTGCTGCTGCTGCTGCCGTTGCTTCCATTATGTTGCCGCCTGTGATATTCTGCTTTCAGGCGACCGGCGCTAGCTGCTCTGAGCAGCACTGGCGGCGCCTGATCCGCCATGGACACGGAAAGGATGGCTGCTAGCCTCGCGAGCGACGACTGGCACGACGACTCTTGGCCACGAAACAGATCGGAAGACACGTGGAATCCGCCAACGCGTGGCCTTGGACGAGCCAGCAGGGCGGAGGATTGGAGTGTGGATGGGATGGGAAGCAGCGGCACGGTGGTACGTCGCGTGGCAGGGCATGGCACGAGAGCGATGCTGTAAGGTAGTGGAGCGGTGGAAGGGCACGGACGAGAGTGGCATGGCATGTCGGTCGCAAGTGTCGCCGGCAGTGGCAATGGCGCAGAGGCTTTCTCCATGCATGCGGAATCCCAATCTCCGGTTCGCAAGAGCGCAGACGGGCAGGGATGGCGTTGAGGGAGGTGCCCGTCTGTCGGGACGAGAGAGGCGGAGGCAGAGGCAGAGGCAGAGGCAGAGGCAGAGGCAGAGACAGAGGAGCGATTGTGATGATGAGTGATGATTGTCCCGAGGGGGAAGAGGTCATGTTACAGCGAAGAGGCACGTCGCGGACAGCTCACCGTCATGGGCCTTGCGCGAGCACTCGTGCGTTATTAGGGGGTGATCAGGCTGGACGGCGACGGGTGGTTGTGGTATGGAGCCCTGCCCTGCTCTGCTTTGCCCTGCCCTGGCCTGGCCTGTCCTGTCCTGGTGCCCTGGCTGGCTGCACCTTTCACCGACATACTGTAGTAGTGCGTTGGGCGCACCACCGCGTCGACCACGACTTGTGGCCGACACGCGAGAGGGCAGGAGGGACAGTGCACCACCTGGAATTGACGGGACAGCATTAACCAGTAGCGGTACCGGTGCCCACGGTGTGCACGGATAGCTCCCGCAGTGTCCGTCCGCCGCGAGTGCGAGCTTCTTTTCTGGTTTGGCGCTATTCTCGTACATCCTCCACCACATGCATGCGCACTGCACCGCACCACACACCACACACCACACACCACCCTCCACCCTCCATCCTCCATCCTCCACACACTACACACACCATACACACCCACCCGCCTTTGTAATCTGCCGAGCTGCTTCGCGAACGACTGTCCAGAGCTTGCCCTGCCCGCATACGCATCGCATCGCATCGCATCGCATCGCATCCGCATCGCATCTGCCTGCCTCTGCTCTGCTCTGCCTGCCTCTGCTCTGCTCTGCTCTGCTCTGCTCTGCTCTGCTCTGCTCTGCTCGGCTCTGCTCTGCTCTGCTCGGCTCGCTCTCCACTGCTTTTCCGCCGTTGCTCGTCTCAGCCTTGCGCGGGGCTAGTCACTACTTCCGGCTGCCTCCTTCGCGCTGCGCAGCAATCCAGCCCTGAAGCACCAAGCACCACGCGCCTGAAGCAGCTGGCCGCCGCGCAGTCACCGCAGCACTCTGGCCGCCTATTGCTGCACGCCTTCCGGGCCAAGGCTCCAGACGTTACTCATCATGGCCGCGCCTCGCACGCGCTCCCATTCTCTATACGATAGCAGGGGTTCCGCGCAAGACACATGGCCGAAGCTAGAACCTCGCGCAGGGATCGTTTCCGCCGAGATCCTATGTTTTCGGTGACCTGATGGCTTAATATATGACCCCGCCCAACCCTCCTTCCCTCGCTGGCCTGGTGCTGCTTTGTCCTCTTGCTACTATACCTTGCTGTATACCCTCCAACCCCATCACCTCTCCCTCCTCGGGGTCCACCCTCTGTTCTGTCCCACCACTGCCAAACCTCCCCCCTCGACTGACCCGTCCACGACCGCCCACGCCAAGTCCACGACAGCCCGACCATGCAGCGCAGTCCAGGCTACGGCTATCCGCACTATCCCGTGACTGCCTCTCCGAAGCAGTACCCTGCTGCACACAGCACGAGCAGTGCCTTCAGTGCTAGTGCAAATCCCAATGAAGACTGGACCAAGATCTCGGACCTCGCAGAGCGAAGGAGGATACAGAATCGGATTGCACAGAGGAATTATCGTGAGCTCAAGCGTCATCTCTATCCGCCCCGTCCATACTAATCGCCCGCCAGGCAAGAAGCTGAAGAAGCGGTTGGAAGACCTGGAGCGAAGGGCGGGTTCCAGCTCAGCGTCGCCGGAGCAGAAGCACGAAGAACTACCGCAGAAGGAGAACACTCCGTCGAGCCAATCCTCTGGGGCAACATCACAACGGCAACGATCAACGAGCGGCCAAGCGCGAAGAGACCATACCCCCGAAATCCTGGCTCAACAATACGTACTTCCCTCGGACGACAGAGGAATGTTCTCGCAACAGTTCACTCGTCAACTCTCCACATCGCCGCCGCCGTTCTCCTACGCGTCGATTCCGCAGAGTAGCAGTCACAGTTATTCCACGTATCCCCCTGTTGCATCGTACTGCAGCCTACCAAGCAATGGTCCCGACATGCCGATCTATCCTCACTATGCACATGCTCTATCGCAAGCATATCCCGTCCAGTCCATGACCTCGCCTCCGGTCAAACAGGAGTTCTATGGAGACGACGAGATCAACCCTTTCAGCATGTCTTACGCTTCGATCAACGAAATACCTTCGTATCAAGAAATACCTCCATATGTGAGATATCAACGGAATCAGAATTATCCAACACACAGGGGCTGATTTCAAGACCAGACACCATCACTCTCGGACACATCTCTCGAGCACTGGCACGCTGGCTCACCGCCAGACTATCCGAGGACTCCGGCATCTCTTCGCAGCACGCCTCCCCTTGCGGTCTACGAGCGTTCAGGATCCGCATGAGAGCGTTGGTGGTTCCGGAGCCACTGATTTTGTTTTGACGTGTGCGCGAGTATCGAAGCGAAGGAGTTTGGGACTGTTGCCATATGAATATAGACCTCGACCTACAAGGGAGGTGGCTTCTCCACGGTCCGAGAACCTGAATTGCTCAGGGCGCTGCGATTTTGTGCTACGAATACGAGCAACAAGCTTGTGAGACAAGCCCACACGACTTATTCGTCGATAGAAAGATTGACTTCTATTGACATTGTCAACAAGACCAAGCATTATTATTTCTCGTCCGCCTACTTTCCACCCCGCTCTCCAACCGTGCAGATCATTGCCTCAGAGTGGGAAATGTTGCGAGCGCCTCCAACACCAACTTGGTGCTTTAGCTAGAGAGCGACTTTCCGGATGGAGAAAGCCGGGCGCGCCCTTTCTTTCACAACACCACCCATTTCCCATACGACACACAGTCCTTTCGGCAAGAGCTCGCCGCAATCTCCGCCCATGACGCCTTCGTTGTGCGAAGCTCGCTACGCGCAAAGCGTTTAGCATGAGGATGGCGCCGCTTCCGCTAATAACACTACTATTGCGGGCCCTATCGGATGTTGGAATGCACGAGCTCGCACATGATGAAGGCGCGCGAAAGATCGGATACGACCAACGCCGTCCGCGCGAGCAAATGCGGCATGCATCGTTTTGCTATAGAGGATCTGCGTTCAAGATGGCGATGACGAGCACAGCACTTCATCTTTGTTTCGATGTCTTTGAAATGCCGACTCAATACCCCAACTTGCTTATTAAAAGGGAACATGATTCCCAAGCAATAATAGATGTAGTGTGTACATGTCATGTAGTAGGATGCAGATTCTGTGGGGACTCGGCAAGCACTCTCTCACCGGTCCCGCGTGCACGGACCTCGTATCGGTCACCAACTCTAACCAGAGAAGGTGAGGTCACGTAAGGCAGTAGTAGTGCTCGTCAACCAGCAATGCCCCATCATGGCCGGGACGGCAGATCAGAACCCGTATACGCTCTTCGGGGGCGACAAGTACGTGCAGTCTTTCTGGATGATGACGAGTGATGGCGCAGCTGATCGGGTGCGCATCGCAGGGGATGGAGTTCGAAGGACTGGACTGCCTCCGATGACCGCGTTCGTGGCGGCAAATCTGAGGTATGCTCGTGCCAGCCAGCCAGCCTTCCATCACACAAGATCGGCCAGCCGCTGATGGTGGCTATAGTCGCACCTGGAGTGTACCACAAACGACATTGGTCGCTTCTGGGGAAACCTGGACATCGAGACTCTGGGAGGCGCGGGCTTCGCTTCGCAGAGGACTACCGGCGACGACCGCGCGTGGGACTTGTCCGGGTACGCCGGAGTACAGATCTGTATCGAAAAGGGCGATAGTATGTGTCCGTCCATATCTACTTGCGGCGGGCTGCGATTTCGCGCGCGCGAAGACTAATTCGGTGGTGGCAGAGAGACGCTACACCTTCAACCTCAAAGACGAATTGCTTCCTCCAGACCCAGACACGGGGCGAGAGCAGTCTACCGTCTCGTACGAATGCGACTTTGAACTCCCGCCCCAAGCGCAGCCAGGCGACACGTACGACAGATCCGTCTTCATTCCCTGGGCGAGCTTCAATGCTACGTATCGCGGCAAACCGAAGAAAGACGCGGGTCCCATCAATTTGAAGAAGATCAAACGAGTGAGCATCATGATGAGAAGGTTCGGAAATTCTCAAGATGCATGTCTGTTGTTGTTGTGATGCAACATGCTGACCTCTCCGCAGCTTCTTTGGGGCTCAAGAAGGCGATTTCTCACTCTCGATGCGCTCTATCAATGCGCTCTCGAAGACGCCGTCCTTGTCGATGTACTCTATTATCCCGGCCGGTCAAAACGACCAAAGCACTCTGGAGAAAGGACAGATTGATCCTATCAATTCAGCCCCGAGTGACGGGCTTGATGGATATCGAGCATCGTTTTGGAGAGTACGTGATACCAAATGTCAATATTGTGTCAACAGCACTGATATGAAGTCCAGAGCTCTGCTAGCGTCCACAGCAAATCCACGTATCTCGCCCTGGGGACAATCACGCTCATCGCGCTTTACCTCACTGCCGGACGGTTCATGCGACCCTGTCCCCCTGAGAAGCTCTTATAGCACCACTCGATTGTGGACGGGAAAGATAAGGATTCCTCTCCCTTCATCAGGCATAGATCAGTCCGATGAATCACGGCAGCGTCGGAACAGCCCTCGCGCTCCCATACCCAATGAATGACATTCATTTCAATTTCCCCATGTCCCTAGCTGGAGATCTCATTTTTGGTGAAGCCCCTTCTGAGAAGTTTTGTTTCAGGTTTCTCCAGCGCCAACCTTCGCCAAGGCAGCGCTAGCTAAGGAACCCCAAAAAAGCAGAACAATCAATAAGTGTGATGAGTGGCACTACTCATCATGAGCTTGAAATCTGCCGCTCGACTGCCGGAAGATGAGTAACAACCGTAGTAAGGTAGTGTCTCGCAACCAACCAGGTCCGCGAGATGGTATCAATCAAAAACAAGGACAGAGAAAGGTGTTTCCACCCGGGAACGAGAATAGAAGTCTGTGCTGTGCATGCCACCTTGGCTTTGGGCTTCCGCGATTTTCGCTTGTCCAGACCGGCCGGCGTAGGTCGATCGATGCGGATGGCTGGCTGGCTGGCTGGCTGTCCTGTCCTGTCCTGTCCTGTCCTTTCGTCGGGCTTGGAAGTCGCCGAGGCAGGAAAGGCTCGCTCGCTCGTTCGTGACTTGGCTTTTTCCTTTATCATCATCACTTCGCGATGATCGGCTGCCAAACCCCTCCCCCCCTCCACCCAAGTACCTTACCTACCTTATTACCTACCTACTACTAGCAGCAGCAGTTGGTTGGTTGGTTGGTTCAAACCTATTAGCGGCACAGCCACTCCGAACTCCGCAATCTCATTGCCATGCAACTGTCCGTCTACTACGCACGCAACAAGGAGACCAGGCAGTTCAGTCCGTCCGACCACTAGCCGCCAGTCCGGTGCTTCCATCCCTCCCCCCTTCCCCCAATCCCCCTACCTAGGTAGCAACCGGGGACTCTCATCAGGACGCTGTTCCAGAGACGGAGAACGGGGGCGCTGGGGGTTCGCAAGAAAGAATTGGTGCCTACCGCCTACCGCCTAACCCTACCCTGCACACATGCACTTCTCACTTGTCTCCACCCGGGGGAGAGTTGAAGGTCCGCCAGTTGCGCCGCTGCCGGCCGAGCGAGAAACCTTACCTCACCTTACCTACCCGACTACCTTACCAGTACCAAAGGTGTGAGAGGTAGGTGAACCACGATATCTGGCACGAACTCGGAAAACCCCCACCGCATCAACGCATGTGCCATGTGCCAGGCCCAGGGCCCGCAGCGCAGCGCAGCAGGCGTGTCTGTCGCAACTGATGAGAAGCTACCTACCTACTCCATTCGCTTCGCTTCCTTCAGCTTCTTTGTAATCAATCAATCAATCAATCAATCAATCAATCAATCATTCCCGAGTCTCAACCCACAAATCATTATTCCCGCCCGATCGTTACAAGCATTTCCTCTTCGTATATATCGATAGATACTACGTACGACCACCACACAGGAGGAGGAGGAGGACGGAGGAGGAGGAGGAGGATGTGTATTATACAACAATGTCTCCGTATCGCAGCAAATAGTAATAATAATAATAATAATAATGATCCTTTTTTGCTGATCTGATCCCAAAGCCGCAATAGATAATGCTTGCGCGTACCACCTCACCTCACCTCACATCCTTCTTCGCCTTGGTAAATCCTTTTGAGAGCTCTTCGCTTCGCTTGCGTTATGGTATGGTCCGTTACTTTTTAGTCATACTTGTTGATGAGCGTTGTACGTAGGTAGTAGTGTTCGGTTGTGGTTGTTCTAGGCAAATACTACTTAGGATCTGGGGCGGCCGTCACGATCCTCCTCCGTCAGTGGTGGGGCTAACTAACAGTGATTATCAATTCCGTCTTGGTGAGAAAAGGGAGACGTGTCAAGCATTCATTCCTCTTGGTTTTGCTAAGATGAGTTGAATAAAAGCGAGAAAGATCTATCTATGGGGTATCTCTGTCTAATTTCTATCGGCCTTGGTATAACAGTCTAGCGCCAGTGGTTTCGAAGTGATCGAGCGATTTGATTTTTACATTTCTTGAAGCAGCCACGTCCGAGTCGTCTCGTCCGTCGAGGCGCTGATCGAGCATGTCGATTCGTCCACGCTGTGGAAGGTCATGTCCGTGATGTCTCCCTGAATGGTACTGAGGCAGAGTGGCACTCGCGGAACGGTGTATTGGAGGCGTGGAGGGGGAACGACCGGCTGGTGCTCTGCTTGCGGCCTCTCGGTCTCAAGTTTGTCTAGGAAGCCAGCAAGTGTCGTCCATGTCCCCTTCCGATCGGCTTGTGTTTGTGCGAGTGTGGCGCGGAGCTCCTGCTCCGTTGGCAGACGGTAGACGAAAAGCTGCGTGAGAGGCGCCGGCCGGATGCGCTTCTTGTCTCGCTCGGCGAGAGCCAGAAAGCACTTGTCCAGCGTCATGGTGAATCGAGGATGATGTTCATGTGCACTCGGCATGTTCTCCCACAGCCCTATGCCTCCTTCCGATGAAGAGTCTAGAGTGAAATCCCAGCTGCTTAGAAAGCTCTCCAGCCGTTCCAGTATGGCCACATTTGCGGGTTCTGCTGTGAGTGTCTGGCTGGTGCCGGAGATACTGCATTTGACGTGTCCTAGGATGTAGTGAGAACTCTCACCGCCGCCATGCTTCTGTCCAGCGAAGAGGTAGCCGTTCTCAAAGGGCCTAAGGAGTTGAAGTCCAGAAATCCGAGGAGCATGGTCGTCTGGATTGCGCGAGGATGAGGAGACGGCGAGCAACGAGGAGTCGACAAAGGTATGTTTGAGTCCTGCCCTGCTCTTCCAGTGTTGCATGGTTGCTTTTGTTCCTGCCTCTTCCACACCTTGAGGGGTACCAAGATAGACGACGGCACCCTTGCCACTCAAACGAACTCTCAGGACGTAGTCGTCTTGTTCGAAGTCAAGACCACATATGTAGTGTCCCGAGGCGCTGGAGACATACTCGCTGATCGTGAAGCTGTCAGGCTCGTCAAGCAGGTTGTAGATCTGTATCGTGCGCTCTTGTGCTATGGCGAGAAGGCTCCCGTCAGAAGAAAGGGCTAGCTCGTTGTATGAATTGGGCTGGATATTGAGCCATGGACCGGAGCCGACCGTCTCTTTCAGATCGTTCAACGGGCGTTGTGCAAGGCAGACTGGTGTATCCCCCGATGTATCGAATAGCCCGATAACGCGTCCGTTGAGTGTTACTGTCTTGTTACCGTTCGTCGTGGCCGTCACCCGAGGATTGATCGGGAATCCCAACTTGGATGCCTTCGTCAGGAGCCCTGGCTTATCGTGTGTACGCTCTGTTTTCACCCCCACCATCAGAGTCCGTGCCGCCTCGTCGAATAGGTCGTAAAGCTGGGACGGGGTTGACGTGGCCGCGTCGACACGAGGTAGGATAGGCAGACGCTGCAGTTGCTTTGCCAAGGGCACTGCGTCGGTCGAGGCGAAGTGCCAATACTGGCACACTTTCCGAGCGGCGTAGAATGATCGCGTGTCAAGGTATGAAAAGATCTAAGGCCCGCGGACGTTAGCGCTGCTTCTCCGCTGCATAGAATACGCTGCTCTCTCACCTGTTGCTGAAGCTCTAGTGGAAGGCTGGTGGCAGCCTTCGAAGTCTGCCTCACACCGAGCACACGCTCAAGAGAGTGAGACATTATACAGTATGTATGTTCCGACCGAGCCCAAGGTCAGGGCCTCAGCAAGAATGGCACGAGAGCGTTATTAGTGAGAAGAAGCGTGAGAGAACGACTTATCTGCCATGACCGCTGGCGCCGGCGGCGTCAGGTATATAGACGTCGCGCGCATTGGGGTATGATTCATTATCGGAATGCGACCAAGATTACACGAAACGTTGGGACGACCATGAGATGGAGCGGTGCGCGGATGGAGTGATCCTCGATGGGCAGAGATCTCACGCGGAGGGATCAGGGGTGCCGCGAGCGTAGTGTGTGCCGAGCGCGCATCAAATGAGAAGGCGGTCTGCGGGCTGGTGGATGGAGTCAGTCCACAATTTGCGCGACCGTCGACGAGAAGGTTCAGCAGCGGCTATCGTCAACGTCCCCTTGCGCGCTTCGGGACGCACGGGTCGGGTCACGTCAATCTTTTTTTTCTTCCAAAATGCTTCAAGAAAGACGAGAGACTACCGAAGTAAGCGCGGGCTATTGTCGCATTTCTGCTTGAGATCGCTACCATCAGCCGCCGTCCTCAACTGACAATGAACAAAGTGCGTGGGATGGATTCTCGGGACATGCGCACAGAGACTGATAGACTACAAAACTCTTCCTACCGGTCTCAGCTCTTCGGATGTTGGACTTCTGGGATGGAGATAACGAACGAATCGTTTACCATGACACAGGATCCGGTCGCTCTCAAAGGTCTTCCCAACATTGTTGTGCTGATACCTGACTCGTCTTGCCCATTATGTTTCACGAGAATACTTCGTATTGAAACAATAACTTTTCCGTGTGAAGACGTACTCCGCCACTAGCAACGTGCCCGACACGTGACAGAGACTTATATGTATGCATAACCTCATCTGCCAAGAGTCTCACATGCTTGGAAAATATCGGTCAATCCTTCTCCCTGGCTAGTCGAAAAGCCGTAGTACAAATCGATTCTATGGACAGTATTGTAACAGTGAAGCGCTTTATAGACCTCTAGCATCTCCTTAGGATTGCTAGAGGAGAGACACGGCGATACAGAACATAGAGGATCGTTGTCCGACTGGATTACTAGCACTGCTTTGATTTGTTCGACGCAAATGTTGCAAGTTCTATGCTTATAGCTCTGGGTAACTCTTGCCAATGATCGCTGCTGGTTCACGGCTCCGAAACACCGAGGAGGGCCTGAGGTCGCTTAGTTAGCAATGATACTCTCGTACGTCGCACGTACACGAGATGTCACGTCTTACCTCCCAGGGACGCATCTGAACCGTCCCTTCGCAACTCTTGCCCTGCTCTCCGGCAGTGTAGTTGCCAGCCACCCACTTCGATACCTTTGCGCTCTTCGGTATCTGCCAGTCGACGGCCTCGCCCGAGAAATTCAGGGCGACCACAAATGCTTCGTCCTTGCCTGCCATCTTGTACGCAAAGACCGTTTTGTGATTCCCATCGAGAAGCATGTACTCGCCGTAGACGAAGACATCTCTGTGCTTCTTGCGATTCTCAAGCCCCCTTTTCCAGAACTGCAGAACGCTCAACTCGTCAGGATCGTTGGCGGAACGTTGTGCTTCGACGTTGACTGTCTTGTAGTCGTCATTCACCCGCATCCATGGCTTTTCCTTGGAGAACCCACTTCAGATCACTCTGAATCAGCCACAGTGTCAGATCATTCCGTGGTCGTACTTACGCATTCGGTCCGCTGTCCCACTGAACAGGTGTACGGGCATGATCTGGAAGGGCGTTACTAGGAAGGTCTCGAACACGCTTACACCCTGCGGGATGCTCACCTCTGGCTTTTCTTTGCATGATTTCCTTGGCATGTCGCAGTTTCTCTTCATCGCCGCCACTGAGCTCTTGCATCTTTTTCCACTGCAGATAGGTTAGTGTCCATTTTCGAGAACGGTGCTTGAAGCTTGATGCTGGCTCACATAATTGATAGCTTCTATATCTCTGTACTCGTCCTTGGAAAATTGTCAGCTTACGCGGACAAATTGGGACCCATGTACTCACGACCGGCCAAGACAGAGGAACATTAGCCATCCCAATCTCCTCGCCCTGATAGACATACAAAGTCCCACTGAGTGTCGTTTGCATCATGGCGAGCAGCTTGGCTCCAAGCTCACGATATTCTCGAGAATCATCGGCGTAACGTGAGACTGACCTCGGGTTGTCCTGGGAAAGTTAGCCTGTACAACATGACGAGGGACGGTCATGTGAAAGAAATACATGATTCTCGATAAAGATCGAGTTCCATCCACCCTTCTCACGCATCACGTTCTGCCATCTAGTTACAACATCTCTGAGATTCTTTGTCTCGAAGGGTCCTGATCGCAAAGTTAGTGCTTTGTCTTGTCTTCGTGAACTCGTAGCTTACGAAGAGTCATCCGCGGGCCGTTAGGAATGTTGTCAATCTCGACAATCTCGAAGATGAAGATCATGTTCAGCTCGTTACGCTCTCCGCCCACCACACGGAGTATCTCATCTTCGTCATGCACGAATGGCATCTCCCCAACTGTGATAGAGTCGTACTTTGAGAGGACCTTCTTGTTCATGTCCTGCAGGAATTCGTGGAGGCGTGGCCCATTTGCGAAGAACTGGACGTGCATCAGCACAGCCAAAACCTCTCGTTGAGAACTCGCGCACCTTGTCTCCGGGTTGGTATTTGCTGCTAGGATCCACCACATCTGCATCTGGAAACCTCTGGTCCTTGGAGATATGGTTGATTACGTCCATGCGGAAGCCACTCGCGCCCCGCTCGAGCCAGAAGCGCAAGACGTCGTGTACTGCGTCCCGCACAGCTGGGGTCTCCCAGTTCAGATCAGGCTGCTCAGGAGTGAACAAGCTCAGGTAGTATTCTTGCGTCTTGTCGTCCCACGTCCAGGCCGAGTTGGCGTCTCCTAGCAGTTGACACCAATTATTTGGCGGCTGCCGATTGCCATCCTTGTCGAACTTTGGCGGCTTCCAGATGTACCTGAAAACCACCTATCAGTAGAGACCCGGACTCGATAGGGGGCGAAAGTTCTCAGCATACCAGTCTCGATGCTTGTTATCCTTCGACGACCGGGAATCCAGGAACCAGGCATGTTGATCGCTGGTGTGATTGACGACCAAGTCCATCATGAGCTTCATGCTGCGCCGCTTCAAGCCTTGAATGAGCTCGTCCACATCTTCGAGAGTTCCATACTTGGGATCGATGTCCTTGTAGTCTGAGATATCATAGCCCATGTCCGCCTGTGGCGATTTGTATACCGGACTGAGCCATACGACGTCCACTGCAATCTAGTCAGTACATATGGCGTCGGTGGATGAGGAAGCTGAATGCGATACCGCCGAGTTCGTGAAGGTAGTCTAGCTTGGAGGTGATGCCTTTGATGTCGCCCCATCCTGGCGTATTTCCGGAGCCAGTCGATTTGAAAGAAGAGGGATATATCTGGTAGACCACGGCCTCTTTCCACCAACGGTGCGCGTCGGCTGCTCTCTTCGAGTTCATGGTGAGTGTCTTTCAGAGTGACAAGTGAAGAGAGGAAAAGAAGCGAAGGGATGGGAGAGCTGCAAGAGCAGTTTTCAATGCGTGAGTGCAGAGCTCAGTTGTCGTCTACTGCATTTGTATTTGCGTTTGTCTGCGCGTGAAGGACCGGCACCTGTACCGGTCCCTCCACCGTACGTTACGTACCTTCTTAGCTGGAGGGGAGCTACGAGAGCTGGCAGGACCGAGAATGAGACCGTCGCGGATGCTCGTTCAACCTGCTCTGTACAACATCCGCACCTGCCCCGTCATAGAACCATTCATCATGTAGTAGGAAGGAGGTGCGAACGGGAGCTCTCGGTAAAACTCGGCTGTCATCCCGATTCCGATGTCTTGCCGTCGACAACTACATACATGCCTCTGGCCCCGCAACCATGGTCTCGCTGGAAACGTTGCCCTTTCACATGCTGAGCGCATCCTCTGCAACAACCTCCTTCCAGCTGCCAACATCAATATTCCTCCGCGAGGAATGACCCTGTGTTGGCAGATCGGCAGTATTGCTTAAACCCGCCTTAACGCCAGTTTGATGTCGGAAACCGGCATCCCTCTCCGTCATCCTGCACCATGGGCGTACAAATAGAGAGAAGGGAGGAGATCCTCTTGTCTCGAACACTACGACCGACTTTCTGAACGCAATTACATCGCCAATACTGTACGCGACCAATAACCACAGCCCAGCATGTCTTTCGGAGACGACCCCAACGATCCCCTCAGCCAGTCCGTCAATGCGACCAAAGCGAATTACGTCCAGCTGGGGAAGAGTGGCCTGCGAGTTTCCGTCCCCATCCTCGGTGCCATGAGCTTTGGGCACAAGGAATGGCAGCCATGGGTATTGGAAGAGGAAGAAGCTCTCCCCGTGCTCAAAGCAGCGTACGATCGAGGCGTCAACACCTGGGACACGGCAAATGTCTACAGCAACGGGGGTTCCGAGGAGATCATCGCCTCGGCCATGAAGAGGTATCAGATCCCACGCGAAAAGGTCGTGATCCTGACCAAATGCTTTGGCTACGTGGGTGAGGAGCCCGGCACGCGAGTTGTGGGTCGAGACGGCAAGGCGAAGCAGTCCAAAGACTACGTCAATCGGGGAGGGCTCTCACGAAGAGCGATCTTTGATGCTGTGGACAAGAGTCTCAAGAGGCTGGGAACCGATTATATCGATCTGCTCCAGATCCATCGCTTTGACGCTTTTACGCCCATGGAGGAGACGATGGAGGCTCTGCATGATCTGAAGAAGATGGGCAAGATCCTTTACATTGGCGCCTCAAGCATGTGGACATACCAGTTCGCCCAAGTATGTCCTCTGCGTGGATGGACTCACTTCTATCTTGTGCTGACGTATCTTGCAGTTGCAATTCACCGCCGAGAAGAACGGTTGGACCAAGGTAAGGCCCCTCGTGCTGCGAATCTCACTTGCTTGGCTGGGATAATACTAATGGTCTAACAGTTCGTTTCAATGCAAAACCACTACAACTTGTTGTATCGGGAAGAAGAGCGCGAGATGAACAAGTTCTGCCACGAAACAGGCGTGGGACTTATCCCGTGGGCGCCATTGTGCCGGGGTCACTTGGCTCGACCTCACTCTGCATTTGGCACCACGAGCAGGTCTCAGGGAGAACAGCTGAAGACCATGTTCCAGAGCGGCCACACGGATCCGGATCGAGAAATCATCGAACGGGTCGAGCAACTCGCTGGCAAGAAAGGCTGGGCGATGAGCTCTGTCGCGTTAGCATGGATCAACAAGAGAGTATCCAGTCCCATCATTGGCTTTAGCAGTGTCGAGAGGATCGATGAAGCGCTGGAGGCGAGAGGGAAAGAGCTGACGACCGAGGAAGAGAAGTACCTGGAGGAGCTGTACGTGACCAGGGATATCCAAGGCCACCAGTAGTGGCTAGATTCCATTCATTACCGTTCGAATGCGCTATGTACCGTATCACGCCACTGCAATGCTCGCTGGTTGAGTCTGTTTCCGTGTCGTCTCTTCTGTACATTCGTTGACCCATGATGCTGAAGCAAGAACTGTAAAGCAAAGCTTTGCTTTCTACCAGATTGGCAGGAATTCCAAGACGTAGACGATTGCATGTACCAATGCAGGCTGCGCCAACTGTCAGTTTTTAGATCCCTTTGTCCAGTTCAGAATATACTTACCACTTCGGCTCTTCTCATCGCTGCACCAGGCGTTGCCACTGTGCTTGATCCCGCGACAATAAACCCATTGCCTGTTGTGCCACCGCCCGTCGCAACCGTTGCAGCAGTCGTGGCCGCGACAAGACCATTGTTCGAAGTCGCGGTGCTGGCGAATTGGAAACTGGTGGTGGTCGTGGCCGCACTTCCCGCGAGGGCTCCATTCGACGTTGTCGTCGTCGCCGCTGCCGCTCCGCCGCCCACCAACGCTCCATTGCTACCAATCGTCCCCGAGCTTATGACTCCACCTATTGTGCCCGTGCAAGCTGCACCCGAAGGACAGCAAGCTACGTGGCCGGCGCTGTCTGCGGAGCATATAGCACTTGACATGCAGCAGAGGCTGGGAGCGCCGAGGTTGTCGCAGGAGTTGAAGCCTGTAGGACAGGTGTTGCTGTATTGTCGCTTGAGGAGGTCGTGCGCGGTGTCGTTTTGTAATTGCTGCGGGAGGTAGTCTGACAGGGCGGCGAGGAAGGGTTGGAAATCGGGGAGTTGGATGGCGGCTGCGACGCCGCCGAGCAGGCTCGGAGGGAGGAGGAATGCGGAGAGGCGCATGGTTGTTCGTACGTATGGTGTGCACTTCGGCAGGTGAAATCGTCGAAGATGCTCGCGAGGTGGGTGCAGGGTAAAGTTGAAATGAAGTTGTTGGATCAATGGATGCAGCTGAAAGCGACTAGCGGGTGCTATGAGTGAGCGGGTGAGTAACGAGACGTATTGCGCCAGCACTTAGCCAAGCAGAGAGCCGTCGAATTTGGTTTGCGAATATGTATTGGGAATAGTTGGGGAGAAAATGGTAGACAACACCCAACCACCACCACCCATCTCCACTGAACTGAACATGAGATCGGCGGGGCTGGAAGCAGTCCCAATCGGGTAATCTGTTGATCGGTCCACCGCTCCGGCAACCGCCCTTCACAAGATCCATTGGAACAGGGATCAAGCATCTAGCGGTCACTCCCTTCCGAAAGTTACGACAAGGGTCCACGATCTCACTCCACTTCCATTCCGTTCACGCCTTCATGACTACCTGCATCCCCAAGGTATCGCTTCACGGACACGACGCCTGCTTGTGTGCATTGGAAAGAGCGACGTCGCAATTCGGGAAGATGAAGTCGAACGCGCACCCGCGGGCCAGTGCCTCGGCCACACGGTGAAAGGATGAGATCTGGGAAAGAACCACACATGCAGATATATCTTCTTCCCATCGAGATGCCACCACCTCCAAGGGCGAGACGGGAAGGATGAGGAGATCGCGGTTCGATCTTGGATGCCAACGAGGAAGGAACATCTGGCGAAATCTACGCGAAGTCCTGATGGCGTTGTGCTCCTTCCCAACCAGCAGGCGCAGCTTCTCGAACGATGATGCAGTGTCCATCCCATGCTGCTTCCCAGTGGCGGAAAGATGGATGTCATTGTTTACATCGTCCTGCCTCTCTCGCCCTCTTCTGCGCCGTCTCGTCTCGTCTCGTCTCGTCTCGTCTCGTCTCCCACTCTCCTCGCAATCCAACAGCCCCGGCTACCAGCATCTTCCAACACTTCAGCGCTTTGAATCTCAACGCCACCGCCGCAACATTCTCCTGTCCACTCGTCCAGATCTACTCTCTGCGTCGGCGATAAACGCTCTCCAACACCGACCACCGACACAATGCGGGCGCTTGATGCGCTGCTGGCAGTCTGGAGCTGCCTGCTTTGTCAGACAGCCATTTCTCAGTCGACCACCAGCACTGCCGTTACCATTGGAGACGATGGTCCGGAGTCTGGCGGAATCGTACCCATTCCTGCTCCGTCAGGTGCAACGGGCGACTCCCCATTCCCCACGTCCGGCGGCGAGTCTGGATTCACCCTCGATGTTCCTCAGCCGACTGATCTTCCAGATGCTTCCTCTACTCAAAAGTTCAAATGGATCCACCCGACCGTAACGCCATCCCCGGTGACAGTTCCAAAACACAATGGGAGCCACATGCAGACATATCAGACATATCAGGCTAGGCGAATCGGTGGGCAGACTCTCGTCTCGGCGCACAGCACATGGGCTGCAGTGCATTCTGTCTATCTGGATTTCCTTCCCAACCCTTTCCAGGAACCCAAGTCAGTCTACACCGAAGTCAAAGTCATCGGCAAGTCTTCGACAGTCGTCGTCGAGCCCACGGCCACCGTGGTCACTGTCGATGGGCACGTCTTCCCAGTTGTCCACACGGACGGCCCAAGCCCAATACCGTCTGATTTGATACACACCGTCGAAGTCCCTCAGTTCGGGTCCGCAATCATGGTACCTGCTCCTGCTCAGGCGACCCAGGAATCGTTGGTCAGCGCTCTCCTCGTCGACCCGGAGTCGCGACTTGCCGTTAGCGATGGCGATGGCGATGGCGATCGGAGTGCGAAGAAATGGAAGCGCATTGCGATTATAGCGCTTGCTGTGGGTGGTCCCTCCTGGCTACTGCTTCCGCTGTTGTGCTGCTGTATCCCTTTACGACGCAGAGAAAAGGTCGTCGAGAAGACGACGTCCACTGACCCAGCGACTGGCCTGACTGTGGTGACTACATCAACCAGCCCAGCGAGTAATGGAACCGGTACCACCACGGTTGAGACGACCGAACGAGGCACGCTCACTCGACAAGCCGAAGAAGGTCGTGGACGACTTTCCCAAGTGATCGGCTCAGGAGCACGTGGACATGATACGGGAGTGGGAGCCGGTGCTGCAGCGGCTTCGCGTGGCGGCAGTGAAGGATCTTCTGGCGGTTCGGGAGCTGGTCGAGGTGCTTCGGGCGCCGGTAAAGGTGGTTCAGGCACTTCTCAAGGTGATGCAGGTGCCGGTCGAGGCAGTGGTGGTGCTGGTCAAGGTAGCGGAAGTGCTAGCGGCGCTGGAGGTACCGGTGCATCTGGACTCGGCGCAAGTTCTGGCACGTCCGGCCACTCTGGAGCGGCTGGCATTGACGGAGGTTCTGGAGCGGCTGGTGAATCGAGCGCCTTGAGAGGAGCGGATGCAAAAGGCGTTGCTACGGACAAGAAAATTGGCGCGGCTCCCGCATCTGCCGAACACGTTGAAGCCGTCCCCGCCCACGATGGTGCTGACAGCCTCCGTACTGGCAGCGAGATGCTCGATATCGGTAGCCTTCGCGGCCGCAGGAAGATGCGTCCGGACAGCCGCAGCCCTTTCTGACTGGCTTGAATGTCGTCTGCCCGGAGGCTCTACACGCACAACTTACGCATCACAACTGGCACACCGGTATCCTCACGCCAGAACAGCCAAATTTGTGGCATAACAAAAGTACATTGGGCATTGCATACGCACACCGACAACATACACGAAACTGAATGGGGCAGTGCCAGGATGGCGGTATACAAATATCAACATGGACGCAGCAGTATCAATGAGGAGCATGACTGAACTGAAGAGTATGCAACGGCTTGGAGGATAGAGCTCCGCATGGATAGTCGGAACAAGCATTTCTCCGCCACGCATGCTCTAAGCGAAGCTTTCTCGTGCTTCTTCTCCGTCCTCGTGAAGTGCTGCCCCATTCTTCCTCGTCGGCTCCCAATCCCCAGACCCCGGACGCCATAGAGACCTTCCAACCTCAAGACCTCACCTCTCCCCACCCTTTCCGTCCAATGAAGCCAATTGCCTCTCGGCCTTCTACCCTAGACAGTTCATACATTGTTGTTTTGAGCGTCGCGGCTAGACTGATTGGCATCAGTTTTGGGGGTCGTGATGCGATCTTGGAGTATGCGCGACCATGCAGGCGCCTGTATGCACCTGTGGTTACCGCCTGGATTTTAGTGAGTTTTGGATACATACCTTATGGTGCAATTCCGAATGGGGGCGCTGACACTGCAATACAGCTAGCTGGTTGGTTGGTTGGTAGAGACGGACCATTTCACTGTACATGACGCCTGGATATCTGACCATGGCGCCGTCCTCGGAAAATTTGAGTCTAAACACTGGACACACTACCTCTCTGAGGAGGAGCTTCGTACGGATATTCAACAAGAAACTTCTGACGGGAAATTGGACCAGGTACGAAGGATGATATACCCACAGACACGGCTCGCGACCCTTTCTTTACAGTGTTTCATTACCTAGTCGACTCGATTCAGTTGCTCTCTTGCAGCACACACAGGTTACGGTACGATGCATACTGTTGACCATTATCATCGCCATAAATTCATCGTTCATTTCATGTGTTGTCTCTGTGCCTTTACTACTTCTTGGGACTGAAGATTCGGAAGCTCTCTGTAGCTTTCATTTCACTCTTTTGGCCCAGGCCCAGGCCCAGCGCGCTTGTGGATCAAACTGCCCATGTTTCACCAACTTATCCGCCTGCTCTTGGAAGTTTTCCATGCATCTGTCTGATGTAGTCCTTCTGAGCTTTTATCTGAGAAATCTTGTGTTCCCCAAAGCCTTGCTCTTCCGTCTTCAGGCTCTTCCTCCAATTGAAAAATTTTGGCCCTCCAGATCATTCGTCTTACTTACATGTCTCTTTCTGCGTGGCTCGCTATTGCTTCTCAAGATCTTTCTTTCAACTCAACGATCCAAGCCCTCTTGGTTCGCGACGCTTGGCTTTCAGTTGGTCGATTTTTTGGGGCACTTTTGCTAGAGATCTTCTTCTTCTTCGAGCTCGCTGATACGATCGATGTTTCTTGTGCCTTTCGCAGTTTCGGACGCCCGCGGGGATGCACTCTCAGCTGGTTGGCTTCTATTGTCCTCTCTCTCGCTCCAATTTCTCGTCCCCAGCTTGAGCTGCTGCCACGGCTTACTGCTTCTCGCGCACTGCCTGGCTAGGCTTCGCTCCTACGGCCCGCATCTCACTGCTACAAGACTCGTCGATAGCGCTGCCCTCATTGATCTGTCGACCTGCGAGGAGCAGGAGAGCCAGATTCTCGTCCGTCCAGAGTATCGTCTGGTCGGTTGACTTTCCTTTGCTCTGTGGCGAGACGTTTTCTCGCACTTTTGCTTGTCACGCTCTGTCCTCTCGAGTTTGCTCGTGAAAGTGATCGAATCCGTCCGTCTGTCTACGTTCTCGTCCGCTAGGAGAAGTACACCACCGGAAAGTACAGGAGCCAGTCAATGGATGTGACGGGCTCGGACGGGTTGGCGAAGCGCGCATAGGGCAAGCCGGCCGAGGGGACGCAGGATCTCCATTGTCGATGTCTCTGATATCATACTAAGGGGTGGCAGTTGCGTGTTTGTCAGTAGTGTTATGCAGATGGGTTGAGAAAAAGAAGTTGTTACGGCTTTTGGGGGAAAGAGGGTTCCGGGTGGTGGTCAAGGCTTTCAGCTTAGTTTCGGCAGGTTCCGCTAGCGTTGTTCATGCAAGTGAATGAAACTGCACCTGCCATTCGCCTGCAGAACAGATTAGCACGCCACCGGTGAGACGAGTGTCGCAGAGCCTGTTTAATGAAGCCGCAGTTTGGCATTCTGAGGCTCGCTGCATTGAAAACCTCGAAGAAGACGGCTGTGCTCCTCGCCATTCTGGGTATAGGGCTTCAGTTCCTGAGATGGACGTTACTATTGATTGAATGCTTATTCAGGAATCTCTACACAGGAAGCAGAGTATCAGAGATATTTGCAAGGGTCATGAGACATAGAATGCTCGAAAGGAGACAGAAACGTACAACAGCTGTCTGTGCTCTCTCAAGGATCGCTTCTTCTAGTCCTGTCTCTCATCCTCTCCGCTCTGATACGGATCCTCGTCTGGGAACTCCATTCTGTGCAGCTTCGTGAGATCATCCTCGCTGTCATCCTCACTAATATCGTCACAGTCTTCGGGCTCACTGTCTTGCTCTGGCTTACTAGCCGGCTCCGGTGGCGCGACCCCCTTGCAGTCTGGCTTGTGGTTGTTGTCAAATCCGCCGCATTGACCACATTCGTCCTCAACATCGTCCTCGTCGTCCTCATCGTCCTTATTCTTATTCTCTACCGTCAGGTCATCCTTGTTGCTGGCAAATGCCGTCCCATGGGTGCCGCTCGGTTGGTTGCGATTTGCTGCACTGTTGTCCTCTTCGCCTTCATCTTCATCGGATTCGTCCGACATCCCTTGATCTGCGTCCTTGTCGTCTGGGGTGGTGTGAGCCGCCTTCGACGGCTGAATGCTTGGGTTTCGCGAAAGCTGACTTGTCCGAAACGCCGGTGGTGCAGTGACTGGGCCTTGCGGAGGCGTAAGCGACGTGTACCAAGGAGCAGGTGGCCTGGTAACTGGCCCGGTCCGGGCAGGAGAGGGCGTATTCGACGCTGTCCCGATACGCGCAAAAGGATCGTACTTCTTGCCCACTGGACCCATTTGCACGGTGTAGGCAGAGGCAGCTGCTTGTTGGTAATCTGGCTGAGACCAGCGGGATGCTACACCCGGAGGCTCAGGCTGAGATGTAGGTTCATCCTCATCTGACTCTTCCTCCTCTGCAGCTCTCACACGCTCCGCCGCCGCCTCCTCGTCCCTTCTTCTCCTGAACTCTCGCAAGTTCTCTTCTTCCTTGGCTTTCCTCCCGCGCAATTCTTCTTCTTCCTTTTCTCTACGTTGTCCTTCCTCCAATTTCTTCTGGAAAGCCTCCTTCTCCTTCTCGCTACGGACACGCAGCTTTGCTACCTTTCTCCCGAATTTGAAGTTCTGAGGAATGTCCCCAAAGAAATTTGAGGAATCTCGAGCGCCGTCTTTCTCTTGCGCTGAGTTGGATTCGGCGCGCGGATCGAATGTCGGGACACTCGCCTGCGGAAACTCCTGTGGCGTTTCCGTGTTGATGTCGGTCGATTCCTCCTCGCTTGGCTTCTTTGGGCGCTTGTCCTGGTCGAGATCGACATCTACCAATCCAAGCTCCTCGTCTTCGTCCTCATCAGGAGCATCTAAAGACTCCGTAGTCGAGATCCGAAGACTCGCAGTGCTTTCTCCATTCTGTGATAGATTCTCATTGGCCCAGTGCGGCTGATCGCCGGAAGATTGAAGCGTTGTGCTCTGATCAGGAGGAGACTCTGGGGCTGAATTAGACCGACCTCCAAGTGACCCAGATTGTTCGCTCGGAATCTGTTGCGTGCCATCTCCAGGCAGCTGTCCGTGCCCAGCATGTTGAGTTCTCAGGCCGTCCAGGGGTTCTGGAAGCACAGTATTCTCAATTTGGTCAGCAGTCGTGTTTGGTGGCTGTTGCGTATTATAGCCAGGCTGCTCTCCCTCGTTGAGCTGGTCGTCGTCCGAAAGGTCTCCATCAATAAAAGAATGTGGGAAAATGTCTTGCATCTCCTCTTCTGCACTCTGCGTCGGATGCACTTCATTTTGTGCCGTCTTAACACCCTCCTGATCTTGAGAACTGTACCCGTTCGCTTGCTGTTGAGCTTCATATCCAGGACCAGTAAAGTGGTCCTCGAGCAAACAGTCATCGCTCATCTCCACTTCTTGATCCCGAGTGGGCGCTTCGTGCAAAGAGGGTGCTTCAGTCGACGGTGGTGGTTGGGAGCTCTGGCCAATGTTAAGATCTCCAGTCCAGCCATCACCACTGAATACCATGTCTCCAAATTGTGAGCTCATCTGCTCCAACTGTGGTATATTCTCTTGCCATTGTGAGGTGTTCTGTTCTTCCTTGAATGGAGCAGGTGGTAGATCTTCATCTGGAGTGCCAGGCCGATACACTTGATCCCAATCGTCCATGTCGAGATCTTCGTCCAGTGACGGATGTTGCTGCGGCGGCTGCTGCGGCTGCTGCTGCTGTTGCATTGATAATGATGGATCAACGGATTCTAGAAGATTGGCAGAGGCAGAGGCTGGAGCTGCAATTGCTCCGCCAGCGCCACTACCATCGTTCTCTCCTGAACCATCGTCTTCGTCGCTGTCGTCTGCTTCATCGTCTGGTGTCTGCTCTTCATCATTCGGTCGGGAGGCTTTGTGCTCTGGGACATCAACTTTGTCATCATCATCATCATCATCCTCTTTCTCACTTTCTCCTTCTCCTTCGTCCTCTGTCTTCCGGTCTTCGTTCTTGTCCGGCTCTTCATCAAGACCAAGCATGTTCTGCTCGTCTTCTGCGACATTAGGTGACTCTTGATTATCAAGCGGAGGCTGCAGGCCTGTGTCCCTTTTTTCGCAACCATCTGACTGCATAGACGCCCCTGTAGTGTCCATCATGTCGTTACCCGCGATTGAAGAGACCGATGCTGTTGACGCGTTTTGCTGCGACTGTTCTAAGATTCCACCCTTGAAGCTGTCGGCGGGCCTGTCATTATCCAACTTCACTTCAGTCGCCCTGCCCTTCCCTTTTGGTGATCTTGGCTGCTTGCGCTCCCATGTTGGAGTGACCACAGTGCTTCTACCTTTGGAGGGAGCTAGTGGTCGGTGCTGGTGCTGTCCGGTGGAACCGAGTCCTGATGTGCCACGAGCCTCTTCCATAGCTGATGTCGCTGCTTCTTGCTGCGCCTGCGCCTGGGAGCCGTGATCTGGGGTTTCTGCAGCGGATTTCGTAGCACCTAACTTTCTTGTGGGCTGCCGAGCTTTTCTAGCTGCCTCTTCTTCGAGGCGCTCTTTGTGGTCTTGTACACTTTTCGCGAGACGCTTCTCATCTGCGCGGTAATCTTCTCTCAGCCGAAGCTCCTTCGCTTCGTAAAGCCCTTGGTAGTATGCTTCCCAGGCATCTCTTTCACGCTCTGCTTGTTGGTGACCGCGGCGAGCATTCTCAGCTTCCCCTGCCGCAGCATCTCGCTCAGCCACGAGTCGAAAACGTTCATGCTTTTCCCTCTGTAGCTCGTTCGTGATATTCGAGACCTGTCTTCGAAAGTCCGCTGCCTGCTCCTCGAAGCGCGTTTCATAGTCGTGTCGAACAAGGTCCGTTTCCTTTTGCAGCTTGAGCCTCTGCGCCTCTTCTGCCTGTGTACGTTCTTCCTGCCACTGAAAATCCAAGATGACCATATCTTCCGCCTGATCGCGAATTTGCTTTTTTAAGCGCTCAATTTCATGGCGATAGAGTCTTGACGGCCCGTGTGGGTCTCCGTTCAACCCGAGTCGTTGGAGCGGCGGGCGATTCGAAGTTCCAAGAGAGTAGCCTCCGGACCATGGAGCTATCCTGATGCGCTTGACCTGTGGGTTGTACAGCCGGTCGAGGGCCATCATGCATAGAAACACGAGAATTGCTATCAGTGAGCCGAAGATAACACCGTTGACTCTGGAAGTATGACTCTTGGTGGGCGTCGTAGCGGATTCCCATGCAATGGCCCTCGCCGCTGCCGGGCCAGCTCGACGCAAAGATAGCGTGAACATGATTGCAGCGAGAGGTTGCAGGATGGCTTGGTGGAAAGCGAAATTGTCGAGAGCAAAAGTTCCGGAAAGTGTACAACACGAAAACGCGGACGTGAATCGTGGACGTGAAGTTTTCGCATTGTCTGCGAGTGACCTAGCGAGTTGCGTTTGTTCTTGAGAGTGTGCACGGACTTTCTTATTGAGCCAAGGCTAAGACAATAGGTCGAGTGAAATGGAAGCGACGAGTAGGTTCAGCGCCAGAGTCTGGAAGTCGAAGACCCACAGTTTGACACAATAGTCTTGCCAGCATGGTAACCCCGAACAAGGCTCGTGGTTGATGGCGCAAAGAAGGGTCAGCCTCGCGCAGTCAAAATTCCGGAAATGGATTGTACCTTGAGTTTCTTTGTTCGAGTGTCTCCAGCTTAGGTCGATCGAATGTGTTTACAGGATTTGACAGAACAAAAGCAAGAGAGCGAGTCTCGATCTCCACCAGACGCTGCGTAAGTATCCATACCGTCTATATAGCACACCATCCATCCATGCCATTCTGATCCAGCTTACGCGCAGACTTTACGCTACAACCCAATCGAGACTCCTCGCGAGGTGTACTGTTGTGCAGTGATACCCTGTAGAAGTCCGATTCGACTGATATAGATCCGCCCGTCTCGTTCCATCGATATTGCCGTCGACCATCGGACCCTCCCTCCTCTCGAGACATTGACTTCCTCTGGACGTGCCGCATGCCGAAGCATCAAGATCGTAATGCTCTGCTTCTTGCATTCTGCCAGATTTCGAGGTGAAAGCGCTTGTCGACCCGCGTTCGATGGCGTTGCAATTCATATTCGCGAGACTGGATGAGCAGGATGAATGCCCTGGTGAGGTCAAGTGTGTTCTCACGCGGAGCCAATTCCGCGGCGTCTGTGCTGAGAGAAAGCCTAGTCTTGGCGCACAGACCAAATGCATCGCGCTAGGCTCAAAGGGTAGCGATGCCCCAACGCCGCGTGTCCAATGAAGCTAGAGGTGGTGGGCCAAATTATTACACAGCCACAGGTCTGAGCCATGAGAGACCAGGGAAACCCGGCTCGTGATGATAAAAGGTATATTCTGCTAAAACGACAACCAGAACAACGTCACCACGACAATAACAATCACATCTCTTTCGATGTCGCTTCTCCCATCCGATCATATGTCTGAAGTTGGCGCTTGGAGCTCAGCACATGAACGCGCATCCCACGAATTTGGGTGAGGGGTCATGAGTGAGGTCCCTACGATGAAGTCTGGCTTGCGCATGGCTAGCCTTAGCCTTGTCCAGCATCACACATTGCGGGGCTCCAGGTCACTTGATGCAGATCCTCGCCAGGCGGTGACGGACAAAGCACAGGTGGACATGTGAAGGCGAGGGAACATGTGTGCGTGCATGCATGCAGAGCGGGCGCCGTCTTCGTATAGGCAGTTGGCAGCTACGTCAATCGCGCGTGCTCGCTGCAGCTGGAAGAGCTCCGAGCTTGCTGCTGTATCCATACGGTTTGATTGGTTTCGTGTTACTCCAGCCGGACCTCTTCACCCGACTACAACTTCTCATATGTGAGCTCGTGCGCATGCAATTGTTGTACAGATTCTTCGTCCATCGGCGAGTCTCGTTATAGGTTACCATGGGAAGGTAGGACGCAGCAACGGCACGGTCCATACATCCACCACGAAGCGGGAAAAGCGAACGCGGCGGTAACAGACAGCTCGACTCCCTTTTCAACTGGCATTGCAGCGCTCACGCGTCGTCTGCAGCCGCAATGGCCGGCGAGGAAGATGTCTACTGCACGGTGAGTGCTCTGAGGGCATGAAAAATGCAAATCTTGAAGCTGACAATGGTGTAGTTGGTGATGAACGATGCATATCTACCAGGTACCTGACCCGCCAGCCAACTACACCTCGTCCTGCCTTCGGCCGAATTTCTGACCACCGTAATCTTTCACAGGCGCCGCAGTGCTCGCACACTCGCTACGAGACGGCGGATCAAGGAGGAAACTGGCCTGTCTCATCGTTCAAGATGGCCTGCGAGATAGCACGATACAGGAGCTGCGGGTAGGACATCACATGAGCTGGGAGACACGTCTCGAGACGTGAACGTGCGGGAAAGCTGATGCATCGTTCTATGACAGACGCTCTACAACTATGTCATCCCTGTCGAGCGCATCGGCAACCCCAACCCTGCGAATCTCTACCTCATGAACCGTCCGGACCTGCTCTACACCTTCACCAAGATCAATCTTTGGCGACAGACCCAATTTCGCAAGATCGTATACATCGATTCCGACGTCGTCGCGCTCCGAGCGCCTGAAGAGCTGTTTGATATTCACGATGCATTTGCTGCCGCTCCGGACGTCGGCTGGCCCGATGCATTCAACACGGGTGTCATGGTCTTGTCACCACACATTGGGGAGTATTACGCACTGAGAGGCCTGGCTACCGCCGGAGACAGCTTCGACGGTGCAGATCAAGGCCTGCTGAACCAGTACTTTGAGCATCGGCCGTGGAAGAGGCTCAGCTTCACCTATAACACCACTCCGAGTGCTAACTATCAATACGAACCCGCATATCGTTACTTCAAGCGGGACATCAGCCTGGTACACTTCATCGGAGGGGAGAAGCCATGGAAACGCGGACGCACTGCCCAAGGTACGCCTGGCGCATTTCAAGAGATGCTCAGCCGGTGGTGGGCGGTGTACGATCGGCATTTCAGCGTTTCGGTAAGTCGTGGAGCAGACACATGAAGAGACCTCGCTGAGACTGTGTTGGAGGCCAACGATTACATCTACGGGCAGCGTACCCCGGTTGCGCATTATGTGACAGAAGGGACGAGCGAGCCGCATCATCAGCTTCGTGAAAAGCACTCTGCGACTGGGTATCCTATTCAGACGACAGAACCTGCTCCATCTCCCTTCGAATCATCAATACAGAAAGCTGAATCTGGGCAACCGCAGTACGAAGTTCATGGTCAACATGAGACACATCTTCCAGGCAGTGCAACCCCGCTGATGACAGAACGCGGTGAGCCAGCAGAGAACCTCGATCAAGGCTTTGTCGTGCCTGCGCCTACTTTAGAACAACGACGATTCTCAGCGCCTCATATGGAGTGGGATGCCACTCGCGGTGCACCCCCAATTGAGTCCAGACCCGAAGCTGCCAACTTCCCCAGGCAGATCTATGAGTTCAATACTGACCCAGCACCTTTCCGGCCTCCTCGGTCATACCCTCAGCCGCCCGGCGATACGTGGTATGGCGCGTCAGAAAAGCCAAAGGCGGAAGACAAGCCTAAACCTATATTCCCGTGGGAAGAACGCCAGGACTCAAGGCCTACACGCAGATTTGTAGAAGACGAACCTCCACCACGTGTGGAACACACTCCAGAACCTTATGCGGATGAGCTTGAAGTATCTTCGGACAGCAGGGTCTCACCAATGACACCAGCCGTGCAGATCAACGACCGCGAGACTTGGACTGCATTTGCATCGAACAAGAATGCGTGGGATGACGACGCTGGGATCGACAACTATGTTCGTGCCCTCACATCCTTCCAAAAGAATCGCGGCCAGGTGCAAGTCCTCCAGGAGAACATGCCGTCGACTGGAGAATCGCAACTCATCTTGTCACCGACCCACGAATCAAACCCAGGAGAGCTTGTAGAGCAAATCCGTAAGCGCCGAGAGAGCTTGATATTGACGGATTTCCCGAGTGCTGTTGAGCGCCCCTCTCTACCGGTCACACCGGCTCCACGAAGACGGATGCGAACGTTCTGGGGCGAGGAACGGGACGAAGAAGGCGAGCTGCCGGCTGCCGCGGGAGTGCCAGATCAGGCGGATTGGGTATGTTCAAACTGTGGTTTCGTCGTGCGATCTAATTTTGCTGTTGATGCTTCTACGAACACTGCGTCCTTTGAAGCCTTCCTCGATCAATTTAAAGTCCATCTGCATTCCGGTGTACGACTCCGGAACATCGTCGCGATCGCTGACCTTACTTACTGTGCCCCAGACTGGCAATAGTCAATACGACAAGCTAATGCGATCTCAAGGACCCGAACGCCCAGCTCGAAGCACTGCGCCGCAACTCGCTCATTGGTCCAGACGACCTGAAAGTGCCAGGGAAAAAGCTGTCGAAACGGAAAATGCCATCAAGCGCAGCAGCCATTCCGGAGCATGCACTGTCGCATCCGCACGTGCCTATCACTAACTGTGATGGTGCTAGCAATGTGCCTGACGCGATCTGAGTGGAGGTGCAAGCGCACATGGACTGGACGACAGGAAGGACACAGCAATCAATACAACGATCAATTCGAGTGCCACAACTACCAGCGCAGGTGACAAGCCGGTCTCCTCAGATCCTGGATTCAGCAAAGCTCCTACGATACCAGCTGCGACGGTCGCGGCCAATGAGCTGGGATGAATTGAAGCGAACACATTCTTTCATCCGGAGAGAAAGCAGCAGAGCACAAGGGCAGCTCGTGAACGATCGACGCACGGGGAACTGTAGTGCTAGTCTGTCGCTATGCGACCTGCATGCCGAGCTCCGGAGCTTTTGACGTTAATGTGCATATTAGTAGCATTTACCTGCGGAGCATACGGGTGTCTTTGCATTCTGGCATCGCATTGCATATAATGTTCAAGCTTTTGGTTGCGGGGCGGAGCTATTGGGTTTGTAGTTTAACACCAAAGCATAGCGATAGCTACGGGTCTAATGATGAATACTTGAAGATGTGGATACGTCTACATTCATGTCAGTTCATTTTCACATGCTCGCCATTAGTTCGGTAGCCAATAGAGGAGCTCTGTATAAGCTTTGTCAGCGGCCCAACTCTAAGACGTCAGGAGCTGCCAAAACGCAGGTCACATTTCCTCGCCATTGAAACAATTGTACAGTATGACATGAAACTCACGAGAATGGCACGAGAAACTGCGCGTCTTGCACACGCGACCAGCTCGTCAAATGTAGCGACACGATCCCTGCGGAGATTCGCCTATACAGCTGCCAATGCTCACGAACAGCCGCCTTCACTAGATACCGACCCACAAACGTCACAAGAGAACGACAGATCGGGCAAGCGGAAAAGAGAAACCACAGAAACCCCAACGGTAAAGACGGTGAAATTGGAAGCAACAGAAATCCGACGATCGCCTCGCAAAGCGCCCAAAATCGCAAACGGTGACGAAGACGAAGAAGATGCGACCCAAACAAGGCCGAGAAAAGCGGCACGCCGACCCGCAACCAAAGTCAAGAGCCCGAGCGGAGGAGGAGGAGGAGTCGTCAAAGTCGAAGCACCGGCAGCGTGGGAAGAAATCTACAAGACCGTCGCATCGCAGCGAAAACGCGTCCTCGCACCCGTCGATACCATGGGCTGTGAAACTCTCGCGGAGCAAGATCGTTCCCCGGCAGACCGACGCCTCCAGACGCTCGTATCGCTGATGCTGAGTTCCCAGACCAAAGACACCGTCACGGCCGCCGCGATGAAGAATCTCCAGGAGAACTTGCCGGGGGGCTTCTGTCTGGAATCGTTGCTACGAGCCGCGCCGGAAGAGCTGAATCGCCTGATCGAGAAGGTGGGGTTCCACAACAACAAGACGAAATATATCAAGGCTACGGCTGAGATTCTGAGGAGGAGCTTTGGAGGGGATATTCCGGATACGATTGAGGGGTTGGTTTCCCTTCCGGGGGTGGGGCCGAAGATGGCGTATCTCTGTATGAGTGCGGCGTGGGGACGGGATGAAGGCATTGGGGTGGATGTGCATGTGCATCGGATTACGAATCTGTGGGGTTGGCATAAGACGAATACACCGGAGCAGACGAGGGCGGAGTTGGAGAGTTGGTTGCCGAGGGAGAAGTGGCATGATATTAATCATTTGTTGGTCGGGTTTGGGCAGACGATTTGTTTGCCGGTGGGGAGGAAGTGTGGCGAGTGTGATCTGGGGATGAAAGGGTTGTGTCCGAGTGCGGTGGCATACAGTCCCAAGAAGAAAAGAGTGAAGCAGAAGATTGCGGTGGAAGATGGGGAGGCCATCAAGGAGGAGGAGGCGGTCGTCGAGACTGACGACAAAGCTGCTGTTGTACAGATCAAGTCTGAGGATGTGGGAAATATCCAGGCTCAGTTGGCACGGGCATCGGCGCTGGAAGCATGAAGAAGCTTACTGATACAGTACCCACAGATAGCTGATACAGAAACGCTCAGAACATTACTATGCATCCCGATTGATGCGAGCTGTCCGTGTCTTGTAGGTTCGAGTGCGTCCTTGACTATCGATCTTCCCACTTCTTCAACAAGCTGAGCGACCTTTCATACGCCCACATGGTTACAGCACTCGAGGGTGCAGCTTTGATCAAGCTAACGGTGAGGCCTCTATAGAGGCCAATCGCGCCCTCCTTGCGCAGGATCATCTGAAGAGTGCTAAGAACTCCTCTCTCGTACACTGGAATCTTCGCCCCTCCAATGTATTTGCTTCTTGTCGGGCCTTGCACCTGAAGACGTTTCCTCACCGTGTCCAAGGGAAATACAGCCGTCTTGCTGAGAATGCTCGCAGTCACACCAGCAACCGCATCGCCCGATCCGAAAGGAAGCTGTACAGCTGCGAGACGTGGTTTGAGGCCTTCGTATAAGGCGAAGAACAGACCCATATACGGCACGATTTGTCCAATGCCAGCGTTGAGACCGCGGAAGAAGCCTCTGGCGCCTTCAAGCCGTGTGATTTCTCGGACACTAGCCAGGAGGCCGTCATAGACCCGTTCGGTTCCTTGCGCAGCAAAGCGAGTACGCAGTAGATCCAACGGGTATGTGGCAGTCGTTGCTGCGGTCCCGGCAACAGCACCAGCAATGAAGCTCTTCGCTGTGCTAGGCAAACCTCCCTCGGCAATCTTATCCAGCGCCTGAGAGGTGCTCCTGTAGGCTAAGAATTGCACAGCGCCATAGCTCAGGTATAGTCCTTCGGCGGGTATGTTCCCCTTCCAGAACCCCGTGATTCCCTCATGTCTCAGAATATCCCGGATCACGATCAAGATGCCCGTGGGCGTGTGCGGCTTTCGGATCGCGGAGAGAGGGTCGGAGAGGGAATGGTAGTGAAGTTGGAGGCGAATCTTGATCACGTCTAGAGGAGCGATGCAAAAGCGCGAGATTAGGCCTGAGATTGCGCCGGCGAGGACGACTTGTGTGCGCGTGCCCTGGGATGTTCAGCGATGTGATCTGGGAAAACCGGTTGGCGGGTGTGCGGTACCTCATCGCGGGTCTGCACCGTGGCCGGCGACATCCATTAGCCTTCTTTCACGAGCGCCGGGAGGCAGTGAGTGAATGACGAGAAAAGATGCGTGCTGAGGAAAGTAGAATCTGTACGCGCAGGAACAGACGCGAGAGGTGAAGCTCGAGGCTCGCGATCGGCTTGCCGAAGCCGAAGGACCTTAGCTATTTACAGCATCTCTCTGTTTCCGTTGCAACGCCTCCGCTTCTTCGTTCGACAGATGCCGCCCGGAATGGCGCTGAGATTCCGGAGAAGGGCAGCTTGGTGCTCACTGAAAGATATCAACGGCTCCTCGAGGCTCTTGTGTCGCCAATTTTCCACTACCCAGCGAACTCGCCAGGCCGAACCAGCGGAACCGCCGTCTGCTTTGGGCCACCAAGGCGGACATAATGGCCAACGTGTGGACCGCAAGCAAGTCGGCGGAAAGAAAGTCAAATATAGGAGAGTTCCTCTGTCCTCCGTAGTCCGGAGTGCCGACAAGATCGAGCTGGTGATCGACGGAGAGACTCATGTGTGCGCCCCTCTGTTTCTCAGAGACTTGTGTACTTGCCCTCGCTGTGTCGATCAGTCGACACGACAGAAACACTTCTCGACCGCAGACATTCCTGCAGAAATCAATGCGGAGGTGTCTTATCCGAACCCCGATGCCATACATCTTCGGTGGACAGCTGACATACCTGGATATGAGGATCACGAAACAGACCTCCCACTTGAGTTGCTGAGACGACTCTGTCAATCTGGTACAACGAACGGCCACGAGAGACTGCCCCGAACCCTCTGGGACTCTCGCATGTTTGAGACACAAACCACAGATGTGGACTATGAGAGCTACATGAACGACGATTCGACCCTTTTGCGAACCCTCCAACAGCTACATGCGTATGGCCTTGCGTTCATCACAAATGTGCCGGAGGACGAAGCCTCTGTCCAGACCCTGGGTGAACGAATTGGTCCTTTGAAGACGACCTTCTACGGCAAGACCTGGGATGTCCGATCAGTACCCGACGCTATCAACGTTGCGTATACAGCTCAGAACCTTGGCTTCCATATGGATCTGATGTATATGGAACAACCGCCTCATCTCCAATTACTGCATTGCATCAGATCTTCCGCCGCTGGAGGAGCGAGTCTCTTCTGCGACAGTTTCAGAGCGGTCGACGAATTGGGTCGCCAGGATATCAGATCATACCGCAGTCTCGCCTCTCGCCCCGTTGACTTCCACTACGATCACCCGGGCTCTCAATATTATCATCAGAGTCGTCCGGTGATCGAAGAAGAACCAAGAAAGATTGGACATGACGCTGCAGAGGGCTGGAACTCGCTGTATCATTCCAAACTCAACAACGGCTCGAACAAGACAAGAGAAGACCACGGACCAGAGTCGTTCATCAAACACGTCTCGTGGGCCCCACCCTTTCAAGCCCCCTTTTCTCTACCGACACTTCACAAACATGGGAAAGATGACGCCAAAACCAAGGCCCACGCCGATGACACTCAAAATCTTTCGGAGCTAGCTAGGCATGTACTGCACTGGCATCAAGGGGCGCAGAAATTCAACTACCTCATCCATCGGCCCGAAGTCATCTACGAGCGAATGATGAAACCCGGAGAATGCGTCATCTTTGATAATCGGAGAGTGCTTCATGCGCGGCGAGCTTTCGAGGTCGGCGATGCTGGCAAAGAAAGGTGGCTGAGGGGTGCTTATCTCGATCGGGACCCCTACATGAGCCGGTTGAAGACTTTGACGGATTTGGAAAGGAAGGATGCGGCTAGTGAGGAATTCTCGGCTGACAGTTACTTTGAGGCTGCTGCGGCAGCGGCATGAGCGATGGTAAGAAAAGGTATATGTAGGCTTGATAGCATGCTCCAGAGCTGCTCGAAAATAGCCTTCAACAGATTTAGTCCCCAGAAGAAGACGAAGTTGTCCCTTCGTTCTTTCCGTTTGCCTCCGGCTCTGATGCTTCAGGCAAGACGCTTCGCGGATTCAATCGCCGTTTCCAAGAATCCCAAAGATGTCCTCTTGACACAACGGTGTCGCGGTCATCGTTCTGCGCTTCTCCTTCTTCCTCCTCAATGATTGACTCAAGCCTTTGGCTTGGTGGTGCTGATTCCGGGACCCGAGCATGTTGCTGATTCTCATTCAGCAGCCTCGTCATCTTATCAACCATCGCTCCAGGTCGCCGACTTCTACGTCGTCCCCTGACTCCGACATTATAGTATCTTCTATTGTGTTCTTCGTTGGCAGATGGACCGAAGAGGAAGTAGAGAGCTAGGGCGATCACACCGAGCAGCATAGCCCAGCCGATGATGGCTTGGATTTTCATCGTGTTCATGCAGACTTGAGAAGCAGAATGGTCAAAGAAGGGTAGAGAGATCGTATTGAAACACATTCGAGTTGGAGTAAAATAGTAAAAGGTGATGAATGTGACGTGTTTGCTCTGCAAAGAAGTTGTCAATACCAATATCTACTTTGAAGAGCAAACTTGTGGCCAGCACAATGCTGCTTCGATTCAATGTTGCACGAGGCTTCGTACTATCTTTCATTCACGATCAAACCCGTCGAATGCTTCTACGTCTTTACGATGATCCATCGAGTTGCGCTTCCAGATCAGGACCGCTATCGTCACCGGCGAAGTAGGGTACGTGTGCATATCTGCGGCCTTCAAAGAACAAGGTCGGCAACAGGCGCAGTGGATTCCGGCTTTGCTTGACGGGCTGAATTTCCTCAGGTATTGTTTGACGCATTGCCCGATTTGCCACATTTTCGAACAGTTCGTGCGCACTCAGGCCTTGCCCGTAGCTATCGCGACCTACAGTGAGAGCTGCCGGCAAGCTCGAAGGAGCTTTGGGTACGACGGGAATCAAAGGCGCAACCATCTCGTCAGTCGCTTGGGAAGACTTGATGGCTTCTGGTCGGGAGAAGTTCCATTCTCGCTGCACCTGCTTCTTCAGATTGACTCTCCACTCTGCTATGGGTTGTTGTTGAGTCTTGATTGCTTCGTCGTCGTAATGTTTCCATACATCGCGGGCAGAGCGACGAGAAATGCATGTCAGCATGAAAAACATGAATAGGACCGTAGCGATCAGCGTGATGCCGCAGATGATCGCGATTGGGTCTTTGAAATCCATGGGTTGGGTCAGGGAGACAGTTGCTCGGGGAGTGTGGATGTAAAATTGAGAGAAGAAGGAATGTTCGCAGGTCGACCGGTACCTTGAAAGGCGTTCCATCTCAATTCAATATCGGAGGGGATATCGTCGAAGTTATAGGAAGTGACCAGAAGCTGTCTTGTGAGACAATGCATTATCGCACGAGCGTTGGACAAAGCTGTAGATGTTTCTTGGCGCAGAAAGCATGCATTGTGCTGTGTTCCGCAACAAAGACGGTTCGTACGTATCTGGAGAGGGGCATCGGCATTGTGAGCTGCCATGAGCTGTAGTATTGACGCAAAGAGGGTGACACGTGCTAAAGTAGGGAGGAAGAGGTGATACGAGATGGTCTGGAGAAGGTGAGGTCTGTGCCAAGCATTGTTGCCCTTGACAACGAAGCGTCGCGCTTGGACCCAGATCCCCAACGCGTATCGGCAGCTTTCACGACAGTCTTTGCTTCGACATCATCCTCCACGCCCACCACAATAATACACCTGCTGCTCGTGCGCGCATGTAGCAATCTTGTCGCCGCAGCGCTCCCGCGATAGTCCAGCATACTTAGCGCTACGACATGGCAGAGATCGACCGCATCAGCCACGAGACGAAGACCACGAAGACTACGATCACCACCATTGCGACAGCGATAAACCGGCTGGATACCACGCACATTCACTGACGACGACGACAACGACGACCGCGACGATCACAACCGGGAAACATCTTGCTCTTGCACCTTTTGGAATAGCGAACCATAAAGATACACACAGGAAGAAGGACTGTGTCAAAGGCACAGTCAAGCGAATAATGGCCGCCGTGGCCCATCCAACACGTCCGCATATCAGACGAAATTCTCCACTATCAGCTTTCAATCCTGCACATGGCTTTTCCGCCGATGCGCCCATGATAAAGAGCATCAATGTCGGCGACGACAGCGATTCGGACGACGAGCCTCCGCCCGCGATCAAGTTCTCCAAGGTCACCCAAGCACTCTTGGCGGATGAGGCGGTAATATCATCTCCTCCCAGGCAAGAGAAAAGCAGCGCTCCACGTTTTCATCGGTCCGTTGACGCCGATAAGCCAGAGCTTGACACTCCTAGCAGGGCCTCTGGCATCAGGATTGTACGTCGCAACTCACCTTCTGCTCAAGACGGGCAAGCACTAGCAGAAAGGGGGAACACTCCGCCTCGTGTGGTCCACCTGGGTGGCAGCAAAGGCACCGGCTCTGCAAAGCGATCTATCAGCATCTCTGGACCATATCCACAGCGCACCGCTGGGAGGCGAGGGCCCACGCCAGAGACTCATCCAAAATCAGAAGTAGTCACACCCGCGCAGCCTCGCGCCATTCGCGTCGTTACTCGCTCTCGAGCTGGTAGCAATGCCTCGCAGGATGACCGTTCACACCTTGCATCCTCAATTAGCAGACCTGCTTCTCGGAACGGAATGAGAGCCACCGGGGACTCCAATGACAGAAACGCTCAACCAACAGAACTGAGCTGCAGCACTTCTCAGTATCAATTCCAGGATAATGCATCAAGATACGGCGCATCGACAGCAACGCGATCTCGCAACCCTTCTGCTGAAGCTGGCCATGCACCAGGATCACAACGGATCAAGCGTGCCCCGATTGGAACAGGCACATTTCTCAAAAGCGGTCCCGTGCGACGTGGTTTTCGACGGAGAGATAGTGAAGAAAATGTGTCTCCGAACGAAGACTTACCAAATGCTGCTGGGTCATCTCAGCAAAGTGGATCAAGCTATACTCCTCAAGAACGTAGCTTTTCTCAGATGGACGACGCTCGGAGCAGGAGCGGCAGCGTCAACACTCGCGCCACATCTGTAGAGCCAGTCTCCGTGCACGACTTTGCCCAAAAGCAGCAAGAGTCTCGACCTGGATCAAGGCAAGCTCAGGCGCACGTTTCAAGGAGTCAAGCAAATTATGAGTCCCGGCCACACTCCCATCAAACCAGTCGGGAGCCTTCACGGGGTCGTCAGGCTAGTATTGAGCGATACCAAAGCCGCAGGCAGAATAGCGTTCCTCCTGCAGACCTTCCCGCGGCAGAGGCAGCCATCCCTCAGCAAAGAAGAACGAGTATTGAACCGCTTCATCAAAAGCCAGTGCTTGAACAGAAGCATGCCCAAATATCAAGCAGTTACAATCGTGCCAACTACCGTTACGTTGGGCCAAAGGTTCATACCGACTCCGCAGAAGACCAGGAGAACATGCCACCTCCAACATTCAGGCGCAACAGAGATCAAGAGTTCAAGTATCTAGGGAAACCGTCAGTCTTGTCCGACGATGAGAAGTCTAAGGTAAAACCCAGAATGGTTGACGAGACCCCTGTCCCCGTCCCACAGCAGGAGCAGAGAAAACCACTGGGCGCTATCAGTGGCAACACTCCGCACCGCCCAGCGCCAGCTCCACCGCCAAAGATGAGTGTGTTGGACGCCGCGACGGCAACTGCAGGAGCAAGCACAGCAAAGACGCGCAAGAAAAGATCCCACATGGTCGTCAATGGCAAGATCTTCACCTCGATGGGCAGGATTGGCAAGGGAGGCACCAGTGATGTTTACTGCGTCATGGCCGAGAATCAGAAAACCTTTGCACTAAAGCGTGTCAAGCTTGAGGACTGCGACGAGGCAGCTGTTCGAGGATACAAGGGCGAGATTGACCTCCTCAAGCAGCTGACTGAGGTCGATCGCGTCGTGAGGCTGTTCGATTGGGAGATCAATGATGAAAAGCAGGAGCTCATTGTCTTGATGGAAAAAGGAGATACCGACTTCAATCGCATCTTGACTCTCCGCTTGAATGGTGTCGAGGCCAAGTTCGACAGCGCCTTTGCACGATATCACTGGAAAGAAATGCTTGAATGCGTTCAAGCTGTCCACGAAAAGGATATTGTACACTCGGACCTCAAGCCTGCTAACTTTGTTCTGGTCCAAGGACGACTGAAGCTGATCGATTTCGGCATTGCCAACGCTATCGACACCGATAACACTTGCAACGTACACCGAGATTCCCACGTCGGCACGCCCAACTACATGTCACCCGAGAGTATCACAGACACGAACGCATCCAGCGGGACCGGCAAGGACGAAGCTGGAAGACCTCTAAAGAAAGACATGCGTATCGGGAAATCTTCAGACGTCTGGAGTCTAGGCTGTATCCTGTACCAAATGGTCTATGGTCGCCCGCCCTTCGCCCATATCCCGAATCAAATATCCCGTATCATGGCGATTACGAATCCAAAGCATACTATCGAGTTTCCCGAAAAGGGTGTTGGGGATGTCAAGGTCCCTTTGAACCTTATCAGCACTTTAAGAAAATGTTTGAATCGCAACCCGGATAAGCGGCCTACTATCAAGCAGCTATTAGCGGATTCTGATCCGTATATCAACCCCGAGGGCCCTGCCGGAGAAAACGTCTTGATGAGCGAAGACTTGCTTGGGCTTGTTATCAACAAGGTTCTTGAGCGCTGTAGAGATCCGAAACGGGGCATTCCAGGGCCGGAGGAGGCGGCAGTCTATCCGCGCAGTTTTATGGCCAGAATCAGAGAGATGCAGGAGGGGAGATGATGATTTTGGTGTCCTGTCTTTTGGACGGAGTTGAGATTGACGTCTTTCCTTGTTGGATAAAAGCATCGCTATCTTTGAGGCAGAGTTTTGGGGTTCTGGGCTTGACAAGGGAGAGAGGAGAAGGAGAAACAGGCCTTTGTGTGCTTTTTTGTGGTCGTTCTTTTGGCGTGGTGCCGGTTCTTGGTGGAGCGTCGATACCACTTTGCGTTTTCATTGTTGCTTCTTTTGAGACTCGTTGGATAAGTTCGAGGAAGGCCTAGCGGAGGAGCTTTGGGTGTTTTCAGATGCCGCGTTTAAGCCAGTGTCTTGTCTGGCTTGCTAGAGCAGACATAAATGCTTGAATTCTACTTCCATCCGAGGTCCCCTCACATGCTTAAACTGCAGCGGCTACTCTTGGTTCTCCCGTCTGCCTGTCTCCCGGTCTCCTGATCCAGCTTCTCTCACGCAGCACTCTTCTTCTTCTTATCCTCAATCAACTCAATGTTGTCCTCCGGAATTTGCTCATGGTTGTCGACCAACCAATCCTGCACCTCATCACTCACATCACCCTGCACGGTGATCTCCTCCCCACCAGCCGCCGTCTTCGTCACCGAACTGCCGGTAGCAAACTTCTTCCCAAACTCCTTTGCCACTTTCTTCAAATCCAATCCAAAAGCTTCCAGTCCACTGATCTCCGTGACGAATTTCCGCTTGTTCCGCTCCACTCTCTTGATGTACACTTTACTCGTCGCCCGTCTCTCGCTCTCCCGCGCTTCCTGTGCTTCGGCCTTGGCGGCTTTCTTCTGGGCGTCTTTCTCCGCACGTTTCTGTGCGTCGACCGAGAGCGTGGAGAGGTTTTGCGATAGTGCTTCTTCGGAGTAGAGTTTGCTGTGGAGATCCGGGTGGTTGGAGAGGAGCCAGTCGGCGCACTTCTTTGTTGTGCCGCCGTATTCACAGTACTAGAGAGAAGGACAGCCAGTAGTTAGTATGGAATGTTGTGTTTTCGATCTTGCTGTGTTGATGCGATTGTTTGTGATAAGTCTGGGGCCCATACCTACTTCTGGAGGAAGAGAGCAGACGCCGCAATAGACGACCTTGCGAGCTGGCTTCAGGGAGGCGGGAGGCGCCGAAGCTTCCGTGTCGGCCATTATGGTGCTTTCACGTTGGTGCGATTAGGATGTTGTTTCTCTGAAGTCAAGTCGAGAAACTTGTCGGAGACGAGAGCGATAGCGGGGCTTTGGTTTTGGAGGGGCAGCGGACCAGAGCCGCGTTTTGCTTGGCAAGACAACCCTATAACATGTGAATGCGCGTCGATATGGCGACAGCAGCACTTGCAGTCACTCAAAATTTACACTTTTGCCTCTATCTCAGTATGTTTACATGCATATGCTATTCTACGCGCTCACTGCAGCGCTCAGTCTACTCTGAGGACTCTTGGTCCTTTCCTCTTTCCGGCCTTCTTGCGCTTGTTGCCCTTCTCAAACGCACTTGCTTCTTGGTGTGAACGGCCAAGGTTATCCAGGTCCTTGACCTTGTAGATTCTGATGATCCAGTTCTCACTGGTAAATGCCTCTTCGAGCGTTGAGAGCTCTGGGCCAGCTGCTGGCAAGCGAGAGCCACGAACACGGTCGGTGGCTTGGCCGGCTGGGAACAGCGAATTGTAGTTGTAGTAGCTCATCTTGTACATGAGCGAGTTGCGCATGGTTGGCGTAGCCTCGTCATCAACGCGGTATTCGCCGCGAGCGGTAAAGAAGTCACGCTCCTTGACCTCGTCCGGCCAGATGCCTGCGGATTTCATTAGCCTCAATTCATATTTTGAGCGCGTTGCGAACACTCACCTTCAGCAATCCGGACCATCCACAAGAATTTGTTGATGTCGTCTCCAGAGTAACCCAGAAGACCGCCGAAGACGACGAGAACATAGTCCACCTCGTGCTGTCTCATGATGGGATAGGAAACTTCTTCGCGGCTCGACATCGCCTTTCCAACCGTGGCAATGTGCGTGTTGTTCCAAGTGTTGTTGTCAACCAGCGTGGGCCTGTCTGCCATGCCGCCAATCTGGTAACCGTAGTCCCACCAACTCATAACCTTTGCGGTGGGCTCAGTGTTTTGGCGAAGCCAGTAGTACGCCTCTCGGTAGTCATCGATGATATGTTGGCTACCATCTGGCAATCTCGATGCAAGCACCACGGAAGGCGAAGAGTAGGCGTTCGACGTGACCCAAGTGCAATGCAGCACGAAGAGAAGCAGGTATGCGGTGATTGCTCCAGTGATCACAGACTTGGAGAGGTAGCTGTAGATACCAACGAAAGGCTGCTTGGTAGAACGTAGTGACTCCGGGATAGCTGCGGAGAGCTTGGCCTGGATGTCGGAAGTACCATTGGCGTTGCCATTAGGCCTTGCGCCCTTGACTTCTGGAGCCGGCGAGGCGGGAGTCTTCGCCAAGAGGAAGGTATCCAAAATTTGACTGAGCGCAAGAGCTGCGGCAACGCAAACGATCGGAGTCAAGGTAAGCATCAAACGCACCATGACACCGGAGAAATAACTGGCCAGGACGGCGTAGATGACAACGAACACCTGCTCGTCTTTGAGGTTGCGGAAACACATGTAGACTCCAGCAGGGAAGAGCCAGATCAGCATGTTCAGATCGAAGAAAAAGGCCGGCCAAGCGGTCGGCTGGTGCTCAGACACAGACGCAATGATGGGAATGTGGACCTTGGCGTATCCTGTATCCCACAGAGAGTAGAAACGACCACTCCAAGGTGCGATGACTCCGAACACTGTGAGCAGCACCAGGCCGCCAAAGGCGACACCAGCAACGATGAAGATCATTGCGCGAATGAGCGTCTGAAACTGCTTGGATGGCAGTTGGTGACGGATGTACTCAGCGGCACCGACCAACTGAATTAGGCCAAATACACCTACGCACGTTGTCAGCAGAAGATTGAGGCATCAAACAACGAAAGTCTTACCCAATGCGGACATGTGGTCGCTGTTCCGGATTGGCAAGAAACCGACGAATGGAATCTGCATGCTGGCCAAAGTTCCCAGGGCATACCAGGTCGTGTAGCTGACGTATAATCGCGGGGAGAAGCGTCCCATACACATCAGAACGAATGCATGCAGTGGCAGCAAGTTGGTGATGAAGACGTAACCACCCCATGCGCTGACCATGTATCCGTAGAACAGAGCGCAGAGGGCTCCCCACATAATGCTTCCTTGCTTGACAGCCTTGATCCAGAGATAGAAGGTGAAGACCAGCAAGAAGATAGCGATGGCTTCGTTATCGTACGATCCTGCCACACTTCGGCTGATATATCCTGGTGCAATTCCCATGAAAGCTGCAGCGAGCAGACCAGCCGACGGACTCTCGCTCATCTCAGACGTGAGCAGGTAGCTTGCAAAGGCTGTCAGGCCGGAGAAGCCAGGCGCAAGAAGCACACAAATGTTTCGAATGTCGACAGGGAGGGTGAGGAATCGAAGGAGATGGTAAATGACACCGGAGGTGACCATGAGGCCTGGGTAGAGAGTGCCTCCTGTGACACGTCCGAGGGGATGCCATGTTCCTGCAGTCATCCATGTGTATCAGCATCTCATTTCCACTGCGTCTTTCCTGAGAGATCATCTTACTGTCGTCGAACCAGTCCCAAAACTTGTAAAAGCCATTCGCAATGAGATATTTAGTTGCGCGAAAGTTGAACCACGGATCGACTATGCTTCACATCAGTATTCCATCGCTCATGCTTCCATCTCTCCTTTTCTTCGGATTGGCGACTGACATTCGTGGATGATACTCTCGAATCGGATTACGGAAAAGAGACGAGCTGCAATGGCGGCAGCAGCAATGGTGACCAGAATGATGAGACGCAGCAATCCGCGCGTGTTGCGGCCAGTCTCGCCCTTGAAGAAGAATTCGGCGCCGGGGGAGGCCTCGGCGACGGCCATGATGATGGTCGACGGACGGGAAGGCGGCGGTGGTTGGTGTTTGTCGAGGATGTTTTCACAGCAGCATTGACATCCATACGTAAGCTGTAGCATGTGAGAGCTGTAAAGCTGGCCTCTTGGCATCGGCGGGAGTGCAGGGGTCGGCCGAAAGTCAAAGTCAATCCCCACACCAGCCATGCGCGTGTCCACAGTGTGCCTGAGGAATTCGGTTCACTTTCCTCTTCCTCCTTCCATTTACATCCCGAAGCAGCACTCACGGCATCCTGTCCTGGCACGATTACGACGGCATGTAATGCAGCTCGCATCACGCTCCGCGTTCTAAACTCCAGGTACATCGCAGACGAAGTCTACCATGAAGCCAAACGGGCCGATGGAACAACCGGCGAATGGAAGTGGGACAATCTCCTTCCGAGCTGCACTGTTTTGCTTGCCGATTTTCATTATTGCCAGCCGAGCAAGCTGATGACGAGCGAAATACAGCTAGCCCTTGGTATCAAGGTCAACCGATCTTCGAAAGCCCTTTCACACCTCCAGAATCTTGTTGAATCCCGGGGAGGACGAGGAGAAGTGGATAGTCGAGGTGATCACGGACGCTCGAAAGAAGGACGGCGCGTTAGATATCTCACCGCGCGTTGGTGTGATGGAACCGTGAGCGAGCGGAAATGGAACAATTTCGCACTCGCTTGTGAACAGTTGGGCTGGAGTTCTACAGGCCCAGTCCGCACACTCTACTCTGCTAAGGGCCTCGGCGGCATGGCTGAAACAGTTCTTCTGCATTTCGAGACCGGCCATATCTGATGAAACACAGAGAACGGCCATGATTCGGCGTTCAGGTACGAGCTGAAAATGTTTGGCGCACCCCATGACAAGTGATGTTATATAAGACGAAGAACAGACTGCACGGACGCCTGCTTCGCTGGTCACTCGTTCTGCTGGGTTGCGCAAAATAGGAACAGGTAAGGGCTTCTTGGGGTAGCATAAGGTCATGGGACTATCATGCTTATGTGGCTCTGGGCATTGGAGATCCAGTCGATCCGGTCCTCAAGAAAAGGTATTGGCTCGCTATCAGTTCAATATTGCGTTATGTACAGAACGATCTTCCAGGTCGCACGATTAGGACCATTGCGGATTTGGAAACAGATTTTCGCAACATATCGTTGGTATTTTATGAGAAGACTAGGAACTCGTGAGCATATATATGGCATTAGGAGGAAACAAAGTCGACTAGTTATCTCTTGGCGCGCCTCGAAAGTCACCAGGACATCGCGGCATGCGCTAGAATGAAGCTAGCTCGATTGGTCAGTAGTGCAGCGTGCCTGGCACTCTGGATTGGAGGGCGGAGAGTGTGAGTGTCGATACATCTCTCCATGTTCCGTGTCATCCTCCTTTTCGCACAAGTCTCCCTATTTGCCCGTCTTCGTTGTTCTCTGGCGCTGTAATATCGCCATCAGCTGACATCTCGTTCGACTTCCACGAGCAAGTCCACGATCACCGGCCGAGGAAACGCCTGAGGCTCCACCGTGGGGAAAGATCGACCTTGACCTTATCTTCGACATCACCCATAACCGCCTCGCGAGGGCACAGGACCATCGTCCACGGCGCCTTCGAACAGGATCAGGGGCTTTGTTGACAACGGTCGCGTAGAAGCGTCTGGTGTCAGCAACAGCGCCTGTGACCCTTCGAATTAGAAGCTCGGCGCCTGCGCTCGTCCGAGCAGTCCACACCAACGTCGACACCAGAGACATCTATTCGATCCAACGCCCATGGTATTGTAGGGTCGGCTGCTTCAGAACAACCTTTCTTCTCGTTAGCAATGGAAACCAGCCCGCGTCACGATTCTCGGACCGTGAAAGCGAAGAAAGGTGGAGCTCCAGCCGCGACCAACCCAGGATACGCAGCGCCGAGGACGTTCTTTTTGAAGTCCGAGAAAGAGCTAGAGAAGAGCGTGGAACAGCGAGGAAGGAGAAATTCTCATAGTACAGAAACATCGGAAGAACCAACACAGAAGACACCCATGGAGAGCGTCATGGAGGACAGTTCGTTTGGCGTCCAGAGTCTTGAGGAGACAATCAATTCGACTTTCTCATTGGACAGCAACCTCTCACGGACGGCAAGCAATAGTACGGACTCGGTATCTGAGACAAGCATTGATGACAATGGCTTGGGTCCGGTGACAGGTCGCAAACGTAAAGCTGGCAATCGTGTACATCCTACGATCATGGCAACCGGCCAACGCATCATTTCTTCAGAACGGCCTCCATGGCAGGCCTCGTCTGGCGCTTCCCCTGCTTCAGCTTTCGAGTCGCCGTTGCAACACGCTCGGTTAAGAAGAGGGTCGGCGAGCTCATCTACCAACGTCAGCCAGCCGCTTACGCCCATCAAACTCAGCCCGCATCCGGAATCAGCTTTCACGAACACCCCGCGCTCTGCTTCGCCGAAGTCATTCAGATTAAGCGACGAAGATAGCATGACCGATGATAACAGTAGCCAAGCCGTAATGTCTTCGAGTGGCGACGATGAAGATCAGGTGGAGCGTACACCACAGCTGGTGATGCCGAGTTTGGCTATGCCGGCAAGAAGACCCTTCACCGAACGTGGACGACAAATTGGCAGATCAAAGATCATGATCTTGGGTTCAAGAGGCATTGGCAAGACAAGCCTCATCAGCAGCATCTGCCGGAGGTCGGAAGACATAGTACATGTCGATCAGCCTGCTGCAAGCCTAACCAGCCATTCGTCACCAAACTCTGGGACGTCTGCGTACCACTCCACTCTCATGCTCACGGAGATCACCGCTTCAACTCGCCCTTATCCTTCATGGTGGACGGGTCCTGAAAGTGTAAGGTCTTCGCAGCGGCGAAGGGGTAGCGTTGGAGAAGGTGTCCTGGAGCGAAACATCACATTTATGGATACTCCAGGACTCGATAGCGATGAACTGGTTCAAAATATGCTTAATACCGTGAACATTAACATACATCGAACGACTACATTCGATCCGATCAGCAACGATGAGTTGATCGAAATGCTTGGCGGCAGTGGCGGCGTTCAGATTGATGCGGTTCTCTATCTTTTCGATCCTGGAATGTGCCACAGTGCAAACCCAGCGGCTTTCGGTCTTAGCCCACTACACCAAGAGTTTCTGCGAACGCTTTGCAGGTACACCAACTTCATACCCCTTATCGGCAGGTCCGATTGTGTTTCAGCCGAGATGCTGGTAGCCAGAAAGAAGGAAGTTATCAGTATGCTTAATGTACTGAACATCGAGCTGTACAGTACGTTCGACATTAGCGAAGATGGCAAAGACTTCCCACTCGCAATATCCTCGGCGACCAAAGACGATGGCGACGAGGTCGATGCGAGCGTGTTGATGTCCTCGCAATACGTGCAGCCCCTGGTGCCGAGTGAGCTTGACGTTTTGGTCGATCGTTTATTGGCTCCCGCAAACATCGCACGGATGAAGCATTTGTCTGCTGTCAAGTACGCACAATGGAGGCACGAAGGTAGCAAGGACCGTCTAGGACTGCACAAGACGCTGCTGCAATCGCCATTTCCCCGATCCGTCAGCCCGGGCGTTACCAGTACTGGAAGTCTTTTGGAGGACCCCAGCAAAGTCCTCGTGCCGCACCCTCAATCGAGCTATCATCGCTCCACGTCGCCGGCGAACTCTGACATCTCTGCTCAGTCTGGTAATGCGGTCGAAAATTCGGCCATTGCGCGGTACGACGAGCAAGCTCAGCCACCAGAACCTTTCCGTCGCATTCGTCTTGCCAAGTGGGCACAAGACCTCCAGCGTAGCCTCGACAATGAACGTCGCAAGTACCCACAGATGTACAGCAACCGTCCTTCGGGCTGGACCTCTGAGGACAGTGAGAAATTCGACAACCAAGCTCTGGTCTCAACCAAAGACGGGACGCGTCCAGCACGCGGCCGTCTAGGAGGCGATCTGGGCGTAATCGACCCCACTGATCCTCTTGGCGTCCTGGCTTTTGGACAGATCTTCCGACGACGTAGCGTTTTCGTTCTCCAGATCGTCGGCGGCTGCGGCCTCATCGGCGCCGTCGCTTATTGGGTCGTGAAGAACTGGGTCGATGTCCAAGAGTTCTTTGGCTTTGGACAGACGCAAGGAGGAATGGTGACTGCTACTGCGGTCCCGGCTCCTGTTCAGATGAATGGATGGTTGGATGAAAATCCTTTGAAGCACTTCTTTGGTTGGAGCGGGAGATAATTACGGATTCTCCTCTTCCAAGAGACGTTGGATGTCGCGGGACACAGGAATGCTATGAATGATTGATTGACGTAGGTACACGACAGACAGACGGACGACGAGGGGTCACGTCTCTTTTAAGATATCCAAATGGCGTCTTTTTGCAACAACGAACTCAATTTCGCAGGCATAATAGCACAGCACTGCATACCACAACCACACCAAATCAACCCACCCCATGAAGACTCCAGCTCATCCCCTTTGTCTCACTCACCAAAAGTCATTCCCAATTCCTAAATCTCAACTACTCAACACTTGCTGACCCCCAACCACATATTCCGACCCTTCCCCTTCCCCTTTCCCTGACATGAACGAACCTCAATACCCGTAAATGTCCTCAAAAACTCCCGTACTCCCCCCCCCCCCTCCCCCCCCCTCCCCCCCTCTCTGTGTCTGTGTGTCTGTGTTTGTGTGTCTGGGTGTGTGTGTGTTTGTGTGCCACTCCATTCATTCGCACAGTAGTGCCCCCAAGTGCCCGCACTCTGGCCGCCGCGAAAACATTTACAAATCAAACATTGCTTTGAAACCTAGCCTACACGCGTATCTATCTACCCGACCGCTTCGGCTTGTCATATTACCAAGAAGAAGAAGAAGAAGAAGAAGAAGAAGAAGAAGAAGAAGAAGAAGAAGAAGAAGAAGAAGAAGAAGAAGAAGAAGAAGAAGAAGAAGAAGAAGAAGAAGAAGAAGAAGAAGAAGAAAGGGGACTCGCAGTTATTAATTTCGAGCATTCTTTTTTATTTCTTCTCCTTTGAAGGTTTATGATATAGATATATCTAGATAGATAGAGAGGCGTGTAGATGACACCGGAACCGGCGGTCACTAACTAGATACTGACTGAGAGATCCAACAAACTCCAACCAAGCATCACAGCCATAATTTTGGGAAAGAGATGATTTTTTTAAACCAAATTTCTTACTTCACTCACTCGCTTGAAAATGTTTCCCTTTAGTTGTTGTGTTTTGCTTTCCCTTTTGGTTGTCAAAATTCGCGTGAAGATTGTGAGGTGGAGCCCCGGTCGATGGATGGCATTTCGAGATTTTTTTCTTTCGCCAAGGGTGGGAGGGTAGTTGCGGAGGGGATAGGTACTGTGCCGTGGGAGACTGGAAGAGGGCGAGCGTAGGATCAGGTAAAGTCTGAGGCCTGTTTTTGGAGAGAGAGAGAGGAGGAAGAAGGCAATGTGTTTTGACTTGCTTGGACTGGAAGTCGTGGGTTGAATATTGCTTCGAGAATACAAGGGAGGTATCAAGTTTGCGCTGTAGGTCAGGACAGGTTCAGGTTCTCACGGATCGTTGAGAGCAACGCCTTCCTCTTACGGTCAGCGCTCTCCACTCAGATGCCGCATCACATGCAAGAGCCGCAAACAAGCCGAAATGAGACTAGGGACAATCCATTCATTGATATACACATCTTCTCATTTCCCATCCCATCTTGAGCACATTTTCGCTCAAAAAGCCTTCCCACCCTTCTGGTAAGTAGCATGTTACATACTGTACTCATCAGCATTTCCGGTCCTTTGTCCTGCTTGCTCTGGAACAAGGGACAGCAGGTAAAATAGAGAGGCCACGCTATGCAAAGACCCGCATCGAAAAGACTCGCTTTTTATTCCTCATCTGAATGTCCTTCCTTTCCTATCTCCTCCTCGCTGCTCTTTCTTCCAAAAGCTGTAGTAGCACATTGTCGAAACCATGTCCGGAGAAGAGAAGGCTCGAAGGTGAATCGGGTATTAGTACAGAGCCTTGAGGCTGTGGGGGATGTTGGAATTCACAAGCGTCGGCCGGAGACAGACCGGGGTTCAGCGCCAGGCGTCTTATGCCTGGGTTGCACCACCCCGACCACCTCTAGCAGCACCTGCGAAATTTCCGCCGCGGCCGCCGCGAGGACCACCAGGAGCAGCGTTTCCGCGGTTACCTCCCTGGAACTGGCCACGCTGGGCCTGACCACCAGCGCCTCCGCGGCCTCCGCGACCGCCTTGGTACTGGCCTCGCGGAATGTAAGGAGTCGAGCCTGGGCGAAAGCGGCGCTCCTCGACGATGAGCTCGTCGCTGCCGATCTTGAAGGGAGTGCTCATTGCCTTCTGGTGGCTCTCGCGAGTCTTGAAGTCGACGAATGCGCAGTTCTGCATAGATGTTAGCATGTAATCTTCTCAGTATGGAGAGGTCAGAGCAACGTACCTTCTGGCGCGCGATGTCCAGGTACTCAAGCTCGCCGAAGAGCGACTTGAGCTTGTTCTCCAGCTCGTTTCGGTCGACGTTCTCGGATACATTCTTGATGTAGCCTCGGAACTGAGCGCCCTCCGCCTGCTGCGGCTGGTTGGTCTGACGGGACTGCTGTCGGTTGTGGCTTGAAGTGACTGTGCTCCACTCATCTTGCGCATCAGCGGGCTGAGTCTCCTGCTGAGCCTCCGCTGCGGGTACCGATGGCGCGGCCGCTGCTTGAGCTGGGGCAGATGCTGCAGCAGGGGCAGTAGGTGGAGTGGCAGTCTTAGCAGCCGGGGCGGTTGGGCGAGGTGCAGTAGAGGTAGACGAGGCGGTCGACGGGGTAGCGGGCGTAGCAACCTTGTTAGCGGCCGCAGCACGGCTGGCCCATGACATGGGCGCAGCTGGAGTAGCTGGCTTCGGTGCAGGGGCAGGCTGTGGAGGCGCCTGCTTTGGCGGAGATGCGATAGGAGTTGGCTCGGGGTCCTTGGGCTTCTCAGGCTGAAGCTCCGCTTCAGCAGCGACAGGTCGCTCTTCCTCCTCGGCAGGCGCCGCCTCGGGCTCTGCCGAGGCAGCTGGTGCTTCGATCTCCTCCGTTGGCTCAACGTGCTCGCCATTGACCTGTGGTGCGGCGACCTCTTCAGCCTGCTCCTGCTTGAGCAACTTCTCCTCGATCTCCTTGTCGACACCTTCTGCATCACGCTCCACGACAGCTGGGTCGGTAGAGCTGCTCAAGGTCTTTGGCTCGACCTCGGTTGGCGGTGGCTCCTGGTAGCCGCTCTCGGTGCCAGAGACCTGTTGGACATCCTCAACTGGTGCAGCAGCAGGCTCGGCCTCCTGTTCCGGCTCCTCTTCCTCCTCGGCCAAGTAGCGGAAGACGTCATTCAGCACAAAGTATCCATTGGTCTGGGTAGCGAGAACGAAGGTCTGGACGAACTTCTTGTGCGGTTGTCCCTTATTGGAAAGCTCACCAATGACCTGAATGACGATGTTCGAATCCGAGGCCTGCGAGTCGACGTTGGTGACTCGGACCTTGCAGTCCTGGAAGCTCAACTCGGTGATACGATCGTTGATGGCGCGCTGGCCAACGCAGACGGGGACCTTGTCAGTCTCCGTACCCGACACGAATTGGGAGCGCTTGTTGTAGAAGAGATAGAGCTTCTCGGGGCTCCGCGAGAGCGTGGTGTAGTACTGCTCGACGAAATACCAGCCCACCTCGTCCTTGCTGATCTCGGGTTGCTGTGCTTGGGGTGCGTTGGACGGGGTGCTCGAGGCGGGCGGGGCCTGCTGAGCGGGGGGTTGAGAGGTAGCGGCGGCGTTGGCGGAGTAGGCGTAAGCGTTCTGGTCGATGCCAGCGTAGGCGTGGTGTGGCGCGTAGGTGCCATTTGGCATGCCACCAACTTCCGCAGCCATGATCGGGGAGTGTCGGAGGTGAATTGGCGCTTCGGCTGAGGTGATGCGCGCGTTTCTGCGTCTTACAGGCGTTTTTTGGTGTTTGAGAGGAGGACGCGACAGGCTTCAACCCTTTGACTCGGCTGCAGCGCGAGTGCGTGTGTTGTCGTCAAGGGCGGTGGTGGGTGCTGGAGTGCTGTTGGGGCAAGGTTACCGATCTCGAAGAAAAGTCAAGATGCGCGTGTGCAGATCGGCGGCCGCGCGAGAGAGCAGAGCAGGAGAGTGAGAGTGCCAATGCAGAAGTCGCGGTCGAGTGGTGGCTATTGGGGGAAGGTGGGGGTTGAAGACGGAGTGTGTGCAAGGTGCAGTGGTGGGCGGAGATGGAGGAGTGTGAGTGGTGTTGATGGTGTTGTCGTGCGAGTGTGATGTTGTGGTGCGAGTGAAGGAGCTGGATTTGAAAGTTTGGATTCGGCCAAGCACAGGCCATCTGCTTGGTGAGGGTTCTTCGGCTTCGGCAATACCTTACATGTCCTCGTTCCCAAGTCCAACCACCGACTCACGTGCACGTGCGTGCTTTCCACATGCATTACCAATTCTCCGACTATCACGCGCATGTGAATGCAGGCATCCAATCATGTGACCCTATCACCATCACCAACGCGCACAGCGTCTTCATTGCCGTGTGGCATCACGATGTCTGGGGAAACGCGAAAGTGAAACTGGCTTATACTCATTCCTATGTGTTGTGTTGCTAATTCTCTTCGTACAGGTTGTAGCCTCAACGCCTTCGCTAAATGGACCTCCGCCTGATCGCGGGTATCCAATGCACCATGTCCGACGCCTGCAATGCCAGCCTGATCCGCCTAGCACCTCTCCAATCCCGTCCCTTCCAGCCCACGTGTCGGGTGAGACTATGCAGGAGACACTCGAGCAATGCCATCTCCGTCTTGGACCACGATGAGTGCCCGGGCAGATACCGCTTATGATCCAATTCACTTCCATAAATCAATGCGATCTCAAGAGTTTGAAATTCAGCTCAGCCAACTCGCGAGCGCGTGGTGCAGCCCGGTCTCGTGCCGCCAGTCCTTCCAGGCTTGGCCATCTATTGAGAATGGCATCCAAGCTGAACCCAATCGCGTGGCACCCGGGACCCGATAATCGAAGAGCACACAGCAACCTTGCTCAAGGATGCTTATCCTCGTGTTCCTTCCCCTTCTCAACCCACTCCTGCTCATTGTGGTGCAGCATATTCAATTTCTCATCATCCCCATAATCTCTCGTATTATCGTGGTTCAGGAACTCCTCCAAAGATATTCCCCTCAGTCTCTCTGCTGACTGTAATTTATCCTTTTGCTTCATGACAACCTTCGTCGTCGGCTCAAACGAAGCCGCGGCCCACGCTCGCATCATCTTCCGCCAGTAGCACGCGCTCGCAGCGGGTGTGGTATATCTTTCCCGGAAGGTCTTTCGCTGTGCGTCGGCGACGGCTTGTGCTTCTTCCGTGTGGTCGTTGAAGTAGAGCACCTTCTCGCCCAAATCAGAGAAGTCTCTTTCTACTCGCACGCAGTTCGATCCGGTGTCGAGTAAGTGGTAGTAGTGCGCTATCCATTCCACGTCGTGAACGAACAGGAGGGAGTCACAGTTCAAGAGGTGCGTCATGCGTGCTGACCACGCCCGGCCCTCAGTGTTCACCATGTATCGGAACTTGCAGAACGCATCCATAGGCATTATGGCGTCCCCTTTGTCCCAATGCATAGCCACGACATCTGCCCACTGCTGGCCTTGCGTAGCCTCAATCAGTGGCTTTCTCACCTCAGGATTCGTCCACTCGACACCTCGCCAGACAACCTTCGGTATTTTGCGCTCAAGCGGAGCATCGTGTTGACGGCATTTCGACTGTTGAATCCGGAATGCATCAGCCTCAGGAGGCGCCTGCAAAGCTGTCAGCACATCTCACATTTCACCGACACCCGGAGAAGACTGACCGCCCAGAAGTGGAAATCAGGCATGATCCAGATGTTGTCATGTCGCGGTTGGGAAAACTTCCTCGTAAAGCCCCAGAAGGGTTGCGGTTCAGCAGCAAAGACTACATGGTCGTCCACAATAACAGTGAATTCCATGTCGGGCATAGGTTGGTCAACACCTTCCACTGCGGTGATGGCACGGAAAACTTGGTGGAGCACAGATGTTATGCGTGCTCGAAAGTCATTCCTCTTCATCCCTCTGGTCTGCAGAATGCGGATTTGTTGGTCGACGAGCAGTACCCGCACAGTACCGTCGTTGATGCTGTGCACGTCAAGCATTGAAGGCGTGATCTTCTTGTCCTGCCACTGGTGAACTGCCCTATCTATTTCATAGTAGAGTTCTGGGAATGCTATGTCGCATTGTTCTGCCGAGAGTCCGTGGTTGTCTCGGTCTCGTTCCCAGTTGTAGCTCCAGCCATCTGAGTGCGGTGTTTCCAGACCTGTTTCGTTGTGATGGTTGAATTCCTTTGGTTCGTACGCTTCACTTGGCGTGTATGACGGATCGTGTGACGACTCAAAGACATGGTCGCGAAGCAGTGTCTTGGACTGCGAACCGAACTGCTGCACAAGGACGCAGAGGAGAAGCACGGCGCAAAGTGCTTTCCAGAACACGGGGTGCATCGTGGGCGTCGCGGGCATCGCATACTTCTGCAGGCGTTGACTTGGAGGCCAGAGAGATGTAGCCTTACGCCCCCGCAAAAATGTAAATAGTGTCCAAGAAGTCGAGAGGAGCTCGGGATGGAACAAGTGATTCAAGTGCTCATGTTCCTCGCGTCGCAAAAGAAACAACCCCCAGGAGTTAGCAGAGAGCAGCCTCACGCCGCATCTCGCTCGTGTGCTGGCTCAGGGCGGACGTTGCTCAGCCGCAGGGGTAGCGTGAAAGGCAGACAGCCACTCAGCCTCGCTCGTAGGATTGTTAGAAGGACAGGTCTCCGGGTCGGCACGTTTGCGCAGAACGGCGCAATCTGTCGTGAAAGGAGGAACATTGTTGTCCTTTTGCCAGACCAGAGCTGGAAGGTGACGTTACGCCCGTATTCCCAGGGAAGCCCTGTGTTGGTAAAGCTTTTTCCCAAAGCTAATCGAAGATGGCTGGAAGCTTGCACTGCTTGGTCACTGTACTTAAATCTGTGAACTGGGAGATTCCTGGCTCCAGTAGCTGTATTTCAGGCTTTTGCTCATTGTTGAGCATTGGAATGAGCACCATGTGCGGTTGTGGTGCCGTATAGGAGCTCGGTGATTGAGGCGGTGTCGACAAGCCGCCAACGAGGATCGCGGTCTGCCTTGGAACAGAAATGAACTTATGTGACGGGGCCAAGCTTTTTTGGCGGCACATCCAAGACATCCAATTGATTGGCTCAGGGTTCCTTGGCTGCACAGGTGACATCACATCTGGTCGTGCGCACTATACGATCACCAATAATCCTATCGCTTCATGTCCCAAAAAAATATTTGCTATCGGAAGACGCTTAAGGAGTAAGAAAAGCCTGCTATCTGACGCGGTGATCCGGCTTGCAAGGCATAACTTCGGCGCAGACTAGAAGCGCACGGACTGTATCCTCACATGGTCTCCAACCATCTGCAGATGGCAATGACCAAGCGCCAGTGCAAAAAAAAAGGCTCATGGACCAACAACATGACCACCATCTTTCTCCTTGTCGGTAATCAGTCCGTCAATATCTACTTCACGACCACCCTTGATCATTTCCTTGAGTATACCCTTCGAACAGCGACCAGTATACTCACAAACTTTGTCTCTGCCAACGAGTTTCTCATGGCAGCTGCTGGCCGACCATAGCTCGCCAACAAGCAGTAACACCATCAAGCCAGTGATGATGCCAACCAGCTGGAGCGAGTTGAGATCGTGCACCAACGGCAAGCAGATGAAAACAATCGCGACTGCTATACGAGCACTTAGGCGGAACTTCTTTGTCAAGCGTATCCCTTCGCTCTGCTTGTGGACGTGCGATATCGATATAATCGCCATAGATATAAGGGCAAGCCCGAAGCCGCAGCAGTAGAACCAACGGATACCGTCAGGAATGTGGTCCTCCGAGCGCTCTCGATAGGTCTCGGTCAGCCATTCCGAATGGCTGTTCGGTGCGTCATTAGCTACGACCAAGCGCGCAAGGCCACCTCCGCCAAGCACGAACGCCATGATGAATGGCAGGTGAACAAAAGTCCAAGTGAATGCGGATGCTTTGTGTCTCCGAATTGCATGGATGAGCAGGTTCGAGCTGTCGATCTCGAAGTACGTCCAGTTGAAAATAAAACACTGGACGAGGCCTAGAACGGCTTTGCCAAAGAACGCGTCGATTCCGTTTCTTGCGCTTTGATAGAGCAAAGCGACCACGGTGTAGCCGAACACCAGCGACACGAAGGCATTCGTACGCTCAGTACGATGCTCGATGTTGACGGCGGCTGCTGAAATCAGCGTTTCGTCTTGAATTTGCGCAATTGCAACTTACGCATCACTTCGAATTGTCTCTCGAACCATTCCTTTGCTTTACCACCGACAGTCTCGGAGACCACAAGTAGCATTAGATGGCCGAGTGGGCCGAAGATGTCAACAAACATTCCAGTAGCTATGAGCCCAAGCTGAGCAGGCCATTCGATGTGAATCGATCCAATCCAGATAGCCGCGCTCACTAGACTCATGCAAATATGCCAGATTGTGATACCTCGGATCATAGGTATGAAGTAACACACTAAGACAAGGTAACAAGCCATGAACAGCCTAGCTGTGAGATAAAAGCCAATGAGAGTTGCGTAGGTGTGCTCAAATGCATCCACAATGTTTGTTGTATATCCGAACAAGCACAACAGGAGGAACAAGACCGATATCCGCTGGAAAATGTCGTCCGTCTCGAACCAGGATGAGAATAGATTCACATCGTTCCAGATCTTGTATGACAAAGAAAACGTGATGAGGAAGTGCAGCAACGAGAGGCCAGTAGGGTCTTCTGAAGTCGCGTCGCCCTGAATTTGCAGTATTCCCACGTAGAGCAAGTCGACGAAGAGTTCGAAGCTCTGTACTTCGTCTGCCCCCGAAGCTCGCCACAGGATACCTTTGTGGAAGTATTGCCGGAGAGTAGGAACCTTGAAGAGTTTCAATGAAGTCGCAAAGCCTCTTTCCGATGGCGAGTCCTGCTTTCCGTGAGTGGAAGATCGAGGCGTCGTGACACCGGACACACTGGGACTTTCATCGTCGTAGCTCCTGACATGCACCGAGTAGCCGAATCTGTTGAAATGAGCTTCCAGGGCTACGCCGTGAGTCGTGACTCTGTCCAATTCGTTCGCCAAGGCATCGATTTCATGACGCACTGATTCGAAGCGAGCGTAGACCTCTCGGTGTTGCTGTCTTAGCTCCTCGCGACGATTTTCGTGGTGAGACTGCGCAGTCCTCAACGCATCCAAATGTTCAGGTGTACCGGAGATGTAAACATCGAAGTCCTCATTGCTGTGAATCTGTTCCAACCTACGTCGCAGACTGGCTGCCTCCTCGGGACTTGCGGCAACGTGGATCGTCCTTCCGTTTGGATGGAGGAAGCTTCTCAGCCTTTCTCGAACACGCGCGCCATAGTGATGGTGATGATGATCATCGTCCGGTTTCACACTGAGGCCCATTTCCTGCGTCTCAATGTCTCCTTGTGCGGATGAGCTGATCATGATTGCCGCGCCAGATGAACATGGCAGATCCGGACGTGGATGAGGCGCCAAAAGATAACCTACGCATCCGGAACCATTCCAAACAAATGCAGCACCTGGTTTTGTGCGGTGGAAGAGGTCCGGCTGCAGGTCATCCACACCGCGAGGTCAAGCGCGCCACAGCCGATCAATTGCTAACTGTAGATTCAGCTGAAAACCCAAAGGTAAAATTGCAGGCTGCCTCTTCGACATCGACGCCAATATCCCCTGTGCAGAAGCCCTCCAGATGCAAACCCCTCGGGCAATAGCCAACCTGAAACTTATAGAGCGTGATGTCGGGTGGATTTTCCCACTGTGACCTGTGTAGGGACAAGACAGGAAGTCACAACGGCGTTTCTTCGGATCTGATAACTGACCTCTCCATTTGCCCAACTTGTCGAGACGGTTCAGGGTTAGTGCACAGTACTAGGACAAGAATTTATACCCATACTACCTATGAAAATCTTAATTTAACTTCTAAAAGACTCTAGATGAATAGATTCACTTATAGTATATAATAGAAAGTAGGCGAAATTGTGAAAAGCTAATGTTCTCAATCTTTGTGCCAAGACGGGCTGGATCGCCCTCAAGCTGCCTCAGGCTCACTTCCTCTACTTACTGGATCGAGGCTACATTACACATTACTCTGACGTTTAGGGGTATTTCAAAAAGGCTCAAAGACGCCATACACCACGTGGACATCGCGTAGTACAAATGGGCTCAGTGCCCATCCAGTCTCAAAACGTGAGCGCTGCATGGTCAGCCACGGCCTCTCCTCGTGCCGCTTCTGCCACTCCGCCGCAGAGCAGCAGTGGTAGCTGGCTCTTCGTCTTGCTCATGATCTTCAAGACCTCTTTCACTCTTCTCATCGTCCTCGGAAGACTTTTCAACCGCCTTCTCATGATGTCCCTGAAATTCTCTGCGTCTTTTCTCCGTCTTCTTTCCACTCTCGTCGTTGCGTCCAGCATTTTCATCCTTCATGTTGTCCATCACGGCACGCACAGCTTCTTCGACTCGCTCCTGGAAATTCCGTTGCTCTACTTCGTCCTGGATGTCATCTACCACAGTGGTCTCTTCCCGGCATGAAGTTCCAAGCAAGAAATCAAGGACGCCAAGAGGGCCAAAGTTTCCGGGTGACTTGCCATCTTCCACAGAGTTGAAATGTGCGTCGACCCGGCGAGCCATCCCCGCAAGTATAATGGCAGATGGTAGTACCGAATAGCCTGAGAACACAAACAGCTCTTCGAGACTGCACAGGACTTGCAGTATGGTGAACGTCAACACATGCCATCGGAATAGATAGGCTGGGAGTACGGTCGGCAGCCATGAAGCCAGCAAGTAGTTCACGGGATGGTCGTAGGCTGCAACAACGCTGAAGGGTAAAGGAATGCTGTGTTGCCAGCTGAGGTGCCAAGTTTTCAAAGCCGAATTCCAGGTGTGCAGGAGATATCGGTGGATGGCATAATGGCACATGCCGCGAAGGACCAATCCCGCCAGGACCTGCTTGAGTATGTTCAGCGGAGCAGGGACAGCCGTCGTCACCTTCAAGAGACTTTTCAGATGCAGAAGTTTGGTGACGAATTGCTCAAGCGCCAGCTGAAGAGCCGCAGCCAATAGAACATTGAGCACGGCAGTGCCCACCACGTTGGCGAGCTTCTTGGTTCCGACGCGTCCAGGTAACTGTCGTTCCCCGCGCGACTTGACCACTTTGCTCAGATTAGGCGCGGCACAGTCGAAGGCCAGGAGACCGAGCGCCGGGAGGAGGAAACAAAACAAGCGCGCGAGGACAATGCCATAGAGCTCCAATGTCAGGGGATCGTGGGAGAAGACTAGAGCAGTCCAGGCGAAGTAGAACGAGAGCAGGGTGACAGTTGTCGATGATCCTCCGTAGAGCGGGATGGCGAGGAAGGACAGCAAGGGTAGAGGTAGCGTGACAAGCCTGGTACCTTTCGCAGCTACGAAGCCATATCTGGGATGATAGATTAACCCTTAGCTGCCACATCCTGCTTCGAAGGGTTATCTCCTACGTACAGATCGGAGAGACTTCGCGGAAGCGCAAACAGACGCCCTTGGAGATATCCAGAACCATACACTAAGCGCTCGCGGAGTGCGTCCATGATGATCGTCGGTGGAAGAGGTGTTGTTTATGGATCATTTTCCCACACTCTTTAAACTGACAAAGCTGTCCTCGCAAGAACCCAAGCGGGGCTCTGCTGCGCAATCGATGGAGAACCGTCGCCTCAACTAACGTGGGAAAAGCAGTGACAGATGGAACTCATTATCAGAGCGCTCATCATGGAAGAGGGAAGAGGGCAGACGCGCTGTGACGTGACGTGTGGTCTGTGCGTCAAAACACCAGACGCATCATCGCGACCAGGTCTCGCTGACTTTCTCACTCGCTTCACACGACACGACGGGACGGAAGGTCTCGTGTCATTTGCAATGCTTCGTCTCCATTTCACTCCCAATGCAGCATCGGCACATCTTCACAGGCCTTCGCTCGGATCTCGCGAGACGACAGCGTCATCCAGCCTGGAAGACGTGCGTGGCCAGCGGCAGAGGGGCGATGTGATGGTCTGGAGCTCGCCAGAGCAGCTTGCGAGCTGGGAGCTTTCCGAGGTGTTCCTGTGTCGATGGGGTTACCTGCTCGAGAATTATTATTGTGCTGAGCTCATCGTTGCAGCCAATGCTTGGTGAACGCGGCGAGGCGAAAGGCCATTGCCTGTAGCCGAATGATGACTATAAGGGGCAGGGGCCGTCATTACTGGATGCAGCGCAGGAGAGTGCGTGGGTGCCATGACAAATTGTTGATTGCTATGGAAAGGCATCGTGAATGTGACACCACGTGATTGAGTCTCGCCTTGCTCGACAGTAGTAGTGACCAGACAGAACAGCTGAGAGATGAGGTCTGAATTAGGTTGTCTTTTGGTGGACCTCTTGCTTTAGTTCGGGAGAGTCGGTTGCCAATCTGGCAATCTCTTGGATGCAGTGCCCAGCACAGTGCAGTGATCTTCTTCGTGCCTCACTCTCTGTAGGCGTCTTGTGTATAGGGAAGAGAGCCCAGAAATGTTTGGACTGATACACGACCATCAATATCAGCGAGCTCCAGGTTCATTTGATTATCTGCTCTGCATCCAAGGCAGCAGAGCATGCAGGTGGTGGCATGCCTGCGAGCCCCACCCTCGTTGGCAGCTTGAGCCTTGTCCTAGCTATAGTACTGTGGCTTGCTGCCAACACCTGCTTTATTACAGTCTCGACCGGATGGTTGCGTTGAACTATCAGAGACGCCGCCCGAGTACGGCAGAGAGCGATGGAAACCCACATCGGCATCGGCATGCCTACTAGGAGTCCGGGTTTTGGTTCATTTCGTTGAGTAACCGTTTGCTCCGAAGTGATGTGCCCGTGTGATGGCGGATAACCGTTATACACTGCCTCCCCGTTCTTTGCTAGGCCAGCAATAGAGGTTGTGCTAGCGGTACGATGGCTTGCTGGATGAGTTGTGTGTTAGTTGCGATTGTTGAGTGTTTGCCCGAAGAACAACCACGTCTCTTGCTGTGATTAATTATACAAGGAGACTGACGGGATTTAACCCTTGCTCATCCGACTTGGTCTTGAGTTTCCGGCTCATCATCAGAGACACAAACTTTCATGACTCGAAGGTGCATATCCACACGCAACACTGGAAGCACTGTGGCAGCACTCAAGGCCTTTCAGGGGTCTTTTGGTTAGCTGCGCGCCGTCTCCTGATCTTATCATCATCATCACCCCTCCCTCCACCCTCGGCGCCAGCCGGCCACGGCCAGATCCGTGGTGGTGACAAAAGTGCCCGGCGTCCAGCTTTTGGAGGCATTGGCGTTGCTCGTTCGCGCGCCTCGACGACCACGGCCACGACCACCATTACGAACACGACCGCCGCATGCCCATTCCCTCCGCCCCACCAACGACTCTGCCCGCGCGCCGTCCGCCCCGATCGCGTCCCAACTGCAACGCATAGGGATAGAACAGGAAAGGAAAGGAAAGAAAAGGAAAGGAAAGGAAAGGGGTGAAAGGAAGGGATAGGAGGGGGAGAAGATAGGCTGTTAGGGTTCAAGACAATCCACACCGATATTGCGCAATATGTTGCTTCGCGCCTAGAGGCACGGGGCAGCAAGGCGGACGCACAGGTTCCCGTAGCAGCAATAATATCTGCTCCCTGGAGTGCCCCTCGAACGGCGCTGCAGCGACGCATCGCATCCAGGGGCCCTCTGCATGCCCGTTGCCTCTACACCGACAATGGAGGTGGGCTCGCGTGCACCCTCTGCAGAACCATGGAACCCTTCCCCAACCGACCCATCCTCATCGCCGAACCATGTCCGCACCCGCCGCAGGCGCTCGCCCAATCGTGTCAAGGCCAAACCCGCGAACCCCCAGGTCATCTCTTCCATCCTCACCTCACTCGACACCCTCACCCCGCTGCCCGCCAACGACGACTTCTCCGAGACTGCCAGCCGCCGGTCTCACCCAGACTCCTCCAGTCGATCCGTCGCCGGCTCCGCCTCCATCTACCGCGCTGTTTCCTCTCCCGGCTTCGGCGTCGAGTATGGGGTCGGCCTAGAGCTCGATTACGAGGAGGGATTGAGCGATGCCGCGCTTCCACCCACCGTACCTACCTCGCGATCGCCATCACGTTCGTCAACCTATACCGTGAGGAAGTCGCCTGCCTTCACTGGGCCTATGTCCTCTCGCGCGAGGTCTCGTTCGCGCCGCAGCTCTCTCTCGGCGAATGGTACTCGCGCTGGAAGCACTAGAAAGAAGCTGAGTTCGGAGAGCTGGGTTCGGAGAACTCTGGACGCGGACGACGGCTCCTCCTTCACTTCGAGAGGGAGGACACCGCGAAAAAGTCTGCGCCGGATCGGTTCGCAGGAAATGCTGAGATCTGACGATTTCGGGTTCTCACCAAATCGTGCTTCACCCGCTGTGTCTCTTGCCGAGCAGATCATCGCAAGGACTCCCCCGGCGCCCTCGTCCCGTCCGAGGGGAAGGCTATACCTCCACGACGCTACTATCAACGAGGATCAAGCGCTGGCGGAATCTCCAGAATCTCCAGAATCTCCGAGCCCAATACAGTTTTCCTCTACAAGATCGCCCGGACGTACACCGGACATTGAGAATTGGAATTCGCGGGAAGAGTCGGCTCATGCATCGGAGCTTCCTCAACCACAGACTGAAGAGAGACTGCAGAGCGAGCTCGAGAAACCTGTTGCGGTAAATGCAACGCCGCCTTTGAAGACGCCAAGTCCAATCGCCGACTCCATCCCGACGCGCACTTCATCTCTGCGGCAGCCCAGTAACGGCCCGGCTGCCGTTAAGAAGAAACATAGGAGAACCAAGCGCCACACCGTCGCACCGAGCAAATCCGAGAATATGAAGCCGGCCTACAAGCGATCTAAATCCATTCCAGATTCCAGCTGGGCAGACCTTGGAGAGGATGACGAGACAGTGCGACGGATTCGACAATTGAGGGAGCAGAGGAAATCAAGACTACAAGAATCGACTTCTGTTTCATCACCCATCGGCGAGGAGGCGGATGAAATTTCAATCCCTGTCTATGAGCTGGCAGCTCCACAAACTGAAGAGGTCAAGCCAACAACACGGACCCAGCCAGAAGCCGGTGGCGACGCGAGCACTCCAATCAAAGGAAAGCAATTACTGAAAGTTGAGGATGAAGGGGGACACTTTCAAGTGTCGAATGGAAGTCGACGTGCGGGCGTGCGGCCTGTCAGCGTATCACCAGACGCAAAGCGCCAATCAAATCTATCACTCGAAGTGAAGCGAGCATTATCCGAACAATACAGACCAGCTTCTTCGAAATCGGAAGACAATTCTACGAACCAATTAGCATCCTTGGATTACTCGTATGCTCAAGCTGTCGATGCTCTGAACAACGCCAACGGCGTCGAACGGAAAGCGGGATCCTCCAGGTCAAAACCGAATCGAGAGTTATCAGAGCGAAGTTCACTTCCAGTTTCGGATCTTTCAAGCCCAACATCAATCCATCAGACGAAACCAGCTCTCCCCAAAACAAAACAGTCAAAGAAACCGAAAAGTGTCCAAGATCGGTGGACCAATGTCCACCACCCAGACCTTCCGCAGGACTTTGAACGAAGGAAAAGCCGTCGGAAGTCGATGAGCGATGCGCGCCTTGCACAAGCCATTGAGGAAGAGGGTGGGATGTCTCGTAGAGATAGTATCGGGAACGCAGTGAACGAGTATCTAGATTCCCCGCGACTCACGAAGTTTGTGAAGAATCCCACCACTGGCCGCAAAATTGCGTTCTCCGAGGTCGGCGATCCTCAAGGAGGGGCTGTATTCGTTTGCGTTGGAATGGGCTTGACGAGATTTGTGACGGCCTTCTTCGACGAACTCGCCGTGATGTTGCGCTTGCGGCTGATAACTTTGGACCGACCTGGTGTCGGAGCCAGTGAACCTCTCCCTCCAACAGACAAAAGTGGGCCTTTGAAATGGCCCGAAGATGTGCTTGCCGTCTGTCAGCACCTTGGAATCATCAAATTCAGCATCCTGGCGCATTCGGCAGGAGCGATCTATGCGCTAGCGACTGCGCTCATTCTTCCTCACCTGGTCCAAGGCAAAGTCCATCTCCTGGCTCCGTGGGTGCCGCCAAGTCAACTGGAAGCGATATCTCATCCAGCAGCCTCGGCATTGCCGGCGAACCCTTTGCCCAGGAGCCAGCGGTTCTTGCGCGTGCTTCCAACTCCGTTTCTCAAAGCGGCGAACTCGTCGTTCATGACGGCCACGTCTGCATCTCTCAAGCCAGCGACCAAACGGAACAGTCGGACCAACACAGCAAAGACGACTCCGCGCAAAGGTGCAGAGACGGACGACTCCCCCAAACGACGCGTGAGCCATGATCGGCGGGACCACAATCGAAGGGAGTCAATGATGCTGATGGACCAGTTCATGCCAGGGACAAACCCGATGGAAAACTTCTCGATTCCTTCGAGAGCTGGAGAAGAGAAAGAAGGGCAAGCCCGTGTCAATCGGGGTTCACTTATCCTCTCGGCTACAGCATCCCCAGCGGACCCGAACTTTGCATACGCAATCAATGGTCTGAACGCTGCCGAACACGCGGAGAAGGAACGACAAACCGAGTACACGAGCCGTCTGACACAGCGCACATGGGATCTTGCGACGCGAGACAGCAACCCAGCGACAGATCTGCTGGTTTGTCTCGAGCGTAACCGCGACGTTGGCTTCCGGTACACGGACGTGGGACGTGAGGTTGTCATCACGCATGGGTCGGAGGACAAGCGCGTACCGATCGCCAATGTCAAGTGGCTCGCAGAGCAGATGAACCGACGAGCGCTTGGACTGGATCTCAGCGCTCGTGAGAGCCGCGAGAGCTGGGCGGATCCGTCGGCCAAGGGCGGATGCGAAGTCAGAGTACTGGAGGGTGAAGGGCATGGATTGATGGCCAGCCCGGCGATTATGAGCGACGTGCTCACCGAGATTGCTGGATACTGGATGGGGCAAGATAAAGGACGGTTGTGAAAGCCCTTTTTTGCGATGTACACAAGACGTAATCGAGTCTTGGATAATATGGGGGGAAAGCGTGTTAAGACTATTGTGATGGCGCTGATAGTGTGGGCGGGAGATATCGTCGTGTTGCCTTTCGAGAGATACCCAGGTCGCCGGTCCGCCCATGTAGGAGTAATAAGAGTGTGGTGTGGTGTGCAATTGTTGCTTTCATTAGCGTTAACTGCTACTGTATGCATCTCATGTTCATTGGCCCAGGGCCACAGAGCGATCGGAAGAGTTCATCTGGTTGTTGGCAGGGATGGGGCTGTTGCGCAGCTGCGGTGCACGGGCCATCACGCGTTAACTGAGCAACCGTGTTTGAAGGCGAAAGACGGAGAAGCTCCAACAACGGAAATGTGTCGCTTCATCCGTATCGATTCCAGCTGGCGTTGGAGTTGGCCGAAGAAGAGATTTCTCAGTGGACATTGGCAATCTGGGATCAAGTGTCGACGTGACGTGGGCGCTGTGGACGAGGGAAAAGAAAAAGGCTGGCAATCCTGCCATCGTCCAGCCACCAGCCGCATATCAAGCAATTACCTCACCATACCAATTCTCCTCTTGCAGACTCTCCTTCTGACTTTGGCAGTGTCGCTCTATCCGATCATTCCTACCTTCCTTCCTTACACAGCGCTGCACAGAAGAAGTGAAGGTGGAAGTTGAAGGGCGGAAGCTCCAGCAGCTGCGGGGCTCCTCAGCTTCAAGTTCATCTTCATAAAATCATCGCACATTCCGACGCTTCGACAACACATTCCTCGCCCCCACGAGCCCGAGGGCGACCACGAGCGTCGCCATGCGCTTCCACCATGCTCCGCGCCCGCTGCTGCAGCTCGTCGCGGCCCTGTTGCTCGCCCCATGCCCGACACTCGCTGCCCCCAATCATCCACCTTCCGAACAAGGCGGTCTGTCCTTCAACCAACTCTTCGCCCGCGATTGCTCGGGAGGAACGACTTGCGGTTACTATGGACAACTCTGCTGCGCCGCTGGCAGCGCCTGCTACACCGACGCTCAATCGAGAGCCCAATGCACACCCAACGGCGCCACTGCAACGGAAGCGGCCTCAGGCGGTTACTACTCCTACTACACCACAACCATCGTCCAGACCGACCTGGTGACCACGACGCAGGTCATGAGCACCTACATCGGAGGCGCGGCCGTCGCGACGGCAACTGCTTCTTGCAATACCGCTTCCAATGAGACACCGTGTGGAAGTATATGCTGCGCCAGTGGCCAGTACTGCTACTCTTCAGGGACTTGCAAACCAGCAGCAGGAGGAGGCAGCTCGGGTTACGTTAGCGGAACCAGCGGTAGCGGCGCGACTGCTGTAGCACCCGTCCGTCCCACGACGTCTGGCACCGTTGTCATCATGCAGACCATCACCCCGACCACCACCGTTCCTTTTATGACTCCGGTCGCTACTGGTTCAAACGTCACCCTCACCTCTTCACAAGCAGACAACGGCGGCGGATTGTCAGGAGGGGCAATCGCAGGAATCGTCATTGGTGTTCTCGCGGGTTTGCTCCTCCTGGCGCTGCTGTGCTTCTACTGCTGCATCAAGGGTCTGCTCGATGGCTGTCTCGCATGCTTTGGCCTTGGCGGAAGGAGGAGGAGAAGAACCGAGGTCGAAGAGTACGAGCGCCACTCTCACCATACTTCCAGACATGGCGGTGGTGGTGGGCGAACATGGTACGGTGCTTCAAGGCCGGCGACCAGGGTCGATCGAACGGACAGACGAGAAAGCCGTGGAGGAAGCAATCTGCTCGGCATCGGGGCCGGATTGGCGGCTCTCTGGGCCATCTTGGGTCTCAAGAGGAAGAGAGATAATCGCCGGGATGAAAAGTTCAACAGCGAGTATTCTTACTCGAGCGATTACTACACTAGTGCCAGTGAGTAAAATCGCACGTCTTCATTCGCCGAGAAGGACGAATCACTGACTTGTTGACAATAGGTAGCGCAAGTTCCGATGACAGGCGGACCAGACACACCGGCCGGTACTCACGCCGGTAGTAATAGCAATAGCTCCTTTGGGATTAGGCGAATGATGTTTTACGACGCGATTATTTCATGGCTTCAAGAGAGATGGCTCCCATGGGTTGTTAGATGTTTCCAACGTTGGGCAGGCGAGGCGTTCCGGCGGTCTTCTTCTCTCTCCAAGAAGGAAAGAAAGGCATCCATCGGAGAGAGAGACAAATGTTTCCATGCAGCGGCGCCCAGAGCAGCGGTAGCATCTTCGTTGTTGTAAATAGAGAATAATGGGCATTACCAGGACGTGCCGCAAAGGCATGGAGAATCGACTTTGCATCGAGTTGCAACTTCTCTTCTTCTTCTTCTTCTTCTTCTCCGTCTTCCTTATTAGGAGTGATTTAGATCTGGCCGTCTTCCGGCATGGCTATTCCGAGCGCGATTCTTGACAGGCAAAGATGAGATTCCCTCCGGCATCTCCATAGAGATTGGGTAAAGCTCGAAGAAAAGAAACTCTATCGCAGCAGGGGAAATAGAGAGCACCAGGGGTTCTTTTTGGAAACGGAGGCTGTGTACTTGCTGCGAAAGTTGGCCTGACATGGGTGGTGTCTCGTGTCTCACGGACTGCCAAGACGCTCGCTCAGTGCTATTGCGGAAAGGTCGGCCGGTCACCACCTCTAGGAGACGACGTTTCTCAAAGCTAGATACGGCATTCGTTATGCTTTATGGATGTAACAGGATGCGTGGAACTACGTGGTCAGTTTTCCATTCAGCGATGGACAAGACAGTAGGGGCAGTCGGCTGGACAGACGACCACGACCCGTGAAAAGGCATAAGGATGCATCAGGGTGGTCACTTCGTCGTGATTTTAGCAATGTTGACATCCTCAAGGCATGGCATGGCATGACAAGGTAAGGTACGTAGTCGAAATCTCTGGTCTTTCTCACGTGAATTCATCAGATTGAGCGGCTGATGCGTTTACGAAGTCTCTCGATTCAGCGGATGCTGCTGCTGTAACCTCGCCTAATGCCGACGCAAAGTAAACGTAAAGCAACGCCATTTGACCGCTATCGCCATAAGCCCAGTCTCACCGTCCAAGCGCGCCATCTCATCTAGAAGACCATCTCGTGCGGCCTGTCGCCCTTCCGCAGGCTGAAGTTGGTGCTGAGGTAGCCCTGAAGCTCCCGGTCCTTCTTGATAGCGGCCAACAGAGCCTTGTCAACCTTCTTCTGGTCCTCGGCGCGAGCGCTCGAGATCTCCTTCTTCTCTGGCTTCTCGCCGGAGGCCTGCTTGAAGAAAGCCTCTTCACTGCCCTTCTTGTCTGCCTTCTTGTCCCGCGCAAAGTACTTCTCGTCGCTGGCCTTGTCGATGGTGGCACCGTCGATGCCATCGAGAGAGATGGATGTCTTGGTGGCGATCACGTAGCGGGCGTTAACACGGCGGAGCGGGACGCCATTGAGCTTGAATGGGCCGGTAACGAGGAGAGCGCCCTGTGGGAGGGTCTTGAGGAGGACAACACGCTTGCCCCGGAAGCGGCCAGCGAGGAGGATGAGGACTGTGCCAGGCTGGAGCGAGGCACGCGGCTTGTATGGGCGGACGGTCTTGCGGGTCTGCATATCACCATCGTGTTAGTGTACGTTTCTCATGCCAATTCAACTCTCCGTGTGTCAATTCCGTTGCCATTCGCAATTCCACCTCCTTCGGGTTGTATATCATTCGCGCATAGTCGTACCTTGCGTGCCTGAGTCTCCTCTTCGGCTGGGTAGTACTTGCTGGCCTTTTGCGAGGCGGGAGTGATGGTCCGCTCTCCCTTCTGGAACTTCTTGGTCTGGGGCGCCTCGGACGACATGGTGAACAGCTGCTGCGCAAGTGGTAATTAGTGATCGTCCAGGTAACTGTTGTATCGAGATGTGCGATGAGTGCGTACCAAAGGAAAGAGTTGCTGTTGGGTTAGTGGTGGACTTGGACGACGTCGTGGAGGAGCGGATACAGCCCGCGAGCTTTTCGCTAGGTGGTGTGTCGTCCGCCAAGAAATGCCGGAGCTGCGGCCGGGGAAGGGCACTCCCGTCGGAAGCTCCCTCGCTTTGGCACATGCAGCCGGCCAGAGCTTCAACTCTGGTAGAAACATCAACTTCTGCGTCCATCACGCGATCAACGTCAACACAACAATACCCGACAGAGCCTTGCGTACGCAGCTATGGCGACCTCACCCATCATCACCTTCAAGGCTGGCCGATGCGAGTTCAGCGGCCGCAAAGTAAAGCCAGTCGAAACGCCCGGATACATCTACCTCTACTCAGATGATGACTTGCTGCACTTCTGTTGGCGCCGACGCTCCGCACCATCCACCGAGCCCGAGATCGACCTCATCATGTTTCCTCAGGACGGGCATTTCCATCCATACCTGAAAGAGGAAGGGGCCGAAGAGCTGCATTCTCCGACAAACGGCCGCATCTTCGTCCTCAAGTTCACATCGAGCAGTCAAAAGTACTATTTCTGGATGCAAAGCAAGACTCAGTCACGGACTGGAGAGCTGAGCTGGTTTGGACAGCGGGATCAGAGGCTCGGCCAGATCGTGGATCAGCTATTGCAGGGCGAGGATGTTGACGTTGCTGGCGAGGTCGAGGACATTCGGAACGGTGGCGGTGACTCAGGCCCTGACGGTGATGCTGATGCCATGGAGGTCGATGGTGGCGTCTCTTTGCAGCGTCGAGAGACTGGGGATGCTGGCCAAGATGCTACGGGAGGCGATCCTCGAGAGGAAGGCGAGGCAAGCAGAGAGGGTGGAGCAGATGGAGGCAGAGCGTAAGTCACGGTGCTTAATCGTTACAAAGGCGTGGAGCTGTGGCGTCGACTGGGAAAGCGGGCAGGCTAGCAAGAGAGCGGCCTCTGTGGACAGACCACCTGGCGACAGGCGTTTTGGGATTGGGTGTACGCGAGCTCTGAAATCATGTTGCTACGCTCGAGTATTCTATTGCTTTTCCCAGCTCGTGCGCTTGCTTGCTTTGCTTTCCAGTCCGCCGCGCTCTACATACCCGTTGTGCTTGCTGACCGTGTACCACCAAGTAGTGCCGGATCATCCTCTTCAGCACCACAGGACACCAACGCCATCGTACAAGACTTCCTCAATTCGCTCAAGGGCGGCCGCAGCGGAGGCGATCAGCAACAACAAGACAAGCCCTTCACAACACTGCCGGACCTACTGCCCTCTTCTACTACGACGGCATACGTTTCCAACGCATCGCCTAAGCAGATCGATCATCTATGCACGCTCCTCCCTCCGGAGCTCTTTCTTCTTGCCCAGGAGTCCGCATCATCAGACACTGCCGCCGAGGCGACGCCGGCAACTGCGCAAGCGGCTATCGAAACGCTGTCACAAGGCCAGAAGAAGGAGATCCTCAACAGGGTCCTTCGCTCTCCACAGCTACAGCAGAGCTTGGGCTCGCTGACTGTTGCCCTGCGAGACGGTGGTCTACCCATGATTGGCGAAGCATTAGGTCTCCAGGTCGAGAACGGCGGTGTCATCAAGCACGGCAGTGTTCCTCTGGGAGGCGGCGATGCTGTCGAGGCATTCGTCAAGGGTGTTAAGAAGACGGTAGAGAAGGACGAGAAGTAGTCAGAGTGAGAGCAGCCGTACTCACTACTCACGACACTGTATAGTAGAAACGCATGATTCACGACAGAATAGAGTAGCACGGATGGCATCAAGACCAATGCCAGCGTTGATACAGATAATGGTGTTTGAGTTTCGGCGCGAGCCATTAGACTTCCCACTGATTCCGTTTCTAGACCTCACCTCATTCACCTCATTCTAGCTCCACATCAAGTCACGTACGAACGCACAACCATCTAAAACTACATCGATGCATTGGTACCGCTGATCTCACTAGGGGCACGCTATATCTATTACTGCTTTTCGCTATTACTGTCGTATGTGTACCTTCCACGACTACTCGTTCCACGACTACTCGTTCTTCTCTGGATCACTGTCTTCCCCGGCAGCGTTGGCAGCCTGCGTGGCCATGGGAAGCGTTGGCGCAAATTTGCTCTTTTCGCGGATCTTGTGGCCCTTCAAGTAGAAGACAACTGGCATCGGCACCAAGACAAGTGCAACACATCCGAGCAGAGTGCCTGCCCAGTTAACCTATTATCAAACATCAGCTCTGGCTCTCCGCGTACAGTCAGCGAACCTCGAACACTTACGCCCATTCCCTGGATCATTTGCGTGGCGAACAACGGAAACCCTGCACCTGCTAACGAACGCAAGAACGTGTTGGCCGCGATTGCAGAGGCCGCGAACATTAAATATGAATCGATGAGATAGTTGAGGCATTGGAGGAAGATGCTCATGATGCCGAAGCCTGTCGCAAGGCCTGACAGGGTGGGCGCGATCCAATGGATGTCCTTTTTGAACCCGGTCCTACGCAATATGAGTATGGTTGATGGGAAAGATTTCGAGATTCGGAGGCAACTCACCATCCAAACCAGAATAAGCCAATTGCAAAAGAAATTCCTCCTACAATGACTGGCGGAAGACGCCACTCTGGTACCGGCATATTGTTGTTTGCGGCAAGCTTTCTGTTGTATGAAGGCTGAAGAATGATCATGTAGACACCACTGAGCATCTCGCCCACTATCATGCCGAAGAAGGGGAGACCTCCCACGCCAGCATTGAAGCCATGGATTTGCTGGAAAACGATGGGGTAGAAGGTCCTGAAAGCTGTTAGTCATCTAGGACGCTGGCAAACCCGGGTAAATGACTTACAAGAACAAATACAGAAGCCCATAGATGAAGGCCATGTAGATGGAGATGAGAAGCACGATCGGCTCGGTGAACAGCATCCTGATTGGTCGACTCAGGTTCCTCTCGAACAGCTCCCTCAGGTCGACCTCAATCTCTTCCTGCTTCGCGTGGATACCCCAGTTCTTAGTTCTCCGGCGGAGATCAGCGGCCTTGTTCACGAGGATGACAGGTGGATATGTTTCCTCTAAGAACAAAAGGGACAGCCCTAGACCCAAGAACCCCATGATCGCGGTGATGTATTCAGTCCATCTCCAACCCAAATAAGATGTTGTAATGAAGCCGCCGACGAATGGTGCCAGCAGTGGTCCTGCGAAGACGGTCATACTAAACACAGTAATTGCGAGCCCTCTTTGGCGGTTGGAGAACATATCGGCAAAGACAGCACCAACACAAGTCAGGGGGCAGGCACCCATGAAGCCTGCGAAGAATCGACAGATAAAGACCGTCTGAGCATCCTTGCCTACAGCGACCGCGATGTTGAAGATCGAAAAGCCAAAAGAAGACACAAGAAGAGGTACCTTGCGTCCATAAAGCTCGGAGAACGGGGCCCATACTATCGGACCCGTTGCAAACCCACTGCGAATGTGTTAGCGACTTCCTTCGAACCCTGGTGACCACTGCCTCTTCCTTACAGCACGTAGAGCGACACTCCCAAAATCCCGACCTCTCTTGAGAATCCGAACTCCTCCGCTATCGCAGTCGTAGCCGTGGAAAAGATGGAAGATCCAAACGCCGCCACCAGCGTTACAAACCCCAGAACAAGCGCCACCGGAAGCTTCTTCCTCAAAGGCCAGTTTTGCGCATGTAGAGGATCGTTAGGCCCATCAAATTCTACAACATACTCCTCCCGCTCCGGTAGCCCCGGGGGATATTGCTTGCCGCCTCCAAACGCTGGGAGAGGAGTTTTTGTATGCCTGCTCACTGTTCGACTCCGCAGACTGGCTCCTACTGTTGCGCTGTGTTGACTTCTTTCAGTCTGTATTCTGCTAAGAGCTGTTGGATGGCGCTCCAAATCGGCAACGTCATCTCTCTGAGTTGGCATCCGGTTGATGTTCATTTCCTCCATCTCCACGGGCTCTCCAGAGGATGATGATCCTGAGCTCGCAGAGCTTACACCGGTCACTGTTCTGGAAAGAGTGTCTCGTCTGGCCACTTTCTCAGCATAGGTCAATGTCCTGGCTGGTCTGAGGCCACTCCATATTTCGAATCTATCCGGACTGGCATCGCGTTCGGCGTCTTCTAGTCTCCTGTCGTCCTCGTTCATGATGGTGGATTGTGGTCCTCGGCTGTCGTGCTACCAGGCGTCGAACGTCAAGAATGCGCTGCAAATTTCAAAATCTTGAGGAATGCTGGATCAGATGCCAGAAGGGCGAGCTGGATGAGACACGAATTAAGTCGCAATCAATGCCCGACATGCACAATCAGCTGTTTCTCTCGGAGATTTGATGAGTCCTGTTCAAGAAGAATGGCCAGCGTTAATCATGACGGGAAAATGATATCGACGGCAGTGTCATTCGCTCGTACGGCTCACCGTCGATGTCATTGGCACCGAGCCGAATCGTCAGGAAAATTTGGACCAAATGTTCGACGCTGCCGATGTTTGACCGTCCCACGAGCGTGTGGAGGCCGCGAATCATGACGACATTATTATTCCCTAGGACACTGCACCTTCTGCGACTGCGTTGCGCTGCTGGGAAAGCAGCAGGAATAATGCGGATGGAGCGGAGAAAGTGCAGCTACATCAGGATTAGCAGGGACTTGCACCTGTCAAAGTAGAGCCGTCGAGCTATCTGCACTTCTTGTTCAGATAAGTGGTCAAGCGAGGAAGCCATCCAGTCTGCAAGTGGATAAGCAGTGTCTCTAAGGAGGTATCTTGATCGGTAAGATGCTCATAGTACTCGGAAACAACAATTGTCAAATGCTCCTAGAGATATAATTAAGAGCTACAGCAGCTAGCTTCCACACTACGCTGACAGCATATCTTGTCGCACTTGAAGGCCTCAAACGGCACTACAGCTGGTGTGCTGCGGTCCGACTTTATGGTGCGTTCGGCTTCGCTGTAATATTACCTGGGGGGCAAAACACCAACACATGCGAAAAGGTGCGATACAGGCCGACCATCCACATCAAATAGTGAACTTCTCGCAACAGTGTACGGATCACGGCGTGCAACATCGTAGCGGGCAACGAGATCAGAAATCGGCGTGCTTTCAATCGCCCTCAGTAGTGGACTTGACCCTGCCAATATTCAGAAGCTCTTCAATGATGGCGCGAGGATTGTCGAAGCTGTCGACCGCTAAGAGGTCGCGGGCAATTTCTTCCTAAAAGCTGTCAGTATAACAATTGGATTCATAAACACGCCATTCATACGTACTGCTTCGTCCAGTTCCTCGAGCTCAGCATCCGGGAGCTTCGAGCAGGCCTCCACGAGATCCTCGCCTCGTGCCGCCAACAAGATCAGCTCGTCTGCTCTGTCAACGATCTCTTCATCGATACCGTTCATCTTGGCGCAGACTGTTCCGAAGCTCGATGCGTTGCGAGTTGGCATCAATTTGTATAGATAAGTAATTTGACTGTTGACCTCAGATGCAGCCACATCTATTCTCACGGCCATGTGAGCAAATCCGAGCGCAGGTCGCGGAGGCAGGAATCCAGACTCGAAAATCTCGTGGAAGTGAGTTGCGCCAATAACCTTGGGGCACTCAGGACCTCGCTGCAGGAGGTACTCAAACACGCCGGCAGCCAACCCGGCACCGTCGTAGGATTCTGTGCCTTTGCCAAACTCGTCGACAATGATCAGACTGCGGCGCGTAGCAAGATTCAAGGCAACGGAAGCCTGCTGAAGATCGATCATGAACGCGCTCTGAATACGCGAAACAGTTTCACGAGTGGAGATCCGTGTCATGATTTTGTCCGTGATGCCTACTTTCGCTGCCTTCGCTGGTACGAAGCTGCCAATGTGCGCCATGTAGACGATGATAGCAACTTGCTTCAGGTAGACACTCTTGCCAGAGTAGTTCGGTCCTGTCAGCAGCAACATGCTTGGCGGCGTTGCTTTGTTTTGCGTAGCTTTCGCCTGGCCACCATCAACGCTGGTAGAACGAGAAGATAATTCATCGGCATATGCATCGTCTGACTCTCCGGGCTCGCTTCCAGCGCCACCGGCAAGAAAGGTGTCGTTGGGAATGAAAGAGGGCACGGTCAGCTCCTGGAGAAGGTGTCTTCCATCTCGAATGTCCAGCACGTTGTCTTGGCGGATCCGTGGCCGAACCAGATTGTATTGTTTCGCGCCTTGCGCCAAAGCCACGAGGCTGTCAATCTCGCCACAGATATCGGAAATCATGTTCAAGAGATCCTCATGCTCCAGCACACGTTGGCATAGACCTTGTATAATCTCGATTTCCATGTCCAGGATACGCCCGTAGATGTCGCCGAACTCCTCGTCCATCTCAGTCATGTTGGCATTCTTATAATACGCGTGCGTGTCTGACACAAACATCTTCTCCCATAGATCTTCGGGTGTGCCAGTATAAGTAGCTGAGGCGTACTCTTCATCTAGAGCAATACAAATGAGGAAACCGATCTGGGGAAAGAAGATCACGTTTACCCTGCTTTCGAGCTCGGCTGGCACCTGTTGCGCAATGTGAGAGGCCACTTCTGATAACATATCCTCGATGCCGTAATACACTCGCTTGGCTTCGTCAAGGTCATGGTCGATCCCCGGCAATACGACGACGCGTCGCTGAGCTTTTGACTCGTCAAAGTCCACCATTTCGACGATCATTTGTCCGATGGCTGCGATCTGCCTCTTGTCAAACTTCTCAGCGACTTTGGAGAAGATCGTCAGCCGATCGTTCCCATTCATTTGGCTCAAGTCGTCTGTGATCTGGAGGGCCGAGAAGAGAAATTGTCTCAAATTGGTCCACAAAGATGATGATACTCCTCTGTTTCTCTCCTTTCCGCTGCTGATGCCCTTGCGCAGGTTGCTTGTAGTGATGCGCATATTCTTGACCCGAGAGAGCTCCACACTCAATCGATCCAGATGGGAAACGTTGTCGGGACGTAGAAGACAAGCGACCGTGTCCAGACGCTCATCGATGACATCGGGATTGGTGCTCGGCCTGAGAAATAGTTGCCTCAGCAGTGTTCGGCCTTGGGCAGTCTTCGCCAAAGGCTGGAACAGACCGTAAACGGACAGACCTTCCTTCGAGCCTCCGGACCAACTCTTACTAGCAGGTCCCTGTTGTTGGGCATTGGGATGTGACTCAGTCGTGGTGATCTGCAGTGATGACAGCGTGTCTGCGTTGATGAACATGGAGCCTTTCAAGCTGAACATCTGCAATGTGGTGATGCGGAACATCGAGTGTGCATTTTCATCTGTTGGAAGGTACGTAGTGGATCGTCTGCGTTGGATGTAGGAAAGTAGGGCGCCTGCGCAGCCGACGGTGAGCTTACTCTCCAGATTGATCCATCCAGACAGGCGATGCAACTGTGCTTGACTTGCGAAACCGTCTTCTTCTCGGTCGTAATCGTTTTCGCTAGCGACGACATCTCCAGGCACAACGTAAGTCACAGAAGGGCCATTTGGCTGACCGATCCGGAGATTGACGAGCTTTTTCTTGGCCGAATCATATCCATATTCTGCCTTAGGCCGGCACTCCAGAAGGTATGGCAAGTGAGTTGGATCTGTCCTGCCGTCGACAGAAGCTGCTCTCTGACTTCTGCCTTCAGGATCTAGGCGCTCCAACGTGTCGTCACTACATTTAGTGGAGGCGAGAATGACCGTAGGATCGATAAACAATTTGACTGCTCCATGGTCAACACTATCGCATGAGGGAGCCGCTGGTGGACTTACGATTGTCCACGATATCGGCACCACCAAGGGGCACATCTTCCATGAAATACAACGTCTCTGTGCTCGCTTGATAGTATGCGCAGCCTACCGAGCCACTTTCGGTGGCGTTGACAGACATGATAATCTCGTAGGACAATTCGCCGTCTCCGTCAAAATCGCCACGAGGTATCTCTGTTGTCGCAACGCTTGCTGCGTGATTCTGTCGCTGCTGGTCGCGACGGTCACCTGCGAACGTCCTGCTGGAGGCTACTGAAGCTGCCGGGCGATGAAAGGACCTCTGTTGAGTAGCTCCGGTTTGGGCATCGTGGCCTCGGGACTCGTCTGATGACTGGCGCGATGGCGTTGCAAATCTATTAGCGGAGCGGATATTGGAATACAAGGCGTCTGCCCGGGAGGTCGCGTGGCCACGCCCGTCTTTCGAAGACGCGCCGCAAGCACTGACTCTGCGCCGCTTTGAAGGCGCACTGTATGCCTGCATGGCTGCTCTGATGATTTCGATCAGCGCAAGGGGTAAGCGCTCAGTAAGAGAGAAAGGTGAAAAGAAGTAAGAAGATCAGGTGAGAGTGGACGAGCAAAGGCGAGGATGGAATCGAAAGGATGAAATGTGCTCACCTGATGGCTGCCTGGACAATTACGCGACCTCTCAGGAAAGCGCGATGCACTGTTTCCGCGAGGCAGGTGCGCCAGGTCGTGCCAGATACGGTAGCTCACGGTGGCATCTGAGCTACGCGGAAGAAGTATTGACCAGCATCTGTGCTCTTCTGCAATCAAGTGCTCGCCCACGTCTCTCCTGCTACCTTGGCGCTGTCGACGCCTCTGTGTACCAACTCACGCCGTTGCAATAGATGAACGAAATCGCTCTCATTGGGTCTGGGAGATCGCGTCAATGTTCGCTCCGTGGCCTTGTCTACTGCTCCTCCACACTCTCTCCACTGCCCTCTTTGACCCAAGCCGCAAACTCCTTCCTCTTGGCTCGAATATCCACAAACCCGGGCCTCTCTTCCAGATTCGCATACGGATTCCCACCACCAACACCGACTGCCTTGATCTCTCGAGCCTCTTTACTTCGCTCCAGTCTTCCTGCCCAGACGTTCCACTGAATTGGCTTCAGTTCCGCGCTGCTCATCACCAACCCAACGCATAACAACGCGACCGAGATAAGCGTCTCCAGTGCAATATCGAGAGGTATGTTGATTTTGGGATCTAGCACGCTCGGTAGAATTGAGCTCGGTGGAGGCGGTTGTGATGCTGATGGGAGGAGCGAATGCTCGTATGAGCTGTAGACGCTGTATGGGATGTTAGCTTCTAGCTGCAATGCTATGTCTTAGGCAGGAACCATACGCATGCGACAGGAAGACCAGGCCCAAGATATTGAGCACGTTTGCTGTCAGGGCCATAGCTGCGTGCGATTCGTTGGTCAGGTCGTTGTGCAGGCAAGGAACATGGACAGTCGGCAGAGGCGAGCTAGGAGTCGAAGTCGAAGGAGCCGCAGGCTTGGCACATTTGGGCTTCTCGGCGTCACGTCCTCTCGTCGGAAAATGTAAGGTACTTCACATGAAAACTGTTCATTTCATTATCTTGCATAGCCACGTGCAGTTATGCTTTTGGTATCATTGTCTATGCCTGAATCATAACACATCATGCCATGCAAGGTCTGTCATCTCTTGTACCCTCTATTGAGTTGCACGGTCATGACTCGGACCTCCCTGCCGCAGCTGTCTACAACTTCTGCATGGCGGCAATGTCGGAGGACTGAACGTAGTCCTCGAAGCCGTCGATCTCCTCCTGCAGTTCGTCGAGAGAGATCTTCTCGTCCTCGACCACCAAGTTGATCTGGAGCTTCTTGATACCGAAACCAACAGCGACCAGCTTGGAGGCACCCCAGACAAGACCGTCCTTTTCGATGCTGCGCACAGACTGCTCGAGTTCCTTCATGTCGGTCTCGTCGTCTATAATTCATGATTAGCATGAGCCTTGTGAGCTCGTTCTCTCTCAAACATACCCCATGGCTTCACATCGAGCGTAACGATGGACTTCGCAGCCGGCTTGGATTTGCCCTTCTTCTTCTCTGCATACTCTGCCAATCTCTGCTCCCGGATCTTGGCGGCCTCAGCATCCTCCTCCTCATCGTCGGAGCCGAAAAGGTCGACTTCGTCATCGTCCTCGTCATCCTCCTTCTTCTCAGGTGCCTTCGCTGGGTTCACGGGGAGCTCGGAGGACTCTGGGCCGTAGGCGGTGTGTGCCTTGCTTGGGTCACCTGGGAGCTGAGAGAACTCTGGCTCGAAGGTGGCAATGTGCTTGTACCAGCGGTAGGCGTGAGGGTACTTCTCGACCTTGGGTGCCTCCTTGATCTGCTGGAAGCACTTGACATCGGCCTGGGAAGGGCCATAGCTACAGGACAGTCAGTGAGAAAGTCGCTTTCGCTAAGCTGATTGCAAAGAAGGTGAAGCGCGGAGGAGTCAGAGTTGCGCAAAGCGCGTTGGAAGTACTCATTTGCAGGGTCTTAAGCTGCTCATCAACACGGACCAAATCGTTCTCATCATGTAGGGTAAGGGAAGAGGGAAGAGTAAAAGAACGCGAGTTGTACATACCCGACAATGTAGCTGTGAGTCTTGGTCCAGTGGTCGAGCACTGCATGAGATCTTTAGCTTAAGTCCCAGGAGAGGAGAGGGATTCTTCGGCGAACGTACGAGTAAGGCCAGTGTCGGAGACGAAGTCGGTGAAACCCATCTTGAATGCTGTATCTCGTTGTGTTTTCTGGTAGTATATGTCTGCGGGAACGGTGAACCAAGGAGCGTGGAGTTGGGGGTAATGTTGATGAGTGTTCGCAGACCCCACGCACCGCAAAAAACTTGAACGAAGCTCAGGCACAGACCCTGCCTCGCTGCCTGAGGCATGGAGGAAGCTCTGAAACCTCGGGACTACCCACCAATCAAAGTCTTGATCGAAGCTTGCAGGCCTAGAGCTCTCTCGAATCGCCTCGGAGCTTCGATTATATCACGCGATGCGAGGCCTCTGGAGACGATATCTACTCTTCTAATGCGAGATGAACTCGCAAAACTTGCATGCACGTACATCGATAGCTTTTTAAAGTGATCAACTTTTCGACATTTCTTATGCTACCAACGACCACGCGAAGTGCTGCGAGGCGCATTGCCTCTGTTCGATATCCGCTTCCTCAAAACACAATCCGATCCACTGCACACATCAGACGAGCCTCCAGATCAACACTATGTTTACCACCAACATCGTCAACCGAGAATGTCAAATGTCGCACCTACGCAAACGGTCCTCCTCACCGTTCCGGAGACTCGCTGTTACGAAAGCCATCAATCGCAACTGCACAATGTCGAACCTATGCAAACGGTCCTCCTCGTCCTCCGGGAGGCACTCATCGGATGAATATGGGAGGCGAGCCTGAGAAGCCAGCTCTCGAACAATACGGTATCGATCTCACGGCAAAAGCCAAAGATGGCAAGCTTGATCCAGTCATTGGAAGAGACGGAGAGATTCACCGAACAATCCAAATTCTGTCAAGACGTACGAAGAATAACCCTGTATTAATTGGAAACGCGGGTTGCGGAAAAACGGCCATTGTTGAGGGCCTTGCGCAAAGGATTGTGAAGGGGGACGTCCCTGAAAGCGTAAAAGAAAAGCGCGTTATCAGCTTGGATCTCGGATCCTTGATTGCTGGCGCGAAATTTAGAGGTGACTTTGAAGAGCGCCTCAAGTCGGTATTGAAGGAGGTAGAGGAGGCAAAGGGAGGGGTGATTCTGTTCATCGACGAACTGCATACGTTGTTAGGGTTGGGCAAAGCTGAGGGCAGCATCGACGCCAGCAACCTCTTGAAACCAGCTCTATCTCGCGGAGAGTTGCAGTGCTGCGGAGCTACAACTCTGAACGAATACCGCCAGATCGAGAAGGATGTTGCTCTTGCACGACGATTTCAACCCATTCTGGTCGGCGAACCAACAGTGCAGGACACAATCTCTATCCTACGAGGAATCAAGGACAAGTATGAAGTACACCATGGAGTGCGGATCACGGACGGTGCACTGGTTGCAGCAGCCGCGTACAGCAATCGCTACATCACGGATAGATTTCTGCCGGACAAGGCGATTGACCTGGTCGATGAGGCTGCGTCTGCGCTGAGGCTGCAGCAAGAAAGCAAGCCTGATGCCATCCGAGAGCTGGATCGGGCTATTACCCAGCTGCAGATCGAGCTCGAAAGCCTGCGCAAAGAAAACGACATAGCCAGCAAGGAACGTCGGGAGCAACTTGAAAAGACGCTGACCTTGAAGCAAGATGAACTTGGTGCTCTGACTGAGAAGTGGGAGAAAGAACGCGCGGAAATCGAGGAGATCAAGCGAGCGAAGGAAGAACTGGAGCAGGCTCGGATGGAGTTGGAGCAAGCTCAACGAGAAGGCAATTTTGCTCGTGCGAGTGAACTCCGGTACGCTCGTATTCCTGAGCTTCAGAAAAAGCTTCCGGAGGAACAAGGCGGCGAGTCGACAACCATCGGTCCAAAGCAGACCTTGATCCACGATTCAGTGACTGCTGATGATATTGCAGCGGTTGTGGCTAAGACTACCGGCATACCAGTCACGAAGCTCATGTCAGGAGAGATTGAGAAACTCATCCATATGGAGGAAACCCTTCGCCAGACTGTTCGGGGACAAGACGAGGCTTTGACAGCTGTCGCGAATGCTGTTCGGATGCAGCGAGCGGGTCTCAGCGGCGACAATCGACCTCTTGCGTCCTTCATGTTCTGTGGGCCAACTGGAGTCGGAAAGGTAAGTCAACGAATGGGTGGAAAGCACCACTTTCTGTCTGAGACAACTGCTAACCTTTTACCTCTCGCTTTTAGACTGAGCTTTGCAAGAAGTTGGCCTCGTTCTTGTTTTCAACCGAGTCTGCAGTCATCCGTTTCGACATGTCAGAGTTCCAGGAAAAGCACACTGTTTCCCGCCTGATCGGAAGCCCCGCTGGCTACGTCGGATACGAAGATGCCGGACAGCTAACTGAGGCGGTCCGCAGGAAACCATATGCTGTTCTGCTATTCGACGAGTTTGAAAAAGCCCATCGCGACATCAGCACGCTTCTTCTGCAGGTCCTCGACGAAGGCTTCTTGACCGATGCTCAAGGCCACAAGGTCGATTTCCGCAATACGATCATCGTCCTCACATCAAATTTAGGCGCAGAGGCATTGGTGGCGGATGAGGATGCTGGAACAGAGATCTCACCAGAAGTCAAGAAGCAAGTCATGGACGTTGTTCAAATGTCCTACCCACCAGAATTCCTGAACCGTCTTGACGAAATTATCATCTTCAAGCGACTGTCCCGAGAGGCACTCCGGGACATAGTCGACATCCGTCTGAAGGAACTACAGGCCAGGCTAGACGATCGTCGCATCAAGCTCGACGTGAGCGATGATGTTAAAGAGTGGCTTTGCCAGAAAGGATATGACCCTCGTTACGGAGCTCGACCACTGAATCGCTTGATCTCCAAGGAAGTCGGCAATAGCTTAGCCGATAAGATCATCCGTGGAAACATAAAGAGCGGCGACACCGCGAAAGTCGTGCTCCAAGAGGGAGGGGAGCATCTCGACGTGGTTGTGCAGGAGTAACATGGCGGGAAAAATCACGCTCAACGCATTAATGAATTGCATATGATCTACAGCGTCTTTCCACAGCGGAGCGTTATTGTCTTCCCAAGAATTCTGGCAAAACCCAAGGCAGTAGCGAGTCGGGTAGCGAGGCAAGATTGGCGGTAGAACTAGTCGAGATACCACTCCGATGTGCGAAGAAGCTACGAAGTTCGCACGGCGTCCTGGATGAGCGGTCGTGGATGAATGGCAGTTCCAGGAGTATGATGAAAGCGTTGTACATTAAAGTCTTCACTGTACAGTCCTTAGAGAATGTAGTATTAGCAGACCTACGGCGTCTTGCCGCGTCCGAGTGTTATCATAGTCGGGTTCGTAGTAACTCGCACAACGCTACAGCGCCTTTATTTTCTTCCGGGAAATCCTGCCATACACCAGGGCAACAAGGATTCGGATAGCACATGATCAGCTGTAGCAGCCGTCGAGGTCACACTTCGATCTGTGAAGCTGCCGTACGGTCCTCAGAGAATGTAGTATCATGGCGACCGTGACACTTGCACACTTCAGCTCGTCCTTCCTCGCCCCAGGAACGGTCCTAGCCAAAATCCGAGGTTTCGCCGATTGGTCTAAGATCTCGCGTAAACTTCAAACCCGCATGTGAAGGCAGACGTGACTGCCTCCAAGTTCGCACAAACAGAGCCATATATTCGCGCTTTCAGACGTCAGCGCTTCTTGCAGCTTGTTGAAAACGTTCGACATGAGGCTTTCAAGGCCGCGGAACCTCCGACAGACCACTTCTATTCCCGCACTGAAGCGCTAAAAATTATCCAATCCGGCCGCGATGTTCACGCTGGCAAGTCGCAACGTATCCTATGCTGCAATGAGACAAAGTCGCTAAGATTTAGCAGGTGACTCTCGCGGATGTAGTCCAGATCCGTCCCACCGACTTCAGCAAACCCAGCATGCGCTCCATCGAGGATTTCATCAACGCCAAATATGCCGACAAAGTCCTGCACAAAGTCGGACTGTGCATCGGCTTCCACTCCCTGATTTCCGCCTCGGAAGGACTCATCGGACACGGCACTGGGATCGTGAATGTCAATGTGGACTTCCGTCTCATCGTCTTCCGCCCTTTCAAGGGCGAAATCGTCCGCGCCACCATCACGAGTTCCGACCATGATGTTGGGATTCGATTATCAATGGACTTCTACGAAGATCTCGTCGTTCCGCCGGAGACCTTGTTTGAGAACACGTCGTGGGAGGTGGACGAGAATGGAACATGGGCCTATGTGTGGAGAGCGGATGATGGAGAGGGAGGCTGCAATGAGTTCTTCTTTGATAATGCTGAGAGCTGCATGATGCGTATCGAGGAAGAACAATTCCATGACACGACTCCTGATGCGGCGAAAGATGAGAGCGAGGAGGAAGCGAGGAAGGTGGCACCTTACTTGGTGAGGGGCAGCATGATGCATGCGGGACTGGGTCCGACGCTATGGTGGCTTGGTGAGGGTACTGAAGCGGTACCTCAGGCTCTAGATGGCGATGGCGATGGCGATCAAGCCATGGGATGAAGGACAAGACGGGACACAACGCGATCGAATGCTGTTCCGGCGAAGGACTACAGCCATTATCAAGTCAAGGCCTGCCCACTTACAAGGCAGCGTCGCAAGGGTGACGCTTTCAAGGCAGAGTCGAAAAAGTTGCTCTTCAACGGAGCGCCGAGGGATCATGAGCTTTATCGGCGATACGAAACGAGGCAACAGATTCCTGCCTTGGCCGTTCTCGAGTGTTGGAGATTCCCATCGGCAGCGGGGACAGCGTCTCCCCTTCTCGGTCTCCCGTAATGCAAGGGTTCCAGTCGCGTAGAAGTACAAGTTGTACCGTCCAACGGCAATCGCATCGATGAAGTCAGCGTCTCCATGAGCACTGTGTTTACAGAGCGCGCGCTCTCACGTGCTTGCGTGGAACAGATGAGGCCTGCGACACACCACGGCCCAAGCTTCATACCCTAGCCGTGCTAGCAGGCATCAGATGTGGGGCTCAAGCTTCACCGGCACGTGGGGATTGCCTCCTCGGTAGTGACGGTACTACTACTAGGTACCTCGCAAGGCACGCGACTGGGAAGGCAACCAACAATCTCGAACCAACGCAACGACTCCCACTCCTTTAATAATTGTCTCACTACGCCTCACCGCCCGTCTTGTATTCATACGACGATACGATACCCACGACCCGTCATGCCCACAGCTTCCAGCAGCAAAGCCAACCGAACGCGCAAGTCTTCCTCAATCAACAGCCGCTCCTCGATCGCGCCCCAGAAGACCGAGGTCATCATCAACGTCTACGACCTACTACCCGTACAGCTCCCAAGAAAGTCGCGCATACCGGTAGAAGACAATGGCTGACATGGATACCAGCCTGGTCGACTCTCTTCGATCCTCTGGACCGTCGGCGGTAGCCTCCTACACTCCGGCGTCGTCGTCAATGGCAAGGAATACGCATACGGCGGACACAACAGGCGCGGTCTCACGGGCGTGTACTGGACAAAGCCCAGGTTCGAGCCTCCTGGGGGCACCTTCCGAGCAGGTCTCCTCCAAGGATTCTCCTTTCGAACGGAGCAAGAGATCAACGAAACGATAAAAGAAGTAAATGCCAACCTACACTACTGATAACGCGCGAACGATGAATGCTGATACTGCTGCAACGTTGTCAAGGTATCCGACGAATTCCTCGGACCTTCGTATCATCTCCTCACCCACAACTGCAACCACTTCACCTCCGCCCTCTGCGAACGCCTAACCTCCAAACCGGCGCCGGCCTGGCTCAATCGCGCTGCCAGTGTCGGCCTCGCACTACCCTGTATGGTCCCCAGGGAATGGATATCACCCCCAGACGCCGAGACAGCGGACGGTGAGCTACTAGAGGAAGAGGACGACGATGATGACGCAGACGAGAATGTGGGCATGCTGGAATCCCAACGGCGACAAAAGAGAGCAGAAGATCGAAGACGGCAACATGACGATGATGTGGGAGAAGGAGCGAGCCAGCAAGCAAACAGTCTTGCAGGCGGCAAGCGGATAATGTCTACAGATGATACCCCTCCTCCGCGGTTGGTGAGTGTTAAAGATAGTGGAGGACGAGAACTGCCAGTAGCAGAGCGGGCTCCTATACCCAATAAGAGATGACATCCTTCCTTAAAACCTCTCTTCACAAATCATTGCGACAGACGTCAGGAATGTGGGACGTTAAAAGTGATTTGCATTTGATGACGATCTCAAGCAAGCGCACTATCGTTTCCACCGCGCATTCTGGGTATCTTGCTCTTGCGCGCGTTGGTACACTCCTCTGAAACCCGGCAGCCTGCTCATGGTGAGCAATCGAGAGCCGCTCATATGCAGAACGTATTTCGCCATCCATCATAACATAAGCATAACATGGCGATGCGCTGAAAATGCCACTCGAACCAATGGCAAGCAAAATGCAAACAATGCAGGTGCGGAGCGAAGCGTTTAGTTCATAACGGTGGAAATGCTCATCCGACTCTTGTGTCCTGGCCTCTCGTTCTTTGAGAGACTTGGTCTCACCTCTTTCAGTCCGCCTTGTGCGGAAGCTGGTAGAGCCGTGTTGTTCCTCGGATCCTGGGGCGAGAGCGGATGCATCGGCTCCAGGAGAGACTCTGAGGAATTGGAGACGTGCCGCAGCTTGCTTGGACTGCTCACTGGGCTGGCGAGTCCTTTTTTCCCTGCTCTGGCCACCACAGACGCTGTCTTGCTCGACGTGAACGTAGACTTGATATCGCGTTTCGGCAGTACCTCTGCTTTGGACTGCGAAGATGACTTCTTGGTGTACTTGCTCGTCTTCTTCGTCGGTGCGGCAGACTTTTGGGCCCCGGTCGAAGTAGGCTTGTTGATCTTTTTGGATGATTCCTTGCTCGTGCAATTGAGCTTCAACGAAGTCTGCTTCTTCGTAGGAGCCTTTTTGGTTGCAGGAGAATTGCGGTGAGATTTTGACGGAGTCAGCAGACCAGTTGGCGTAGAGACCAAGATTGTGTCCCTGTCCTGAACAGTGATATCATCGTCCTCATTAGGGGCAGTTTCGATACTCGGCAGCGCCGAGGACCTCCGGCTGCTGACTGGGCTCCAATCTGGCCCAGTGCTCGGTAATTTGGTGGGCGTTGCGCCTGGGGGTGGCGGTCGGAAACTATTGTTCTTGTGTGAACCAGATGGTAGGGGCGCCATCTTGGCGTGCGGAACTTCGCATTTGGTCTTTGTTGGCAATTGAACCCGCAGTGTCTTCTCGGTAGCCTTTTTAGCATCCGCGTCACTAACCTCGGCGAAATAATCGCAGACAACGGGCTCGTCCCATTTTCGCATGGCAGCATGTTTCGCGACTTGGTCGCTTGGGCCTTGTACAACAATGTCCCAGCAATCCTCTAGATCCTTGGCTACTGGTGGAGGGTCGTTGTTGATCCAGATGGTGACACCGCCTCTCCGGTCGCGTACAGTTGCACACATCTCTCGAACAATTCTCCGCACTCCAGGTACCTTGAGTGTTGTTCCTACGACGACCACAGCATCTGGCCGCTTGCGGAGGTCTTCCTTCGTCACCGCTCCGATGGCCTCATCGTCCGGGTTGTGCTCGTTGTAGAGGACCATGCGTGGGCGCATTCTGCCAATTCCGTGACTTCGCTTGCCCAAATGATTTGTGCGGATATTGTTGGTTTCCTCACAACTCGGACATAGCGGCGGTACAGGGCCAGTAAACAATTCGGGATTCAAGTTCGAGAGCTCGTGACATTTTGTGCAGACCATGGTGTCGAGGCCACCGTGAAGCTGGACAGTACGCGGCCATTTGCCGTCTTGTTCTTTGCGCAGGGGAATGCAGGTCTTCAACGGAGCAAGGGAGGTGTCGATACCGTCAACATTTTGGGAGTACAGGCGTAGCAGGCGATCTTCTTGAGCAATGGTGGCTAACATGTGGTGAAAAGCAGTGGGTTTGGCATCCTTGGTGAGACGCGACATGGTGCTGACCATGTCATGAAAAGACGATGTCGACACGTCGTCTTTGTAGACAGACGCGTCGAAAAGGTGCTTTCCAGAGCCCTTGAGGTTGTATTCTTCTTTGAGACTTCGAAATAGGCCTTGCGAGGAGCGAAAGTCAGGAACTGTGTTGTACATATCAGCAAACAGGCGCGTCTTGGGAGGTTAGGTGGTGAGCAGTGGAACATACTGCCAGCAGAGACGGAGATGCCGGCGCCAGCAATGACCACAATCTTCTGGCGTTTGTGCAAGACATTGAGCAGACGGTCGAGTTGAGGCTGCTGTTCTGGATCTATACTGTCTTTCCGTAGGTCCAAATACTCCGTAGTGCGTTCCTTCGAGATTCTCCGGCGCTTAGCAGGTGGCTGGCCGTCCTTGTCGGTGCTGTCGGTCGAGTCCATGCCGTCTGGTGCGGGCGAGCCGCTCTGCGAGGTTTGTTGTGATGCTGGCGGACTGGGATAGGGCGCGGAGCGCCGACGCGACGGATACAACATCGGGCATTCGTCCGGCGGAGGCGGCGACGGAGAGGTAGCGAGCGAGCTCAGGGGGGAAGAAGGCGGAGAGGACAGGTCGGAGAGGAGGGAGGAAAGGTCGTCGGAGGAAGAGTCGAGGGCCATGGTGGAAGGGAAGACGGGGAAGGCGCAGGAAGATGAGGTGGGCGGCGGCGGCGGTGAAGATCAACACGGCGACAATGGCGACAATAGCATCGTTGACACGGGCGCGTTCAGGACGTGAATTGGCGGGTGCTGGCGCGTGTGTTTGGCGTCGTGAATAATGGCGAGCGTGGCTGGGAGGGAGGAAAGAGACAACTGGAAGACCGACGGGAGGAGATGCGATGCGATGCGGATGCGGGAGAGAGATGCGAGAGATGTCGGGCGTCGGCATCCCTCAAGCTACTACCTTTAAGCGATGCGGCAGCGCCAAGCGTAAACACACAGCAATGCGGAGTAGACCCACCATCCATCGGTAATCATCCCTAAGGTATGATATCGATCTTATCTTCTCTCTCACCACTACTCCTTCTCTCCGCTCTCACCTATGATAATTGTCGACGGCCAGTCCAACTGCCAAGTTGACACCAAACCCCTAGCAGCGAGCCCGCCCGGATCACCGGGGATCATCGGTTACCTGCAGCAGTTCCGCAGTCCATTCACCTCACAATAGAAGATGCCCCTATTGTCCTCAGGCAGACATTTGCTTTGCTGGACGAGCACATGATACAGCCCGTCGTCATATCGGAAGGAGAATATCTCCTGTACATCACCCGTCAATCCCAGCCTGACCGCTTGCCATGGAGGACCCGAATTTAGACGACTCCCGCATGGGCACCACCATGCAGCATCCTGCGATGATGGAAACCATGGAAGATCTCTTCGGCGAGGCCGCAGACAATCTCAACGTATCGCTGCCTCCTGTCATCCTGCCGGCCGCCTCCATGTTACGCGTGGCAGAGATGCAGAGTCGCGGATGCTGCACGTGAGTCAGTCAGCCCTTCTTCCGTGGAGCAGAAACACCGATTGATGGCATTACGCTGCAGGAGACTCGCCTGGTCCAGCACCGGCAGTATTGCCCGCATCACCGCAGACAGATCCAAGGTGGTCTTCCATACCCTTGTTCGCGATAAGAGGACTGGCGGATGGACGTTGACCGGCGACTCCAAGCATCCACTAGAAGCTCCGGTGGGTCGAAGATTCGTTCATCTGAAGTTCAGTGGCATCGGCATTGACCTGATTGTGATTGACGATGTGGGTGCTTCGCACATGTACACCTTGGCAGGCGTTTTGGAAAGAACGACCTGCTTAGGGGTGGCACGTGAAGGGAAGAGCGAGCTGGACGCTGTCGTCGGCATCCACTGGCTATCACTGTATCCTGCCGAGTTCAGAGTAAGCCGATGAGTGAAAGTGCTTTACTCACTTGCTGATGGTCGTGTCAGGGCGCTTGCATGGACCCTGCCGTCAAGAACGGTGACAGGTGGGAGTTCCCTTTCAAGTCTCGCGACGTGCAAAGCAACAACAGGGCACATAATCCCGCTGAAGCGAAGAATGCATTGGTGCAGGTCACTCGCTCAGGTGAAGTGATTCTGCTTTATCAGAACGAAGGCCCCCTCTGGCTATCCACCAGTGATACCCTGGACTCTCTTCGGTCCTCAGACGAGTTCATCTCCCACGCAGCCATTGGGGAAGATGGGTTGGACTTGCTGGTCGTCGCTTATGATCACTCATCTAGATTTCGTCTATACCGGATCATTATCAATTGGAATCCGACTCAGCACCAGCGTGCGCCGAATGTGGTACAGACCACTGTCGCCCCGACCCTCGAAGTGCGCCACTTGACTGCCTTGGAAAATGTTCGTGCCCAGCATGTCGATACCGCCAAGCTCACTCACTTGCGTCTCCTGCCGTCAGTGCCAGAAGCCGCATATCCCATGCCGACTCTGCCTACATTGTTCGCGGTATTCACCCAGATATCTCTGCCGACAGATGCGGGCCAGAACCAAAGTTCTTTCGCAGTAATCTCCCGCTGGCACATTGACACATTTACCCCCACGCTTCACGAGAGCTTCAAGAAGCCGAAGCCGGGTAGCGACACATCGGGGGCCATGGGCACTGTCACGGTCCTCAAAAGACAGCAGGATGTAGTCACAAACAAGGTCATTCTATCATTCGACACGCAAATGTTTGACAAAATATTGGCCTTTGGCGCGACCGATGGCACAGTAGATTTCCGCGACAGAGCCACCATGGATCCGCTGCAGACGGCGTTCGGAGATGCAACTCGCGTCTCGAGCTTACCACAGACGGGGTTTGACCATCTGCCCAGGGATCACAATGTCGATGTCGCGGTGTCTGCGGATGCCTCTGGCCTCGCTATCGTTGATACTGAAGGCAACGCGAGCGCCCATGTGATGAACCTGACGCATGGATGGCAGATAGTCCAAGATGAGATGAGCGACAACAGGCCCTTCATCGACGCGGCTATCGCATGTGTCGCACGGCAATTCGCCATCCTCTGCTATCAGAATGCATCGAACGATGAGTCACTTGCTCTGGTGCCATCCAACGCCGACTCCGACGTTCGGTCACGTATCGTCAGGAACATATACAAGATTCTGAACCGCAGTCCAGACCTTCTCATGCAAGACGGCGGGAAGCAGCAAATGTTTGTCTTCAGAGACGCCCTGATACCGCGAGCGTTGAGCGCTTCTCTTTCCTTTGGTACCAGTCCGACTTCTGGAGAACGGAATTGTGCAGCTCAGCTTGCCTTCATCGTGCTCAACATTCGTCTTCTGGCCCAAGCACTAGCACCGGCAATTGGAATTAATCGCGATGTCAAGAGCATGCCTCCGGAAATATTCGCGTCTCTCGGTGGACAGATACGATGGGCCACAGACCTCATCATTCACATCATGGACACGATCACGACGGTGCAGAGAGATATGGAACCAAACACCTCGAGCAAGAAAGCCTTCGACGAGCTGAGGGCAAAGAGTGGCAGCCCGGTGATGCAAGTACTCCTCAGCACGTTCTCCCGCGCTCTACTGCGTCTAGACTTAGCTTGGATCATGAAGTATTTCCAAGCGGTTCAGCAAGTGGCGTTGCCACGTGCTCGAACGATAGCAGAAAAGAAAGAGCTCACAGGTCTTCTGGAACTGGCATCTACAATACCGTTCCGCTATCACGAGTTTGAGAAGATGCTGCAGGAACTTGACCAAGCCGTTAAAGATGCCTGGGTGCGAAGTGGTGTGCCAGCCGAACAGCGCGCTGAATTGGAAGGAGCTATGCTCTGCGACGGCGAGATCCCAAATGAGCTCGAGCCAGCCATTGACACGCTGCTGAACACCATCCTCCCAAAATTGAAAGAGACCATGGACATTGGCAAGCTGTATTTCTGGAACACAGACCGCTTGTCCATTGCCTGTGCCAAGCCGAGATCTGGACAGCAGCAGTTGGACATTATCCGCAAGACGCCCATTCCCAAGGACGCTCCCATTCGCCTGTGTCGCCGCTGCGGCTCCGTGACGGAGGATGTAACGCAGGAGAGAGCACGCGAGCTACCGAATTGGTTACAGCACGTACACCGACATTGCGTGTGCATGAACTTCTGGATCCTACCTTGAAAATCTCGCGCGGTCGCAACAATGGATAGATACCTGTTCCTACACTTCGGTTGTCTGCTGCTCAAGAAAATCTTCGTGGAAATTTATGTATCATTGATACAATAAATACCAATTTGCTAAATTTCTACTGTTCCGTCTTACTCTGCTTTCCCTCTTCCTCCATGCCCTCGCATCCCACTGCCTTTCCCGCCAGCTCTTCTGCCTTTCCAAATCCAGTGGCGTTGGGGTCTCGGTTGGCGCTGGCGGCTTTCATGGCGTCGACACCCGCTTTCTTGTCGTGCTCGCCGCTCTGTTGCCATTCGGCGGAGCCAGTGACGCTGCCGACGGTCGCCTGTTCGATTTCAATACCATACATTAGCGAGAGGGAGATCTGTTTCCTTCGGACTCTGTTTTGTTTGATTACCTCTGCTTGGCCTTTGACGTATTGGGCGTGCCCGCCGATCAGGGTTGGGTTGTTGGAGTCGGACATTGCGATGTGCTTGCGTCGCTTCTGTTGTGATTGTAATAACTTTGAGATCCGTTCAAACTCGTTGCTTGAAGCAGGAAAGTGCGCGTTGTGTTGGAGGCGACAACATATATATGAAGGCATCACATGCCCGATGCCCACGCAGTCGGTGACGTACTATGAGGTCAGCAGTCTGGAGCTGGAGCTCGCGTTGATCATTGAGATCGGAAAAGCTTCGATTGGGGCATGTTGCAAATATGTTCATTGAGAAAGAAGATAATCTCTACTCATTGTTGTGACTGGAAAACTTCCTCCGTCTCCGTAGAACATCGCCCTTCGCACCGAGAGCAACGCTTCCAAAACATGAAACCATCCAACAACGCCGTTTCGCCCGCAGCCCTGCCTTCTTTACGTTCATGATTCGTCCGGTGATGGGATTTCAGTCCTTCTCCAGGTCCTTTGGCTGTGGGTCGTTGATTCCACTCTCGGTAATGGCAAACATGCAATCTGCCTCTGGCAAACAGGGCGAGTCATAGATCTTGCAGATACGCGTCTCGCCTCGGCCCTTCTTCAGCGACAGGCGGGTGGTCGAAGCGTGGGCGATGATGTTGCCACCAATGGGCTTCTTGGGATCCGGGTTGAACATTGCCGAGGGGCCACCATCTACCTGCGCAACGACCTGGTTTGTGATTACGACGGCGATACCGAACTCGTCGGCAAGTCTTTGGAGTGTGCGCATGAATTTGGCCAGATGAGTCTGTCGATTGGAGAGCTCGCCACGGCCGTTGAAGTCAGTCCGATACAGTGATGTAGCGCTGTCGACGATAAGCAGGGAGAAGCGAGTCTCTGTCATCATCTGAGCAGCCTGGTTAAGCAGCTGAAGTTGGTGGTCCGAGTTATATGCGCGTGCGTATGCGACATTGTCCAACACTTCTTCTCCAGACAGCCCGTATCGATCGGCGACAGCAAGCAGTCGCACTGGGCGGAAAGTTCCCTCCGTATCGATATACAGACACTTGCCCTCGCCGCCGCCCATGTCAAACGGTAGCTGGCAAGTTACCGCCAAGGTATGGCAAATCTGGCTCTTTCCCGTTCTGAACTCTCCGAAGAGCTCTGTGATGCTACCCGTCTCGATGCCGCCTGCTAGTAGTGTATCCAGCTGCTTTGAGCCGGTCGTGACGGATATGAGTTCTGATCTTCGCTGGTGCATCTCCGTGGCAGTCGTGAATCCCATGGGCACAAGCTTCGATGCTGCAAAGGCAAGTTAGCGGCCGACTGCGGATGGTGGACCGAACATTGCTCTTACCTTCGGTTAATACCTTGGTCGCCTTCTGCTCCGAGACGCCTTTTATTGTCTCGAGAATCTTTCTGGGGGTGTACGCTATGCTCTCGACGGTATTGTATCCGGCATCGACGAACAGCTGGACGTCGCGCTTCGTGAGGCCTGCCGTTCCCTCCAGCACCGAAAGTGGCGAGGGCGCACCCGGACCGCCGGCGAGTCCATCTTCGTAGCCCGTCTGTGTGTGATCGTCGTCGGACATTGTGTTGTGTTGTGTTGGTGGATGCACAAGTTGAGGCGATTTGGGATGGGATTGTTGGAGGTTGCAACCTTCCCCAGGCTTTCAAGGTCAACGCGATCTGGCCGAGACGCGACAGTCCGTGCGTTCGCCACAACGGGGTCCCACGACACGAGATCACGTGCAGCGTGTCCCCAAGAATGGACACTGCAACTTTTTGGGGAAACCCTGCTCACATGATGCTCCAGCTTCAGCGCGGATCCCGAGGTTGCTCTTCAGCATGGCATGTGAAAGGTCCATAGTCCTCCCGCCTCTACCCACCAATTCGCCGTCTCTCCTTGCCGACCTCTTCCTCCGCCATCTTTTCGGTCGCCTCGATGGATAGTACATCCTGCTAGTATCCAAACGGCGCCAATCACATCACAATGGCGATACAGCCCCTCCCACTGTCTGTTCCCGTCTCGAATCGATCGCTCAAGAAGTTGTTGAGCGACCTCACCACCCTCTATACCAACAATCGTACCCGTGTCTCGAGGACAATATATGTCGCGCTGACGCTGGTGTTGATCCACCGAGTCAGAGGCGCCATCAAAGAGCAGAAAGCAGCGGCCGCCAGAGCTGCAGAGAACAGACGCAAAGGTCTAGCGGGAGAAGAAGGCAAGAAGAAGAAGAAAAAGGTTGAACTGAATCGGGAATTCTTTCGCAATCTCGGCCGGCTTCTGAGGATATGCATACCCACCTGGAAGAGTAGAGAGGCACGACTATTGCTGAGCCATTCTGTATTCCTGGTGCTGCGGACACTCATGAGCTTGTATGTCGCTGAGCTTGATGGACGCCTTGTCAGTGCCCTGGTGCGAGGGAAAGGCAAAGCCTTCCTCAGAGGCTTAGTATGGTGGATGATTGTCGCCGTCCCAGCGACCTTCACCAACTCCATGGTGAGCCCGGTGAAATGCATCGTGAACTGTCCTCCACTAACTCTCGCGTTAGCTTGCTTACCATCAAACAACACTCTCACTCGCGTATCGATCCCGACTCACGAACCACATTCACAATCAATACCTTGGTAACATGACCTTCTACACTTTATCGGCTCTCGACGATCGAATCAAGAACGCCGATCAACTCATCACCGTCGATGTCTCCAAGTTCTCCAATAGCCTGGCTGAGCTCTACTCTAGTCTCTCGAAGCCTCTATTGGATCTGATCATTTACAGCTGGAGCCTATCAAGAAGCGTTGGAGGTGAAGGATTGTTTGCTATGAGCTTGATGGTGCAGCTCAGCGCAAGTGTCATGAGAGCCTTGACACCGCCTTTTGGGAAATATGTGGCCGAGGAAGCCCGCCTCGAAGGTGAATTCCGAGCACAGCACTCCCGTCTAATTGACTACAGCGAGGAGATAGCCCTGTACGATGGGCATGAGGCCGAGAAAGATACCGTCGACAAGGGCTACTTCACTCTCATCAAGCATGTCAACCGCATTCTCCGGAGAAGATTGTACCACGGTGTCATGGAAGAATTCGTCGTCAAATACTTCTGGGGCGCGCTTGGCTTGCTTCTATGTTCTGTACCGGTATTCTTTAAGCTACCTAGCGCACTTCCCGGGAGCAACAGCGCTGGCGACAGAACAGAAACATTCGTGACGAATCGGCGCCTGCTACTGTCGTCAAGTGACGCCTTTGGACGCCTCATGTTCTCATACAAAGAGTTGTCAGAACTGGCGGGATACACGAGCAGAGTCAGCATGCTGTTGGAAGTCATAGCCGACATCCAGCGAGGCCACTTTGAGAAAGCCCTAGTCTCATCCGCGTCAACGGAATCGAACGCCGCTGTCCTAGCTGGTCGGGGAGAGCTATTAGAAGGTGAAGACATCAAGTTCGAGCATGTGCCAATCGTCTCGCCCAACGGCGATGTCCTGGTGAAAGCCCTATCATTTCACATTGCGAGAGGAGACCATCTACTCATTGTCGGGCCCAATGGCTGTGGAAAGAGCAGCCTGTTTCGAATCCTAGGGGGTTTGTGGCCTGTATACGGTGGCAAGGTCAGGAAGCCTCCCAGCGAAGACATATTCTACATACCCCAAAGGCCCTATCTTAGTAAGGGCACCCTGAGACAGCAGATCCTATATCCGGACAATCTGCTGGACATGCGCGCCAAAGGGATCACCGATCAGGACTTGATTAGCATTATGCAAAGCCTCGGACTGGAGTCGCTGCTTGAGCAAGTCAACACAAAGCCTCCTACTGTTGATCACATTGGGCCCAATAGCCCTGTCGAGAGCCGCTCGAGGCCAGCTACAAGTGACACGGGCGTGCTCGATGTCGAGCATGAGTGGGCAGACGCACTTAGCACAGGCTTTCAGCAAAGGATAGCTGCCGCCCGACTTTTCTATCACAGGCCCAAGTACGCAATCCTCGACGAGTGCACGTCGTCGCTAACACCGGAAGCTGAGAAGACCATGTATGATGAGGCGAAGCGTCTTGGGATTACCCTGATGACCGTATCCCATAGGCGGTCGCTTTGGAGATACCATGGCTGGATCCTCCAATTCGACGGACAAGGCGGGTACGTGTTCACCGCCTTGGACGCCGAGACCAGGCTGAAGCTGGAAGACGAGAAGGAAGAGCTCGATCTGCAGCTCAGAGCGGTGCCGGAATGGGAGAAGCGAATTGCCGAACTCGAGGCTGGTGGGCAGCAATGATTGCCAACATCAGCCCACCCACCCGGGTTCTGCTCCTGTCGGATGAGCTCTTTGTAGGATCACGATTTGGTGGTGTGTTGCAGTGTCTTGGTTTGTATCAGCTTGGGAACTGAGGATTCGGTACGGAAACTCAGGGCTGGAAAGGCGATATCTACCGTCCCATCCAGTGTAACCACACAGATTCAAACACGAGAGCTGACAGCAGTTCCAGCAGTGCATCGCATCCGTGTACCTGGGGATGAGGCGAACAGCATGAGCGACGCTTCTGTCCGCTGGTTGGCAGTTGGCTTCGGGCGGCCTCACTTTTTTGAACGGCTTGCTGCGCCTCACGGTTAGCTAGCGCTGAGTGCATCCTCACGCCTGGACCAACAGTACCGCTAGGGCGATTCGCATGGACGATTTGATGTGTCATGATAGATATGTAGCCAATTCCCAACATGTGCTGCTACTCGTCACGAAAGAACTCGCTTTTCATTGTGCTTCGGCTTGGTGTGCCTAAGGCAGCCAGACCGCCTCCTTCCCCTTCTCTCTTCGAATCTCCAGCTCCGACAGAACACAAGGATGTCTGCTCCGACCAAAACCCGTGGATACATGACTCGTTATTGCGTCCGGACAACAGCTCACCGTTACTAACGTTACATCATCCTCCGCACCTCACGCCAGACAGACCACACAGTGTTGAAAACGTCCAGCTTTTCTCCCGTCGTCCACTGGTATTTCCACGGAAGTGTGTCTTGCTATCCTACGAAGTTCCGCCGGAGAATCAATCGCAGACCCCCTACCCTCCATTCCGCCCATGTCGATGGTTTTCATGAGGTCGCCTTTCTCGCCGACGGTCCTGTTATGCAGAAGCGCAGAAGGTCAGCTGATGTTAAGACTTGTATGTACCAACGGACAGAAACCCGGCAACGAGCTTCGTACCGAGGGAAGCACTGGGGTGGCTTTCGCCTTTAGGAATCATACCTCTACGCTGCCTGCTGATTCCAGGTATGGGACAGAATTGCTGCCGAGGCGGCCAGTACCTCTAAGCTCTTGCTCTTGGACGTCATTTATGACTCTGGTACGCCATAGATGATGGACGAGTCCCGGATCTGCTGTTTCCCCAATATGGCCACCCTCCGGATGACTTTCCAAGATGTGACCTTGACGGACGGACCATGTGCGCTCTCCAGACGATGTTGTCGCACTCCAATCACAGGCCTGGAACGGACATCTGAGTGTCTGAGGAATTTGCCCTCGCAAGTGAGCCTTGCTGTGTGTGTCACAGTCACTCATGCTCTCGGACTGCTGCTTACATCCCAGGAACGCGAAATAACAGTACCAAGGGGACGCCAGTTGAGATTGCGTTGGAACTTCAACCAGACATCCGTCCTCGTCCAGGAACTTCTGATTGGGATACAAGATGGCGCTTGCATTGCTTGTGAGTACTGAAGATGGACTTCGAAGGCTGCCGCGTGAATCGACCAGCGAAGGGGTACCGGACGAAGAGGCGGAGCTCACACAGCTGCCGGCCGTCAATGCCATCGAGGAGGAATTCGACGCTACCGAAGGCGCGTGTCTTGGAACAGCTCGTTGCGAGTAAGAAAAAAAATATCGAGGGGTGTCAAAGCGCTGCTGAAAGTCAGGTCGTCCATGGCTATCCCAAGCGCCTTCATTCACAAGTCTTTGAGTTCGGCCATTCCGCAGGTCAGCGAAGCTCGGCGCCACACATGCATTGTCTAGCTCTGCATTCGGATCCTCGGTGCCATTGCCGGCCATCCCGCTATTCTCCGTGTTGGTGCTGGACCTCTCGCGGTCGAAGGGTCAAGGGATGACGACAGTTCTCTATGAGGTGTGAGGTTTCCAGAAGTCACCAGAGGCTGATGGGAGTCTTTACGGGCGAATGAGCGGGCCTTGGTCATTATAGACCGTCTCCTGGGCTCGTTGGCTCACCACATGAAACGTCAGTCTGCAAATAATATCTGGAGCCTTGTCTATGTGCGAGCATCAAGTGGTCTTGTGACGGCCATGCAGTGTGGAGACTCTTTGCTACTCCCGATTCGGACACTCCGGCGGATGAGGATACAACTCTGGAATGAGCAAAACTCACATTAGACCTCATTGCAAGCTTGCGTGAGACATCTACAGCGTGTAGTGGGACCGCGTTCCCAGACAGACCATTCGGATGATGCCTAGGAGTCGCCTGGAATCATGGGACATTCTATACGAACTGTTGACAGGTTTCGAACACGTCTCTTCGAATGGGTCCGGATCTTCGTGGAAGCACCAAATCTTTTCCTACAGCCTAGATCACAATCGTGTCCGTTCAAGATCGTGCAGCAGAGCAGTTAACCATGGCAGCGGCGCTCAAAGATTTTGACTCCTTGTGACCATGATTGTTCATGCCGGCCCAGCAACGATAGCCACACCCGGAAGAGGCGAAGCCTCGTGAAAATGGCGCCGGAGCCCCGCGACAACACCTTCCCAGTAGACGCTGAATCGATGAATAGGAACTCCTGGAGCCCGCTCAAAGGGGCCGCGCTGGTCTGACGATCATTGGCTCTGGCGGCTGGACCGGTGAAGCTGCACGGCAGCTGTGCAGTTACTGACAAGGCGCGATGCAAGCTGACGACTGTGCGCAGCAGAGCGCCAAACGCTTCATCACGAAACGTTTAACGCTTCCGCGATTTCATGTGAAGGCGTCGCACGAAAGACACAGTCTCTAATCGCGTCGCTGGGTCTCTGTTCGCTACTTGGGTGCGAGAACCTGTCAACGGGAAATATCTGGCACAGGCCTGAATCTTCCTCCTCGACGACCGCTTACCGTGTTGATTTGTTCGATGCAACTCCGACGAACCTCACGCTATTCGAGAATTTCAATCTACGAGAATTACCTCCGCTAGATTTGGCAAGTTGGTACGGAGTCAGCTCTTGATATCTCTTGCCTTCACGATGTACACATCCTCAACAGGTTGTGGGAGCGGGGTGAGTGAAGCGTATACCATCTTGTTGTGCACAGCAATACAGGTAAGGCTGGTTCACTGCATTGAAAGAGCACGAGCTCACACTTCATCGTAAGGATACTCCTTGTGTTGGAGAAATGTATTGAGCGTTAGCAAAGGACATGTTGGAGAACTGTTGCTGCCCAGGGCAAATTCGGGCTCGAGGTATGTCTGTTCAATTTCTGTGCATCTCAGCTCTCGTCTGACGTCGCATGAGTGGTGATGAAGCAGCAACATCATAGCTTGTCGATTCTCGAATCTCAATGAACGAGCAGCCAGCGTGCGAACTGAAGCTACAATGAATACAGAAGACGCGGGAAGCGTCACCGTCTTTTGCGACAGACTCGGTATGCAAAGCTACGATGCTCCTTCCGCTATCGTCATATGGCGAAGTCATCATAAAGCGAAACAGTTGTGATACAGAGAAAGTCACCTGATAATCATGCATGTCGTAGACCTACATTGCTAGCAGCGCGCACGTTTCCGCGTCACATGCAAGACTTCCATTCTCTTGTTTTGGCAAATAAACAAAATCCAAATCTGCCGTCTCAAGAACTCCTGGAATGCAGAATCTTGAAGCGGCGGTAGATTCGCAGGCTATCTAGGGATGTCGTTCGTGCCATGTAATCGGGCTGGGTCTGTGTTGGGAGGATTGAGTTTGGAGATGCACTGGGTATGGGCATCTAGAACAGCACAGCTTACATGCCATTCGCAATATGCCTGTCAAGTGCCCCAACAAGGGCGGAGACTCGCCGCAATAAGGTGTTGAAGTTTGCGAAGAAAAGTCAGTTGTGGGAGAGACGGGAGAACTGTAGAGGGAAGCGATAGATTTTTAGCGCGGTCAAGAGAATTGGCCCCTCACAAAAGTAGTGCAACTGCGGACCGAGCCATTCGAGCCGCTAGCCGGCTTTCACATGCTCCGTTGAATTCCCACCTCTCCTCCACCTGCTGGACCTGCCCCTTCGCGACCTGCACCACGCCGCTACATCCATCGTAATCGTAATCCCAGATCTGCCGGCCGTCCTCTACTCGTGCGCAGTACTTCTGGTCCTCGGTTGTATGCGATTCAAGTCCAGACTCGACACGCCGTCGCCCTCACGCCCAACATCCACGCAGCATCCTTGCGCTATCCGCCGTACGCGAGGCACACGTCGTGCTTTCGAAGCAAGACCTCTCATCGCTCGGAACCACAAGACGCCTGTCATCGAGAGGGTGAATGAGAGAGCGTATTGTTGCACACCATATGCCCAAGGCGATGAGACCATGATCAGTCTTGGCTGCAAAAGTTACAAATCTCTGAGACAAAAAACACACCTCGCAAGGCGCTCTATACGCGGCAGGCAATGAGCGAGAAGAGTGACCAGAGCGACCAACAAGAGGCGCCAGAGCAGACATCCAAAATGGCGGCCGCAGCGGCATCGTACCAGCAGAGCCAGCTGCCCGGCGGCCACCTGGGCCCAGGTATGGACAATACGTTCCACGGAGGGCAACAACAGTCAGCTATGAATTTCGGAGGTACGATGGATAAGAATATTGTGAACGCGCTATTGTGCACAGAGAAGCTGACCTATTGTACCGCTGTTCAGACAATAGCTTATTCGCGTTCGACAATTCGGATCTCTCCTCATTGTCCGTGGACTCCAATCAGCAACCTATATTAAATCAAAACGACAACCACTACCTTTCTACATTCTTCGACAATCCAAGCATCATCACCAACGAATTCAATCCCTTCGACTTCAGCCCAAGCGCAGAGCAGCGACCTACTGCCAACGGCAATCCAAGCTTGTTTGCTGGAGCTTTCTTCGACTACAACAGCGGCACGATCAACCCGAATACGCCAGGCGCATATCAACGGAATAGTAGTCAGCCGAATGCAGCCGCTCTGAGCGCCGACGATTACACGGCCGCATCGACTATTCACAGCTTGAAGGCGACCAGCTCATCAAGCTTCCAAGCAAATCCGAACGGCCTTGGCGGTGCTTCGTGGGGTGCCTTCATGATGCCGCAGCAAATGCCGCTGAATATCAGCATGGGCAACGCTCCGCTCGTCGGCGCAAATGGTCAAGCCCCTCCTCAGTTCTTTGCTCACCCTCAGAACATGTCGATTGCGCCCGGCACCTTTCCGTTTCAGCAGCAGCAACAGCGATCACATGCGCAGAACGGAAACTCCCGCAATCAGCAGGTGCGCCCTCAGTTCAACTCACACCACAGCTTCACTGCTTCGTCCAGCTACCAAGGCCAGAATCGTCCTCAACAACCTCAAAACCCTCAGTTCCAAGGACAGCAACAACAAGCGACTCCTCCGTCTCAAGGCGGCCGTCCACCACTCTATCAATTCGGCAGCGACCAAGGCTTCGACGGCAATCGTTATTCCAATTCATCAGCTGCGCCGCAGCCAGACGGCAAAGCCAACAATCTACTTGGTGTGCCTGGTGCTGTTCAGGCTGCGCGCACTCCATATCAGAACGGTCAACTCCTTCCGCCACAGCAACAAGCTGCTCAGTGGGCTGAGATGGCTAGGCGAAACGGCGCTCAGTTCCCAGATGCTCACGACCACAAACGTCGCAAAAGTGGTGAAGGTCAATCTTCTACCCCGCGGGCGATGCACGGCGACATAGGATACGACACCTTCGCAGATGGCTCCGCCAAGCGTCGGAGATCCAGCCTCACTCGCCATCCCTCGGAGCTGCCTGGCTCACCCCTGCTTCAAGAACAAGACCGCAGCTTGCTTAGGAACAAGCGTGAGACCCTCTCTGACGCACAAAAGCGCGACAACCACATCCAGTCTGAGAAGAAGCGACGCAACATCATCAACCAAGGGTACGAAGACCTGAACCGGCTCGTCCCCTGTCTTGCCAGCGGCAAGTCTGGTTTGTCGCGCTCGGAATGCCTGCAAGAGATTGCATGCTATCTTGAGTCCTTGATACGCGGTGCCGACTCGGCCATGAATTGGCTGAAGGTGTCGCGGCAGGAACTGGGCAGCTACAACCCGCGCCCTGCTCCACCGCCTCCGCCTCCATTTGGACATCCACCGCAGCCTCAGATCCAGCGCCCTCTTCTTCCGCCATCAGCCCAGACACCGCGCCCAGCTCCTCAACAAGCCCAATATCCGGCGCCTCAAGCTCAGCAACCGCCAGAGCAGCAAGTTCCGCGCCCACCGCCACAGTCACAGCAGCAAGCTCCCCAGCAAGTTCACGAACCCGCTTCTCAGCCACAGCAACCGGGCACAGAGCAAGTCCAGAACACGTCGCAGCAGACCCAGGGAGCGCAAGCGCCACCCCAGACTCCAGGGCCTGTCTTCAAAAGCGAGGGCAACGGTCTCCCGCCCAGCGAATGACGAGTGAGCCAGGGCTTCGGCCTTCAAATACGGCCCTCTTTGCTCTCAATCTTGGGGCACGTATCATCATCTTACAGGCATCTCTTGACCTGTGCCGGTGGCTGGGCGGGCATGCGCAACTCTCGTATCAAGAGAGCACATGCGAGACTCTCAACACGGCGTTGCTGCACAGTTGCACATAGGGTAGAAAACTTATGAATACCCCTCGATTCATCGAATCGATGCTCTGGAAATGCTTCACGATCACGACCATGGCATACAGAATCTTGCCATTGTTCTCTGCTGCTGGAGTTGGGCCGGATATACCACGGAATGCGGTTTTCTCTGCTTGCTACTGCTGTGCTTCCATTTTCACACACCAAGACGACGACCATAGAAGAGAGGGCCAGGCGATGCATGTGGGGAAGGACAAGAGGTGATCTGATCTGCTTCTTTCCATCGCTGCCAGCCCTGGCCTTCAGCATTCTTTTCCTTTCTGTTCACGAGACTGACTAAATTTGGAGCTTGGAGATGGGCTGGGCGGGCGGGCGCGACAAGCTGAGCGATACGGAGATATTCAATTCTCTTTCTAGATGAGAAAGGGCAGGACACGGCGTTCGGGTGGCCTTTTCTGGATTGACGAGGATTCACCTCGGGAGGCTTTCTTGAGACCGGTGTCTGGCTCTTTTTCCATCATCATCACCATCATCATTATCATCATCACAATCGAGCGACTTCTGCTTTCTTCATGTAACTACTTCATCCTCACACCACCGTCAAAAGCAGCGGGCGATAGCGCTTGCTCTCACAGGGAAATCAATTCTTTGTTCAGAACTACCATCCATTGATCTGACTTTCGAATTCTCGGGCTTTCCGTGTGCCTTGCCGTTCAGACCTGGATTGATCCGGCATCGTTGCAAGAGGCGAGGATACGAGAGTAGATTTGTCGATCCAACCTGATTCCTTATCAGAGTGACTGCAGGTGTGCTATATTAAGTCCATGCTGCTGACGACTGGGACGTGGTTCCCTTGTCCCTTGTCCCTGGCTTGTGCTAGCCGGACGGCAGTCGCAGTCAGTACCTCGGAATAGAAACCGCGATCTGCAGGGCACGGGCACGATCCACGTGCTCGCAGTCAGCTGATGGCGCACACGCTAGCACTACTACTCTGCTTGCTTCCACCTTCGCTTTCTCCATTGCACTGCCCCCGGCACTACCTTACACGCTACACACTCCCCTGCCCTGCCACCACGCCGGCCCTACAACCAGCCAAGTACCGTACCGTACCGCAGCGCGCCGCACCGCACCGCACCGCACCGCACCGCACCGCACCGCACCGCACCGCACCGCAAGACTACTACGAGTAGTAGAGTGTCAGCTCGCCATGTTGCTCTTCGACTGCCCTCTCCCTCCCCACTCGCTGCATCCCACACACGCCTCCGACCATGATTAGCATTGCGAAGGAACGTCCCAGTTCCATACGCACATTCGACTGGACCGTCGACCAATCCTCAGCCGCCTCGAACGATTTCAAACGGTGTACGCGTGAACATGTCGCATGGAAGACCTCGCCATTGGGCCTCATGGCACAATGGCCCTCCTCCCTCCGCCAGATGGTGCTGCTCTCCATGGCCGACCTCTCACCCTCCGCCGTGCTGTATGGACCGATGGAGCAAGTCGCGATCGTGTACAACGAACCCTTCGCAACTCTGCTCGCCAGCAAGCATCCCGTTCTCCAAGGCCAACAAGTCGCAGGCCAGCTCCTGGAGCTATGCCCGGACTTTGACGCTACATGGCAGAGACAGTATACTAGTGGAACCACGGAGGTCGTCGGGAATCAGCGAATACGGCAAGACCGGCTAGGCTTCGTAGAAGAGAAGACCTATGCTTGGAAGTTTGTTCCTACAGTAGGAGAGGATGGGTTGATTGTGGGTAGCTTGGTCACGGTGGAGGAAGAGAATAGACCGTTACCACGGAGAGAGAGGAGCAAATCAGCTGCCTCAGAGTTCGAGAGGGCCTCCACGAGCGCGATTGAGCATACTAGCATGCAAGCAACCATGAATTTCAAGCAGCTCGACGAACGTTTCACCGGTCGAGGCTGTCATTGCGAGGAACTATGGAAGGCCATAAAGCAAATTGAATACAACGAGGCTAAATACGAAAAGTTTGCCAACTATGCGCCGGTTGCAATAGCCGCATTGGATTCAAAGTCCTACGAGCTCGAATGGGCGAATAAGGCGTATTACGACGTTACCTCACAGCCCCCGAACTCCAAATCTTTCCTTGACTACGTTCATCCTGACGACGTTCATCTTGTCCAGGGACGATTCGACGTGGGCGCCTTTCAGGACGGATCATTTACTTTCGAGTGTCGTCTGAAGAAATGGGCTCGGCCGGCTGTGAGTCCGAGTGAGGCTCCCGCGGCTCCCTCTCCTGCCTGGGTTCTGGTATCCGCGTTTCGAGAGAACGAGGGCAGAGAGCACATCATGTGCTGGATCATTGACATTACCGCCCACAAGAATGCAGAAGACGTTCTTCGTGTGCGCATGGCCGAGGCGATGGAGATGAAACAACAAAAGGAACGGTTCATCGACATGATATCCCACGAGATTCGCAATCCGCTCTCGGCCATGGTCCACTGCACAGATGATATTATCGAGAACGTCGAAGATCTCCGCAACGGCAGGGACACGGATATGCCCGCAAGCATCCTCGAGAATGCTGCGACGATAGCGTACTGCACCCAACACATCCAGAATATCGTGGGAGATGTCCTGACGCTGAGTAAACTCGACTCGCGCCTCGTCGATGTCTGTCCGAAACCATCGCAGCCCCGAGAAGTCGTCCAAGGCGCCCTCAAGATCTTCCAGAACGAATTCCGAGCGAACTCGATCGAATTGGATTTCGCCGAAGACCCGTCCATGCAGGCATTGCGGATCGATTGGCTCCTTTTCGACCCCAATCGTCTGGTCCAGGTCCTCGTCAACCTCGTCACCAATGCGATCAACGTCGTCAAGTCGAGAGTCAAACGAAAAGTCACCGTCCGTCTCAGTGCCGTGACCCGTTCCCCTTATGAGACCGGTGACGACATCCAATGCGTGCGTCCTCGACAGACTCCCAAACCGGTCGATTTCGGCGGGCTGATCAACGCCGAGCCGTCCGTGTTCGTCGTGATCTCGGTGGAAGACACCGGGCCGGGCTTGGAACCCGAGGAAAAAGCCAGCTTATTCGAACGCTTTGCCCAAGCTAGCCCGAAGACGGAGAGCAAGTATGGCGGCAGCGGACTGGGACTTTTCATCTCGCGATTCTTGACAGAACTCCAGAATGGGACGATCGGAGTCGCTTCGGAACCAGGTGTCGGGAGCAAGTTTGTGTTCTCCGTCGAGGCCAAACGCACCACGGCACCGTCCCCGCCCACTACTTCCCCGCCGGCCGTCGTACAGATTCCCTCGATTGAGATTCCGACACGATTACGAAGCTCTGTCCTCGGCGTGGATTCGAATAGTCCTGTACTTTCCATACCCTCTCCACACGCTCTGCATGGACACGGAGTCACCCGTACCCAGCAGCAGCAGCAGCCACCTCCACCACAGCCTCAGCAGGATAAGTCCGCCCCTCGCCGAGTACTCGTCGTGGAAGACAACCTTGTCAACCAAAAAGTCCTCGCGAATCAGCTCCGAAAGCGCGGGTACGAAGTTGGTGTTGCCCTTCACGGCGAGGAGGCTTTGGAGCTATTACAGATGACCTCTGCTCCTTCATCTTCCTCTCCTTCTGCGCGCGCTTTTGATGTTGTGTTGATGGATTTGGAAATGCCTGTAATGGATGGAGTCTCCTGCGTGGAAAGGATACGTGCTTTTGAGAAGAAGCATGGAGAGGAGGGCGACAGACTGCCGGTCATCGCCGTTACTGCTAATGCAAGGAGTGAGCATGCGACGGTTGCCCTCGGAGCTGGCATGGACGCAATCACGACGAAGCCTTATCGGATTCAGGAGTTAGTTGCAGAAATTGGGAGGGTCTCTGGATCTGGGGCTAATTGAGGTGAAATCTTGCGCTATTGACCACGCAGCGAGAGGGGAGTCAGCCCAGAGCTTCCAAGATATCCGTTCGTTTGTCTCCATCCGAGACCTCCAACTTTCATTAGTGCCTCGCAGTACGGTCACGTCTAAGCCATGACGACGTTATGCTTGGTGGACGACTCTGGCAATACACGAGCAGACTGCTTTATGCCAGGCCCAGTTGTTCCGCTGACACTCGCGCCCGCAGTACTTAGCCTTCTTGCACTTGGCGCAACACAGCAAAGGAGCATTGTTGGGGCCGTAAGATGCATCGCACTCGGCACAGGTCAAGTGCTCGCCAGCGGCCAGATCCAGGTCCACTCTCTCGCGCCACAGACGCTTCTTCAGATCCTCGGGGAGACTTTCCACCACACCGGCAGGGGCGAAGTCGTTCGGAGCAGGCACGTTGATCAAGGTCGAGAATGAACAAATTCTGTCCTCGTGGTCTGCTCCGCCCGCATGTTACATCTCATGGATGTCGAGAGAACCGAAATCATACGGAACACCATCCTGGTATGCATTAGGGCCATCCAGTGCTTTCTCCATCTGCCTAAGCCCGTCACGCAGGAGTCCCACCTCGGGGTAGATCCGCTTCAGCGTGGCCCTGAAACGATCAGGGAGGATGCACCCAAGCGACATGAGGCAGGCACCCAGAATGACGACCTTGTAGCCCGCGCCGAATGGGTTGCGCAGCAGCTGTTCTTCCTCCATCTTCTTCGTGTACTTTTCTGTGAGGTGCTGAGCCATGCTCTCATGCGGATGTAGCGCCAGCCTGTATCATGGTCGGACTGGAACAGCCCGAGACCCCACGCACCCATGATGATGACACGTTGGGCGGCTTCTGGGAGGTCTGGAGTGTTATACGCGTCGGGTGTGTTCGGAATGTTTTGGAAAGTGGAAGAAAGTGTAGTCGACCGGTCATCAAAGGGAAAGTGCTTTACGCGCGGACCTCGTTTACAACAGGCTGCAACCACCATCTCGCGTGCAAGAGGAAGGCGCGCACGACTCCATATACACCCTCGAGGAAGGAACATGCGGCGGTACGCCCGGCCAATGCCCAAAATCGTCGGCTCGAAGACTTCAAGTTGTTGGCCTGCTTCGATTTGCGGATGTACCCGGCCGTTTCTGAACAATGGCGAGGTCAAACAGAAATGCATGTGACAGTAAGTCAGCGCCACGCATATTCGACAACATGGCTCCAGTCTCCAGCGCCGCCAGCTCCCTTGGACGCAGCAGGTCAATGTTTAGACGTACAATAGACATGTATCCAAAAGACACACCCGTCCCATGACACCGCTTCCTAGCTAATCTTCTTGATACGACTCCTGGCAACGTCGATCTTGCCCTGCAACCTGTCGGAGTCCTGTTCCACCAAGCCAAGCATCTCGTTCTGAATCACCAGCTCCTCGTTGATCGTCATGCCCATGTCCTTCAGCTTCGCTACGGTCTTGCCAAGCGAGAGAACGTCTTCGTCTTGTTCTTGCAGGACCTGCTTCTGCAGTTGCAATACACCTGAATTATCCAGCTCCCGCGTGCGTTCAGTCTCCTTGAGCGGTCCACCGAGAACGCGGCCGCCCGGCTTCGCCGCTGACGTGCCTTGCCACAGCGCCGCTTTGTCGCCGTCGGTGGCGGTAGCATTCTTGTTGATACTGCTCGACGCCGCTGCAGTTTTGGACGCCATACTTCTCAAAACCCCTTCCAGACCCTCCACCTCCTTCTTGGCCGCGCCCACAAGGTCTCGCCTCCGTCTCAATTCTCCATCTCCTAACCTCTTCGCGCCACCCCAGCCTGCATCGTCGCCCTTGCCAGTAGTCGAGATTGCCTTCAAACCATCCTCAAGTTGCGCAATGGATGTTGCTGCGCGTACTAGGCTCGCCTTCGCATCTGCAGCTAGCGAGTGCTGAGACTGTGCTGTGGTTGCGGCCTCCCTTTGTTTCAGCAATTGTCGAGCACTCTGTATCTGCGACTTCAAGCTTCCATGTACATCCAGCCACTGGTTCGGGTCTCTAGGAGTCCCACTAGAAGTACCAGGTCGATTTTGAGACACTGTGCCATTGGTGGTTGCTGTCGATGCGCCGCTTGGTAGATTCAGAAAGCTCCTCCAAGCACTGCTGCTTCGCCAACGTGCATCGTCCGACTCTATTACTGTCCTGACATATCTCTCCAGCCCTTCCCTCCTCTCTTCGGTGAGGCTTTCGTTATTAACTGTCCGTCTGATCCACGACTTCGGGGGTACAGCTGCAGGAGGTTGCTGGCCGGTTTGCGAGACAAGGTCATTGTTCAGATTGACGAAGTCTGTGTAGCGCTTCTTGATCTCATGTTTTCGTAAAGGCAGCTGCAGGACGACGTGATAGACAGTATAAGGCTTGCCTTCCGCAGGCGTTACTGTAGACGCGGTTGGGATGGAGATGTGCAGCGCGGGCGCCATCGTGAGTCCTATCTCATCGCTTGCTGATGGATGGTGAGTCGGCTTCGTTATCTGTGTGTTCGTAGATGCCTCCGATTCGGATGCTGAAAGTCAATATAGAGTTCTCCAGGCGAGTGGATAGGCGGATGGTCTCGTCTGGGATTCTGCGAAAGGAATGGTCTGGTGAGTCTGTAGCGCGCAGGTGATGGATGGATCTGGAGCAGGGAAGCGCGATCTGCAACCTCTGCAGCCAAGATGTCATTCCCGCTACCTTATCACGAGCTTAGGTTCCGAGCCGAAAGCCTAAACTTAGTTTGAGGATCCCCCGAGAGGATATACTTCTTAGGTTGTTCCATCAACACTCCGCTATCTTGTCAAAGGCCTACGGCGCCGTCAGATCGAACAATGCAGTCAGTACGCCAGATCGAACGCCTGAACCAAGCCGAGCTCGACAAGTGCGTGCCGCCTAATGCATCTTGGCACACCGACTACCGCGATACAGCCTACATCTACGTCGGTGGCCTGCCCTTTGAGCTTAGCGAGGGTGACATTCTCACAATCTTCAGTCAGTATGGCAATCCAGTGCACATCAACCTGGTTCGCGACAAGGAGACCGGCAAAAGTAAAGGCTTTTGTTTCCTCAAGTACGAGGACCAACGAAGCTGCGACCTTGCAGTGGACAACTTGAGCGGAGCGGGTGTTATGGGTCGCGTGCTCAGTGTCGACCACACCCGATACAAGAAGAAGGAAGGCGAGATTGAAGGTTTGGGACTTGAGGGTGAGGCGGATCAGGCGGATGATACAGATACAGAAGGTGACGAGCGGAGGAAGCGTCGCCGAACGGAGAGTGAAAGCGAAGAGGAGAGGCCTTTGATCAAGGAAGAAGTAGAGCTGGCAAAGCTCCTGAGAGAGCACGAGGACGATGATCCAATGAAGGAGTATCTCGTTCAACAGAAGCGTGAGGAGGTTGCAGAAGCTCTGAAAGCTCTGGAGAAGCCGAAAAAGAAAGACAAGGACCGAGCAAGAGACGACGAGCGAAAACATCGGCATAGGCATCATCATCGGTCACGCAATGACGATCGATATGACGAGAATGATCGCGACCGGAGAAGAGACAGACACCGCTCGCGAAGGGATCGGGTTGAGGAGGAAGAGGGCGATGGCGAACGTAGATCTCACAAGTCACGTCGCTCGGGAGACGACGAAGAAGACAGCAGGCGACGTGGCACTCATCCTTCAAGACGGAACCGATCGCGGACACCGGATTTCGACAGAAATGAGGACCGAAGAACGCACAGATCTCGCCGATCCGATTCTGTTTCGAGCGATGAAGAGCTGAGGAAGAAGCGCGATCAGAAACAACGAACTAGAGACCGGTCGGAAGGCAGTCGCGAGCCATATAGACGGCGATAAGAGAAGATCCATGGCCCGGAGATCTTGGCCAGACGTTGCTGCGTCGAGTTAGAATCATTGCTTGCATCATGTGGGAAGTGATTGTATATGCTTTGGCCGATCCGGTGGAATCATCTAGGCGCCGAACATCTTCTATCTCAACGACGCAGAAAGTTTTATACGGCGATAGAAAAGACACCCTGCATCGGCTCTGCCGTGCCTTTTGGCAGGGAAAAGTCAAACGCCCATATGATGTGCTCCGAATGATCCATAACATCGCAGCTACTCTGGTAGACCGTCTGTTTCCCCGAGACAGGGGCGTGAGTTTGTATGTCCTGGAGACCAGATCTTCTTACAACTTCGCAGCCCTAGGCTCGCGCTCTAGATCCCTGAACCTCCTGAAGAACGTGATGGCATCCGGATTCAATACTGTGTTGCTCGGCTTGACATCAATTCCGCTGATCGTTTGTTTCACGGCTGATTCGACTTTCTTTCCGTTGATGGTCGTTGGAATTTCCGGGACTATAGAATTGTTAACGTCCAGGGCAGTGATCGACCCGGAAAGGTGTACGGTTCCCACCTTCAATGACGAATCGGGGGACATGGCGCGGCGAGAGACCTGTCTTGATCGCTTGCTTGATTGCATCCCAAAGCTCCTTGGTGAAAATGTTGCCTGCAATCATGACCACGAAGAGAAAGACATCCTCGTCCTTATCTTGTGGTCTTCTCCGGCCAACACAGAGACTGTTCGAGATGTGTTCAGTGAAAGGCGGCGCCTCCACGATCGAGTAGATCTGATTGGACCAGTCAGCCTCACCGGGTCATGCCTCACGTCAACTGCTGGACTCACCTCTCCAGACCCAAATCTGACGCCAGAAGGATTGAGGACGCCGTCACTCCGACCGTGCATGATCAAGCCGCCAGTTTTCGGATTGTATTGCAGCCAGTCGTGTTGAGCCCAGACATCGAGATTCTCGAACCGTTCAAAGTACGAAGACCTATACTTTGTGCCGTCCTCGTCGCCCCAGAAGAGAGCAGGCATGCTGGGGAAAGGTCTTCTTACAATCATCTCTCCCGACTCACCCGACTCCAAGATCGAATCGCCGGTCTCGGGGTTCGCGATGTCAACGTCCATCCCGAGAGCGAATACCTGCATCTCCCCTGCGTGAATAGGTCCTGCTGGATCGGCGGCGATGAGGGATGTGGCTGTGTCTGTTCCTCCTGCTGTGTTGCATAGATGGACATGTGACGGGAAAGCTCTGTAGAACCAGCGATACTGCTCCGCGGAGAGGGTCGCCCCAGTTGTATAGACGATTCGCAGGGAGGAGAGGTCGAACTCTTGCTTTGGAATGACCTTCGACATCTCGACTTCTAGGAGATACCGGGGCGAGGTGCCGAAGTACGTAACTTTGTACTTACTAGCAATACGTAGTAGCTGCTTTGTGTCGGGATGCATGGGGCTTCCATTGTACAAGATGGTTTCTGGAGGAAGTCAGCACGTACTGAACAATACAGCTCTGTCCTACGCACTGGCACCGCTGGCAAAATAACCACACATAACATAGAAGACCACCCATGAGGTTGATGAGTACTGCAAGATCACGTCTCTCGGCGTCGTCGAGTTATGCACGACTGCGATCTTCTTGAGCTGCATGATAAGACCGTGGTGGTGTACAATGCATTTCGGCGCCCCTGTCGTTCCTGATGAATAGCAAATCATCAGTGGGTAGTTGAAAGGCACACGAGTAAACATTAGCTTGTCTGACAGATCGGCTTTTCGGATGAAGTCGTTGACCGTCTTGGGGTTACCGTCAACGCCTGCCTCAACGGGAACGATGTACAACTGCGGCCTAGGACCCAGGCGTTGCATGATGTTGGCGAGTTTCGAAGCTGTTGGAATGGTTTTGCCCTTGTAGACAGTATGAGAATCCGCAAAGAGGATCTTCGGAGTCACCTGCGCACAAAATGCCTACATCAGCTGTTGTTGCGTGGACCTTGATGGAGCGGTCTGCCAACCTGCTGAAATCGAGAAACACAGCCCTCTATGCCGAGATCCGGGTTTACACAAGTGAAGATAGCACCCATACTTGCACTCGCGTGGAACAACACCATGGCCCATGTCGAAGTTGCAACCAACGCTCCAACTCTGTCGCCTCGCTGGACACCGCTGCGACGAAGAGCGCTAGCAGTCAATCGGACTTGCTCTCTGAATTCTCTCCATGTCATGACCTCGCCGTCGCTGGAGCTCAGGTCCGTATCATCGCGGAGACCGATGAGAGCTATCTCGTTCTCGTCCGGGTTGGAAAACATGGCATTCTCGGCGTAGTTGAATTCCAAGCCTGGGAACCACTTTGGATTCGCACTCATAGGCACGCTAGGGTCGTAGGCATGGGTCGTGCCCTTTGGTAATTCTGGGACGAATTCGAGCCATTGGTACAAATCGATCCAGAAGACCTGTGGATTCTGTACGCTCCATTTGTGCAAATCCTTTGTATTCTTGAGGTCTTGTGAATATTTCCGATTGATATGTCGTCTATACTCGTCCATGGGCGTCTTGCCAGCCTGAGTGGGAGTCCATAGCGCCTCTGAGATATCTTCCTGGGCAGTCATCATGTTGTTTCACGTTCCTTCCAAGACGCACTGAGTATCCAACCTCCCCTCTCTACTCTCGTTCTCTTGCCGCCTTAGCCGCTCTTGGTGGGGAAGAAGAGACCAACGCCGAGGATACGGAAAGACAGACCGGCAGAAAGCCAATGAGAGCTGGCAGAGCACCACTCGCACGTGACATCTGTCATGAAGTATGGACGTCGCTGGAGTATGCAGCTGAGCGCGTCGAGAGTGCATCCTTTGCGATGACTGATGACTGTCGTCAAACACGACTTCTTGCTTAGCGAGTGAAGTGGTCATTGGCAACTGGTGAGAAGTCTCAGTCTTCAGACCACGCGCACGCTCTACATACGGCTTAGCGCCCAGCTTCCTGTCTCACATCTTGAGGTTGACGACACCTTTCTTCAATACTCACATTCATCTACATTGAGTACCACACAATCTCAACGCTTACTCTTTGCGAGGAGACTGCAACTACCCGCAAGAAACACTCTTTTCAAAAGACTTTCTCTGAGATTTGCGTCCATCACAATATGGCTGTCGCAAATGGCGACGTCCGGCATCGACATGCCCATGGGAATGCGCCATCATTGGTCAACGGCGCTACCATAGCCGGCAAGAACGATATCGCGCATACAAACGATGATGAAGCCAAGTCTTCTTCGAATCTACTCAACCTCATCATATGCGTTGGGGGCATTTACGTATCCTTGTAAGTTGGGTTGATTTCCGGCCACTTTGTCGCAAAAGCTCACTGGCCCAGTATAACATGGGGAGTTCTTCAGGAACGCATCACGACCACCAACTACGGCACCAGCAGGGACCCTGAAGTGTTCAAATTCTCCGTCGTGGTCAACACTATCCAGTCGACATTCGCGGCATTACTGGGATATATCTACGTATTGGCCACTCGCAAATCGTCTTCGGACCTTCCGATCTTCCCATCAAGACATATCATTTTCCCGTTGACACTGGTCGCCATTACCTCATCTCTTGGATCTCCCTTCGGTTACGCATCTCTGGCGCACGTGGACTACATCACTTTCATCCTTGGCAAGTCTTGCAAGCTGCTCCCGGTGATGTTCCTGCATGTCACCCTATACGGGAGACGATACCCTTGGTACAAGTATGTCGTCGTTTTACTTGTGACTATTGGCGTTGCTGTCTTCACCCTCCACCAGCCTGCGAGCTCGAAAAAGAAGGGGCCCGAACGCAGCAGTATCTATGGGCTCGTGCTGCTCAGCATCAATCTTCTTTTCGATGGTTTGACGAACACTACACAAGACAGCATCCACTCAAGATTTAGAGGCTACACTGGACAACAGATGATGTGCTCACTCAATCTGATGAGTACATTGTTGACTTCGAGTTATCTATTACTTTCACCATACATTGCGCATACCGGTGTTGGTGCCTTCTTTGGAATGGACCTCTGGAAATATGCGGGCGAACTGGAAGGCGCTATTGCTTTCATTCAGCGTCATCCGGCTGTTCTGCGCGATATTCTGGCGTTTGCTGCGTGCGGCGCCCTCGGACAGGTTTTCATCTGTAAGTACACCCTGACCTCGAGTTGTAGCTCTTGCTGATCTGTCCTAGTCATGACTCTGTCGATCTTTGGAAGCCTTTTACTGGTCACAGTCACCGTCACGCGCAAAATGCTGACAATGATTGTCTCCGTGGTGTGGTTTGGACATAGACTTACGGGGATGCAATGGCTTGGAGTGGGGCTTGTATTCGGAGGCATTGGGCTGGAGGCGCAGTTATCGAAGATGGAAAAGCAGAAGAAGAAGAAAGCGAATTGAGTCCCATGGTCTGGATACAGTGGATAGAGATACATACTCTGGAGACATACCAGACTGTTGTTTGTTGCGTTCTGTGCCGGCATTCAGCGATCTGTTTTGGAGCTCACCTGTTCGGCCGAGACGGGTGCCTGCATTAGCGACGGGAGCACCTTGCAGCGGACCGCAAGCGCGCGGAAGACAGAACCCAGGCGTGAAGTCTGTGCTCCACTGCTCACTACTTTACCGCCTTCGACCAATTTTGTTTCTCCTTTTCAACATGCTCATGTCCGGTGTTGACGAGATCATGGCCACGATGAATGGACTCTCAGCGTCGCCTAGCTATGCCGAGCGACTCGAGGCGTTCAGACAGTCCGACGCTGAGCGGGACGCGATGGTCGCCGCAGTCATTAAAGAGCTGGAAGAGCTGAAGGTACAGGTTGCTGAGAAGACGGATGACTTAAGCAACGAGATCGCCTCAAGGAGAATGTGGCAAGCGCGTGCCACCCAGAGCGAGCAGGCGCTGGCACAGCATAAGCAAACATCGGTATGAATTCTCAATGTCCGAAATCGTGTTTTAGTACAGTACCGGTGCTGAACCCCTGCAGAACTCCAATAACTTCGTATTGGCCGTGATAGATGGCGACGGCGCTCCCTTCCAGGACGTAAGTGCCTGGATTTGCCACTTCGTCCAAGGTCGCAGTCTGACAAGATGACAGTATTTATACAGCATGGGCAAGGACGGCGGCGCTGAAGCGGCTCAGAAGCTCTATGTTGGACTCCGAGAACATCTGCAATCCATCTATCCAGATGCCAATGTGTCTGACTGGAATATGTGAGTACGGAAACATCAATCTCTCGTCTGCATCCCGATTGACTTTAGTTCAGAGTCGTACAAGTCGTCTTGAACCTACAAGGACTGGCTACGAAGCTGCAATCCTGCGGCTTGATATCTAATCCAAACGAATTGCTCGCATTTGGTCGGGCTTTCGGCCTTGCCCAACCTCTCTTCAGCTTTGTCGATGTGGGCGGTGGCAAGGAGAGAGCCGACCATAAGATTCGGGAGACTTTACGTCTTTACCTGCCAATATCTCAGTGCAAACACGTATTCTTTGGACCTTGCCACGACAACGGCTACCTCCCGGTCCTCGAGCCTTACCGGCGAGACTCGTCCATGGCATCGCGCCTAACTTTAATCGAGACAAGACCGGCGGAAGGGGGCTTCATCGAGTTGGGCCTAAGGCGCATGCGACTCCCGGTCGTCTTCCGGTCTGAGAATCTTCCAGCCGCCAGGAGCGTAGTCTCGCCAGCTCCCCTCGCTACTCCGGTTAGAACACCATCGGGCATCGAACCGACGCCTCTGGTGCCACAATTTCCGAAGGCTGCCAGTCCAGCTCCTTCCACGGCGTCCACGCACTCTGCAGCCAACTCAGCATCGTGGGCAGCAATCGGCAAGAACGGTGGCGCAGGCAAGAATTTCGACATCGCCCCAAGGAAGACTCCGGTACGTCGCTTCATACTCTTGAATGGCTACGGGGACCGCCTTGACGAGAAGCTTCCCAAGCCGGATGGAGGTGCAGAAACACGCTTTGCCAAGCGCGTGGAGGCCAATGGCAAATACTGTAACAACTATTACCTTACTGGAAGATGTGAGGCTGGCGAATACTGTGACTACATTCACGGCGAGAAGCTCACTCCCGGAGAGATGCTGGTGCTGAAACACAAGTCCACCACCCGCAACTGCCCGGATCGCTCTACGTGTAGGGACTTCGACTGTACCTTTGGCCATCATTGCAAGTTCGGCAATAACTGCTACTTCGATAGGTGTCATTTTGAGGGCACTCATAACATGGACCTTGAGCCTGCGAGGAAGCTGTATGAGGATGGTAGTGAAGAGTGGATCGGGGGATATTTGCAGAAGCATGGGAAGTAGTCCTTCCCTGGCGCTTCTGCCGCAATGCTCCCTACGCCAGGGAGCTGTTGCCATCAAGCAAAGTGGTTGTACAACGGGTAACATGATCCTATGGCTCGGGGTGCGCAAGAGCGAGCTAGTATAGTTAAAGAGTTAAGCATTAAATGTATCACACGAAACAACGCGGGTTTCGAGGCTGTGGCCTCTGCTAATTAGAGGTAGCTGTGGAGAGTTTGGTGAAGCTTTGAGACCGACATGTGCAAACTGATCCGATCAATTGAGAGGAGCCGTTCTGTCCCGGGTGCATCACACACCAGGCATTCCTACTATCTGTCTCCATGCGGGCAAGGCTCTAGGCAAGAAGTAGACCGCATAGATGGCGGTGAAAGCAACCAAAAGCCCGGTCAGCTTCTCAAACCAAGTGTGAAAGAAGGCAGCAGTCATCAGGAGCATCCACCAACAGAGGGCGGCAACGGCGAGAGACACCTGCACGCCCACTCCCATCTCTTTCTTCTCTTCTGGATCCGAAGCGCTCTCTTCCGCCTCAAAAGTAGGTCGTCGCACCAATCCGTCAAAGGTCAGAATCCTCCTCGCTTCTGTCAGACCTTCCATGCGCAGGACCGCCGGGAGCAGCTCCATCCACAGCATGGCGCTGCCCAGGATGAGCAGGAAGACGTGTCCGCTGATGTCGTGCCCGCCCCTCCACTGCCCACCGATCGTCTTACAGGCCGCGTGCGTGAAGACCTCTTTGATCTCGCCTGCTTCCACTTTCCGCGCCAGATCCCCCGCATCATCATCGCCGCCGCCGACGACCGCCTCACACTTTCCGCCTGTCCACCGGAAACTCCGGTCGATGATCGCGGGGCCGAAGAACCACTGCGTGACGGCGAACCAGGTGGCTGTGATGCAGAGGTAGCGCAGCGCGGCTTGACTCCGCCGCTTGGTGAATTGCGCCCGTAGCGGGGGGCCGAGCGAGGGATGGGAGAAGAGGTGGAGGAAGAAGGCGAGGGTGATCCAGATCCAGCCGACCTTGACAAAGTAGACGTTGAAGACGTTGCTCTTCTTGGCGAAGTAGCTGGGTGCGTTGCGTGGGTCGTAGGACTGCGCGTGGGGGAGGTAGGTCGCGGCGCGGCTGGCGGGTTGTAGGATGCTGACGAGGGAGCCTAGGAGCAGAGTGCCGGGATATATCGACAGCAGCAGTGCTTCGAGGGCGGTCGGGAGGAAGGGCGAGCCTGCTGGTGGTGGAGTATTGATTTGCGACGTGGCCGTCTTCATCGTGTCCTTCGGGCCGCCGTTGGCGGACGGTGGGATGGGCACTTCGACCTTGGCTGTCGTCCGTCTGGTCGCCATTAGTAGGTGTAGGTCTTGAGGAGGAAATGGGCGCGGGAAGTTGAAGGGGCTGCCTCTGTTTACCACTCGAGATGGAGATTCACATGGAATGACGTAACAGTTGAAGATGCGCTAGCGCAAAGCCTGCTAGCACCAGCTGTCTCTTCTATCGAATTCCAATTTCTCCTGCTTGCCGCTGCAGCTAGCAACACGAAGACGTTGCAACGTAACTAGAAGCAAGTGCACGATGTTGCTGGATTGCATGTTCTCGGACGAGAGGCAATATGGGGACAAAGAGGAAAGAGCATAAACCTATAAGTGGAGGGTCCTACTCTTCCTATATCAGCCACGCCTCCAGGCGCGAACTGCGCTTTATATAATACATCAGACCTCAACGCCTCGCCGTCGCGGCGAAAAGAAATGTCAGTCTTTCATACATTGTTGCCTCTAGCCTGTCACGCCTCGTTTACAGGACACCGCTTGCCGCCGCCCAAGTCTTCTCCGCGAAGGGAGAAGATGTACGTATTATCTTCCCATTCAATCCAAACCAAACGTTTGCTCCCAGAATTATGAAGCATCTGCATTCCAAAAAAGCGGAAATATACCCGACTTGGGATCTGTACATGTCGCTTCTCGACCTTTGAGGACGTCGTTGCAAGATTAGAGGACATTTGAGTATGAGCAATCCCTCGTCATCTAGCGCCAGCGATACCCATTCCAGCAGGTTCTCGGCGAGACGAGCTCCATCCAACAAAGTTGTTCGCTGTCCGGTAGTCCAGTGCAGGAAGGGGTCTTTTGACCTGCCCATCGGACTGTCCTCCATCTTCTCCAGGAAAACCAGCTATCCGGCTTTCTGGCTGACTACCGTCGTAAGCCTGTCTGTAACACCACTGTCTGTACAGCTACGAAACCCACGTCAGCGCTGGGCCTCCATTTGTTATCCACATGTTATGCACTGCCCGTTGATGAGAGCCGAGGAATGATGGAGTCATACACCAGGATTTTGAATGTGTGATCTATGAGGAATAGAAGGACTGGAATGCTGAAAGTCGACACATGTATGCTCAAGTCATGCCCACAAAGCTTGCGTTGAGAGCCTCGTCGGGTTTTTGTGTGCCAAGAGAGAAGATAAATAGGGGAAATGCTGTCAATGAAACGCAAGAGGGAGACTGACCTCATCCGATATGAATAGTACAATGTCCAGAATCGTATACTGTATAGCGTCATGTTTGCATTAAGCGGTGGTCGATCAAGCGCGGTTTTTGAAGCCGCGTAGCGATCGTTCCAGACTACCTTTCACGCTATCTTCACAACAACTTTGCCGAAGTGACCTCCAGAGAACAAGTATTGCAGCGCTTCCTGGGCCTGTTCAAACGTGAAAACTTTGTCGACCACGGGATGAATTTCGTGCTCGGCGTAGAACTTGGTTAACTCCACGAACCTGTCTCGCGGGCCGTTGAGGATGCCTTTCAATGTGACATTCCGACGAAGGGCCAGGACGTTCGTGTTGATGCGGTCGCTCGGGTCGTCCTCCTTTCCTGAAAGATAGCCGATACAATCGATCAAGCCACCAAAGGCAACACAATCAAAGCTCTTCCGCAGGGTTTTTGCTCCTCCCGTCTCGAAGATGACATCCGCACCTTCGTTGTCTGTCAAACGCATCACCTCGTCCTGCCATTCCGGTTGAGATATGTAGTTGATTCCATGGTCAGCACCGAGTTGTTTTGCCCTTTCCAGCTTGGCGTCGGATGAAGATGTGATAATCGTCTTCAGACCGGCTGCGTGAGCAATCTGGAGGCCTGCGATAGACACCCCACCGGTTCCCTGCAGGAGCACGGTCCCATCGCCTCGAGCCGGATGTCCGAGAGGGCGCATCCCATTGATGCTCATCCAGGCAGTCACAGAAGCAATAGGTAGACATGAGGCCTCCTCGTCGGTCATGTAATCGGGCACAGCAACGAGAGACTCGGCGGCTAAGCACCGGAACTCACTGAGCACACCCGGCAGCGGCTTGCCGCTGCCGCTTAACATATCCTTCTCTTTGACTTGGCCGGTCAGATGAGTCTGATTGAAGATGGACATGACACGCTGGCCCGCTTTCCATGCCGAAGAGCCTGGATCCTCAATTGTGCCACAGGCATCGCTACAGGGCACGAGCTCTTCGGCTTCACCGACGGTCTTGTGGCTAGAGATAAGGATCAGTACGTCTTTTGGAGCGATGAAGCAGACTGCAGCAGCGGATGTTTGCCATGGACGACGCTCATCGCGGATGCAACTCGCAAGGGCGGCTGTTCCGCGCGGGATTTCGTCTCCAGATTGCAAGCACGCCGTCATGGTGAAGCGGACGGATGGCGTCCTCACTACGCTCTGCTGCGAGGATATGGCACACGTACTGGTTGTACAATCCCATACAAACTAATCTCAGTCAGCAGAGCTGGCGAAGAGACCGGGGACCTCGATACATTCCTTCGGTGTCTCGATAGTTCAAGGATACCGCGTTGATTTTGACGAGCACTTCGCCATCCTTGGGCTGCGGTTTCTCGGCCGTGGTGAACTTGAGCTTATCCAGGCCATCTTGCTTCGTCGTCCACACCTTGATTGTCATGTCGTATCAGACCCGAACGGCGCCGTCGGTACTCCTGGTGAAGTGTGTTTTGGTATGAGATAGATGTATATATATATATATATTCATAAGAGGAGGATATTTTCTCCCTCTCCCGCCACGGCGTTTTGATTGGACCATTGTTATTAATATGACGGCCTATCTGGCGGGCAAGGCGAGGTCAGGTCGATGAAAGGCGCGAGGTATCGCCGCCTGCGCCTACTGTGTGCTGCCTCAGGCAAGAAGGCTGCGTCATCAGTCGCAGGCACCACATCACTCTCACTGGCGCTTCTTTTGCTCTTTACCAGCATTCTGTGACAACACCCCTTAAGGACATCCTTTTCAGGCCTTTCAGGACCGCATTTCGGGGCTGATACCAGATCTCTACGGGCCGGAATGGAGCAAGAGCGGTGATATTGTACTCAGCAAGCGGTTCACGAGCCGGAGAGCAACAAGGAGGGACGACGGGATGGACACCATGATTACCGCCGTGGCAGCAGAGGCGGCATCCTCAGTCGGCTCCAACATCTTCGCCGTCCTCTCTCTCCTGGCGATTGCTCTCCTGGCGCTACTCGTCATCCGGCACTACCTGCCCCTCCGATCCACGCCCTCATACCTCCTCGTGCCCGTCTTCTTGGCTCTTGCGCTGCCTTCGAGCATCATCGTCCTCGTTCCCATCGATCTCGCCTCTACCCAAGGAAACCATGGCGTATGGCTCCCCAAAAGAGTAATCCTGGTCACGTGGAGGATAACGTACTGGCTCACTTTCTGCCTCACCTGGTTCATTCTCCCTCTGCTGGGCGAGTACTGTGATGCGGGATTCAGGGACACCAAGAGCCGCATGATGTACTCATTTCGCACGAATCTCCGATATCAATTGATTATGCTGGCAACGGGTATTGTGTGCCTCGTGTATATCGTCCTCCAAAATGGCTTCCGCGCAGACAGTATTAAAGGTCTGGTCATGGCTCTAGCATATGCTTGGGGTTTGATCCTGGCCATCGGACTCATGGGACATGGCTTGGTCGCACTACCGCGCCGCGTGTATCTTAACGCCAGCGTCAGTGGACGTCTGAAAAGGCTACAGGCCAACGCCCCGAAGATCAAAGACTCCCTAGACGAAGCAACGGACAAGCTTGACGAACTGGAGCGGACTGTTTTGCAGCTAAAGAGGCATAAAGGCGGCTCTTCACGCGCACAGGGGGAATGGATCGACGAGCTTGCCGAGACCTCAACTCTACCAGAATCAAGGCCCGGCATGACCGCCGCCATCCATGCTACAAATCCTAGCATTCCTGCGGTGGTGACGGATCGTTATTTGGCAGATCTCACGCGCAAGCTTAAAAGAGCTCGACACCGGAAGGCTCGCTTTGTTAACGAATGGACTGATTTATGTCAACGCGCACGGGATACCCAGGAAATTCTTGATTCCGCATCTTCAAAGCAGCTGGATTTTGGCAGAAGACGTCCGGGCGATGGGTCCTTGTTTGGACGCATGACGGTTCTGACTCCAACAATGCGCTACCACCTACATATGAACATCATTCCGTATTTGCGCATGGCTCTAGCCGGGATTCTCGCCATCGCGTCCGTCTTGATCGTCTGGAGCGAACTTGTCAAATCATTCGCGCCCAAGCTTTCAGTCATCGGTCTCACCGTCCTACATCATTCGGATGCCGAGCGTGGCAGCAAGATCGACTTCGGTGGCCAGCTTATAGCAGCAGCGTGGCTACTTTACATGGATACTAGCGCTCTCTACGCTATTAGCGATGTGAAGGTCTGGGGCAACCGGGCACTGGTGAGGCGTCAAACGTACGCAGAGAGTGCGTGCTGGTATAGTTTGCAAGTCGCGAAGCTGACGGTACCGCTGTCTTACAACTTCATCACGATGATCCCACCGGAGGTCTACCAGGAAACCAGCTTCTACAAATTCCTCGGGCAGCTGATCAACCTGATCCCTCTAGGCCAGGGCTTCAGCAGATTTTTCCCTTGCTTCTTACTCATCCCCATGCTCGCCACGCTCTTCAACCTGTACGGCAAGGCGAAGAATGTCTTTGGGTTTGGAGTGTTGGAGGACGAGAGCGAAGGCAATCCTTCAGGTCGTGGCACTGGCGGCTGGCGAGAAGGCAGAGCCTTGATCGAGCGCGAACTTCAATCTGGCGGTGTCGGTGGTGGCGCAAATGTCGGGCTGTCAAATAGAGACGCCTCCCTGGACCTCGAACGGGGCATCTCCACACCGCCAACACAGCGTCCGCGCCCACGAGAGGGACCCTTCCGCGACGAAGGCATCCAGGACGCCAATCGCCGGTTCAATGCCATCACGAACCAGGAAGAGCCCGAAGATGACTCGCCGCGCCATTTCTATCAAGATTTCGGGGAGCGCATACGGAATACCTTTGACACGGCGGAGCAGCCAGAATGGATGAGGAATATTGGGAGTGCTTTCAAAACGCCCAAATGGATGCAGAGTGATCAACGAGATGACGCGGGAGGCTCTGTGTTATCTAGATGGTTGGGTGGCCGGCCCGAAGATGGCAGGGTCAGGCTGTAATAGTCTCTGTCAATTTACGTGTCTTTGAACAGATTGCTCTGCAGGCAACCAACAACTAACTCCCAATGCTCAACTCCCTTCACCCCTTCTTCTCCCATTTTGGAACACAGAATACAGGACCGGATTGTCGTCAAAGGTAAGATGAAGGCAATGATATTCACATCTATTCATAGTCGGCTGTCTAGATCACTGTCCAATTTTGAATCCCGGGCCCTTTCCTAGCACGATTCGGCTGCCCTACCGCATAAGCCTCCTGCGACTGGGATGAATGTGCGACATGTCATCCTGAACCTCCCGCGCCGGTGGCTGCGGCGGCGCAGGCTTAGGATCCTGTGCTGGAGGCGCCTTGCGTGGTGGAGGAGAAGAAGAGCGAGATCGGCTGCTTTCGGGGCTTCTGCTATTTCTCCTTCGCCTCGGCGCCGGTGCCTTGCGGGACGGCGGCGGCGAGCGAGAACGCGATCTGGAGTCGTAGCTGCTGGCTCTTCGCTCGCGCTGCATCGGCCGACCTTTAGCGACCGTAGCCGGGCCATTGCGACGGCGTGGGGGAGTCAGGGAGCGGCTCGCTGAGCGGCCTTGTCGCGGAGGCGGCGAACGCGAATCGGAAGGAGAACGTCGCCGGCCATTCGTTTTAGGAGGCCGCGATGCTAAGCGCGATGGTGAGACGCGGCGTTTGCGAGGAGGAGTGCGAGACCTGGACACGTCGCTGTAGCTGTCACGTCGAGATCGGCGCACAGGTGGGCTTCGCGAGGCACTATCGTCGCGGCCACGTCTGGAAGGTGGGGAGCGAGAGTCATAGGATGGGGATCGCTGTCTCCTGTTTGGGGGCGAACGAGAGCGTGAATAGGAGTCATCCCGTCTGCCACCCTTCCTCGGCGTCGCAGATCGGCTGTAGCTCCTGCCCCTACCACGCCTTGGTGTACGAGAGCGAGATCTGGAGTCGGAGCGCGAACGCGAGGAATAGCTGGAGTAGCTGCTGTAGCTACTGACACTTGCGCTGCGTCCTCGATCGCTGGGTGTCGGGCTCCTGGCCGGTGGTGGCGCCGCAACAGGTTTGGGCATGTTCTTTAACCATTCCCTCATGCCCTCAGTCAAGGCGCCCATACCGATGGCCGTGAAGAAGTTGATGCTGAAGCGAGCGTTCTTAGGATTGTCTGTCGGGAAAATCCCAGCCAGAGCAGGCTGAAGTGCGTCGTCTTTGAAGCGCTCTTGTAGTGCCTTCATGCCAACGCCCTGTGCCAACTCTTCGATCAGGATCTTGATGAAAATACGACTCGAGCTGGTCGTGTCCTCTTCGTTCAAATGGATCGCATGCAAGACATGCCAGCCGATAGCATCACTCGCAAGCAGATGTGCAAAGAATTGAGCAATGATTCGTAGGCGATTTGTCTCGTATCGGTGGATCGTCTCGTAATACTTGACGAACATGTCTTGGAAAAGATCCTGCCATAGGCGATTTAACTTGCAGAAACGTTCGCCGATCAAGCCAAAGAATTTGTTGAAAGTTCGTTCTTGGCTGCAGCATTCGATGATCATGGATGGCAGTTCCTCTTCCCGTCCAGTAGGCAGGTTGATCCGCATGAGCTTGTGACATGCTTCCTCGAATCCACCCGAGGACATGATGGTCAAATAGATTGATCGCCGCAGGTTGACGAGGTCCGTGTTCGACTGGTCCTTGATGTCCATGGCCTTGTCAGCAGCGCCTTCCCCATCTTCTTCAGAACTCTCGTCCGAGCCATCATCATCATCGTCATCATCTTCGTCCTCACTGCCAGATGCTTCTCCCAAGATTTCGGCCTTGAGCTTGCGATAAGCCTCCTCATTTGCCTCAAATTCAGGATCAAACTTGAAGATATTGAGTCCTTCTTCAGCCTTCAGCTCATCGTCCAAGCCAGGTCTGTGGGTGATTTGATCCTCCTCCTCCACCAAATCCAGTTCCTCTCGAATCGCCTGATGGTTTTTGTATTTATCCTTCCTGATTTGAAACAACACCTCAATCATGTATTGCACTCTCTTGTCGATATCCGCTTCGTGCAGGATGCTCCTGAACTGATCGTAAACGGCGAGCGAAATCTGGGAATTCATTTCCTCAATGTGCTGCCCGACCTCCTTCATCAGGCCCACCGCGATCTCCACGCTATCGTCTGTAGGTTTGTGAAGTAGCAAAAGAAGCATTTGCGCTGCGAGCATCTCGTGTGCCACTTGTTGATTGATGAGGTGTGCGATGAAGGTCGTGCTGCTGTGGCAGACGCTCTTGTCGTTCCTCTTGAAAGCCTTACGAAATTGAATGATCAATCTGTTGATGAGCAGCTCACCCACCTGTGGGAGCTTGGTGTTCACGATAGCAGCCATAGCAGCGTATATGGGCGTGAAGGGCAGACTCGCCGCCTGAGCCTTCATGATGCTCCTGCAAAACAGGCCTCGTCCACGGACCAGATTCTCGATGAACAGCTCGGGTACAATATGCTTGATGTTCGAAACGTTGACCTTGTTGATCAGACCATTGATCGATTTCTTCAGTGCTTCCCACGCCATGCGCTGGTATTCCTTCGAGGTCTTGTCCGTGATCTGAGCCTGGAGGGCCTTCAGCCTGGCCGGCGGAATATATGTGCCTCCCGACCGCATATTGAGCAGTTTGTCGTATTCTGCCTTGGCCGCGGCCTGCTTTTCCGCGTCAGTGAGGGGCTTCGCTGACTCCGGTTCCACTCGCTGGCGCATCTCGAGCTGGCGCGCTCGCTCCTTGGCTCGTTCCCGATCGACATCTCTGGGCAACGGACCACTTCGTGGCGGCGGAGATCGTGATCGTGATCGTGAGTAGGAGCGGCGGCGTAGTGAAGGGGCTTCCCGTCGAGGCGAAGGGGAGCGCGAGATGGAGCTGCGCTTGCGCGGATTGCTGTTGGTGTGGCTCTCGACCACCACCGCACCATCGCCGGGCTCGGGCGTCGGCAGGCGTGCCGTCGACTGCAGCGTCGTCGCCATGGTGGAACCCGCTGCGGCTCTGCTTCTGCTGCCGTGCAAAGTCCTTTGTGAGTTTGCGCAAAGCGTCCTCGTCGTTGTGGTGAGGTCGAGGTGCGAGGCGCGAGGCGCGGTTCATGCCCGGGAAGAAAAGACTAGCGGATCGGCAATGCTCCGTGCGCGCTTGAGTCATGAGTAGCTGCAAGTCCCCGATCACATGCAACGCCTCACCTCGACTTCACCCTCTCGATGTTCAGTCTTCGCCCAAGGCCCTTAACAAAAAAAAATGAACAGACGCCGAAATGGCCAGCCGCGGCCAGGCCGAGACAACAGCCGAGGCGGACGACGAGCGAACGACTCTCGTCCCAATTATCATTCCGTCCCTACGATCCAACAAGTCATAGTCGGTGCTCCGGTCTCCATCGTCCTCAAGCAAGACCAGCCCACGGGTCGAGAGGTCCAAGGGATCGTGCAAGACCTGCTGACGCGAGGAGACCACCCGCGTGGGATCAAAGTCCGACTGCAGGATGGACGGGTGGGCCGAGTACAGAGAATGGGCGATAGCAGCACCATGACTTCCAACGCGAACACGACGACATCGCTGCGGAGTCAAGAGGTGCTTCCGCCGCGAATGCGAAATCAACGCACAGATAAGTTCGACGAGCACCACGAGGACGACTCCCAAGGACTCCCGCCTCGAACACTGGCAGACTTTCTTCCAGAGTCTGAGGGCGAGCCGGGACCGGGGGACGCACACCTAGGCAACGTTACATTTTCCACCGCTACCGCTAAATGCCCCATATGTGGTCTATTTGAAGGTGATGAGATTGCAGTATCGCGGCACGTGGAAGGCCACTTGACCTGAGCATTCTCTGCACGCCTTACACAAAATGCCATATCATGACATGCCGCTGAGTTTTGCGCGTGGCTCGTAAAAAGCCTGCCACGAGAAACGGACACCAAATTTCGCGAGCGTTTTACAGCTCAAGTCGAGATTATTTAAACGTGGTGTACTAGAGTGGCCACTATACTCCCTCACCGCAACAAAGCTGCAAACATCATCAAAAAGTCCACCGACTCCGGCGCTATGTCGAACACTCGGCAAGCCTAACATTACCTCAGACCTCAAAGTCTTTGAAACCAACCACAAGTCCATCGTCGTTCTTCGTAGCCACGCTCCAGACGGGCTCGAATCGCTTCAATTCATCAAAGGCCGGGATGATCCCCGGGGAATTCGCATCCGCCCACATACACTCCGCTCGACCCTTTTGGCCCTTGGCCGATTGCGTTCCGTCCCAGGTAACGTTGACTTGGAAGACTTTGTCCCAGGTGCGCGAGAACATGCGCACTTGCGTACTGCCCCCCTCTGGAACAGGCTGTTGTCGAGGATCCGTCGCTCCATCTTCGACGAGCACTTCGGAGACGGGATTGTCAAAGCGGAGGCGGCATTGCTTGGTACTCAGGCCACGAAGGGTGATGAGGGCGCTACTTCCATTGTGCGTGGTGTTGACATCAAGCCAGTCCTGATAGCTCAAGGACGAGTTTTTGGTGAGCGCGAGATAGTCTTCTGGTACAACATTGGCCGTCAGGCCAGACCATTGGCAGCTAATCAGTCCTTTCCTGTTCGCAGCCGAAGTGTCACCGCAATTCACAGGCTGCCCGGCCGAGCTGGGCATTTCGCCGATGATATCTTGCAAGAACCCATCGAGTCCGCTCAAAGTAACGTTGTTCTGTCCAGTCTTCAAATCCATCTCCTGGACAAAGTAATACTTCATCCTGGCTTCTCTCGAGAATGGAAAAGCCGTCAGGTTGTAAGCCAGGCATCCGACGAACACCAGGAGCAAGAACGTCGGTACGTGGAATGTGAAGCGGTGCAAGAATGGCGACAGCGGCAACAGTAGCAGCACCGTCAAAATCGCGAAGAAGAGATAAGGCGGTAGTACTGGATTGCCATCCGCCGGAGTCTGATGCAGCGAAGCCGTTAGGATCAGAGCGATCTGCCCGACGATGATGATGTTGATTGGAGCCAAGACTAAGAACTGGAGAAACCAAGTACATTGTGGGAGAGAGCTGGACCAGGCCTGCTCGTCTTCGTATGCGCGGTTCAGGAATGGATCATCAGTGTCCTCCGGGACCTCATCGCGGTCTGGTCTCCGACGACTGAGACCTGTGAAGGTATTTTGGTTGGCGCGGGTGCCGCCCGAGAGAAGAGACGTTCGTTCGTTCGGTTCCCCATCGTCGCGCGCATCGTCCAAGAGCCTTCGTGAAGATCGGCTGCCAGGCCGAGTGGACGCATCGTCTTGCACCTGCACTCCAAGCACATGCTCGACATACTTTGAGATCTTTGGCAATGCGCACAGCTCCAGGTAGGAGATCAGGAGAGCGACAAAGACGGAAGCATTGTAGATGACTAGGAAGTAGCCAGCAGCCAGCTGAAGGGTGTGCTCTCCTACTGTGGCCAATACCAACAGTATCCACGAGATCACATAGAGCCAGATGAGAACGAACATGCGATGGAGCGCGGTAGGTCGGACTTCGGCGGCTCCAGCCAGGAAGAACCAAGCGACTGCGAACCAGCCGGAGATCATCATGGCCCACACAGCATATTCGCTGCTGTACAAGATCAGAGGATTGACCTTTGTCACTAGATAGGCTAGTGCCATAACAACCGCAGTGGCTACGACAAAGGCCAGTGGGAAGCGGAAGAAGCCACGGCGACCGTGCAATCGGACCGCATCATCATCGTCTTGGCTGTGGAGGTATTTCTTGCCTCCCAATGGGTACCACTTGCCGCTGCGTCGGATGAGAACCTCCAAGAGTATCAGAATAATGGGTCCGGCGACCTACGCGATGGTTAGAAGTCGAGCAGGCCGTCATGTTAGATGTGGGCGAAAAAAGAAATTCATCGCCACGCCGTGAATTGGTGGACGACACGTGGAAACGAATTATGAGACTCACGAGTAATGTAACCGAGAAAGCAAATAGCGTATTGAGCTGGCCGACGGCGAAGACACGGCCGAACAGATCGAACCAGACAGCGTTGCTTCGAGATCCAGTGTCGACTTTGCCCGTCTCCTTTTCCATCGAGCCTTCGAACTGTGCGAAACATTAGCTTGTGACCTAATGTGCGGCAAAGTACATACCTCGTTACCCTCATGTGAGGTCAGAGACTGCATTGTGGCCAACGATGCCGACAACATGTGCCACACGCTCTCGGGGCCCGTATCTCTCGTGTCATCCTGGTCTGTATGATATCTCGCCCGCGGCTCAAAGAAAGCAATGTCAAGTCCTCGCAACCCTAGCTCCTCGGTGAAGACGGAATAGTCAGTTCCACTCCTTACAAAGCCTTGCTTGAAACCGTCACCGGTGATGACAGAGCCGAATGGGAGGGGGCTGCCTTGGTAAGCCTTGGTGACTTCAGTATCGGTGCTTCGGAACAGCATTGCACGTCCACCGGCTCCCGCGCCTTCGAGATTCACAAAGGTATGGGCGAACTGCGCGACAGGATGGTGGACGTAAGCCCTGGCACCATACAGTCCGTTCTCCTCGCCGTTGTTCATGAGGGCAATGACGCCCCTCTTGGGTCGATTGCCCTTCCGTGTGAAGTGGGAAATGAGCTGCAGAATCGTGACGACTCCCACTCCATCGTCGGTGGCACCGAAGCCTGAGGCGACACTGTCGTAGTGGGCAGACACCAGAACGCCGCTCGCTCCCTCATAGGGTGCGGTCTCGTTCCACCACTCTCCCGCTCTGTCGTCCTGTCCACGGATATAGACGATGATGTTCTCCGACTCGCCGTACAGGGTGTATGGCCTATCAAGCTGCCCGTGTTAGAAGACCCAGCTCTCCGACTCCCAAGGCACGGTATTCCCACTCCGCGAACTAACTGTACGCACCTCTTCGTCCAATCGTCCCACGCAGTGAAATTGCTCGTATCGTTCGCAAAAACAGTCACCAATGTCTCCTGTGCTCTTTCTCTCCCTGCTCTCTTGAAAGTCCCGTTGACAGCATACACCGTTTCATGATCGACGCCCTCAAGTATCTCTCCAACTCTTCTCAACAGATACTCCCGCACCAGATCATTTCTTCGACTTCCCCAGGGATGATAGCCATCGCTGATCTGCTCGAGGTCAAGCCATGCCTGGGTAAGGTTGATTCCTGCGGCTGGAGTCGCTGTCGAAGGCGCGCTGGGGACGGTGTGGGCCAACCAGAGCAGGACGGCGAATAGGGCAATGTAGACAGCCGAGCCAATGATGGAGACTTGAAGTGGAAGGAAGGCAATCGGGTTCCACGACCGCGTCCTCGCCATAGCGAGGGAGATTCTGGCTCTATCTCCAACCTGTCTTGCAGGGCGAGGGTGGGAGTAGTTGCATGTGGTTGCAGTGCGAGAGGAACTTGAAGCTTTAGAGGTCTCCACTCCAAGGCGGGTAAATACGTAGTGGAAACATCCTGGATCGAGCTACCAGAGTGAATACCCGGTAGAGCAAGGTACAGTACATGGAATGCCTCCGGGTTCATGACGCAACTGTTTGGTGCATATACCATATATACAATACAAGGTCGGCCTCACATTGACGATGAGAGAGACAGGCTCATGCCCCAACTCGGACGAAGCCAATCTATGCGCGACCGATGCTACTGCTGTCCCGCTATGCTATAGATCTCTGATACAACTCATGTTCTAAACCTCGTCGCTCTTCGAAGCGAACTTCTGTTTCGGCAAAGATCCGAACGCCAGATTGAAAGAGCAAGGGGTATCTTATGGTATATCGAACACGCACAATTGACGCCGTCATCTCGTCCAAGCGAACCTCACATTTCCTTCCTGGCAAAACTCGTCGCCTCACCGCTGGCTTGTATATCCCTGCTGGAACATCGGATTCCACTCGGCGCCGCCGAAGAGGTCGTGGATGTTGATGTTGGACAGATTTTGTTGGAACGCTTGCTGTCCGGGCCACTGTCCATTCGACATTTGCATCGCCTCTGCAGCGCTGGTAGGTTGCCCATCGATATACGGCATGTTCTGCGAAAAAGGCATACCCTGCTGCCGTGGCTGTGGCCGGGGCATCGGTTGTTGCTGTTGGCCCTGCTCAAGATAGGGAGGTAGAGTATAGAACCGTGCCTCGATGTTCTCCTCAGGGCCCCGAGACGTGTGAGCTACCTGCCCAGAGCCTTCCACACCACTGTATGCTGGCTGGTTTACGAAGGAGCTATCGTTCTTCGCGTATTGATTATTCTCAAATGTTGTAAGCGGTTGATTCGGGTAGACAAAGGGCTCGTCGGCTGCAGGGAACATCATAGTCGAAAGGTCAGTCAGCTGCGGATTCGCAAAGTTGGGTGGCAGGGAGTACTGCTGCATCGTGCTGCTCATGGGGTGCGAGACACTCCTGTGTGTCGCGCCAGCAAAGCCATTGGAATCAAACGATGAAGACGTCGGTGTTTGGGGCCCATAAGTGGATTCTGATTGCGACCATGTGCTACCGTCATACGGAGATGTCGTGCCCGGAGTTCCCGAAGCACCGGGTGTGGGATATGTGCTGGAACGCTTGGAACTTTGCACGTGCTCTTGACCGATCATGGGAACATCCGAGTGGCTGCGTGAGGCTTGGCCATTGGGCGCTTGGTAGTATTGTGCGCTCTGCCCATATGGCCGCTTTTTGCTAATTCCGGGGTTCTTTTGACCTTCTCTCATCCAGGGAGGAAGGCGCTGGAACACAATGTCCAACGTGGCCGTGCAGCGATCGGCAGCCATGCTGGTAGTCGTCAAGGAAGCAAGCACTTCCCTTCCCTCGATTGCGTCTTTCATGACGGCCTCCGTGGTTGGATTGTCCGGGTTTTCGGCAGCGAAGTATACCAGTGCCAAGATCGAGAAGAAGGTGGTGTACATGATAAACCAGAACGGGCCATTCAGCAAGCCCATTTGTTTCATCTGGGATGCAATGTGAATGATGTTGCGCGAGACGTTGACGAAAGATGCGGCGCAAGCGTATGCTCGCTGATCCGCGGGCGCGGATCGTTTCTCCATAGCAGTAAAGTGGAGGAATGGCCGGTAGAGAAGGACTTGGGCATGAGCATATGACAGGCGCAGAAGGTGTTGGATCCGCGTGTACCGTGCCGGCGCCTCACACGGACTGAGGATGGGCGGTAGACTATTCTTCCAGAACTCGAGGTCGCTTTCGATTTCGCGAATGGTCGAGAAGGGGATCGAGTATGACTTATCTCCAGGATCCTCGGGGCTCTGGACCTTGATAGGATAGATCTTGCGTACTATTTTTTGGAGAATCTGCACGAGACGCGTATGCGCGTTGAATGCGGTCATCAAAGAAACCGTGCCCTCAGGCATTGGCAGGATACCGTCTCGTGTGATGTACTCGTCGTCCACCGCGGTGGGAAACTCCTGGTCAATATCTTCGTCACTCAACGTCTGCGGCAGGCCCAGCATTGCGCCAACGTAAATGTCCAACTTGCGAACGATCCAGAAGACTCGTTTGCGACTCTCTGCTTCGATGGGATCGAATCGACCGGCTGCTGAGCGATGCAGACCCATACGCAACGCAGATCGCAGGGCAAGGCCGACGTACGCGTAACACTGCGACATTTTGGCGGAGGATTGGAGGAAAAGAATCATGAAGATGACGGCCTGAACGGACGCTAGATCTCGGCAATCAGCGATGTCCATAAGGTGCCTCGCGGTCTTGAAGTAGGCGAATCCTTGTTGTATGGCGGTTTCGTATCCTTCGCGGTGCACACCATTCTCACCGTCCTTCCCAAACAAGCAGCCGAGCGCGACTGCCGCGTAGAACAACGGCAAAAACACATTCTCCTCATTTGTGTAGTTTTCGGACGGAATGCTGTAGATGCGTTCAAAGCCTGCCCAAAATGTAGGTTGATGCACGGTCCGCAACAACGCCGCTGCGTCGTTTACTGCGTAGCTGCATAGCTGTCTCGCCATGCCCTTTGGAGGCAAGTCTGTGCTGGGTGGAGAGGATTCGCCCATAGGCGATTCCACCACTGACTTGGGCGAGTCGAGGAGCGGGGACATGGGTCTGGTCTTCACAAATGGCGTGGCAACTGTTTCGGGGCCCATGAGATCGCCGAGTTGCTCACGCATCCTCCTGACGAAGCTCAGACCGGATGAGTGGCCATGGTAGTCCCAATGGCCCGTCTCGTCCATTTCAAGCTGAGCAACGGCTCGGACCATGGATTCCAAGTTGGTGTCGGACTTCTTGTCCGTGGCATCTGATGGGCGCGGACGTGCCTGTCGTGATTCCTGGGCCGGCGTGGGGTGACCTTTGCCGGGAGCGCCAGGAATCCAGCCCTGAGCAACTGCGGCATCGATGCCAGGGTCGTTCAGGTCGAGATTGGGGATCAGAATATGCAGTAAAGTCTCGGCGCGATGTACCCGGTGCTCGAGATTCTCCACATACTGGGGCGCCGGGTTCCTGCGGCGGTTCGAGGGCTGGTCATAGGTGCACTCTGTGATTGCTTGTGAGCACTGCGCTCGTTGGTCAAGTTGGAGCAGGGTTCATTTACCATAGCTGTACACGGTGCAATGGGTGCATGGCTGCTTGCCGTCGCACTTGATCTTCTTCCTGCGGCATTCGTCGCAAGCTCTGGTGACTCGGCGGCGCTTCTGGAGATGGACAGCGCCTCTCACGCCAGGCGCATTCTTTCCGGCTGCATTGGAGGAAGTGGTGGGCGAGGCGTCCGACTCGGCCTTGATGTCATGGCCGCGGTCGTGTTCGTGGTCCTGCTCGTCGACGACCGAGTCGCCGTCGCTGGCGTATTCCCCTTCGGACGAAGCATGGTCCATGGCCTTGACGGGTGGTGAGCAGACGGGCGGCTGTCCCGACGTTGGTCTCGGCGGCAGAGGCGAAGGCAGAGACAGAGGCAGAGGCAGAGGCAGATGCCGCTCCCGAGACTAGGGTTGGATGGATGCGGATGCCGATGCCGATGCAGACATGGAAGCCGGGCCACAAGCCGACGCCGCCGATGTTTGTTGAGGTGGGGTGCGTGAGGGAAATCCAATGTGTGCGGAGGGGCAGAGGAGTAGGAGCAGAATGGGAATGGGAATGGGAATGGGAATGGGTATGGAAGGCGCAGTGACGAAGGTGTGAAGAGGGAAGAAGGAACAGGGCTTGGCACGGTTGGGCAACGGAAACGGGCAGGTACGATTCAGTACACAGGACAGGCAAGGCAGGGCAGCAGTGTGATTACTAATGAGGTATCACAGTACAAGTAAGGTATTCAGATGGATGTTTCGAGGCGACGACCAGAGACAGCGGGAGACGGGAGACGGTGGACGGTGGACGGTGTTGGGTGTTGACTGGCGGCGGTGGTGGGTGTGGGTGGTGTTGGGTGGGGATCTCTCTCTCGGTGGCGATGGCGATGGCGATGGCGCGGAGTGCTGCACACTGGGTGTGGTCAAGATTGGCGGGCGCTCGCGGCTTCGGGCGCTGCTGGGCCGATGTGGACTGCTGGACCGCTGGACCGCTGGACTGCTGGATTGGGGACTGCCTTGCTGTGCTCCAGTGGAGGATTTGGAGGTGTGCGATTCGCGTCGAGCTCGAAGATTTGTTAGATACAGTACATTGACCTGACAATGCGTGCTCCGCGGCGCGGCGTTTAACGGCGATATCACGCCGACTGCGGCTGTGGCCTTTCCGCACCTGCAATCCTGCAATCCTGCAATCCTGCAATACAACTGTGGATGCAGGGTCCTTGGAGGTGACGGGATGACACACGTAGACCTTCTCTACATGTACGCATCACCCAGCACCCTTCCACCCTCAGTGTACACTCAGTGTACAGCTTGGAGGACGGCACAGCTTGCAGGGCGGCGCGGCACAGCTTGGAGCACAGCACAGCACAGCACAGCACAGGGCAGCTTCGTGCACAGAAGCTGCTGGGTGAGGTCCCGAGAGTCGACCGTGCTGCGTTTAGGGTTCGCGCCGCGCCTGCGTCCTTCTTTCCCTTTGATATCTATAAGGTATACATACCTTGGAAATGTTTTGTTCGTCCTGCGAACAGGAGCACTGTGGGAGGTGCGCCAGCTCGCACGTCAACCACGGTCCGAAGCGATCTTACATCCTTGTCTGCTCTCCCTTCCAGAATTCAAGAATTAGCACCTAGAATTTCCGCTCTCATTCCCACTCCATCTAGCTTCCTATTTGGGGCCACCTGGCCGACGTGGCCTTGCATACCGAGTCCGGCCCCGGTCAACACGTGGAAATCGTCGCACCGCCTTTTGCACCAGAGGGTAACGGAGTAGGGTTCGGGAGAGCGTGCAGATGCTCGTCGACCACACAGCACGCGCAGAAGAATAACAACTCCTCCACTTCTGCATCTTGCCGCCGCTACATCTCTCTCCACGAGAACGTGCAACTTCCCAAAGACAATTCTACCGACTCTGGCCCTCCCGTACCTGCGCGCTAGCTCGTGAGCTAGGCCAGGCGAACAAGTGCCGGACGCGTTCGTCGCGGAGATATGACGGCCTCTGGACATTCGCCAGGGACATCTCCAATAATCTCCAATCATGCCCGAGTTGCAACCAAGACCGTGCTCTGCGTGAGCCCTCCCGCAGAGATGTGCAATTGGACTGGATCAACGACCTAGCGAGCATGTGGCAAGGTACATCCTCGATACCTCATAGTCACACCGATTCCTTGCTTGACGATGCTTAGCTACTTGTTTTCTCTTGACGTTGCTCGTTGCACTTTTATCCGGTAGATAGAGCACGATGAAGTCAGCCTCCGGCGTGGCGCTCGTGGCCATGATTCCTGCCGTCTCGGCGCAGTTCATCACACCACCTTCGGATCTGAAAAGCGTACAAGGGAACGGTGGCTACCCCGTCCGTTACAAGGAGGTTCCCCAAGGAATCTGCGAGACAGTCGAGGGCGTGAAGAGCTATTCCGGGTATACAAGAGTTCCGATCCAGCACGTCAACACACTGCTTACGCCTTCTAGATATGTCGATGTCGCCGAAGACGAGCATCTGTTCTTCTGGTTCTTTGAAGCCCGAAATCAAGACCCAACCACAGCTCCCCTGACGCTTTGGTTGAATGGTAATCGGCGACTGGCTTGGCGGAATGAGTGAAGCACATCTGACAGCTTCTAGGCGGACCTGGAGACCCTTCCATGGTTGGACTATTCGCGGAGAACGGACCGTGCTGGGTGGATTACGATGGCAATCTGCAATTCAACGAGTACTCATGGACGAATAGCAGCAATATGCTGTATCTGGACCAGCCCACATCCACCGGCCTCAGCTACTCCGTCCCGGTCAATGCATATACAACCGCCGATGGCTACATCGCAACCTTGCCAGATACTACATGCCCCGACTACGCTCCTGCAGACTCTTGCGGAACTCTGTCTTCAAGCAACGCATCTTGGACTGCCAACTCTACGATTGCAGCTGCCCCGAATGTCTGGCGAGCTCTTCAGGGATTCACAGGAGCGTTTCCGCAGTACTCCAAGAACGGCGTGCACCTATCCGTGAGTGGAGAATCATGGATGCCTTGCCCTGCCCACCAATGCTAATGGTCATGACAGACGGAATCGTACGGCGGCCACTACGGTCCTGTCTTCGCAGACTACATTCTCCAGCAAAACAGCCTTGACCTGCCAGGGACTACCAAGATTGATCTTCGCTCCCTCTCCGTCGGCAATGGCTGGTTCGACCCCGTCGTCCAGTTCGAAGCCTATTACAATTTCACGGTCGACCCAGGAAACACCTGGTCCTTCAATCCCTTCAATGAATCTACCAAAGAGCAAATCTACAACTCTTTCTACGGCGAAGGCAACTGCCTCGACCAACTCCGAGACTGCAACGCCCGGGGCATCGATTCGATCTGCTCGGCTGCGGATAATTTCTGCTACAATGAAGTCGAGCTCATCTACGACACCGTCACGGGTCGAGATGAGTATGATCTGAGGGAGCTCCTGCCCGATCCTTTCCCCTACACGAGCTGGGTGGCCTATCTCAACAAGCCGGAGATTCAGAAGGCGATCGGGGCGTACGTGAACATCTCGTACTCTACCACCAATCTCGGCTCCGGGACCGTAGCTACTGCCTTTGGAACAACTGGCGACGATTCGAGACAGCTGGGCATTGTGGAGAAGAATCGCAAGCTGGTGGAAGAGGGTGTCTATGTCGTCCACTACGCTGGGGATGCCGATTACAACTGCAACTGGGTAAGTCCAAACCAAAAAACAAAACGCCCCCTTTCTCTGGTGGTGCTGGTAGCGATTCCTTCTAACACTTTCCCCCCCCAAAGATCGGCGGCGAAGAAGTCGCATCCCTCATCGCCGCTCCCGGCTTCGCAAATGCAGGCTACGAAAACATGACGAGCTCTGCGACCGGCAGCGGCAGCAGCACCACCACCGAAACGGTCCACGGCGTCGTCAAACAGGCCGGCAAGTACAGCTTCGTGCGCATCTACGATTCGGGCCACCAGGTGCCCTTCTACAAGCCGCAAGCCGCTCTGGACCTCTTCACACGCATGCTCCAGGGCGTCGATATCGCTACGGGCCACACCAACGTTACGAATGCCTATCGGAGCGTGGGCACGGCGAAGAGCACGTATCGGAATGATAATGCGACGATCCAGACCACGGTGTTGGATGCGAGTTGTACGTATAATACGGTGACGGACTTGCCGGAGTGTCCCTCGAGTGGCTCGTCTCGGAGGCGGAGGTCAGGTGAGGGCCAAAGGGGCGGGAGTCCGTCTGTACGTATGGTAGCTTTTAATTAGAACTTTCTCTCTCCGCGCTGTAAATCATCCGTTGCATGTACCTGTCTCTCGGTTTACCACGTCACGTCATACGGACTCCCCACGCGTACACATCTGTGCCACCTCCCTACCTTACAGATCTACAATTCAACGTGAGATGGTAGCAGTTGAAGAAGTCATTCATGCGTTTTTGGAACCTTTACGACGTCTGACGCTATCTCTCTTGAACGCCTGCCTGTCCGCTGAACCCGTAACCGCAGCCGCCAAACCAGGTGCGGCTTGCTTCCAAGTTCATGCAGCTCCACGAGTAAGTAGGCAGACTGACCACTTCTCATGCCACCACCGTGTCAATGGAAAAAACGCCCATCTAGTATCCGTACTGCGCGAGCTGCTTCTGCAAGTTCTCCGGCACCTTCTCCTTCGCCTCGGCCAGGTTCTTGCGTGCGGCGCGCTTCTTCTCGTAGTATGCCTGGCCCTTGACCTTTCTCCTCTCCTCCAAGCGGGCGACGACGTCCTGGTACTTCCAGCCGAACTCGTGGCCGAGACGGCCGACCGTGCAGTACTTGCGGCCGGGCTTGAGGCGGAGGACACGGAGGGCTTGCGGGACGACCATGCGCTTCTTCTGGTCGTAGGGTGGTGGGACGCCCTCGAACGTCTTCAGGCGCTCCAGGGCCTTCGCGCCGCGCTCAGTCTTGTGGGGAATCATGCCGCGGACGGTGCGCCAGAACATCTTGGCGGGCGCACGGTAGTGCCATGGACCACCACGGGTGGCATTGTAACGGGTCTGCTTGCGGAGGAAGGCCTGGTACTTTACTATTGTTGGGGCGTGTTAGTATGTGTTGGTCTTTTCAGGCGAGGCGATTTTCGGTGTTCGGATGGGTTGGTTGGTTGGTAGACGTACGCTTTGCGCGGAAGAACTCGCCAGAGATGTTGAGGGCCTCGCAGCGGACGACCACAATCTTCTGGCCGTTCAGGAGCTGCTTGGCGACGGTCGAGGCGAGACGACCGAGGAGGTGTCCCTTGCCGTCAATGACGATCTAATATGTTCTCTCAGTACGGGTCCATGCTATGTGTGTGTGTGTACATTTGCGGTATTCCGTGTGCGGGTAACTGAGAATCTATCCACGCTGCGCCGCCGCAAACAGTCTCACCCGCACATGGGAGGATTCGCTAAAGACGTACCACCGGCTCGAAGGTCGACATGTTGCCTGCTGCTGTTGTCGGTTGCAGGTCGGGGTCGTGGGTTGGCGTGACGGGCGTCGTCTGTTCAATTCAAACTTCAACTCGGTTGTCGTCGAGGAACGAATTGCTAGTGTGAGTCTTGGCATGAGAGCAGCAGTCACGTGCTCGGTGCGGAATTCGTGGCTCGCTTGCCAGCCCGCGAGTCCCGCATTTTCTTTGGTCGGCGTCTGCAGACTTTATCACCGACTGGCAACCTCAGGCCACTAGGTCTCTATCAGTCGACAATAATGCAAACGTGACAGCTTTCGCGTACACAAGTACCCACCTTACTTTTGCCATCCACGACCCCTCCATTTGCTGTAATCCCAGCTATTGCGGCGCCTCGTCTCTCTGCAGACGTTAATATAGGAGACCGTGGTGCCTGCCTCTCGCAAGTCTTCGCCTGCTGGGCCGCGCACCGAGAGGACCCAGTTCTAACCCTGCTGCCAAAGCGTCATCCTGTGATCCTAAGCACACAAGCGCTGCTTCTGCTGCAAAAGTCAATCGCAAGACACTGCTCCCACCAATATCTTGCGCCGTGAGGAATCTCACGTCTGTGCTGCGTCGTACGTACACTACACTACCTGCTTCAACCTCACCTTCCCGTCGCAACCGTGGCGTCCAATCTCTTGGAGAGCGTCTACGGCAACCTGTCAACCATATTCTCATTGGGCTCTCACAACATCACCGACGCAATCGCGCATGTGACAAAAGCGGTCGAGGGACTCATCTCCGGATCCGCTTCACAAGCACCGCTGGAAGATACTAGCGCCTTCGATCGGGTTGCCGACTTTTTCTATCAACGAAACGCCCTGGAGAACACCTCTCTCTTCCTTGCCCTCGCCACATTTCTGGTCCTCGCCATGTCTTGGACCTCACGACTCGGCAACCTCGGCCGCTTCTCGCCGTTCACACGCTCCCCACCTCAGGGTTCAACAAAAGTCAGCGATGCCGACTTCAGCTACATCACAGCAGACGACTTACGAAGACACCAGGCTGAGTCGGGAAACCCTCAACAAGATTCGTCAGAGTCATACGGTGACTACGATCCGCCGCGTGAGACGGACTCGTTGACGGTTCGCAACAAGAAGCAGGAATACACCGTCCACTTCCCAGCCTACAGCATTGCAAAAGGCGAGCTCACGATCGGACAACTGCGCGAGCAGGTAGCCAAGAAAGTCGGCACCAGCGATGCCAGACGCATCAAGCTTCTCTACAAAGGAAAGAATTTGAAGGATGACTCGAGGACATGCAAACAGGAGAACCTGAAGCACGGTGTGGAATTGATGTGCACCGTCGCAGACAGAGCACCCTCACTGAGCGACAGCGACAGCGAGGATGATCTCGATGGAGTCGACGACACGCGCGAGGGCGAACCCAAACGTCGACGGAACAGGGGCAAGAAGACGAAGCGCCGCAACAAGAGAGAAGAGCGCGATGTCCCTCCCTCCGGCTCGTATGGCGACCCAAATCTGGGTGTGCCCAGTGGCAGTCAGCAAGCCTCGCGCACGCAGTCTCCCAAACCACCACCTTCGCCTGCCACCCCGCTCGACAAGCTGAACGCCATCAACGCCAAGTTGCAGTCCTTGATACCCGACGTCCGCGCCTTCAAAACCTCTCCACCATCAGACCCGGCCAAGAAGGAATTCGAGCACAAGCGCCTTTCCGAGACCATCTTGACACAGGTCCTTTTGAAGTTGGATGCAGTGGAGTCGGAGGGCGATGTTGACGCAAGGTCACGCCGGAAGGAACTTGTGCAAGAGACCCAGAAGGTGCTGCAAGACTTGGACGCTGCTATGAAGGCGTGAGCCACGGACCTTGCTAGCGACTGGATCGGCATCGGGTTGATGCAGGCTCGGTCCCTCCATTGCTTTTGGGGCCGGCCATTTGCAAGGCGTTCGGAGCGATAGCGCGACACAAGTCACAAGAATGATAAGGGTGGTTTTATGGACAGTGCCAGGATATCAAGAACCGTTGCTACGGAATCGAGGCTCTCGCGTCTGGCTATGCCCGGCGCTGGTTGCCAGGCGAGCAGGCTCTCCAACGACCTTGCACTTAGGAAGGTGATCTCGATGGCTGCTACCGTCGCTACCTCGCCGTTGGACTCCTTGTGGCCCACGTCTTTGCTATAAAACTCGGCAAGACCATGACCCTCCGCTCCCCGCGACTGACGACTGCATCCGAAGTGCTCTCACGTGATACCTTCCGCTTCTACTTTCGTCTGCAGCGCTTTGCCAGGGCTCTCGGCAGTAATTCCACTGGCGCGGAGTTTAATTGCAAGCTTCCTGTAATCCGAGATTTTGTTCAGTGCTGAGGGGCCCTCCATCCAGCGATCATTCTTCTGCGCACATCATCCCCACAAAGCAGCCTGACACGGGCTGCTCCTCTTCGCAATCCTTGGCGATAGATAGCTCCACGCGTGGATATATCTCTGCGCTGTATCCAGAACTTGGCGCTGTCTTACTTATACCATAGCCACCCCACTCGTCCAGCCACCTTCCAGCTCCCCTCAGTGGGCCGACCGCTATCTCGCACCCCTCAGCGCCCGCGCATTGTCTAAGTCGTTCCGGAACTTCGACGACGTTGCATCCTGATCTAGAAACGAAGGCGCTTTTTGCACCAAATAACACTGGCATTGTGCCCGCCATGTCATCCGCCATGAAACGTCTCTCCTCCCTCGCCGCCCACTTCGTAACGTCTTCCAGCTCTACCACGGTTGCAGATAGTAGCAAGATGACGGAAGAACACAAGCATCAATACCATATCCATCAGCTGAGCCCGACGTTCTTTCTACCTCGGGCTGCTGCTATTGAGCCTGACGCAATTGCGACATTCCACAAGACTGCCAACGGAAGCACGCTGAGGCGGACTTATCAGCAGACAGCTGACCGCGCCAAAGGCTTAGCGTATTATCTGTTAAAACATGGCTACAAGAGAGTGGGCATTCTATGCAGCAACACGCCGGCGTTCCTGGAGTCCATATACGGCATTGGAGGGGCAGGAGCCGTCAATGTCGGTACGCAGAATCGCGATTCGAGGGACTCGGTCACAACCATCACTAACATTGGGTTCAGCGATCAACTACCGCCTAAAGATGGACGATATCACATACATCTTCGAACACGCAGAAGTTGACATGATCATTGTAGATGCAGAATTTCGATCTTTGCTGGACGGATTCCATCATAGTCATCCCGCAATCCCGTTCCTCGTGGACACTGACACCAACGGCAATGATGGACCTTTCGATCTTGCAATTTCGGAGGGACTCGATTATGACAATCAAACGGGCGGGCAGGGCTGGACAGGACTCGAGACGGAAGTTCAGCACGAAGACAGCATGGTTGCGCTAGCATACACGTCTGGCACTACGGCGCGACCCAAGGGCGTAGAGTATACCCACAGATCTGCATATCTGGCATCGCTTGGAAACGTCATTGAGAGCAACTTGAATGTGTCACATCCGCAGGCCGAACGATGCCACTACCTCTGGACTCTACCCATGTTCCACGCAATGGGATGGACGTTCCCATGGGCTGTGACTGCAGTGCGCGGTACGCACTACTGCCTTCGGAAGATCGATTACCCATACATTTGGAAACTACTCAAGGAGGAACACATCAGCCATTATAACGCTGCGCCGACGGTGAACACGCTACTGCTTGCCGACTCAAACGCAGCGGTATTGGAGCATCCGGTCCGCGTCACTGTAGCTGCAAGCCCACCAACAGCGCACCTGTTTGAGATGATGGAGAAGCACAACCTCAAACCTGTCCATGTGTACGGCTTGACGGAGACCTATGGGCCTATCACGAAAGGATATCAGCTTCCGGCTTGGAACGGGTTACCTATCAAGGATAAGTATGCCAAAATGGCAAGACAGGGCCACGGCTTCATCACCTCACTGCCGGCGCGTGTCGTCAAGACGGACCAGGATGAGTCTGGGAAATGGGAAGCAGGGGACAAGATCGAAGACGTCGCCAGAGACGGCAAGGAAATCGGCGAGATTGTGTTTATTGGTAACATTTGCGCCAAGGGCTACTACAAGGACCCGGCCGCGACAAGAAAGCTGTTCGCAGGCGGCGTTCAACATTCTGGCGACCTCGCGGTCTGGCATCCAGATGGCGCCATCCAGATCCTGGATCGCGCCAAGGACATCATCATCTCTGGTGGAGAGAACATCTCGTCGGTGGCGCTGGAGGGCATGTTGGTGACGCACCCGGACATCTTGGAAGCTGCTTGCGTCGCGGTGCAAGACGAGCAGTGGGGGGAAAGACCCAAGGCCTTCGTGACGGTGAAGGAGGGAAAGCGAGGCTCTACCACCGGCCAGGACGTGATTCGGTGGGCGAAGGAGCAGAGCCATATCAGTCGCTTCATGGTGCCAAGAGAGATTGAAGTCTTGGAGGAGCTGCCGAAGACGAGCACGGGTAAAGTGAGGAAAAACGTGCTCCGGGAATGGGCCAAGGGCGCGAAGAGGGAGACGGCGTGATAAGGTAGGAAGATGCTGTGCGAGAGGCATTGCGGGCTGCATGCGGACCCTGACAAGCGCTGGATGTTTGCAGATCGTCACTGCTTTGAGTTCTGTTTGAAGATTACACCTAGTTTCTGCTGCGGGTAAGCTAGCTATCCGTATCATGCTCACTACTGCCAGTCGACACCTAGACTACGTGTGTACCTGATGAATTTGCGCGATGCGGAAGAGGGTCAGAAGGCACGACGTCGAGCAGGAAGGGGACGTTTCACCTGCTGTTGACGCAGCGGCAGCGGATGTTGATGAGGGCCTTTGTATTTCTGTCACCGCATCCTCCACAGACACTCAGATGATCTGCAAATCGCTGCACAGCTGCAAGGGTACATACATGTAGGCCGTGGATTGTGCATTGTCCCACCGTCCGTCCGCTGAGGCAGGCCTCGCCCGGCCGGCTTCACCGACAAGGCGAGAGCAGATGCAGCATGAGGTGGGCAGGAAGCACGCAACACACAACAACGCTGGGCTGCTGCGTCGAAGCGGTCGCAGTGGAAGGAATTGGAAGATTGCAAGACCGCCCTCCCACACCTTCGCAAATGACAACTGGTGGTTTGAGAAGGGAAGGCACGGGGCGGGACGGGACGTGTATGGACTAGTCCGGACGGAGACTAGCGCGTCAGGCTCGCGGCGTCCACGAAGGCATAAGTATCCTCGCGCGGCCGCCGCAGTGAATCGGAAGGAGCTCTCCAGAAAGCGCGGTACTCACAGCCTGCTCTGATTGGCCCGCGGTTTCCTTCGTCCGCAACACGCCCGCCCCTTCCCACCGCCCACCGCCGCAGCAGCAGCCCTCCCACCACCCGTCCAGTTCACCGCCTCAGTCTTCTGACCTTAATGCCTTCGACCTAATTCTCTCCATGGACCTTGGCGGGCGTGCTGTTTGTTGTCTCTTGCATTTCTTCGGCGTTCCGGTTTCTTGAATCACATGACCCACGGTTGTGACCATGACGACTTCACGGTAAGCTTACCTGACCAGACGAGACGCACGTCTGAGACACACAGACACAGACAGACAACCCCACGCTAGGCCTGCCTACCCACTGACACTCTGCACGTGACACCCAGACTCGACCGATTGGTCACCTTGCTTGAGACGGGTAGCACCCAGCTCATTCGTAATACCGCCGCCGAGCAGCTTGCGGACGTGCAGAAGAACCACCCGGACGACCTCTTTAATCTCCTCTCTCGCGTCGTCCCTTACCTGCGATCCAAGCAATGGGACACGAGGGCTGCCGCTGCCAAGGCCATCGGCGGCATCGTCAAGAACGCCGACAGATTCGACCCTAATGCCACTCTTGACGACGACGACATCAGACCAGAGACCAACGGAAAGCACGAGGCCGAGGTCAAGTCGGAGCCGCTCCCGCAGCCTCCCGCCCCCGATCAACTCCAGCTGGCCACCTTGGACGTCGAGTCAATCCTGGCCTACGGCAAGGAACTGCTGGGCAGCGCTGGAAAGCAATATGACTTCAGGCTGGCGGGACTCACCTCCTCAGAGCGACTGGCGGCGCAGAAGAAAACCCTGACTGCTCGTCTGGGTCTCGGTGGGGAGTATATCGAAGAGGACCTTGTCACAGAGAGAGACATTGCCGTGCGCTCTTCTTCCTTCTCCTCCGCACCCCACTTGCCCAGACTGGAGACAGATGGTAGCAGAGGTGGTGAGGATTCGCTTGTGAAATCACCCGATGAGGCGCCTCCCCAAACCCCTGCAGCAGGCGAGATGAGCAAGCGTCAACTTAACATGTTGAAGCGCCGACGTAAGGAGGAGCTCAAACGAGACAACAAGAAATTCAAATACGACTTCGCCGTTCGACCTGGCAGCACCAGCGTCGCGCAAACACCCGTAGACGACGTCAAGCAGGAAATCAAACAAGAGGGCGATGGGAATGGCAATGCCGACTACTTCTCACTTGAGCGCAAAGGCGCCGATGACGATTCCAAGGTCGTAGCGGAATTCAAAGGCGCGCCTGTTCCTGAGAAATCAGCTCTCGTTAATGAAGCCGAGGAGGAGGGAAGAGATTGGCCATTTGAGCGACTCTGCGAGTACCTTTCTGTCGATCTATTCGATCCGGAGTGGGAGATTCGACACGGAGCAACTATGGGTCTTCGCGAGATCATTCGTGTCCATGGCGCTGGCGCCGGAAGACATGCTGGCAAGACCAAGGAAGAGAATGACCAACTCAACTGCGCTTGGCTCGAAGATCTCGCTTGCCGCATCTGTTGCGTGTTCATGCTGGACCGCTTTGCGGACTACGTCTCTGACACTGCAGTTGCGCCCATTCGTGAGACCGCCGGTCAAGTCCTTGCCGGAGTATTGCAATATCTGCCGGCCTCTTCGGTACATGACATCAATCGTATCTTGTATCGTCTGGTCATGCAGAAAGATCTCAAAGTTTCCAGGCGCATCTGGCATGCGTGTCACGGAGGCATGATCGGAATGCGATACCTCGTCGCCATTCGCACTGATCTGCTGTTGCAAGACCGATCATTGATGGACGGCGTTCTGGAATGCGTCATCAAGGGGCTTACAGACCAAGACGACGACGTACGTTCTGTCAGTGCTGCGACACTAATACCTGTCGCTCAAGAGTTCGTCAATGTGCGCGTTGATGAGCTGAACCACCTGATTAGCGTGGTTTGGGAGTGCTTGTCAAGTCTGTCCGACGATCTCAGTGCCAGTACAGGCCCGGTGATGGACCTTTTGGCCAAGCTCTGCAGCTTTCCCGAAGTGCTGGCCGCAATGAAGAAGAACGCCGCCGAAGATCCACAGCAATCGTTCGAGGAGCTGGTTCCGAGGCTCTTCTCATTCCTGCGCCATACTATCAAATCCGTGCGAACCGCCGTTCTGCGTGCCCTCTTGACTTTCATCAGTATTGACGGCTCGGATACCAAGGGGTGGATCAACGGTAAAGCTCTGCGTCTCGTCTACCAGAATCTACTGGTCGAGCGGATCGATGAAGTGCAGAAGCTCTCACTTGACGTGTGGGATGCGCTTTCTTCCGCTTTGGCGCAACAAGGTCCGCGCGCGTTCGAGTCTGCGTTCACGCCTCACGCAGCCTCGCTCATGGCTTTGACCGTCCATCCAGTCGGCGTTAGCCGTCACCCAATACCAATGGATTCCACCTTGTTCGTGAAGCCTTCTGGACAGACATATGCGCCACTAGCAACCGCTCATCGCCAATCTCCTGCCAACGGAACCGAGCATGGGAAGAAACGTCGGCGTTCGGACAAGAAAGAGAACTCTGTGCCTCCTCCAACCTCGACCTCAACCTCCCATAATATTGATGCTGCCATCATGCAGGGCGATGTGGATCTCGTTGGAATGGAAGTCATGGTTCGCAGTCGAATCTTCGCTACGAGAGCATTGGGCAAAGCGATGGCTCTCTACCCAGCTGAGGAGCGCCATCCTTTCTTTGGATCGAAGCTCTTGCCCAACCTCAGATCGCCGTATGGAACAACCCAGCTCTTCACAGCCATGGCGTTCGAGGGCTATGCATCCTCTATCGCCGAGCACGAGCCCCTGGTGGATGCTGCATGCGCCGAGCTTCGATCGCTGGTCGAGGACGAAAGACCAGGCTCTTACAATGACTTGAACAGCTATCTCAGGATTGCTCGTGCGCAGTGCCAGCAGTTACTCAATGCCTTCCAGGAGAGCGGACACGTACCTGGCAACAAGCTGCCAATCATCGCGGCGGTTTGTCAAGGCGAGGAAGGCGCAGGCAAGAATGCGTTCTCTATTCCTGATGCTGAAAAGCTTGTGACTCAAGACTTTGACCGTCTGAAGAAGGGGCTCTCCACCGTGCAGCGGATGGCTGCTGCTGAAGCACTTAACACCGCCAAGCTGGATGCAGTGACGGCTGTCAACGATGCCAAGGTTGCCAAAGCGCAGGCTGACCTCAGAGTCGTGTCTACAGCAGCCGCAGGTCTCGTGGCTTTCCGCGCTGTTCCCAAGAAATCCCAAGCCACCATCAAGGCGCTGATGGACAGCGTCAAGGAAGAGGAAAACTCCGATTTGCAGCACAGGACCGCCGGCGCGGTCGCCGGCCTCATCAGCCAGCTTGTCGCCAGCGGGCGGCAAAAGGTGGTCGAGAAAGTCGTTGGCAATCTTGTCAAGTTCTGCTGCATGGAGGTCGGCGAGACTCCGGAGTTCCATCCGAATGCCGACAAGGAGGTCGGAATCTTGTCTCTTCAAAAAGACGAGGATATACAGGATCGTCCAGATGCCGCCCAGCACGAACGTGAAGTCAAAGCTGCACGCATCACTCGACGCGGCGCAAAGGACGCGTTGGAACAGCTTTGCCAGACGTTTGGTGCTGAGCTTTTCATCAAAGTCCCGAAACTGCAAGCCGTCATCGAGGGACCTATTCGCGAATGCTTCACTGACCAACTACCCGCTAGCATCCAGGATCCGGAAACAACTCTTGGTCAAGAGGCTGTCGATGCCATGTCAACGCTGCGCGCGCTGGTGGCTACCTTTGATCCTTCTCTTCATTCTTGGGTCCTCCAGCTGCTTCCTTTCATCGGGAGGGCGCTCCAATGTCGACTAGCTGTTTTGCGATACACTGCAGCCAAGTGTTTTGCCAGTATCTGCAGTGTCATCACTGTGCAAGGGTTCACAATGCTGGTCGAGCAAGTCATACCACCAATCAACAATGCTCATGAAGTCGTTCAGCGACAAGGCGCGATCGAATGCATCTATCACCTCATCCAGGTCATGGGCGACGGTATTCTGCCCTATGTTATTTTCCTGCTCGTACCTGTCCTAGGCCGAATGAGCGATTCTGATGGGGGCGTGCGACTGATTGCAACTACTGCTTTCGCAACGCTGGTCAAGCTGGTGCCACTGGAAGCTGGAATTCCTGATCCCCCGGGTCTTCCTCAGACGCTCTTGGAGGGGAGGGACAGAGAGCGGAAGTTCATAGCACAGATGCTCGACCCGAAGAAAGTGGAACCCTTCCACATCCCTGTCACGATCAAGGCAGAACTGCGTTCGTATCAGCAAGAGGGCGTCAACTGGCTGGCTTTCCTCAATCGTTATCACCTTCACGGCGTGCTTTGCGACGACATGGGGCTCGGCAAGACGCTCCAAACCCTGTGCATGGTTGCAAGTGACCACCATATGCGCGCGGAGGAGTTCGCGAAGACACAAGCTCCCGATGTTAGGCGTCTGCCTTCCCTTATTGTCTGTCCTCCAACTCTCACAGGACATTGGAAGCAGGAGATACGCACGTACGCATCATTTCTCAATGCCGTCGCATACGCCGGTCCTCCGGGAGAACGTAGCAAGGTGCGCGATTTGATGACTACTGCGGACATTGTCATTACTTCCTATGAGATCGCCAGGAATGATATCGACATATTGAGTCCGATTAATTGGAATTACTGTGTCTTGGATGAGGGACACTTGATCAAGAATCCTAAAGCCAAGGTCACGCAAGCTGTGAAGCGCCTGGCAAGCAACCATCGTCTCATCCTTTCAGGCACACCTATCCAGAACAATGTGTTGGAGCTTTGGTCGCTGTTTGACTTCCTCATGCCTGGCTTCTTAGGCACGGAAAAGGTGTTCCAAGATCGATTCGCAAAACCAATCGCAGCTAGTCGATTTGCCAAATCGTCATCTAGGGAACAAGAGGCTGGTGTACTCGCAATAGAGGCGCTGCACAAGCAAGTTCTTCCATTCTTGCTCCGTCGCCTCAAGGAGGAGGTACTGAATGATTTGCCGCCCAAGATCCTTCAGAACTACTACTGCGACCTCAGCGATCTGCAGAAGAGACTCTTCGACGACTTCACCAAGAAAGAGGCCAAGTCTCTTCAGGACATGGCAGGCAGCCCGGACAAGGCGGCAAAGCAGCATATCTTCCAGGCCTTGCAATACATGCGCAAGCTCTGCAATTCTCCGGCGATGGTGATGAAGGAAGGACACAAGCAGTATGCTGCAATCCAATCTCTCCTTGCTAAGGAAAATTCGAGTCTGAAGGATCCTAAGCATGCGCCGAAGCTCACGGCGCTGCGCGACTTACTCGTGGACTGTGCCATCGGCGTCGAACAAACAGACGCTAGCGGGTTTCCCTCGGCAGATGCGGCAGTCTCTCAGCACAGAGCTCTAATTTTCTGCCAGATGAAGGAAATGCTGGACATGGTGGAGGGGACGGTTCTCAAGAAGATGCTGCCGGGAGTAACATTCTCCCGCCTCGACGGCTCCGTGGAAGCGTCCAAGCGCCAAGATATTGTCAATCGATTCAATTCGGATCCATCCATCGACTGCCTCCTGCTCACCACGAGCGTCGGTGGTCTGGGTTTGAATCTGACGGGTGCCGACACTGTCATATTCGTTGAGCACGATTGGAACCCGCAAAAGGACTTACAAGCCATGGACCGCGCACATCGTATTGGCCAAAAGAAGGTCGTCAACGTGTATCGCCTGATTACACGCGGCACGCTGGAAGAGAAGATCCTCAATCTCCAGCGCTTCAAGATTGACGTCGCTTCCACTGTGGTCAATCAACAGAACGCTGGCTTGGGCACCATGGAGACAGACCAGATTCTGGATCTATTCAATCTTGGCGAGACTGATCCGAATCTGTCCATCAGCGACAAGCCGGATGCTAACGGGGTGGACGAGAACAACGCCGTTGACGCGGAGGGTAACATGAGGGAAAAGGGCAAGAAGGGAATTTTGGACGAGCTCAGTGAGCTCTGGGATGACAAGCAGTATGAGGAAGAATTCAATATCGATGGATTCCTCAAGACGATGAAAGCATGAGTATGATGATGAGAGCACCCGGTTGATTTGTAGCATAGAGCCATGGAGTATTGTTTGGGACAGGAGCATAGCTCGGAGCGGGCTGAATGATTGGCTTGGCACGTGGCCTTGAAGCTCCCTCGGAAGTGCTCTGGAGGGCTTTGAGCTATGTACGAGTACTGGACATTTCCACACTTCTCTGGCGATTTCTGCCCAATTGCCTTGGCCCTTTCTTACGGACTTGGTCAGTCCGTCTGGACAATCCGCATATCAGAGCTTCAGCCACCAAACAGCTGAGTCCGCCATAGGAGCGGAGGAAGCTGACTGACAGTGTCGCCGCTAGTGCCCGACAAACGCCTTTCACTCACACTCACACTCACTCCTTGACAGCTCTCACAGCCCACAACGGGTCCCTCCTATTCATCATCCCCAACATGCCCATCAACCCCTGGAACCCGCCCTGCGCAGCGCCAGACGCCCCACTCCCCTCCTCCGTCTCCGTCATCCCATTACTCAACTCGACAATCTCAATCTTCTTCCACCCCGCGAAGAACAGGAAATCCCCCACCATCTCCAACCTCTCCCCCTCGGACGCGCGGAGCCACCGGCTGATGGCCTTGGTGGGGAAGCAGCGATTGCTGACGATCAGATGCACCGTGCCCCCGGGCTTCGTGGCCTTTCGAAGGCTGCGCAGCACCGCGACGGGCTGCGTCAGGTAATCCGTACTGACGACGTTGGTGGAGGCGTCTAGTTTTCCGGAATCCGGCGAATCGTCCGTGGTGGGTAGACATCCATGCCGGACGAGTGCCGCATGGAGATCCGCGTCCTCGTTGAGATCCTGCAGCAGACGGCCGTGGTTCAGGACCTCGTTGGCGTCCAATTCGGCCTGCACCATGCCCATGCCGGTGATTTGCACTTCCCCGCGGGCAGCCGCCTGCTCGAGGGAGGGCGGGTAGTGGCTGACCCAACTACTGCAGAAATCCAAAATTTTGCCCTTCTTCGGCAGCACCGCGTCGTAGTAGGCGGCGAGTGTGGCAATGGCCGCGTCGTCAATGTGTGTCACGAAGCGCGGGACGCTGTAGAAGGCAGCGTCGGGAGTGGAGTCTTGTCGTGTGAAGTCGGAGGGGTTGTAGGGCCAGGTCTGGTGGCGTGGGGTGTATTGCTTGACGGGCCAGGGTTGTGATGAAGAAGAGGGCATTTTGGTGGACTGTCTGGTGGGTGTTGTAGCAAATGTGGCGGCCAGGAGTAGTCCGGAGAGACCTGCCAACGGAAGGGGTCGGAGTAGCGGCTTGACGGTGTTCATAGGGGAATTGGATATGAACATTTGTAGTCGAGACCCGCTATTGGCATTTATTGCTACTGTAGTGTGATATTTGAGTAGGTGAGGCTCAGAATTCAATGACGTACGGGAGGTTCGGGTAAACGATTAACCTCAACGTTCTGTATCGGGGTCACATGGTTCAGAGAAACCACCCTGAGAGCATTTCTGTGGTTCATCGAACTCACCATATGGAGCAGATATGACAGAGTTCATTGCGCGGAGTCTATATGGTGTATTTTGAAATCGGTACACGTCTTGGCTTTGGCCTGACCAAGATGTCGCTCATCGTCGTCCATTGATCTCCGTCTCAACCATTTCAATCCCACTCAAGCTGGGGTACCGCTTGCTGAAGCTGTCCAGATCATCCTCTCGAGAGACGACTCGGTTGCTGCTGTCACGAGGAGGGTAGTCCGGGACGCCTTCCAGATCCTTCGCAAGGAGTGCAGCCAATCCTGCGGGCTTAGGTTGGGGGTTGTCCGTATTTGGCGACTGTGGAGGCGGCCACGGATTCCCTCCAGTTCTCAGAGCCTTCGGTTTCGGAGGCGCACTTGGCCCGAGTCGAGATGTAACTCGCTGCAGAGGAGCCGCATCTGAAGGTACGGAAGCAGGGGGCGGCATGTTGGCCGCCGGTGACTCGGGTCGTTGCGGCCTCGTCTTTGGATATGGATTGTTTGACATCTCCATGTTCATCATTGGCTTTCGCGCAAGCACCGGAGGTCGGTTCCCGCTGGTGGCCGGAGCAGTCGATAGTGTTACGGGTCTGGCCTCTTCGTCTTGTAAATCGGTATTCTTCCCGTAGTCTTCCGCGGTCTTTTTGGGCTGCGGCGATTGCCTACCCTCATCTAGCAAGGACTGGACTCGTCTCTGAATTGTGCTCGCTCTTGTAGGAGCTTGCACACTGCCTGTCCCTTGTGTAGCGACACGAGCGCGATACGCTGCCGCAGCATCCGCAACCCTCTTCTCTTCTTGACTTAGTCTTCGGCGCTCCAACTCTCGCCTAACGTCAGGAGGCAAGTCTTCGGTCTCGTCTATGGCCGATTCTCCCTCGGAATGTCTACTCAGCGTTGCTTCAGATCCGCTTATGGGAGAAAGCAGCTGAGGCTCATCATCATGGTCGCGTGCTTCAGGCGTCAGCAAACCAGTGTCCAAATGCCTGCCCTCATCGGGCTGATTCTGCTCAAAGCGTTTGAATGCGTCGCCAAAGCGTCCGCTAAGCATTCCTTTGGCACCGGACCTGAGTGCATCGAGGCTGGATCTTTTTCTGTGATGGCTGCCATGGATCTTCATTGCTTCCTTCATGGATTTCCGTCGATCAACATCGCTCTCTTCCGTCCTCCTGAGAAAGTCGATGTCATCGGTAATGGGGTTGTCTTCAGGCTCTGGCTCTCTTCCTTGTGATGGTTGCCGGCTCGGCCGTCGGATCTCCATGGACGGTCGCTTTCGCGACTGCTCCTGATCCCGTAGAAAGTCCATATTTGAACTGACGTACATGCTTGCCGGCCTCGAACGATTGTTGAGGGACTTGGTTCGCGAGATGCTAGCATTTCCGACATCGTTTGCAGATGGCCTACCTCCCTCCAACGATGGACGTGACGAAGTCGACGCCTGAGATACGCCGAGTGTAGCAATGTGTGACTTCGATCGGTGAGCATTTTGAAGAGCCGGCCGGTGCGAAGGCGGTAAGCTAGGCTGCAGCGAAGAAGCAGCAGCTTGCGCGGCTTCTGTTGGGCGCGGCTGCGAATCTGATCGACTCTGATCTGGTACACGCCAGATACGCCGATTGCTTACCTCTGGGAGCTTCTTTGGAGAAATGAGCGGAGGAGAGCTACCGGTTGCTGTTGATTTGTACTGCACACTCGGCCGTACAGGTAAAGGTTGATGAACCGTAGGCTGCTGTCCAAAGTTCTGTTTCAAGTCTCGAACGGTAGCGGTTGTAGGCTTTGGAGGTGACCTCGTTCTGGATTGAGGTTGATGGACTTCCTGTGGCTTTGGCCTGGATGTTGCAGCTGCAGGCGGAGACTTGGACGCAAATACTTCATCCGCCAAAGCTTGGCTCACGCGCTCACTGATGGACTCGCGAGGCTCCGGAGTCGCATTCGGTGGTGGAGAAGCAAGCGGAGGATCAGTTGTGGAGAATGGGAACTTTCCACCCTCATGAGCTATGGAGAATTCGTCCAAGGATGGGAACCGCTTGGAGAGCTCATCCACGGCGCCAGCTCGGATATCATAGTTCTTTGAGTCCAATGCAGCAAATGGATCCCCTCGTGAGGGTGAAGGCGCTGGCTTAGCAGCGGTGGGAGCTTGCGAAGTCGGTGCTGTTGGTCTTCCACGACGCATAGGTGCGATATCAGGCAGAGCCTGGACCTGAACCTGCGGCGTGGTCTTCTGCAATCCGATGGGTGCCGAAGACATGTCCTCCGCAGATGGCAAGGCTTCGTTCCTGCGTGCCTCCGATTGCGTCCTGTTGGCGTAGATGTCCTTGATCGGTACGGGTGTCCCGCGCATGCTGCAAACCTCCTTGACCACTTGATATATGTTGGGCCTGTCCTTTGGATCCTCCTTCAACATCCATGCAATCAGCTTTTTAAGACGGTCCGAGAACGCAGGGTAGCTGGGATACTTGAAGCTTGCGTTCAAGATAGCCATCTGCCCTACGTCTTCGAAAGGTGTGGTGTAGTAGCACAGTTTATACAGCAGCACGCCCAGTGCCCAAATGTCCGCCTTTTCATCTATTGGCTGCTTTCTCCACACATCGATCATTTCAGGGCTCCGATACTGCATTGTGGTGTGCTTCTGTACATCCTCTTCAATCAGCCTGCCCTCCTCCACTGTCTTCGCGGCTGGCCGAGGCGGTGCAGCACTCCCAAAGTCACAGATCTTGTAGAGAGGCGTGCCGCTGCTCGACTTGGAAATGAGGACGTTCTCCACCTTGAGATCACGGTGGAGTAATGGCGGCTTGAGATAATGCATGCACGCCACACCCTCTGCGCAGTCTCCAAAAATTTTGAGGATCTCGGGCTCGGTCAAGCGATGCTGCAGTCGGGTGTTCATGAAGTCAATCAGACCACTTCCATTGCAGAACTCCATGAGGAGGAAGACCTCGTATCCGCCTCCTTTCAGCTGGCTGGCGTGACTGTCGATGTAGGTGACAATGTGCTTGTGTCCCTTCAGCTTCTTCATGGTCTCCACTTCGGTGCGCATGTTGGCCAAGTGCTCCTTGTCGGGCACGGCAACCCGCTTGAGGACGGCGACATCATGCTTATTGTTCTCGCGCGGCACACGGACCACGTAAACGTGCGCAAATCCGCCTTCAGATAGGTATTTCTCGATGTAGACCTTGTGGCTGCCGACCGTTACCTTGGTGTTGGGGAGAAAAGTGCCTGGCGGCTGGCTCGACATGGCGATTTCGATTCAATCCGCTCCGATCGTTCTCGTCCTCGGGATGTTGAAGCTGGAGCAGGCGGAGGAGATGGCAGCCAGCGGTGGGAATGTTTGCTGCTCGAGTCGCCGGGTTGTCGGTGCTTGAGAATAGGCGATGCGATCAGATGGATCACGGCATGTTCGGGGCGAATCGCGGCTATTGGAGTTATTGTTATTGGGAATGTGACAAGTTGTCCAAGACAGCAGTACGCATGTCTCTCTTATGCGTCGGTGCCTAGGAGGGAAAAACAGCTGGTGCAGTGGGTGTAAGGTCCGGTGGATGGTGCAGGGGCTGTGCATTGAGACACGAGGAGCTTCAAACCCCAAGATGACGTTCCTTAACCGCCGCAACGCTCGCTACATGTTCCTTCATGTCCTTTACCATGTCTGCTATCCCAAGTCCAGCGCTAACATCGACATCTTTGCTATGGAACACCATATCGGTGACTACGACAGTGCACATGGCGTCCGTCGAGCAACCCCGTACATGATCATTTCCCCTCAAGCAAGCCAGGCTGGCATGTGACAATTTGACTTGGCCCATATCGGACCATTTCAACGGGGAACTGACCTTATCATTTCCCTCTGGGCCCCGAACACCTATTCCTTATGCGACTTGAAGAATGACAACAAATAACGCAGATCGATTGGGACAAACCTTTGGAAGAGGCCTATTGAGACCGGTCTGCGCTGAAGTCGACAAGATGACCGGGATGTCGAAGAGCTTTCCGAGTGCCGCATGGGCGATCATACAGTCCATCCCGCAAGGCTCAAGTAGGCAGCACGGGGTTCGTTCTGGTCTAATCGCACAAAGGGGAAGGCTGGTAGACTCCATGAGCAAGTAGTGCTCCAAAGTCATTGCATGGGCCTTCAATCTCTACTTGCAACCGGCAGAGCAGAACCTCAGCAAGCCGATCGCAGCGAAGATGCAGGGCGAGAACTTCAAATCTCTGATTTCTGTGGTATGGTGGTTGAGCTTGATTGACACTCTCCTCCTTTTTTCTTTTTCTCGAGCGCACTACCTCTCCCTCTCTATATCACTTCTTGCTACCCCCTCCGGACCTCTCTGGACATGAATCCACGCCATTCTCGCACTCCATACAGACGCAGTACCACAGCTCAGTGGCCTTGCTGACCATTTGGTCAGTCAGTCCAGTCGCATTGAAACAACCTTCAAACCTGAAATGGTGCCGAACGGGCATTTCAGAGCAGTTGTAAAGCAAAGGTAATGCGGAAGCTGCGGGGGTGTGACATTGAGTCTGCCAAAACAATGCGCAATGGTCTTCGGACTTCTTCACGCTGAAGCGTGTCAGGTTATTAACCGTCGGATTGAGCGACTTGAGAACGTGCTTCATCAGCACTGAATAAGCGATGCTCGGGTCCGGAGAAGTAGGCGGCATTGGCAGACATGGGTAGCTGCAACACCGCAAGCACGTAGCCTTTGAATGCAGCCAAAGGCATATCGGCTAATGCAGACTGGGAAAGTCCAGTCGTAGACCACAAGACTTCCCCTTTGGGCTGAGCACTGCTTCACCCATCTTCGTCCTCGTTCTCGTCATCCTCGTCATCTTCGTCGTCTTCGTCATTTTGCTCGTCCCTGGTCCTCTTGCCTTTCTTTCGCTTTTGCGGTTTCGGTTGCTTTTCTGCAGGTGGTCGCTCCGCTCCCTGTCCTGATTGGGGAGCCTCACTCAGACCCAAGGATCTCAGAATCTTCCGGTCTAGGTCCGCCTCATCCTCCTCCGTTTCCATGTCGCCAAAGACCGTCGTCGCGAGTCCACGCACGCCGCTCTCGCCCACCTCGACTTTGCCCCGGGGACCAACAATCCAGTACACATCGTCTTCTCCCGTGCCGTGGCTCTCCCGAACGCGGATCAAATAGCCGTCCTTTTCAAGTCGCTTCATGAGCTTTTCCGTCATCTCGTAGTCTTTGATGGGTGTTTTGTCTTGAAGTCCAAGTTTTCGCAGGTACCGTTCCATTTTGGCGTCTGGCAGGTTGCCGCCGGATAGGAGGATCAGGGACACCAGGATTGTGTAGATAGCCGTGTATTTGCTCTCGTCTGCGCTTGTAGGCGCTGACGGCGGTTGTATGATGCCCGGATTCCGGAACTCAGACGGCAGTATGGACACCAGGATCCATGACGTTGATGTCGGTTTCGATTGAGATCCCGATTTCTGGGCAGCTTTTCCTATTGTCAGCGCTTTTCAAACGCTGTTGAGTTTTGTCTGTGGCCTACCTCGCTTCTGTTGCACGGTGATCCTCTCTTTGGCCGGTAGTTCGTACATCTCCATCCCAAACACGTGCCTCAGATGTAGCTGCGCGGAAGCAAACACGGCCTTGAACTGTTTGATGTTGTTTCCAAGCACTTTCTCGGCGATATCTGCTCTTCGGATCGGCTTCCGCTGATACTCGCATGCCAATGCCAGCCGAACTAGTTTTCTTCCCATATCCTCGACATCACCGGCCTGTGTCGACGCGCTCGGACCTTCGCCATAGTTCTCTTCGTCCGATGCATGCGTCGTGCGGCGCCGTTGAGTCTGCGGTTCTGGCGAGCCGTCTGGAGAATCGTCTTCTGGTTGCTATCGCGTCTGTCAGTGCAGATCCAGACGGAAACGACACAATATAAGGACTCACCGAGCGTCTCTTCCTGGTTAAAGGCATGTCGTGAAGCTTTTATCTCTGCGAAAATATGATCGTGTTCCTGCAGAACCGCGATAGCGTCAATGAGAAGATAAAGTCGTGGGCTCGATGCTTGTGATAGACGCGAAGCGCGTCGCGATCTTGAACCCTGATTTCGTCACGAGTCATGATCATCGCGCTGCCAGTGCGAGGACCGTCTCGACCTCCACGACGAAGTATTATATTCATTCAGCATCGACCGTCAACACGACAGCGCTACGCACAGCCCAGAAAACGCATTCCTCTCACGCTCACTCTCAACATGGTAAGTCCCTAGGGCTCTGGCCAGCCAATGCGCCCCAGTCTGCAGACCCGCTAACATCGCATTCCAGGCCGACAAGCTCCGCACTCAGCAGCAGCTCGAATCGCTCCAGAACAAGTACATCGGGACCGGCCACGCAGACACTACAGCGCACGAGTGGACGTCCAACATCCAGCGCGACTCGTGCGCAAGCTACCAAGGCCACCCTCCCCTCCTCCACTACATGGCGATCGGGATGGGCATGCCGATGGAGAAGATGCGCATGCACTGTATGGAGAAGATGGTATTACCTTGTGGGCCGGCACCGGCGGTGGAGGAATGATGATGGTTGCTCGTTCGTTGGGCAGCGAGTCTGAGCAGCCACAAGCAGATGGGAGACGACGCTGCGCGGGAGCCTGACAGAGGCTACCTACGTACATTCAAAAGACGGCAACGAAACGCGCGACTGACGACCGACGCTTCCATCAGACAAGCGCTATTCGCAAACCTTGAAGGGGAGGAACATACGGCGTGGTCTCTTTCGCCGATGTCGAGCGGCTGTACGACACGAAGGCCGCGGACTGCCTTGTCTTCACATCATGGACCGATGATTCCGGCGGACTATCTGAAGGCTGTATTCAGGCAGCAAGTTCTAGGTTTGAGTGGGACTTGGCGGACAGCCCATTACTGGGATCAGCCTTGACATGCATACCCTCAAATTAATGATACAGCGTCTTCTCAATGTTAGCGTGATTCGCAGGTATCCGCCTAACTTGGAAAGCTAGTATTTTGCCAGAGCTAGCTAATAACACGATCAAGCATTCCAAGGTCATCGACAGCCGTAGAACAGCTCTATGAGTGGTAAATGCTCATAACAAGCTGTTTCAAGGGCGGGATATGATGCAATACCGCATTCTTCTTTAGCTACATGCCGAGTCATTCACGAGCGCGGGTCATACCAGGACGTGGCACGACGCTGTGTACGCCGAGCCCGAGGAAGTGTTTCAGATCCGTCCGCGTGTATGCGACTTCACACTCTGTCAATGCAGAGGCAACTTTCCTCGGTCGGCGTAACGATATCCTCTCGTGGCCCATTCCATGTTTTAAAAACATGGATGGCTTTCTCGTTCTCTGAGCACATGCTGTAGTTTGCGGACCGATTGGACTTCTGGGCATGCAACGGCGTGTCGTGCGTGATGTGACACCGGCCTTGCAGTCGCACTCACGACTGAAGAGATTGATGATTCTGGGATTCGGACTGCGGTTGGTAGCCGGAGATGGCTGCTTCGAAGCCTTCTGCGATCATTCTGTCCCTGACTTCCGGGATGAGGATGTCCTTGCGGAAGCGTTCTTCCTGTAGAAGCTCGAGTGCTCGAAGGGTCGGGCCAGGGTATCTCACTCTTGGTCAGTGATGGCCTGTAAGCATTAAGCCGTTGCGCTCACTGGAGGTAGCGAAGGTATTTGGGCTCCCGAAAGTATTGCAGGTACTCGAGATATGCTATGAACTCTGCATTGTCGAGCAGTTTCTGCGCCGCCAGATAATTGAGGTACTGGGGATTGGAGAGCATCTGGACAAACTGTTTGTTCATGTCAGCATGTGCCAACTTTGGACCATGCCATGCCGTATGGGTGCTGTGCAATCCGAGAGCGGGGCTATCAGCAGGACGCCAACTCCGACTAGCTGGACAGGTATGGTCGAGAAGCATGCGAGCTGCAATGTCAATATTGAGGTTGTCCTACTCACCTCGAGCTCGATGACGAATCTGTCGAAGCCACCATACTGCATGTTGACCGATGAGGAGGCTGTCGGACCGCCATTGGGCTGGGCTTCCGCCATGGCTCGGACAGAGTGTGGGAAGTGTGAGAGGTGGTAAGGTCGGATCTGCGTGAGGTATGGTCCAGAATGCGAGGTGTTGTCTAGTGGTGGACGTCTATTGGTTGTGGGAAGGAGCCACGCACACACGCACAGGCTCGATCCTACAGTACTACCGCTAGCGTTGGTCCCTGAGAAGGCTTGATGAGCTTGCTCCACACCCAAAGAATCGGGAGTCGGGAGTCGGGAAGGGAAGTGGCTGCTGCTCGGCGACCGGTAGTGGTACGGAATACTACCTTACATGTACGGATCAGGAGGGTGTGGTGAATCCAAGGTGTCGTGATGGCGACGGAGAGGGAGAGGACGCAGTGTTGATGAGTAGAAGACGCGTCGGCACGTGAAGGATGGACGACGACGTGGGACGGGACCTGACGCTGGATAGGGTTTGCCTAGTGAGTAAGGTACCGGCGATAATAGTAATAACAATAATCTAGCCCTTCGCCCTTGACTTGACAATAATAATATCGAGCCTCGCCCGCCGTGTGGTTCCAGTGGAAGGAGCGCCTCTCCCACTCTCCGAGCGCGCTGTCTGGCGGTGTATCAGAATCCCTCAAGGTACATACCCGGCCATCGCAGCCACCAACAGACGACAAGAACAACAACAGCAGCAGCAGCAGCAGCAGGATATCCTAGTGGAAGCATTCGACCTCTCCCGAACAGGACTTACTACGCGCCGCATTCCACGACGAGGTGTCAGTGTTCAGTTCAGAGAGTGCCCCCTCCCTCCCGCCGCGAAGACGCCAGCCGGACAGCGCCTAATAAAGAATAAGAATACCCGCTACCCGCCGCCGCCGACCATCACCCATCACCCACCACACCCGTCACCCATCAACACTGCACCCTGCATCGCATTGCAGCGCACTACTCTTCCTCTTCATCATCACGCGCATTCACACCCACCCACACCTAATCCATACACGACCACTCACGCACAGCACGCATATCACGCATCCCACGGCGCCCACATCCGCCCGTCCCATTGGAATCATGGCATTCGCCAACAGCACGGCGCCAGGTACGTATGACGACTCCTGTTTCATGACTGCCCGGGTGCGACCGTCAACACACAACACAATATATAACACATCACAATCCCACCCACTGACCACCCACGCGTCTCCTCTCCAGATCGCCAGCACCCGCCCCTCGGTCTGTCTCTCAACCTCTCTTCCAACAACCCCTACAACAGGTTCGGTGGAGCTCCCTCACCGCGCATCTCGCCCTCCAACAATCCCTGGGCCGAAGCTGCTCCCAGCGCGCGTCCCACCTCTACCAACCCATTCCTCGACGCCAGCGAGATGACCCCTTCCACAACACCCTCCAACAATCGCGCCGCCGGCGACATCATCACCGACCGTCGAGCAAACAACGGCAACAATCGCGGCATTCCAGATGACATCTTTGTATGTTCTCCTTATCATCTCTGCCCTGTACCTCCCCTGCCTTATCCGTCCCCTTTGTGTCATCCATCCTGGCAAATTCTGCTCCGCCGCCCAGTATGAAACGCTGGTTCCAACAGCCAACCCATTGCCTCCTTATCCCTCCAAATTTTTCGCCATGGAGCGCTTCCACCTCTTCTGCCAGATGTTTGCTGACTTCCCAACTTTGCAGGGCGAGCTCTCTCTGCTTGACAAGCCCCTTGTGAACGGTATGTGTAATCAGCTTGGCGGACAGCATGCCCAACCATATCCGCTAACTCTACCATCAGGTGCGTCAGCACAGAACAGTGCTCCAAACCGTCCTCCGCCCGGATACCGCCCACGTGGTCCAGAAGATCGACGCGGTCCACCACCACCTCGTCCTGCCGGAGGTCCCAATAGTCCCGTTAAGCGCGAGGGCAGACATCCTCAGCTACAGCGTCGCGCCTCAGAGTCATCGGTACTGGAGAAGGAACGACGGCCGCGGATGGATCGTGACCGTCGGGAGCGCCCAGAGCGCACCGAGTCTGAGGAGCGGAGGCGGCGAGAGAGACGGCGAGAGCGGGAGGAACGCCATAAGAGAGAAAAGGACAAGGTCCGAAGCGGGGAGAAACGTACGAGAAAGCCACAAGGGCTCGACATCATCGACAAACTGGATGTAACCGGAATCTATGGACAAGGACGTATGTGTCACAATACGCATATGCGCTGTAGTTGGACGGTCGCTGACATGCATTAGTCTTCCATCACGATGGTCCTTTCGACGCCTGTAATCCACACCGCAACGCGAAGAAAGACAGGCGTGCACCAATGCAAGCCTTTCCGGTCGGCTCTGCAAATATGGCCCTCGGAGGCGCAGGCCCGCTGAGATCTCGGCTGGATTTGGACAAATTCCACGGTCGCGGCGTGGAAGGCTTCAACGACTTCTCGACGACAAGGAAGACAGATACCGCCATCATCGATCCTCTGCAGCGCACAGAGCCTGTACATGGAGATGAATCTTACGGTCTGGGCACTTCCACCTTCCTCGAGGGCGCTCCTGCTACCAGGAGCGCATTGCAGAGACGTGATTCGGAGGATCCCGTCATGGAGGGAGCTGGAGGCGGGGGTCCAGGACTGTCTAGAAAGAAGTCCATTGCGCAGCGCTTTCGCGGAATGTCCGGCTCTCGGCGAAATGCTCCAGGCATGCAGAGCCCTGAAGCGAGATATGGCTCTTCTGATCTGGATGCACCTGGATCAGCTCACCCGCAGATCAAGGCAATCAGTGCAGGGGGAGTGCAGCGGACGAGGTACAACAAGGAGAATGAGGTCAATCCGTTCGAGAACGACTACGAAGCAGCCTTCGACAAGAAGGGCACCGAAATCCGCATTGCGGAGCAAGATCGGCCATCACTTGGACGCCCACAGACTTCGGGCAGTCCACTGACCCGGAGTCGTACTTCTGAAGCAAACGTGCCCACTCGGATCCGGCGAAGCAACGAGGAGGAACGTCGAGCGAACGGTGGCAGCGGAAGTGGCGGTGGATTCTTGAGCCGCATGCGCTCTCTGAAAGGAGGTCCACGCCGAGCCCGGAATGAGGCTTGATAGCTCGCCGACCTTGGATCAAGACCCTCGTCGTCGGGCAAGAAGTTGTCAAAGGAATTGACGGAGCGAAAGCAATTTGATCCTCCTGGACAATGCACCCGGGTCAGGATGGATGAGCTGAGTGGGCCAGTACAGCAAGGACACGAAGGCCGAGTGCAGGCATTTGGTCAGGCATGTGCTGAGACAGGACTCGTATCACTACGGGGCTCTCTTATGTTTAGATGTCCGAAAAGTAGAACTTTTGTAACCTCATCAGTCAGCCTACTCCTCTTCAGCCCACCCAAACCAATGACAGGACTCGGTGCTCTGTAGGCTCTGAGACGTGCGCAACCGTGAGCTCCAGTTACTGGAATCCACTGCCATTTCAGCGCATGTGGCTGTCTAGAGAAGCTGTGAAATAAGGTAGGGGGGTATCATAACCGATCAAACAACCACACGCCTCTCTGCGCCTTCCGCCGGCTCGCCAAACCCCATGCAGTCAACTCGTCTAATTCTCTCTCCACTCTCTGGAACACACGACGCATTTATAGAAGCTCGTCATGGGCTCATCCGCACTGCGGATCTGGACTTGACGGAAATACGCGCGGCGGGAGTCACAGTTTTCGTTTGCGCATTTGGCTGTTTTGCACACGAACAGACAAAGAGTCAGCAGCCATGGATGCACGGATGGATGGATGGATGGATGGATGGTTCTTGGATCCAGGGTGGTTGGACACAGACCCAGTCTGGAAGTAAAGGGGCGGGGCGGGGCGGGGCGGGGACTCACCATCCGTCTGATCGACATTCTGCCAGCTATCGGCGCCGCCGAGGATATCGTCTACTTTCTTGAGATTCTGATTCTTGCGTTCGTAGTAGCGCCGGTCGAGGACCATCTGGTAGGGGCACGTGCGGCATTCGAAGCGGTTCTTGCCCGCGTGGCTTTGCTCGTCGGGCGAGGGACCGCAGTGGGCGGCGGGGATTTGGGTGATGATGAGCATGTTGCTGCACGAGGGGCAGACTGGTGGGGGGAGTTGGGGGTTTGTTTAGTTAGGGTTGTTGTTGTTGTTGTTCGGGGGGGATGGAGATGCGAATGGGCAGTAGGGAAGGAAGGAAGCGAGGGAGGGCTTACAGAGTAGCATCTTGATGTTGAGATATTTCCTTTCGAGTTGTTGTTGTTTGTTGAACAGGTGTGCGGTATATCGATATCGAGCAGTACTGTAAGTTTGCAAGGCATGTGAAGATGCCCCGGTAGTCTTTGGAAGCGAAAGGTAAAGTTTGATTGGAATTTGATTGGCCGAGAGGCCGGCATGATCCCTGTCGCCTTGCACTTCACGTCGTCCGCGCGCGCGTGCCTGAAACCAAGTAGGACTCAGCCACGGCCCCTCTCACGACACACCAATAGCCTCATGCTCACCTATTCTGCCTCAGCTCCTTGACGCCTACCGACCGTTCCCCGACCAACTCCTCCTCATCATCCCGAACGACCCAACAACAACCTCCACCCCCCCCCCCCGCGAACCAGCCTCGAGACAAGACAACCATGGCCTCCGACGAAGGCGCCTCCCCGAAAGAGCAACTAATCGAAGCCTGCCGCCGCAACAACACCTCTCTCCTGCAAGAAGTCTTCTCCGCCGCCCCGCTCTCCTCCCAGCCCGCCACCATCGCCCAGTTCCTCAACACGACCACCGACGCCCTCGGCTCCAGCGCCATGCACGTCGCGGCGCAGTACGGCGCCTACGAAGCCCTCGACCTCATCCTCGACCAGGAAGGCGTCGAGATCGACGGCCAGGAACGGCGAGATGGGGATACCTGTCTCCACCGCGCCGCGCGCTTCGCGAGTGGGAGTCAAGAAGATTGGGAACAGGGCAAGGCCGTCGTGGAGATTTTGATCGATGCCGGTTGCGATCCGAGGTAAGTAACTACTACTACTACTAGTAATAGAAGAAGAAGAAAACCGATACCATACGGGAGGTTCCCCCTCGAAAGCCAGACTAACACGCTCCCGCCCCCAACGTGACAGGATACGCAACAACGCCAAACTAAAGCCCGTGGACCTGGTCGATCCCCGGAACGAGGAATTGCGGAAGATCCTGAAAAAGGCGGAGCTCACGATCCAGATGAGTAATGACTTGGTAGCAGAAGAAGAAGAAGACGATGATGGGGAGCCCGATGGTCCCGGGAGCGAGAGCGACTGAGAGATGCCCGTCGCGGACACATATATATGCTGTTGTTCTCTCTCTCAAATGTGCATGCATAGCGTCGGCGTCATGTTTGGGGGGTGGGGAAGGTTCCGATTGTAAGAGGTAGTACTGGCAACGGGGTTCCACGGACGGTGCTTCGCGAGCTTCGTGGGATGGTGGCTCACGATTGTCCGAATCGTATCGTATCTTGCTTGCTTCCTGTCTGCACGACGAGGCATGAGAAGGCGTCTGTCTCGTCGAATGCTCACTAGCTAGGCTATGAGGGGGAGTTGACGACAGTGATGCAGCTGCTAGAGCGATTCCATTTCGCACAGGGCGGCTCATCAGTCTGCTTGTGCATCATGTCGCAATGATCGACAAACGAACAACAAGACAAAGAGGAACAGCGCTTCTTCAAAAGTCCTGTGTCCTTTACGGACGATCAGATTTTTTGCACACACACTATACAAACATTACAGCATTTTTCTTTTGCTTTCTCCTCCTCTTCTTCTTCTTCTTTTCCCCCTTCCATTCAATGTGTACGAAGACACTCGCGGTACATTTGGAAGAGTAAGGTGATTGTACCATCGTCAAAATTTTCTCCACCAAACCTGCCAACTATGGCACAGAAGCAAAAGAAAAAGACAGCGCTATACGATTTTCACCATCAGATCGTAATATGGCGCGCTAAGACGCTCATCGGGTGCAAATACAGCCAGACATCGCTTCTACGTTTCGATGTGGCGGGAATCTCGGTATAGTCGTATGAACCCATGAAACCATTCTCCATCTAGTCACATGTCCTCTGTGAAACGGGAGTTTCGCAGGCTGGAAGGAGTGTCGCTCCTTCCCAAAGTCCCAGTATTAGGAAGTCCGGGCTGTTCGGCAGAGGCGGGCGACATCACATACGGGCCTCCAGCGTGGACCTGTGGTTGTCGCTGAGGTCCGGGCGACATCATCATCATCTCTTCCGGACTTGTCCCTGAAGGACCGTTGCTTGATGACTCTCCATCACCGCCGTAGAAACCTGCGCTGTCGCGATAGAATGAGGTGCTGCTCAAGTCTTGCTCTGGCGGTGAGCTGCTCAGCGGCATGCCTGGTGTCGTCTGCTGCGGTCCACCCGTCTGCGCTTTCCGTACACCCTCACTGCTCATGCCTTCACTGAACACGGACGGAAGCTTTCGTCCGGAGACCCGCGTAAAACCTCGTTCTGATGGCGCAGTCTCGCCGCTACGATTCTGGTGTCGAAAGATTCCAGGGATTGCAGCAGCAAGAGGAGATAACCCAGATCGCTCGGCCATGCCAGGCCCGCTTGGTCCAGATCCACTTGGAGCAGAAGACCCGTCCAGGCCACGAGCAGTCCCCGAATTGGGGGGAAGAGCCTGCATCTGATTCTTTCTCCGATACCATCGGACGAATAACATGGCTATGAGTAACAGAACAGCCAGCCCTGCAGCGCCTCCAACCACACCTCCAGCGATGGTTCCAGCCGGCGGAGCATTACTACCTCCGTCCCCACCGCCCGAGGAAGATCCAGTGGTGCTCGTTGTTGGCGAGGAATAAGTAGGAGAGCCCTGTCCCTGACGGCCTCCTCCAGTAACGCCCACAGTTGCCGCCGAGGTGACAGTACTTTGCTGGCCATTCGAAGTTTCGGTGGCTGTTTGATGATCGGTCGAAGATGCGTCGGAAGAGCTGATCCGCGAGCTCGATCTCGTGGTAGAGGCAGATATGGCTGGTATTGTGAGTACCTCTCCATTCACGGTCGTGATGTATGGTTCGCTCGAGCGCGAGAATGACGAGACATCTCCGTCGCTGAATGAGGCGACGAAAAGTAGGTCCGACGTAGTTGACGTGGATGTACCATTCGCGATAGTCATAGTCGTCTTGGATGTCGTTGTGCTGTCTCCTATGAAGATCACCGCTGTACGAAAAGTCAGTATCATGAGACCAAGAAGTAGCGTCACGGCGAGTTTTACCTGAGGTGGTGAGGTTTGCAGTCGGTGTTATCGTTGGAATCCCGGCTGAGGCCGTGGACGAGGTCGACGGAGATGTCGTGCCATTGCTGGGTGTCGCTTTCATCGTTGGAATCCCGGCTGAAGCCGTGGACGAGGTCGACGGAGATGTCGTCTCATTGCTGGGTCTCGATTTCATCGTTGGAATCTCGGATGAAGCCGTGGACGAGGTCGACGCAGATGTCGTCTCATTGCTGGGTGTCGATTTTATCGTTGGCATCCCAGATGAAGCCGTGGACGAGGTCGAGGAAAATGTTCTGTCACTTTCGTCACTTTCGTGACTTTCGTGACTTTCGTGTGTCGAATGCGTGGTCGACGATCGATGTGTAGCACTGCTGTTATAAGCGGGCGTCGATGATACGTTCGACGTTGGACTCGATGTGACGTCGGCAGGAACGGTATCAGCAGGCACTGAGGCGCTCGTTCTGGAGCCTGAAGACATATCCGCCGTTGTGACTTCTGATGCGTCGACGTGAGAACTCGCGCTGATCTCGAGCGAAGACTCAGTCGACGTGAGAGTTGCCGACGCGGCTACGGTGCCCTCACGTGGAAGCAAGACTTTGAAGTCGGCGATTCCTCCAACAACAGGATGTTGCTCTCTCCGGGGCCGGTCTTCATGTTCATGGCATTGAGTCCGGGGAGATGCCGGAGAGGATTGCGGGTGTAAGTGGTTGGCGGCATGACTGGTGGATGATTCGGAGGATACTGTGCTGTTGTCCAGAGGTGTCACGCCTTCAGTGGATGGAGACGATAACTTTCGCCGCTTGTGAGGAGGTGCCATGGCCCCATCCATTCGGCACCCTCCTCGGCTCTGCTATCACCGAGAGATTCTCGGCGATACCAAGACCAGAGCGGTGCTAGACTCGAAGATGGCAGCCTTCCAATGCTCCGACTGACGGCCCAATGTCCCCTGCAGAATCCTCTTTCCGGTCGAATACTCGGTTGGTCGATGGCAAAATCGGGGCGCAAATACTGCTCTGTCGGCGGGCCAGTGGTGGAGAGAGCGTGGAAGTCTTTCACGAAGGGGTCGGAGGAGTAGTCGTTTGTAACGAACGGACGCCGGCCGGAGGCCGACTTGGTGCAGAGCTGCGGTGTGATGGGAGGGTAGAAGTCGCGGTGATGCGTGTGTGCAGTGCAGGCAGCGTCTTGGCCAGGATTGCGCACTGATGCGCAGCGCGGGTGATGTTGTGAAATTGCACACAACGCTCGTGAGTTGGCTCAACGGCGCAGACGGCGCTATCCTATCGAGCGTTGCACGATCAACGGAGAGTAGCTTGACGGGCGAAGGCGCAGATAGGCTCAGATGAACAGCGAATGGCGATGGGATATATGTGACGGGAGCTTCCGCGTCGATTTGCAGGATGGAGGGAGCGGTTGCAATAGTAGATGTAGTAGTAGTGTCCGGCACTGGCTGGTAATGAGAGCGAGCGTGATATAGTGAGCGAGAGGGCCTCTTCCCCCGAAAGCGCCGCCAGCCCAGCACGGCACGGCTCCCATGCGCAAGGAGAGAGCAAGATGGAGAGATGGTTGTCGGGGGGGGGGAGGAGGAGGAGGAGCGAGAGAGGGAGGGCGTGTGGGAGTGGTGGTAGTGGTGGGAGGAGTAGTGGTGGTCGTGGTCGTGGTGGTAGTCGGTGCTAAGGTAGTCGGTGGTAGTGCTTCGTGTGGGAGGGCTGGTCCGTCGAGACGCTCGAACAGGGCTAGCGTGCTCCGGGCACTAGCGGACGCCGGGAGCTAGCGCGTAACTAGTGCGCAAACCCAATTTCCTGAGCCGCTGGAACTCGATGCGATGCGATGCGATGATGCGATGCGATGCGATGCGCTGCTGCTGCGCGCACTCGCACCCGACACATTTGATGGTCTCGACGCCGTGCTGCCTTGCGTGCGGTGCGACGTGTGCTGTGCTGTGCTGTGCTGTGCTGTGCTGTGGTGTGGCAGATGGATGGGGATTGGGGATTGGGGGTGGGGAGAGACGTCGACAGCCCGGCGGCCCACAATACACGAGTGGAGAGAGGACAAGAATCATGCGCGTGCGACGCTGGTGAGATGAGAGAGACACATGCCGACCCCGGTTCCCAAGCTTGTCTTCCGATGCCCCTTGCTGCCTACAGTACTTGCCTACTGCCTACTACTGCCTATGTCCATCTCAGATAAGTCATCGAGGCCTCTGTGTCCCGCCTCGCGCAGCTGGCTCGCCCGGCAGCATCTCCACACAGCTCGGCATCGACGAAAAATCATGAACCTTCTCCCACGAGAATGAGATGCGAGATATGAGCTGCACCTCATGCCGTGATGCGTGATGCAGCGGTCGTGCCCGTCCAAGCCGGTTAATTCGGCTACCGCCCAGCCTCACACAGGTACATGGGATCCAACTTCACCTCCTGCATCGCGACCATTATTCTCACTCTGCAGCCGCGTGCTTGTTGCCATCTCCCCTTGCCCGCGACTACAAAGAAGTCTAACGATCATCATCATTCTTCATTCTTCATCAGCCAGCCGAGAACACGTTCCTGCCCCGTCGCGCGACTACTGCACCCGCGACTCTCCCAGTCTCCCTGTGCCGCAGCAGCAGCGAGTTGGCTTTTGCAGCCCTGCAGGCCATGTTCCTTCCTTCATCTCGATGTGCATGGATCCCACCAGAGCGCCCCCCTGCCCGCCCCAATCTGCCTCTTCCCTGGATCCCTAGCATTCCCCATCCGAGCGGTCACCTTTTACCCGACCTGTGCGACCAACAATGGATCTACAAACATCCCGACCCCCTTCTCCCACCTCCAATCTCATTCAGTACGAAGCGACAAGATTATTACGGCCGTGTTCTACACCTTCCAAATTATCATAATAAACTGTACTCCCTACTATGCGATACTTCCGAGAGAGAGAGAGAGAGAGAGACACTTGCGACAGCAGGCTCATGGCATCCCTTTCGCTCCGATCATGACAGAATTTTTGCATCCCATCTCGATCGTCACCACCAACAAGCCTGTCGTGAGATTCATCAACCTCAAATCCCTCCCTCGTCGCAAAAAAAATTACTGCCGGCCGAGACACTAATGGAGTGTGGAGGAGAAGAGAGCAAGTTCAGAAAGACGCTGCCGAAAGCGGTACTCTCTCCATTGTGATGTGACCGACATTATTATTACCATCACAACAGACGCCGGGCGGGTTCTAGACCGTGTGATGCCTACGACAGTGAAGCCAATAGTATGTTTCAACATGCCGGCATGCCCCACCGCGTCTGCCGATCCACGCACACTCGCACACGCGCACACGTATCGTCACACGGCTAGTAGGAGTCCTTTGGCGATGCAGCTCTCCACCATTCGCGCCGCGATGAGCACCTCACAATGACTCCCGCAGTGATGAAGGCACCAAAGCAGACCGTTCACGCGGTATCGAGACCAGAGGAGGAGGAGGAGGAGGAGGAGGAGGAAGAGGAAGGACAGTCTCCAACAACTAGATCGATCGTGATACCCCAAAAATTTAAAGGTATCCAAAGAAAACCTCTTCTCATCTACTATATCCAACTCATCCCATCCTTCTCCCGTTCCCGCTCTTTGTGGCCATGATTCTTCCTCTGCTCCCACCAATTCATACTCCTCTCCTTCAGACTCCCACTCGCCTTCCTCCGTACAGCCTTGAATTCAAATCTGCTCCGATCCAGCTTCTCCCGGAAGCCAGTGGCCGTCGCCGATCGCTCCGTCGGCTCGTCCATACCGACCTTCCGCGTCGTGCTCGTGAGGCCCAGTGCGTGCGGCGGAAGCATGAGTTGATGTCGCCGATCAGACGACACCATCATCATCTTGGGCGGTGGCTTGACCTTCTCGCCTCCCCCTCGCCCACCATTCACGGACTTGGACCTCGTCGTGCCCGTCGACTTTTTACTCCGATTGGATCCAAAGCTTCCCATCCTTCGGCGCCGGGAGCCGAGACTTTCGCTCTCGTCGTTCGCAAAGACCCGCGCTTGTGGATTGGGAGGTGGAGTCTGGTACGACATCGCACCCAGGACACCAAGACTCTCCGTACTCGGGCTGGCGAGCCGCAGAGTCCCCAGGCTGACATCACTCCCCATCTTCCGGATCGAGATGCCTCGCAAAGGCGCATTTCGGCGCGGTGAGGCATCCAAGATCTGCTGAAGCTCTGCAATGTCTGCACGATGTTCTCGCTGGCGATCCAGAGACTGCTGACGTGGTGCGGCAAATGCACGGCCCGGAGCGTAGAGAGGTTGCCTTGGTAGACCGCTGGTTCGCGCGGGCGATGAGACGGAACGCCGGCGAGAGTGCGCGCCGTCTGCTCTGCGTGAACGCGAGTGACTGACTTGGCGATGAGCGCGCTTCTCTTCAATGGCGGCAGCAACCTGTGCGACCGAGTTCGGAACCACGTCCAGCGAGTTCATGTGAATCAGTATGATAGGCAGTTGTACAGATACGATCTTGGAGTTGGACAAGGATGCCGTCACGTTGAGAAAGTATCGCACCTCGAAATACTTGCCACAGCGCACAGTAGCATGGCCACGGGCCAATTCGAGCTCGCACGTTCGAGTATCAGAAGTGTGTGGATCCACTCCATGCCATCCGATGGAACCTGGCTTGAAGCAACTCCTCGCCAGGATCGTCTGGTCGTTGCTCTCGAAGATGCGCGCCTGACTTGCTGACTTCTCCATCGTGGCTGCTGCTGCATGTTTGTAGCGCAAGATGTCTCGCTCGAGCATAAGTTCAAGTCTTTTGACAGGCTTTTGAGACCTGTTCGATATGTGCACGTCCACGAAGATACTGCTGCCGCTCACCCAAACCTGACGATGAAGACCAGCAGTAACTTTGATGCTTTCGAGGCCGGTGCTTCGCGGGAGAGGGAGTTCATCAGATGCTACGAGTGGGCTGGTCAAAGACGTGAGTGCCTTTTCTGGATCGTAGGTCGGCAGTACGTGGACATCCTGTGACGTTCTGACCCGGTAATGCTTCCCAGAGTCCCGAAGGAACGTTGTCACAGAAAGCAAATAGCGAATTTTGGCATGTTTCGATTGAAACGGAGGCGGTCCAGTGTCGAGTGGTAGGCTAATCATAAATGGAAGAGCCGTACAAGACGGTGTCAACGACCAGAACTTATCATCGGCGAAGAGCGGATTTGCCGGCTGAATCATGCTAGGCGGCGGCGGATGGTTTGGATCGACCAGTTCTGTTCCGAGTGCCAAGAAGGTTGCTCTGCGAGTTCCGTCCACCTCCTCGAAGCCCAGTAAGTCAACAGAGACAGCGCCAATGCTGAGCGAGCGACGATGCATGATAGCCCGCTCATTGTCGTCCACGGTAACACGCACGAAACCTTCCACGCTGCCTCCTCCGACAAACAACGGAGCCGACAGCTGCAACTCCAACTTTACCCGCGGGTGCTTGTATGAGGGAAATTCGAAGATGTCTGACGGATGCGGACTGCGTACGTGGGTCTGCGAGGGAATCCTTCTGGCCGTATCGGAAGTAATGGGGTCAAGCCTCAGACCTGCCTCCTTCACGGGCGACTGACTGGCGCCACGATTGGGAATGGAGTGGAAAAGGTTTGACGGAGGATCCGGATCTGAGGGGGGCTTTGAGCGCGCAGGAGCGCTTCGGGTCTGGTGTCCCGGTGGTCGTACAAAGTACTTTTGTGAGGAAGACCTGCGAGGCACGCTGGTTTGAGGAATGCTGTAGAAACTCAACTGTTCCGGTGTGCTGCTGTAAGACGAAGAGCCGCCGTCCTGAGCAGGCAATACACTGATGACGGGCTTTGCGACCTGCTGTGTCGATTTCAAGGATGGCACTCGTCTCAGAGATTCATGTCGCTTGTGATGAGAGCCTACTCGTGACACATTCCGTCCGTGTCCGCGACGCGCGCTGGGATGTCTGACGACATTGTCCATGAGGCTTGGCTCACTCAATTCCCGAATATCGGAGAGAGGTCGTGCAAACAACGACCATGGCGTTGGGTCGGGGGTCGGCGCATGCTGCGAGGTTGGTGGAGCTGTCGATGCTGGTGGGTGCTGAGGAGGTGGAGGAAGCGGCGGCGGCGGAGGGGGTGGAGCTGGTATCGGCTGTGGCCTCGAAATCTCATAGCGATGGGAACGGGTCTCCATGGAGGCCCACGAAAACGGAGGGATCCAGATATGGCAGCCTACGAGGAGCCTTCACTTGTCGATGGACGGCCAGAAGCTGAGGAGTGGCTACATTGATGCCGCCATGGATGCAGCTACTTACGGTCGCTCTGCACTGCGCTTCAGTGGGGAGGAGGCCTACCAGATCAGTCGCGGAGGACGTTGGGAGGGAAGTGGCGTTGAGGCCAGAGATCTTTCCCCGTCCATCTCATCACTTGGAGAATGGCTTCTTGACGAATGTTTAAGCTGTCGACCACCGCTTCAGCACTCACCATTGGATGTCATGTGGTCGACTCGACCAGACCCTCATGTTTCGATTCGATCGCTAGATCAGAGAGGCTCGGAGAGGCTCAGAGAGGACTTGTCCAGTTGCTTGAGGTGCGGGATGATGGAGTGACGTTGAAGTACACGCCACACGCCGCCGTCGGTCTCTCAGCCACGTGAGAAGTGCAGATGGACGGGCGGGCCCGCGGAGAAGCGGGAGTCGGGATCGGAGTGACGGCAGTAGCTGCCTCAACGGGTTTAGAGCAGACGCGGAGAAGAGATGTTCATTGGCCACAGAGGCGGCGACGTCCCCGTGCACCTCCGTCTTCCATGAGCTGGATGCTACCTGCTACCTCGACATCCTCTGATCGACGGGCCACAGCACCAAGCAGCGGGCAAGCGCTCACGTGGCACTGCACTCCAATGAGAGAGAATGATGCTACTGGCTCCTCTCACCCACTCGCCCACAACACTCACAGTCCCGTCAGCTGCAGCCTGCCCGCCCCCGCGCATTCCATCCAAGGCGGCCTTTGCTGCAAATGGTCGGTCGGGCGCTGGCCAAGGCAAATGACGGTGCAGAGCTGGTGCTGGAGCCGGAGCTGGAGCTGGAGCGGGAGCTGGAGCTGGAGCTGCGAAGAAAAATCCAACCCAGCAGAATTTTCACTGCCGGTCTCGCTCTCGCTCCAGCCCGCCAGCCAGCCCAGCCAGCCAGCAGACTCGCACGCCTCTACCGCGTGACCACGCTCGACGGCGCAGCTCCTCTCAGTGATCAGTTTAGATTACCCAACCTTTTACCTCAGACTCCTCCCTCTGCAAGCTTATCTCTCGAGGTTATTACCAATTCCTTCTTCCCTCTCGACACCGAATCTCTGGGTGAGCGGTCTTAGCGTCGCCGTCCTGGCACTCTAACTGGCTTTGGGCACTGCGATATCCGGGTACCTGCAGATGGGAGATAAAGACGCTCCAGACGGCGATATGGCTGCTGCCTCCAAAGTCGAGACCGCTGCCGAGGCCACTCCCAGCTCTCTCGAATCGACTCCCGAGCAGGAAGCAGGCGTAGAGCCAACCCAAGAACCCGCACAACCCCAGAAACGTAAGGGTGGAAGGAAGCCCGTAAGTCCATGTGATGACTCGTGTCGCCTGTCGTCCCTCGCTTACCTCGTCGCAAGATATACGCTACGTCCGAGGAGAGGAAGCAGCGAAACCGTCAAGCGCAGGCGGCGTTTCGCGAGCGAAGGACCGAATACATCAAACAGCTGGAAGCTACCATCAAACAGAATGAAGATACGCTGGCCAATCTGCAGCAAAGCCATCGGACTGCCGCAGACGAGTGTCTCATGCTCCGATATAAAAATTCCTTACTCGAGAGAATTCTGCTCGAGAAAGGTACGGCCGCGATTTCGCTGCAACTGAACTGCTTTGCTGACTGCCAACAGGCATTGACGTCCAGGCGGAACTGCAGATGAAGACCGGCAGCCCAGTGGTAGGGCATGGCTTCATGCAACCCGTCACTGGGGTCTCGCAACCATCTCAGTTGCAACGAACAGCCCTACAGCGGCAGCAAGCCAGGCGTTCAGGCAGCCAAAACTTCTTGCCCAAGCTCGCACCGGGCCAGCCAAATCCCGACCTGAGCTTTTCTGCCAATTCTCCGCACGCACACCCGACCCCCTCTTCACACGCTTCCTCGCCAAGTCAGATGTCCATGAGGTCTCCCATGAATATGCAACAAGGTGGGATGACTCCACCGACGTCCGCTGTAAACGCTCAGCCACAGGCACAGCATTTCCAGACATTGGGCGCGCGAACGTCGCAGCATCAACCTAGCTCGGCCTATTACCAAGCCCAACAACCTTCGCATATCCAACGAGCGACCCACCGAGCGACTCCGTCCACGTACCGAGGCAGCGCGAGCGGCGCATCAAGTGTCTCTGGTGGCAGTCTCCCCAACATGAGCCAGGCAATGAGTGCCACGGCCACGGGAGCAACAGCCCCCCAATCAGCATCGACCTTCTTCCCAGGCCCATTCCAGAAACACTACGATCAGCTCGGCAAGTTGACCCCTTATCTTCACAGTGGGACTGTGTTCGTCCTAGGCTGATTCCGTGAGTACAGACCAGGAGTACGATACGCAACACTCCCAATCCATTCTCGAAGAGCCGGAGCAAGATGGCCCGGCCCCAGAACGATCGCCTCGACTGCATGGTTCATATCCGCCGCAATATAATCATGCACAAGGACAGCAGGGTGTCGAATACTTCCATTCGTCACAGGACATGCAAGCAGGCGCCCAGCAGCAATTGCAACAACAGGCACAATTCGGACAGCCGCACATGCCATCGAACCAGACTGGTGGTTCTGACGGGCAATACGATGTCGACCCTAGCGACCCCATGCTCGATGCTGATCCGTTCGGACTGTCTGCAAGTATGCACTATCCAACCAACTATTCTTTCGATCAGCATCAAAGTCAACGGTGATGGAGACTTGGCAAAGTCTGATGTTCATTGAGGGCGAGGAAAGAATGTATGACCTTTCGGCAGTTTGACAGGACCGCATTTGCTGTGCGGGCTATTTGGGCGCTAGACGAGAAGCGGATGGCGGACAGGAGCATATGGGGGGTAGGAAAAGCATCTGCATAGCGTTGGCGTCAAGGGAAGCAATATTCTGATTTGACCGTGAGTTGCTATCTTGTACATAGAATTAGCAAGCTCGTGTCAATCGAGGTCTGCAAGTTCGCTTTTGCAACCGTTCTCCCTGAGGATGTTGCGCACGCACGGTTGTGGAACGGGCCGTCTAGTAGGGGTACGAGGGTAAGTTACAGCGGGTTGAACAGTCGTCGATATCTCTTTCAATGCAGGGAGTGAAGACACCGTGTACCTGATCAGCACATGTTGGTGCTTACAGGCTTCGCATGAAACGTGGGGCGATAGCTGCGCGAGTTACGCGAGCTCATATCCATGCGATATATCGAATCCGCGTCTCATATGAAATTGGCATCGACGAGGTGTCCTGGGCGGCCGTTGGAGGTGTGTGCAATGTGAGCCCGAGCCAACAGGGTTAGCGCGGTCTTGGCGCGCGCGGCTGGTCCCGGGGCCACTACCAAGAATGGAGAACAAAGTACGAATTCTCATCTCTTCTCCCCCACCCGCAACCACGACGACAAGGACAATGGGTCATTTCAGCTCGTGACTACAGTCAACATGAGCTCTCAGATCGCGAGTAAGGTGAGTTACTGCGGTATCAGCTGCCGTCTCGTGCCCACATTGGGTCATGCGACCAACGTTCGCTGAATTTGACGGCTAACCGAGTGCTACGAAAACAGAACCTCTACGAGCTCCTGGGTACGCCGACACCACCGCACCTCGACCCTTTCATCAACGGGCATGTCGACTGACGCACACAACTAGGCAACGACCCGGAGCTCGACCCGGACAGGGAGCCCGAGCCGCCCACGAAGGTCATCGACAAGCCCGTCCAGCGTGCCGGCAAGCGCAATGCCGGCGCAGAGGGCCCAGCACGAGACGCTCCTCGACCAGCAGGTGGCGGGCGCGGCGGTTACCAGCAGACATTCACAAGAGGAGACCAAGGTTCGTGAACACAAACAGCAAACAAGGCTCTCAAGAAGACGCCCATCGCTGCGCTTCAGATTTTCACAGTTCGGATCCGGGCTGACGAATTGTTGTAGCCGGTTCCTTGAACAACCGTGCCGAGAACCGCGACGACGGTGTCCGTTCTGACCGCCACTCTAACCGCACGAGAGGTATGCATTGCAAGAAATTGTCACACGGCCACTCGCTGACACCTACACAGAGCCACGCGAGTTCCGTGGAGATGGTCGCGGCCGTGGACGTGGCAGTCGTGGACGAGGCGGGCGCGGAGGTGCTCCACGCGACGATCGTCACAGTCACACCGGTATCGGGTATGTTGCAAAGTGTCGCACGCTGTATGACGGGCCACTAATTCCTGTTCAGCGAGCACGACAAGCAAGCAGCTAAGGGCTGGGGTGCTGAGGACGGCAACGCCGAGTGGGCCGACGAGCGGGCTGGCGATGCCATTGCCAACGCTGAAGCAAAGAACGACGCTGGTTTCACTCCCGATACTGCCGGACGGGACCCGGCTTTCAGCAACGGTCCAGACGGCGAGACTGCCGCTGAAGATGTTTCCGCTGAGCCAGAGGAGAAGACCAAATCCTACGACGAGTACATTGCGGAGCTTGCTGAGAAGCGCCTGGCCCTCGGTGGCAACCTGAACGTGCGCAAAGCCAATGAAGGATCCTCCCAGAAGTTCCCTGAGGGCAAAGCCTTCAGCCGTGCTGAGGAGGATGAGAACTTCATTGCTGGCTCTGGTGGCAAGGCCAAGAAGGCGAAGGAGTTGCAAGACAAGAAGGAGCGTGTCACTCTCGACGGCCAGTACTACGCCGCCGCTGACTCTGGCGAGCGTGGAGGACGCGGCCGAGGTCGCGGTGGACGCGGTGGACGTGGCGAGTTCAGGGGTGATCGTCCTCGCGGTGGTGCTCGCGGCCGGGGCGACTCTAGAGGAGGCGCTCGCGGAGATCGCGGTGACCGTCGCGAACCTGGTGGCGCTCCACGAGGAGGCATCAACGCGAAGGACGAAACCGCGTTCCCGGCACTTGGCGCCTAAGGGCTAACAAGACCACTACTACCATTACACCTGCGCTGGCGATTCTGCCTTCAGATGGAGGCTAGGCGTATTCTGCACGAAGCTGACGGCAAGGTCGCACCCTTGGTTGCTGAGGCATCAGCATATGTTTCAGTAGAAGCGAAACCCAAAATGGATCAAAGAGAAGATCAAATGGACGCTGTTTTGCGTTACTGTTCACGTTTCCAACAGTGAGGTCCAGCATGCTCAGGAATCGAGCGTGCCATGTTTTCTGCGCCGAAACCACGATTGATTCCTTGGGATTCGCTCATATTTAGGCTGAGGTTCTGAGCGTAAGCGCTGTTCATCGGAAGATGATGTGGACAGCTGCTACCTCTGATTGACGAGGAGACTCATTGTGACCCTGACTTTTGCTAGCACTCAGAAGGGGGAAGTGAGTGACCTCACGATGTGCCAAGTATCTGCCGGGCGCTTGCGAATCGATTCGGAGACCACGTTTCAAATCGCCCACACGCAAAAGTCGAGAATAGCTGACGGATCTTGCGAGCAGCACGGCGGCCCCTCTCGTCAAGTCAAGGATTGCAGGCTAAGAAGTAAATGTCTGTCGCGGCTATGAATGAGACGGACTGCCATGCAGCAGTGCAAGAACAATCGTTGTTTCCGCCCAATGAACATACCGAGCAAGTTGGCAAGAAGGCTGAACAGCCAGCGTCATGATTCATCTACAAGAACTGCCAAGACCTTCGACTTGAGTGAGTGATATGCCACTGATATTATTTTCAGGAAGCACCAGCACACAAAGACGCGCGTTTGAAACGTGGCCGGAAATCTACATTTGCCTTTGAGGAGGCTTCGTGGCTGCTGCTGCAGCCATTCCTACTGCTGCTACACCGTGCTGCTCTGGCCGATCGGACGCCATACATCCAGCCATCAGCCATCCACAGCCTTATCGGCTCACTGCTAAAGTTTCGCTCCGCATTGTGTCTTCCCCAGTCCTTTGTTGCTGACGAGGTACCCGGACGGGTGACACGACGGACACCAGCAAATGTAGGTGGTACTGGTCCGGTATAAGAAGATCTCTTGATCTTCCCCGGGCCAGAGGGGGAGCTGCTTCCTTCTTCGTTCTGCAGCTAATCTTACCGTTTCTTAACGTTTTGGCGCAATACGCATGCCCCTTTCACATTTCCACATCACACGGTACGACGATCACACGACAATCTCCTTTCAGAACTCTTTGGAGTGGAGTTGAAGAGCATCTGCACTCACGGGAAACTGTTGTCGAGAGGAGTCCAGCTCAAGAACAAAGAAACACAAACATAGGAAGTCCAGCCGGATCATCAACATGAAGGCGACTGTTGCTGCAGCAGCTCTGGCATTCTGTAAGCGAGCAAACCGTGGACTAAGCTGAATTGGACGACATGCTGATCGTTCCCTATAGTTTCCTCGGCGAGCACCACCCACGCTCAGTCTATCGCGAAAACGTGCCCAGAAACAAACATCTGTTACGCTCTAAACGTTCCCGACTCAACCGCTCAATCAGGTAATGGCGACATCTACTTCCAAATGTCGGCGCCCACGACGAACACATGGGTAGCCTTAGGGTAAGGAGATGGTCAACTTGACAGCTCTGCAGGTATGGCCGCTGACTCCGCCCGTCTCCAGGCAAGGCACCCGAATGGCAGGATCAAACATCTTCATCGTCTACACATCGGCCGACGGACAGAACGTCACATTGTCTCCTCGGCTTGGCACGGGTCATGTCGAGCCACAGTACTCCGAGAACGCACAGGTGGAGCTCCTCGAAGGCTCCGGTGTCAGCAATGGCATGATGACTGCCAACGTCAGATGCAAAAACTGCAACAGCTGGCAAGGTGGCAGCGCGGATTTCACGGGAACCAGTTCGAATTGGATCCACGCGTATAAGGCTGGCAGTCCACTGAATAGCAACGACCCAGCTGCCGACATTGCCCTTCACGATGGCTATGCTCCTTTCGAATGGAGCCTCGCCAACGCCAGGGGAGGAGCCAGTGCCAACCCCTTCGTCACGGCCGCTGCTAATGGCTCCGCCGCATCCAATGGCTCCGCCGCATCCAATACCACAGCGGACTCCGGAGCCGTCTCGGGCTCATCAGGTGGTCAAGCATCTGGCGATCGAGTCCAAACGGCCCACGCCATCCTCGCCTCTCTCGCCTTCGTAGCCCTGTTCCCCTTCGGCGGCATTCTCATCCGCGTCGCCACCTTCACCGGGTCGATCTGGATTCACGCCGCCGCCCAGCTCTGCGCCTATGCCATCTACATTGCCGCTTTCGGGCTCGGAATCTACATGGCCGTCGAGGGCCGCTATCTGTCCCAGGCGCACCCGATCATCGGTATCGTCCTCTTCGTCCTCCTCTTCTTCCAGCCCGTTTCCGGTTGGCTGCACCATAAGCTGTTCCAGAGCCGCGGCGGCCGTACGCTGACCTCCTACGAACATATCGGTGTTGGTCGATTCGCCGTCCTCCTGGGAATGATCAATGGAGGTCTGGGTTTGAAGCTTGCCGACGCGGAGAATGGTGCAAAGATCGCATACGGGGTCTGTGCTGCTGTTGTGGGCCTGGCGTATATCGCTGCCATTGTCTTTGGAGAAACGAGACGACGTCGCAGCCCGCCCAGCTACGATGTCTCTGAAATGCAGCAGGCTCACTCGCTGGCAAGTCGGGAGGGCTCGGGTGAAGATTCGCGCGAAACTTGGAAGTAGCCGTCAGACATTGGATGTCATCTGTGCGTGTGCGCGGCCCACGGGGACTGCAGCCCGTAACGCGGACAGCTAGGAGTTGTTAGGTGTGATGTTCCGAGTTACCACGTTCACGATATTTAGCTACGGAGACGCTTGGGTATGAGACTGGGGAATGTCAACTGCGTAGTTTACCCTATCAACTGCTGTTTCGAGAGAGTACGCGCGGACGTGTCTCTCTACGATTTCATGTCTCCTGCCTGGTGATTTGATCCCAGCGTTCCAGTGTGATCCAACAAACTCTCGACAGCGGAGAGTGTTCTAAGCCGTCGAAGCTGCCAAACGGCTCCTTCCATATCTCTGTTTCTTCAATTCTTTGCAATTGGTATCATCCCAGGCCCGCTACGCGCTCAACGCAACATTTCAACGCCTCCGCAATCAGTGGTATCTCTTTTAGAATGTCTCCTCCTCGCCAGCTAGCTCGGCATCGGCTTCCTGTGGAATCTCGAAGCCCTCCTGGGTCTACTTGTTAGCGCTGATCCTCTCTAGACCGGAGTTGGGTTAGCTAGGCGCTCACCTCAGTTGAGTAGAGAATTGTCTGTATCTGCTTGAGCAAGCTACCCTCATCCTCCTCAAGTGACGGGTCGGCTTCCATCGCTTGCTGGATGAGAAGTTCTATGTCTCGCAGCTTGCTGAAGTAGAAGTCGCGCTCGCGCTCGAGTCCCTGAACCGTCTCCAAGAGTTCGGCATTCTTCTGCTGCAGGACGCTGCTTGCGGCGCCGGTCTGACGACTGTTCGAGCGCGGCGCCGCAGCTCCGCCTCCGACTGGTCTGCGCGCAGCACCGGTGCCAGCTGTGGACGTTCTCGTGCTCGATCCCATCGATGGAGCACCACCAATGGGCGCTGCGCCTTTCCGTCGGCCGACAGCGTCGTAGTCGCCGCCCGGGTAATGCTGGTCCCAATACCTCTTTGTCCACTGAAGAAACTCGAGGTTGTCCTGCATCTTGCACTTGACAAGCGACTCCGTGGGCAGCGGCCGGTCGACGTGATGCTTGCGGAACACATTGCTTAGGATCTTGAAATTCTCAAGGTATTGGTACTCGGAGTTGACGTTGAACTTGACGCGACCCATTGGAACGTCAAGGAAGATACTGTCGTAGATCTGGCAGAGTGCAGCGCTGGATTGGATCTAGTGGTCAGCATGGCGCAATCAAGTTACTAGGCGGCTGGTAAAGGAGTATTGTTCAGACTTACCCGGTACCGCATTGCTCAACCTTGGTCATGTTGAGTTGGAGCAGGCCGTTGACCCACGTCAGCAGCTCCTGCCTGTGACATGCGCGTGTAAGTCTCGTGTATCCAATTATTGCCGCTGATCAATTCAAGTCCTCCATATCGCCCCATGTCGTCCTGCCCATGCTGGTCACTGTCGCCGCCGCCGCTGCTCTTCACTGCCGTGTGTTCCCACAATTGTTGTGTTTTGACTTACCTTGATTCGCCCATGATGACACTGGTTTTCGGTGCGCGCAGTCGTGCGATGTGTGTCGTGCAGTCGGGGTAAGAGAGAGAGTCGATTCGGTGACGCGGTGGTGGGTGGAAAGGGAAGTGTTTCGAAACGGTGCAGTGCAGATGTTCAGTTGTTGATGTTGCAGCACAAGTCGGGCTGGAGACGATGATACACAAATGCACCCCGCGCTAAAAGTTTCATCCCCTGCCGCACGGGCGCGCATGTTGCCACGTGCGCTGTGCCCTTTACACCAGTGCTACTCCCCACGCGACAAGTTAAGCCTTCTTCTGCCAATGACTTTTTATTCTTTGTTTCAACACGTGGAAATGTCCAACGATATTTCAACCCAAGAAGCATTCCCCGCTCACTACATACACCTGCCAAATCCTTATTTCTCCGCGAGCTCCAGGAGCCCCTTCAAATCAATCGACTTGGGACGCTCAATTGGCAATCCAAGAGCGCGGTCCCACACAAGTTGTGCCAGTGGACCGAGACCTCTGCTCACACCGAACGTTGCCGTGTAATACAGTGTGTTGTGGAAGCCGTAGTGGTGGAAAAGCACTCCAGAGCTGCTGTCGACGTTCGGGAAGGGGTTCTTGGTCTTGCCGTGCTCGGTCAAGATACCTGGTGCGATCTCGCTGTTTTTCTTGACCAACTGGAACACCGGATCTGCAGCAATCTCCTTTCGACTGGATGCAAAGTCCATCAGGGCCTCGAAACGTGGGTCAGGCTTGCGAAGGACTGCGTGGCCGTACCCGGGCACAACACGGCCAGACTTAAGCGTAGTCCACAGGTAGTCCTTGACGTCTTGCTCGCTAAAGTTCTCGCCGATGTGGTCCTTCATCTGCAGGATCCAACGCAGCACCTCTTGCGCTGCCAGTCCGTGGAGTGGACCAGCGAGACCTTGTAGACCAGCCGAGTATGAAAGGTATGGATCGGACAGCGCCGATCCCACCAAGTGAGTGGTGTGCGCCGACACGTTACCGCCTTCATGGTCACCATGCAGAGCGAGATATAGGCGGAGCAGGTCCTGGAAGTTTTCGTTCTCCTTGCCAGACCTGCCAAGCATGGCAGCGAAGTTGTACGACCAGTCTTGGTTGACATCGACTTCCGCAGGAAGCGCTCCACCACCGCAGTATGCGTTCTGGTGAATCTTGGCAGCCACGGTAGGCAGTTTGGCAAGCAGATTTATGCAGTCATCAAATGTCGGCTCCCAGTAATCTGCCTTGTTGAGACCCTGTTCGTACGCCTTTGCGAACACGCTCTCGTAGTTCAGGGCAGACACAGCGCAAGCAAACTGGGTCATTGGGTGCAGGTCTCTTGGGAAGTCGTCGAGCATCTTGTTCACAAAGGCAGGAAGCTGTGCCTTCTCCGCGAGCTCTCTGCTCAGAGCACGCACTTGTTGGGTGCTTGGGACTTGTCCAGTGAGAAGTAGCCAGAACATAGCTTCTGGAAGCATCTCAGTGCCAGATGTTCCCTTTGGCAGCTCCTCCTGGCAGTCCTTGATCGTCTTGCCGTGGAAGCGAATTCCCTCGTTGGCGTCGAGAACGGATCCCTCCCAAACCATGGCCTTCAGTCCTCGCATACCACCCAGTGTGTTCTCGATCTTGACTTCGCCGATGGTCTTGGAAGCGTGGGCCTTCACTTTCTTCAACAGCTCTCTCTTTTCGGGAATAATCTGCTTGAGAGTCTCTTTGAGATCCGGCTCGGCGGTGGCATAGCTGCGAGATGCATTGGCGAGTGCTGGCACACTCCGTGAGAGCTGTATCTTCCGATCAACTACTGAAGCCGCGGGCCGGACGAGTGTGTTCCTACCTTGGAAGCTCTCAGAGCCCGTGTTGCTGCTCGTGTCGACAGAGCCATTGTGTGCGATGCGGGGAAGAGGGACTGCGTTGCTATGATGAGAGAGACCAACGCTGAGCGAGGCTGGTGGGAAATGTCGTGACTCGCAGAGGGTGACGGCGTCTTTTAGACAGTGTAATAACTACAGGCACCGTCGGGTAACGAATGGGTGTTTTGTCTCTCTGCCGAACCGGATCATGCTGCATTCTGTAGAGCTCCAGATCAACCGGAGCCGTGCACCGTCCTCAGCCGTCATTGCCGAGGTCCTTCTGTGAATTCTGCGGAACGCTCACGATCCAATCCTCGCCGATGTCGCTCCTTGCCGACGGCGACGACGAGGTCTTACACCCTGACCAAAAGCGACAGTGGTGCGATATATTTGCGAATCGATAGGGAGACGGGCCCAAACACGAGGAGCCGAGTGTCAAAAAGATGAGAAGATAGCTCCAAGCATAGCGACTTCTCCAAACCGACAAAGTATCAGCACCTCAAGACTGCATCATGTTTCGCACAGCTGCACGAGCTCTCCGACCGCATCGGCGTTGTCTGTATCAGTCAATCTCCTCCAGCCTCGCTCCACGAAGCGTGACCTATGGAACAGTGCACATGTCGTCCACTCTGACGGCTCCAAACCCACCCATACCGTCTACGAATCCGACCGACTCCTTCCAATTGCTAAAAGAGTCGGAGAAACCAGACGCTGAGCAGGCAATTTATGATGAGCAGATTAGGCAGGTCAAGTCTTGGTGGGCCAGTCCAAGATTTAACGGCATCAAGCGACCATATACGCCGGAGGATGTAGTGAGCAAACGGGGGACACTTCAGCAAGTGTATCCGTCCAGTTTGATGGCAAGAAAACTATTTAATCTACTCGAGGAGCGAAATGAACAGGGAAAGCCGGTACACACAAGTATGTATCCCCATTTTCGCTCCATAGCTGCCTTTATGCTGATTCGTATTGGCCCAAAGTGGGTGCTGTTGATCCAATCCAAATGACACAACAAGCTCCACACCAAGAGATTCTGTACGTCTCTGGATGGGCCTGTTCCTCGGTCTTGACCACTACGAATGAAGTTAGTCCGGACTTTGGCGACTACCCGTACAACACTGTGCCGAACCAGGTGCAGCGCCTCTTCAAAGCCCAACAGCTGCATGATCGCAAACACTACGATGCAAGAATGAAACTGAGCCCTGAAGAGAGGAAAAAGACACCCTATGTCGACTACATGAGACCAATTGTCGCGGACGGCGACACCGGCCATGGTGGGTTGAGTGCCGTCCTCAAGCTCGCCAAGCTCTTCGCAGAGAACGGTGCTGCTGCTGTGCATTTTGAGGACCAGCTTCATGGGGGAAAGAAGTGCGGTCATCTCGCGGGCAAAGTTTTGGTCCCATTTGGCGATCATATCAACCGCCTGGTGGCGACGAGATTCCAGTGGGATTTGATGGGCTGTGAGAATCTTGTCATTGCACGCACCGACAGCGAGAGCGGGAAGCTCCTCAGCTCTGCTATCGATGCGCGAGACCATGAGTACATTCTGGGGGTCACAGAAGAGGTAGAGCCGCTTGCTGAGACATTGCAAATGATGGAACTAGATGGCGCTTCCGGACCAGAGATTGACGCATTCGAAGCAGAGTGGGTGAAGAAACACAAGATGGTCACATTCGATGAAGCTGCGGAGGCTCACATCAAGTCGGCTGGTAAGGAAGCAGAAGCCTACCTCAAGCAGACGCAAGCGAATCGAAACATGCCTCTACACCAACGGAGAAGAGCAGCTGCAGAGATAGCCGGCAGCCCGGTGATCTTCAATTGGGATACGCCACGGACTCGGGAGGGCTTTTATCACTACAAAGCTGGTCTCGCGGCTGCGACCAAGCGAGCGATTGCGTTCGCGCCTTATTCCGATCTCCTCTGGCTTGAGACAGCAGACCCAAGCGTTTCCAAAGCGGCGGGCTTTGCTCAGGAGATCCGCGAGGCGTTCCCTGGCAAGAAGCTTGTGTACAATCTTTCACCAAGCTTCAATTGGTCTGCTCATGGCTTCAGCGACAGCGAACTGAAGAACTTCATCTGGGACTTAGCCACCCACGGCTTCGTTCTCCAGCTCATCTCCCTTGCCGGACTACACAGCACCGCGACAATCACCAACGAGCTGGCCAAGGCATATAAAACCGAAGGCATGAAGGCGTACGTCGACATTGTGCAGCGGAGAGAAAAGGAGACAGGCTGCGACGTTCTCACACACCAGAAATGGAGCGGGGCCAACTATATGGACGGCATCATTGGCGCAATTCAGGCGGGCAGCAGCGGGTCTCGGAGTATGGGCGCGGGCAACACCGAAGGCCAATTCTAGCTTGGCACGAAGCCGCACTGTATGTGACACTGAGATACGAGATCTGACTTGCGTTCATATCATACGTGAGAGGCGCACAATCTTAGTGCTTGAATGGCATAAAATAAGTTAGGTCTATCTGCAGGGACGATCTGGCAGGGTATTTCTCCAAGCGTTGAAGAGGTACAATGCAACTTCGCCAAATAGCTGTGAAGGGGAATATCATCCTTCAAGTCCGAGTCTCAAGAGCTTACTGTCGTATCTCCCACTGTGGGATGTGGTCCAACGTGGACTGCCCCCTCGCTATCGATCACATGTGAACATACCATGCTAGCGTTAGGGATTGGCTTGGGGCGAAACGATTGGTCCGGAGTCAGCTCCGCGGAAAGCTTGCTACACGTCTGGAACCTGACCTCAGTTACCACTTGCACTCGTTGAATCGTTTTCCTCGATCATCCTCTTTGTCAAATGCTCGCAACAACGCGCCGTGCAGGTCGCTCCCACGAATCATGGACGCGGCGGAGCTTTCTCCAGCGCAGTGTGTGCTCCTGACTGTCCACCTGGCATGCGAGGCCAACATCAAAGCGCTGCACTCTTTCACGCCCACTCGCCTCGATGCGCTGGATCCCGAACTGGTCTTGCGAATCCTCCTCACACACCTTCCCGAGGCCGTCGATCCGCACGAGTATACCAACTACGTCGAAGAAGTTGCGTCGCGCCTGTACGTCAACTTCGAACGAGTCGATGTCGAAGTGAACGTGGCACCAGTCAAGGACATCTCCGACGAGCAGGCTCAGAAACGTGTGAAGAAGCTACATCTCTTGGAAATCGCTGCGCCCAGCTTTCCTTCTGGCGCTCCCAATGATCTGTTGACCCGGTTCTTGTGCCACCGAGCTTACAGAATCGATGCCCAGACGGGCCTACTAAGCCTTGTTCCCGCATTGATTGAGCCCTTCCTGGACCGCAACGACTACATCAGAACATGGTATATCTCGGTCGTTCTACCTCTCCTTCGACTGGAGATCGAATACTATCCCGAAGTCGAAGCGCTCGCCATTTCACTCGCAGACTTCGAGCAGGTGTCTGGCAGGGAAGGAGTGGATCTGTTACTGAGAAAGGCTGCAGAGGGCGACAAGAGCAAGAATGATGCGACGAAGTCTGTGCGATCATCTCTCGGTCGAGATATCAAGAGCCTCGTCGGGCCATGGATGTATGGACACACAGAGCGGAAGCAGAGAAGGTCTGAGCGAGATAGCGATCTTGGAAACCATAAGAGGAATGTGGAGAATGTGGCACATCGTATCCGGAAAATAGGCCTCGCTGGTCTGACTGAGGACGACAAGACTGGTCACGACTGGGAGCATTTGTACCGCTGGATGGTCAAGCAATCGACCGACAGGTTCACATTGGTCGCCGATGCCATAGAGGAATGGGATGGACCCAGTGATGTTGATTTAGGAGGGTTTGAACACCACGGCATTCAGTACCTGGACGAAGACCTACTGCGTAAACTCGAGGCACAGTACGCTCAAGCCGCTTTCGCGAGTTGCTATTCAGCGCAGACCGACAGCCAGGAGACGGTGCGGGCTGCTCACGGCATCCTCGCACGACTGGCTGAACTCTTAGACTTCATACCTCCGCCTGACCTGGCAACTAGTGTCGACTCACTGCCTCGAATAGAGCGCCACGCCACCAAGCTCGATGAATCACAGACAGTGGCCGATCTCACGCCCGACGCACTCCTGCGCCCTGAACATCCTCTCACAACTCCTAGAATGGAGACCTACATGCTACTGCAGATGATGGTGTATAGCGCATACCAATTCGCTGGCCTGGGCTATCCACTCTCGCTGGTGAATGTAGCCAAGCTACATTTCTACGCGAACGCTGAGGAGCAATTGGATGTATTCAGAAGAATAATGCATCACTTGTCCAAGACTGGCACACGCAAGGACGAGAATCAGTGGATATCTGATCGCGCCAAACTACTATGGCTTTGGAATTGGGGTATCGAAAGCGACCCTGAGAGCCCTGACGAAGGCTCTGGAACCCTAGGCAAGATTCGACGACAAGACTTTGAGCAAGAGATGCTCAAGGTCTTCGTCGAAACAAGCTGTAAGTCCACCACTTCATCCTTCTGACTGTTCATCATTACCCGGCGTGCTCGATGTACTTTATTTCTAAGTCTCATCCTCAGACTTACTTTATGCCAGTGAAAGATGTAGATCCTGCCGAGAACACGGATGCACTTGGTGGGCTTGATGAAAAAGATCTCAAATTTCCGTTCGTCGTTAGCGAAGGAGACCGGGAACGGATAAAACCGCAAGGCATCGCTGACGAGACCTGAACCACAGGCTACCAACTGGCGATTAGAATCTTTGTATCCGGTTGTGCGCAGAGCGCTCTAGCCTCGATCCCGGCCGAGAGGATCATACTCGAACAAGTCATGGAAGCGTACGACAGCGCGAGCAACGGCAACAGAACACGAGGTGGAATCAAGAAGGCCAACGACATGTATGAGAGTCCCTGGTGGATTGGATGGTTTCAGACTAACAGTTTCCAGCGTTTCTGCCTTTAAACCTCATTTTCCCGACAGCGTCGGCTTCAAGCAGGCGGCTGCCCTTATTGCAGCAACACATGCTTTGTCCTTCTATTCATTGACACTACAGCACGGTGTTCCTTTCCAGCCGGTCAGCATCCGTGTCAGCCATGATCCGCTTTCCCTGATCAGCAAATTACTTGAGCAGAACCCTCGAAGCTACACTAAGCTGGACGACCTGATCGACATTGCTCGCAATCTTGTCTCTGCTGGGCTGGCCTGTGAGAACGAGGACGACGCGGGTGGCAGGGACGCGAATGCGCAGGCCGAGAGACTGGCGCGGTGGAGAAAAGACGCCGAACGGCGTGTCACATTCATGGCTGTGGAAGCGTCTCTAAGAGAAGACGATTTTGAGACGGCGTACTCGTACATCGTGAGCAGATTGACACCTGCAGGTTCAGACATACAAGTATCAAAAGAGCAACAAAGCGAGCGTCGAAAGTCGACGGAACGGGGGCACACCAAGCGTTCGAGCCGAACCAAGACGGACATGCACGACGATGATATCTCATGGCGTGCCGCCTTCCTCGCGGGACGTTATCGACCTTCCACCGATTCTCCCACGCTTCGTCGTCTCGAACAGCGAACGGAATTGCTATCGCTTGCACTTCTGCTTGCACCGGTCTCAGCGCTGACCGAAATCCTTGCGGCTTGGCGACGTTGCGAAGACGAGATGACGGTCCTCGAACGTTCCCAGCAACAAGCAGAGAAAGAGTTTGACGATCGTGCTGACAAGCGGCTGAGTGGAAGTTCTGCATTGCCAGGAAATTTCACCGTCAGTGGCGAGCAACCCGAATTGATCTTGAACCAAAAGCGTCGCGAGATGGGGCGTATGGGAGCCGCTACGAGAGGCAACGACGATACGCCATTGAGTATGTTTGATTTGACACGCAGTGCGGCCAAGATGTTCAGTCAAAATGCCTTTCCACTCCGTGGAGCAGCGGCGAGGTCTTCGGGAGAGCAGGAGCGGTCGACGTCGATGCAAGATAGTACTGGCAGTCTTGATCGACCTAACAGCCCTGGAGGCGGAGAAGGGCAACAAAGAGTGAGAAAACGGGACTACGTAGCTAACGTGGCTGCCAATAGCCTTGCTTCTGGACTTGGGTGGGTGTTGGGTGCCACGCCTGCCAGTCAGCAGGAGCAACAGTCGCGACAGGATAGATAGCTGCCGCGATGAGTATGTTTAAGAAGAGCCCACCAACGCTCATCCTGATGTCTCACTTTGAGCCTTCTCCCGACCTGGAGTTCTTCCTTTCCACACACCTTTGGCGGAACCTGTACAGTGTAGTGAAACCATCCTCGTTCGGTCCACCGCCTCAACTCCTCCTCCCGAAAACGACAATCGAAGCTGAGGACATGACAGAGACTACAAATGGCAGTCGAGTAGCTTCCCCCATCGATGCTTCTTGCGAAGCAAACGTTCGCGGAGTCCCACGACAGAGGACGTAGTCTCTCGTAGCATGCCATGTTCTGGATGCCCGTCTGCTCAGACGGCAGCCGATACCCACGACTTCATAGCCTTGAGGGCATCGGCATCATGCGCTCGCAGCAACTCGGTAGCCCTGGGCTTCGACAAGTCCAACTGCTCCACCAGCAACGCCACATCCGCCGCATCCACCTTGATCAACTTCTTCGGCGCTTCCTGCTCTTTCTTCGCTTCGGGCTTCTTATTGCTCCCGGCGCCGCCGGTGCCGGTGGTGCCTTGCGCCAATTCCAGATTCCGCATGGCCTCGCCGAGAGCCTTGACGTCGACTTCTTTCTTGGGTCCCGAGGCATCCTCGTCGCTTTTGGCGTTGAGCGAGGACAGGGCCTGGGCGGCTTTGCGGTCTTCGGCGTTGGCGGGGACGGGCTCCAGGTCGGCGCCTTCCTGGATGTTCGAGGGTTGGGGTTCTTCGGCCATTGTTCTACTTTACGCGATGGGTGTACTGGGGGGTTGTTGTCTCGATTGCGCGCGATTTGGAAGGGATGCATGCAACGAAGTCAAGTGCGGATGGAAAAAGCTCGGAGGTGTCGGGTCGGAGCTCTCCAGTGCAGGAGGGCCAATCGAATGCAATGCTTCCAAAAACATATTGCTGCATCCAGTGTTCAATAGCTACGAACATCAACGCACCGAAACAGATCTGCTCGCAAGACTTCGAAGAGCAGATCGGAGCATGCATTCCGTGGTGTGACGGTACTGCTAATAAGTCTACTGACGATAAACGGACAGACCACAACGACCCGAAGAAGTTCAAGATGGCTTCCAATGGACTGCCCACCAGGAATGCCGGCGACTGGACGCCTGCGTCGTGGAGAGAAAAGCCGATTGCCCAGGCGGTCGCATACGGAGACGACCATCGGGTGCAGAAAGCCATCACCAAACTCCAACATGTGCCGCCGCTCGTCACGCCGACCGAGATCTGGACACTCCGGCGAGCGCTGAAGAACGTGGCGCTGGGAGACGCCTTCCTGCTCCAGGGAGGCGACTGCGCCGAACTTTTCGAATACTGCCACGATGAGAAGATCGACTCCAAGATCCGCCTCCTGCTCCAGATGTCCCTCGTTCTCATCTGGGGCGGCAATAAGCCCTTGGTGCGGATCGCGCGCATGGCCGGCCAATATGCCAAGCCCCGAAGCAAGCCGACGGAAATGGTCGACGGCGAGGAGATTCCCAGCTACCGAGGCGATATCCTGAACAGCTACCAGCCGGACGACCGTCAACTCGATCCCGACCGTCTCGTGCAGGCGTACTTCCACTCCGCGGCGACGCTGAACTACGTGCGTGCGCAGCTGGCTTCCGGGATTGCGGACCTGCATAGTCCGCTGGACTGGGGCCTGGGCCATGTGCAGGACCCCCAGCTGCTGTCCAAGTACACGGCCATTGTGGAGAGTATCCACGCGAGCTTGCGCTTCATGAAGACGGTCGGGGCGGATACCGCGAGCCAGCTGCAGAGCGTCGATCTGTTCACGAGCCATGAAGCACTCCTGCTCGCCTACGAAGAAGGCCTGACGAGGAAGCTGAGGCATCCGAAGAACCGCGATGCGCCTCTCCTTTCAGACCTCCACCATCCAGATGCAGCCGTCTCCCATCAAGCTCACACTCAAGCAGAGGAGGCCGGCTACTACAACACAAGCGCACACTTCATCTGGATAGGAGACCGCACGCGCCAAGTCGACCACGCGCACATCGAATACGCCCGAGGCGTGGAGAACCCGATCGGCATCAAGGTCGGGCCCACGACCACCGAAGAGGACCTCGCAGTCCTCCTCGACCTGGTCAATCCGCGAAAGGAAATCGGCAAGGTAACGCTCATCCACCGCTACGGAAAAGACAAAATCACCCCTCTCCTGCCCAAGCACATCGAAGCCGTGCGCAAGACGGGTCACACGGTCGTCTGGCAATGCGATCCCATGCACGGGAACACCCGTTCCACGGAAGACGGGACAAAGACTCGCTCGTTCCAGCACATCTTCGATGAACTCTCCGCCGCTCTGCGCATCCATCACGAATGCGGGTCTTACCTGGGCGGCGTCCACCTGGAACTCACCGGCGATGCGGTCACGGAGTGCACGGGGGGCAGTGAGGGTTTGCAGGATAAGGATCTGAGCCAGGCCTATCACACGTACTGTGACCCGCGACTGAATGAGAAGCAAGCGTTGGAGCTGGCCTTCTTGGTGGCGGATAGCCAGCGCGCGATGGCATCGAACGATTACTAAGGTGAGGGAGGTGCCCCCAACAACAACAACAAGAAGGGGACGCATGGAAGGATGGCTGAGTTTTCCCACCTAAAAAGAGGCTAAAGCTTGGAGCTGGTAGAGGACACAGGCGTCTTGTAAGTCTCGAGAATCATCTCCAGAGCTTCGATGAGCTTTTCATCTTCGTAGCGCCGTCCGACCAGCTGCAATGAAATGGGAGCATCCCGGTACTTCTCCGGTTCGTCTGTATGAAAAACGCATTCGTCAGCGATCTGTCTGCATTGCATTGCATTGGAGACTGCCAAGTCGAGAGTGATGCATCACTTACAGAGATTGTAGTTGTACGCATCCCGTTCGTTCCGCGGAGTATATTCTCTCTCCGCGCCATCCTCCGGCCCACAATACAGCCCTGTCGGGAATACGAGCGCCGGATAATCCAGCAGATTCCATTGTGATGCATAGTTCCAATACCGGGCCGTATCCAGCAGTGGTGCACAGCCTGGACCGACGGGTGTGAGGATCACGTCGACCATCTTGTCGCTCACGGCAGCTGCTGCATCCACCGCCAAGGGGACGCCAGAGTCGGGACCGGGAAGACCGGTATTGATGCTATTCCAATACCTGGCATACGCTTCGCGATATGCATCCCGCTCGCCGGTCATTTCCCACGTCTCCGGGACTGTCAACGCCTTGACGCTCGGATTCTCCTTTAGAATGAACTTGGACAGCGGACGCCAGGGCTCGCCCGAGGCTTCGATAGCTTCTGCTTCTTCACTGCCACCGTCTGCGAAGTAGAGGGTCGAGGCGATCTTCCACGCTTCGTCATGCTTGTATGGCGGGAAGTCGACGACTTCGATGTCAGGATTGGACTGGAGTCGTTGCGAGAGGGTGTTGATGCCTCGCAGGATTGGGGGATGCGGTCTCACGATTCCATCGTCAGCCAGTACACCGATCCGGAGCTTGCGTCTCCCGTCGGCTCCTCTACGCAACAGCGTATAATCCGGTGATGCTTGCCACGGGAATGGGAGCAGCGATGGTTCATAGAGCCACGGTTTCTGGTCAATCAAGGCCTTCATGAAGACTTTGACGCCCTCGAGGCTCTGGCTCAATGGCCCAATGACAGGCACGATGTGCTCTTGTCCATGCATCGTGGCTGCTAGGCCACCCACTGGGAGACGGTGGGTCGTTGGCCGCAGCCCAAATACGCCATTGTTGGCGGCAGGACTCCGGATCGAACCACCGATATCTGTGCCGATCCCGAGAGGGCTGCCCTTGAGGCCGAGCAGAGCGCCTTCTCCGCCGCTGCTCCCGCCCGAAGTGAGGTCGGTGTTGTACGGATTGACCGTCACGCCGTAGATGTTGTTGGAAGTCTCGAGGTGCATCAAGGTCTGTGGTTCTGTGGTCCTCGCGTGGAAGACTGCTCCAGCTTGCCACAGCAGCTTCAAGATCAGGGCATCGTCTTCTGCTATCCGCCCCACCCAAGCTACGAAGCCAGCGTTGAGATCGAGGCCTTTCATGGCCACATGCTCCTTGACACTGATTGGTAATCCATGGAGGGGGCCCGTCGGCTTGCCATGCCTCGACAAGTACTCGTCGAGGTGCTTTGCGCGCGCAATGGCTCTGTCGGGCAAGAGTTCGGTGACGCAGTTGGTGAGCTTTGACGCCAGACCAGCGCGTTGGAGGAATGCCCGGGTAACCTTCTCGGAGGATATTTTCCCAGTGGCAAGGTCTCCCAGCAGCTTCTCGGGTGGCAGCTCCGTGATCTCAATGACATGTTGAGGCAGAAGCTGCTTGGGGATAGCGGTCACATTCCGTGGCAGGTGCTTTGACACTCTGGGTACTGCTGGGTGCACGGCATCGATGGTGTTGGAACGATGTTCTTGTCGGGACGAAGCGATGGATTTCCAGTCCATGGTACATACAATTGGGAAGATGAGTTGTTCAAGAGAAGTGGAAGGTGAAAAAGCAGAAGAGGCAGATGGAGGCATTCCATTGCAGCTCTTGGATACCTACCTTGTAGGTGGGCAAGATAGGCACTGATAGCGGGAGCTACATGAACGACAGGGAATGAGAAGCATTGCGAGAGCCTCACCACCGCCGAGAGTCAGCGACCTTGCCGGAATGGAGGGGAGGGGAGGGGGAGGTGGAAGTGGATGAAGGCATTATATATTCTTGAATACAATAACCGTCGATTTGGCCTCATCCGAAAGGTTGTAGAGGGGGAGGGGAGCATGAGGGGCCGTCGGCGAGGAGAAGGAAGGTGCCGGCGAGCCGTGATTGGCGGCAGGGCAGCTGCCTCGGCGACCTCGGCGGCCCTGTAGAATTTGGGTTGCTTTCGTAGGGCAGGTACGTTGGACAGCAGCAGCAGCAGCAGGAGCCATCGAGGATGTAGTTGGTATACTACTACTCTGTCTCTTGGAAGGTGCGGTCTGTGGTCCTTCCTGATCGAACTACCTTACCCTGTCACAGGCCTGTCACTGCCTGTCACTGCCTGCCTCTCCGACCCAGCCGCTCTTGCCTAGCAGGTCCAGGTATTGCCTTGCCTTGCCTAGCAGCTCTCCCCCAGCAGCTCCTGCCCAGCAGGTCTAGGTCTTGCCTTGTCCCAGCACCTCAGGATGCCACCCAATGTCATCCCTCACCCTTGGGGCCTCATCGGCTGGCCGCTGTCCAAGAATCTGCCCGCTGCCGCCGCCGCCGCTGGTGCTGGCCTCGCCTATCTCGATGCAAAGTACCTCGTGACCTCGGACCTCTGGGCCATCACCCAGGCCCTCCGCTTCCAGGCCTACCAGACCCGCCTCGAGAAGCAGGATCGCGTCAACAGCTTCTACGCCTTCCAAGAGCTCGCCGAATCCCCAAAGACCGCACACAATGTCTTCTTGGTCGTGCCCCGAGACGATCAGCGACCCCACGCACGCACCCAATGGACTTTCGCCGAGGCCTACGACATCGTTCTTCGGTATGCCCGCTGGTTGAAAGAGGAGCAAGGAGTCAAGAAGAATGAGATCATCGCAATGGACATCAAGAACAAGCCCGAGTTCATCTGGCTCTGGTTTGCCCTGTGGTCTCTGGGAGCCATGCCCGCCTTCCTCAATAGCAACCTCCGCGACAACGCCTTCATCCACTGCGTCAAGGTCTCCACCACTCGTCTGCTCATCCTCGATCCCGAGCTGAGCGACGCCCTTACCGATGAGGCCAGGACACAGTTTGCCCCGGACCAAAAGGGCCGCGCCGTCGAGACGGTCATATTGGAGGCGGATGTCCAGGCAAGAATCGAGGCCATGAGCCCCTACAGAGCTCCGGATCAGGAGAGATCCGGTGCTGTATCCGCCAGTCCTTGCATGCTGATCTACACAAGCGGCACCACGGGACTTCCAAAGGCTGCCAATGTCCCGTGGACGAAACCTCTGTCTGGCGTCTTCTTCTTTCCTCGCATGTTGCAGCTCAAGGCCACGGATCGATATTATACAGCAATGCCACTCTACCATACTTCAGCCTCGATCCTCGGAGTGTGTCAGGCGCTTGGGCCAGCCTGTGCCATTGTCCTCGCACCCAAGTTCTCACCACGCACGCAGATGCAGCTGGTAGCTGAAACCAAGGCTACCGTCATACAGTACATTGGTGAGATGTGCAGATACTTGGTGACCAGTCCTCCCTCTCCCTATGACCGTGCGCACAACGTCCGCTTGGCCTTTGGCAACGGCATGCGACCCGACGTCTGGCAGAAGTTCAAAGATCGCTTCAATATCCCAGCCATTTGCGAGTTCTACGGTGCAACCGAGGCCCCGGGCGCCTCTTTTGTCTACAGCAATAATGACTTTTACCGGGGTGCCATTGGTAAGACCGGTCTGATCAACCGGATACTGTTCGGCGGAAACCAGGTGCTTGTGAGGCACGATCATGAGACAGATCTTCCTTACCGAAACCCCAAGACCTCATTCTGTGAGAAGGCACCCACCGATGAACCCGGAGAGCTCATCTACTGGCTCGATCCAGCCAACATCAGTGAAAAGTTCCAGGGATACTACGGCAATGACAAAGCCTCGGCTAGCAAAATCATCCGCGATGTCTTCAAGAAAGGAGATGCATACTACAGGAGTGGAGACCTGCAAAAACGCGATGATGACGGTCGCGTGTGGTTCGTAGACCGCATTGGGGACACGTTCAGATGGAAAGGAGAGAACGTCAGTACTGCTGAAGTCTCGGAAGCATTGGGCTCTCATGCTGCTCTCATGGAAGCAAACGTGTACGGAGTGCAGCTGCCCAATCACGATGGCAGAGCAGGTTGCGCTGCCATCGGACTGACTGAAGGCCAATCTCTGGATGGAAACCTGGGTGCCGAGCTCGCTTCACACGTGAAGAGGCGGTTACCTCGCTACGCGGTCCCGCTGTTCCTGAGAATCAGCAAAGAGCTCGAGGTCACGGGTACGATGAAGCATCAAAAGGTTGCATTGAGAAATGAAGGTGTGGACCCCAGCAAGGTCGGCGATGATGTCCTCTTCTGGATGCCGCAGGGGTCGGAGAAGTACGTGAGATTTGACAAAGGTGACTGGGAGAAGATCAGTTCCGGGAGTGCCAAGCTGTAGAGGGGGGACGAGATGGATACCATTTTCCCTTGAGATATACCACCCTGTGAAGATGATTGGTAGGTAGAGGATGGCCCGTGTGTTTTGCACCTAGGTATCTACGACAGCTCGAACGACTACAGATACTGGGAGAAGGAAGAAGACCTTTATGTTGGCTACCGCTGAAGCATCATCATCCACAGACGTCCAATTATGTGTCACTTGCTTCATGTGGGCATCTCCATAGCAGGCAGTGTCATACACGATGCTCCACTGAAAGCACTGAAAGGCCATGAAGAACCCGTACTACTGCCGTATGTCGAGCGCGTCGGCTTGGACAACACTCACTGACCCAATGATGCTCTGTCCGAGTTGGACATTTGAGCGAAAAGGAGCGCGAACAAGCGAACCAACAAACCAACAAACAGGCTCCAGCTTTCTTTTGAGAGAGAGAGAGAGAGAGAAGAGAGAGGGACAAGCAGTATCAACACAATCTGTACGACAAGGTAATCTATGTACACGGCCGGCTACACAGGCAAATACGAGACCAACGAAACGAAAGGACGATTTTGTCAGTCTTGACTGGACTTGACTGGACAGTCTTCCCAGTCATCCCCCCCCCAAAACCGGCAACGATATCAAACACGACAAGAAGAAAAAATCAAAATCAAAAAGCACCTCCATCCCAATAAGTGAGTCTGCGATTCTTCTTCACGTCGCCACCTTTCCAGTCCAGCTTCTTCACCCGATTCATGGGCGCCGTCTGCTGTATCAACGAATCCGGAGCGGCCAGGTACGCCGGCGTGGCGGGGGAATCCTCGCCGTCGCCGTCGCCGCCGCCGCCGAGATTTTCCTTGTCGTGCTCATCGGCGACCGGAGTGGAAATCTGCGCCTCTGGTGGAGGGGAGTCCAACTTCAGGGGCGTCCGTCCCAGCAGAGAGGGCCGGCCAAGGCTACCCCTACGATGATCTCGAACGACGTTTCCGCCGACATTCAGCAGAGTCGACGGTTCCATACTCTTTCTGCGACGCTTGCCGGCCCGCGGCACCTCTTCAATGTCCACGGCGTATTCCTCGTCGTGCTCGTCCATCCTCTGGCCCTCGCTCTCGCAGTCATTCACCCAGCGACTGTTCACGCAGAATATCTCGGTTCCCATGCCCGTCTCGGCGACCTGCTTGTTGTGCAGACGGAGCCGTTGCAGGGTGGTCGGCGATCCTTCCTTGAATACGACATGTGTCACACGCTCGCTGAAGTTCTTGGTCGTCCTGGCTCCCAATCGCTGTAACAAGACCGTGAAAGCGGGCGTGGCGTTTCCGCCATCACTAGTGAAGACCTCGACTAGAGCTACGACTCCGCGCAACGGCGCCGCTGGGTGAGGTGTCATGGGTTCCATGCCGGGTGTCATCACGGGCTTCAGCGGTGTCTGCGATTTCAAGGGCGTCGAAGCCTTCAGTGCTACCTTGCGCAAAGAGGCAGGCTTCTGCGCCGTTGCTGGTCGCTTTGCGGCCGAAAGTTGAGGGGGTGTTCTGAAGCGTGTCTGCGGCATTGCTGTATTTGCGTGCTCCTCGTAAGTCCTCTTTGACGGTAGCCCTGGGTAGCGCTCAGTCTGTAGGGGCGTTGCTGGTAGTTCCTTCGACTCCGCGTGCGCATCACCATCTACGACATTCGAGAGCTCTTCATATGTCTGACGAGAGGGTAGACCAGGGAAGCGGTCCTCGGCAGGTTGCTGCGGCGTTGATGGTCCTTGTTCTTCCTTCGTCGGGATGGACTCATCCAAGGTAATAGGAAGTTCTTCGTATGTCTCTCGAGAGGGCAGGCCGGGAAAGCGCTCCTCGACAGGCTGAATTGTCTCGTATTCCTCTTCCATCTCAACGTCCGAGGGAACAGAGTGATCCTCATAGGTTCCCCGTGAAGGCAGACCTGGAAATCGCTCTTTCGTCGCCGGCGGTGCCGCACTGGGCGTCATTATCTCGGATATCTCGGCGTGATGGTCTTTCACTTCTGGCGCACTCGTTGCCGGCGTCTTGCATTGTGGTGATGGACCGCTTGTGCTTGGCGTGCTAGCTTGCTTTGAGACCGGAGTCGACAGGAACAATCTCTTCTTCTCAGGTGTTTGCATTCCCTGCGAAGCAATGAGACTCATGCCTTCGGTCTTCCGTCTATATTCTCCGTTAAGAGCAACACGATCTACAGGTGCTGGCAGAGATTTACGTCGAGATGCAATCGTGGGCCGAGCATAACGTGGTGTGCCGACTTCCTCGACAATATCCTCAGCGGACAAGGTCGTCTCGGAAGGATGCGAGTCTTGCGCAGGGCATGGAACTGCTTTCTGAAGCTGGGATGAATGGGAATCTGCTTTGGTGCCATCATCTTCCGGCTCCTCGGCCTCCTCGAAAACACCCTCAACCGGCAAGGTCGTCTCAGGGGAATGAGAGTCTCGCGAAGGGTATGGAGCAGCTCCTTCATGTTGAGATGCGTGAGAATCTTCCTCGGCGTCATCTTCTTTCGGTTCCTCCGATAGCGAGTTGACGTCGATGAATTCGCTGAGATGTACGGAGGCGTCCATAGATTCTCGTGGCCCGGATTCGATAGCAGGTGTGCCAGATGGAATCGTTTCTGGCAACCGGAGAGGAGTGGCTTCGAAGTCGAATGGAATGGTGACATTCTCCCACACCACTGTCTCGGGCTTTGGCGTTTTAGGAGCCGTTTCAACGCTGTTGTCAGCTTCCGATGGGCTTTCGCTCTTCTCTACCTCTTCAATCACAATCGTCTCTTCGGGATCGATGTCCTCCAGCGAAGCATCTTCATTAGCGACTATGTCGCTCTCATGAGCTGGGGAAGATTCGACAGGCGCCGGCTCTTCATGCATCCCAGAATCAGGCACCACATTACCAGCCAGCGAGTCAACAGCGTTCTTGCCACTTTTGACGATAGTGAATGGCTGCAGCTTGGGGAAGACCATGGCCTGCTCACGGGCTCGAGACACGGTCATGGGTCGGACCTCTGACATTGGTATGGTGGGCTTGCAGTAGGGCTTCTGGGTCTGTGGGGTACCTCTCTGCGTTCCGAGAATCGCAAATCGCCTCACTGGCGTTTTCATAGGGACGTCCTGATCCATAGCTTTGGCGCTCTTCAGTGTCGACGCGTGGCATGCGCTCTTCTCGGGACTGTTACGCTTCATCGGTGTTTTGGCACCCATGAGCTCATCTCCTGATGCCTCTCTTGACTCGTCCTCGGGTTCAGAATCCGATGCTTTGGTTGGAGTAGTTTCCTCGCGCTTCTCCGGCACGTCGTGCACATCTGGAAGAATAGCTTCTTCCAGCGCTGACGGCCCACCAGAAGCTGGCGAGCGGTGCTTGGAGGCGGCGGGAGTCGGCCTCCTGCTCCGCTTTCGAGGTTGCGTAACTCTGATATTGTCATCGTCGTCCTCCGTTGGTTTGAGGTCCGGAATGCCTGCATTCTCGTCGGAAACGTTTCTCTTCGCTCTCGGCCTTCCTCGAGGATTGACAGTCTTTTGCGGACCTTTCTTGGTCTCAGCGGTGCCAGATGCCGCATGATTGGTTCTAGACGATTTCACGGACACTTGAGTGACTTTCTTAGGCGACAGAGGTGGCGCTTTATCTTCCGTGGCACGTGTTGCTCGTGTGGCGCGCGGTGCCGGTGCTACGGCTGCCTTGCCCTCCCTAGCTTTCTGTGCCGCCGTTTTCGGTGTCTCAGCAACAGTTTTCGCCTTCGTAGTACGCGTTGTGGCGGTGTTTGTTGTCTTAGGGGCCGCCGCCTTTGGAGCGGCCTGAGTTGTTTTTGTTGTTGTTGTAGTACCAGCTCTTCGTGTGCTTCGCGCGGTGGGCGCCGGCGCCTCCTCTTGTAGCTCGTCTATCTCATCTGCAGCTGGATCTGGCTCGATCTTCTTCGCACGGGTGGGCTTTGGTTTCGCAGGAGCGGTCTGTGGTTTCGCTGCCGCCCTGTGCACTAGGTCAGCACTCCTGAATCTGCTCTGTCTTTATACTCAACACGTACTTGCGGACTGGCTTTTCCTTGATCGCCTCACGGTCATCTGGGCCCGAAGTGCAGGCTCCTCTTCGAGTCGATACCATGCTGTGAAGTGTTTGGGAGATAGAGATAGGTAGTTGTACAACCGAAGTTGTCAAGTCTGAGCTCACGCGTCATGTGCCAACAAAGCTCGTTGCCAGGTCAACAGCGGGGACGGCGCGGCTTTTCCTTTTCCCGACATCACCTCGTCTCCCACTAATAGTTCCAGCGACACTAGGAAAGATCAGGCTGGTAGCAACCTTTGCGGCCTCAAATCAAATACAGAATTCGACGAGATGGAACCTGTGTCTACTGGCTGGATGAACAAAAGATGCAAATGAATGCGTACCCTCGCTCGGCCTCTCACATCCACTTCAGGACGCGACGATGCGGGCATTGCTCAGCTGCCATTCATCCTCTTTGGCCAACAAGTCTTATGCGGCTGCCGGACAGAGCTCCCATATTCCAAGCAAGGTTAGGAATTCTTGACGGCTGCTAGAATGCCGTAGGTCTACGTAGGGTAGAGCAATATTTTTTGTCCATGAGGGAACGAAATATGTCACGCCGGAAACAGGCTTGCTTCCTCCGCGTGATAGGGTAGAGTGTTATAGAAAAGCTGGGCACAAATGTCCCAGCACCGTATTTCCGTTTATTATTTTCAGGTCGAAATGAATCCACCCACTACTACCCTGAGCGGCACAGACCATCCACTAGCGCACGAGCACGAGCCGCTACCCCTCGATGACGTCGTCCAAACTTTCTTTTGGGCTGACCGACGAAGAAGCACACGAGACGGCATGCCATGTATCAGACAGTACAGTCACCAACGACAAGCCTCCATCATCGTCAGTCTAGGAGTATCAGACTGATCGTTGATCACATCGCGATAGGCGATGATGGGGACTATCTGATCTCCGCGGAATTCGGAGACTCGAACCACTTGTACTTGTGCATGCGCACAGTAGTAGTGCGGGGATCTCTAGGACCATGAACGAAAAGTACTCGAATAGTACTAGAGTGTACTTGTGTACCTAGGTTAACCCGCAGCCGACGTTGAAGATGTCATGGATTGTTGTTGCTCTCGTATGTTGTTTTGTCTGATTGTGCACATACCTACAGCTCTCTGTTCTTCTTATCCATCTCGTATCACTCGATCCACATCTCCGTGAACAATCTGGGCCTCCTACAACGACCATGGCGGGACAAGGGGATCACGACCTGAACTGTCTGACAATCGAAGAGCTCGAGCACCATGCATACGACCGCATGGATAAGCAGACACGAGACTACTACAATGAAGGCGCAGACTCTGGTTCGACATTGAGAGAGAATACCACCGCTTACGAGAAATATCGCATCCGCCCGAGAGTTCTACGAGATGTCTCTGCCGTTGACACGGGCGTCGAGATTTTTGGTCAGCGAAACAGTGTGCCAATGGGGGTGGCTCCCACAGCGATGCAATGTCTCGCGCATTCGGATGGTGAACTAGGTACAGCAAGAGCTTGCGAGAAGGCAAAGGTAGCGATGGGTCTTTCTAGCTTCGCGACCAAAACGCTGGAAGAGGTTGCAGAGGCAAGCGGAGACAACGCGAATGTCTTGCAGCTCTATCTCTTCGAAGAGAAGGAACATAGCCGGAAAATTATACACCGTGCGAAAAAGGCCGGGTTCAAGGCTGTATTCCTCACGGTCGACACACCATTCCTCGGAAGAAGGAATCTCGAAATCCGAAACCAGTTCAAGCTGCCGCCTCATTTTCAGATTGCGAATTTTGCAGAGGAGCAGGATTCAGCTATGCAGGAGGGTAGCAGCAGACCGAAGCTTGAGAGAAAGCCAAGTCAGGCCGGGTACCACGATGGCGAAAAGAGAGTACAACCTACCGGTCCAGTAACCTTTCATACCCACGCTGCGAATCCCACATTGTCTTGGGAGAGCGACATTGACTGGCTGAAGAAGGAGTGCCAGCCGGAAATGCAAGTCTGGGTAAAGGGCATCGCAACATCCGAGGACGCTATCTTGGCACTTCACCACGGCTGCGATGGAATCGTGGTTTCCAACCATGGCGGTAGGCAGCTTAACGGTGCCCTTGCAACTATCGACGCGCTTCCGGAGATTGTGGAAGCGGTTGGCGGGAAGATTCCAATACACGTCGATGGCGGCATCCGGCATGGGACGGATGTGTTCAAGGCATTAGCTCTAGGCGCGGATTTCGTCTGGATCGGAAGGCCGGTGCTATGGGGTCTGGCATACCGCGGGCAAGCAGGTGTGGAGCTAGCCTTGAAGCTGTTCACAGACGAAATCAAATTATGTATGGCGTTGGCCGGAACGACCAAGGTCCGCGATATCAACAAGGAGTATCTGGTGAAGGTGAGTCTTTTTTCTGGGATGACGGTGAAGTTGATGCTGATGCAACATGAACAGATGGACAGAAGCGGCTTTATTGCAAGGCTGTAAACAAATGGGTGAGGCTCGTTTCTTCTCGAGACGGTCTTGTCCCCCTGGGGCTGTGTGCCTCAGGTGGGAGCAATGCGATAATGCTGACCGAATCTGAATCTCCTTGAATGCTCTATACCAGCGTACAAGCGTGTCATGTGAAGAAAGATTTCTTGAGTCGCTTTTCGCCGTCATCCCGTGGCCTACTTCGTTTCCGCTTCGAGGTGCTGGAGTGTGCCTGACCTTGTGGCATCATTTGTGCTGGAGTTGGTTCCTTTACGATTTCCTTGATTGTCTGCCTCGATAGACAGCCGTCAATATGCTCGTTGAAACACTTCTCGTCTGCCGGCTGAGGTACTGAGCAGATGGGACAATTCCACTGTTCGGGAGGCTTGCGCGGCGGGCTCGTCTGTTCCGCTATGCGCGCTTCTTCTTCAAGGACCGAGCGCCAAGCAAACCCATTGCCGTATCTGCGGTAATCCTGTGGTTCGCCATCAGGATCGTATGTGATATCATTCGATGGCTTCTGCTTTTCGGAGTATTCTTGTGAAAGATGTTCCAGCTCTGCCATTTCATCTTCCCTTTCTTGCCGAGCGGCATCCTCAAACTCGGCATCGGGCCATTTCTGCCAACCTTCTTCATCCAATTCAACTTGTGCGGGATTATCGTCGCCTCTGTTTGATGCGACGGGTTGAGACTGGGAACGTGGGCGTGCTCGGCCGAAGAAATCCACATCACCCTTCTTCGTTGACACGAGATGTGTGCACCGTAATCCCATCAGCCTAAGTTTCATGCCAGGAATCTCTTTCTCCAGCTTTTGCAACATGCCTAAACCGAAGTGGTACAGGTCTTGTGCGGCACCGACAGCTTTAGGGGGCTGCACCTGTCGCGTGTAAACCTCGTACGTGTGCAACTTAATCTTGAGGCACAGGCAGCGTCCCTTGAATTCGGTCCTCTGTAAGTCCTTCTCCAGCTCTTCAGCGGTCCGGCGCAGTTTGTCTCGAAGTTCCTTGGGATCAGACATGTCATGAAACGTACTCTCCGTACCTACGCTCTTGCGCTCGAACTCCTCTGCCGGTCGAACGTCAGTGCGGCCTAGGCCAAGATATACGCCCATGAGGAACTCGAAAGCCTTGTCCCCGAAAAGACGATTTAAGTAGTGACGCTGGGGATAGATATCACCGCAAGTTTTGACGCCAATCGCATCAAGCTCGCGCTCGAGCACCCGACCAATGCCATTGACTTTACGGGTAGGCAAATCCCGCATGAATTGCAAGATGGTCGATCTCTGGGACGGCAATCTGAACTGGCCATTCGGCTTGTTCTTATTGCTGCAAATCTTTGCTAGCTTCGCATTTGCTGCAATGCCCGCGGATATTGTAATTTTGGTCTCGCGGAACACCTGTTCGCGCATCTGACTCACTGCATCTTCCGGGCTCATACCATGATCCAGACAGTATTGAGTTATATTGAGATAGGCCTCGTCGATGGAGCTGCTTTCAAATCGAGGATCATATTGAGCGAGCACAGCGCGAACTTCCTTGGCTTTGGCGGTGTATTTATCGAAGTTAAGAGGTAGATGGATGAGGTCTGGACATAGCTTATCCGCAACAAATCCAGCCATTCCCGATCTACAACCGAATCTTCGTGCGATGTAGTTGCATGTCGTCAGAACGCCCATTCCTACGGCAAAAGGCAGCTCCTTGAGCTCAGGCCGGTCAAGCTCTTCCACCGCTGCGTAGAAGGCGTCGCAATCGCAGTGTATGATGTACTGGCTGAGGTCGCGACTGGATTCTAGCTGCGTAATGTAGTCGTCCGCCTTCTTCATGTCATTCTTGAGACCGCCTTGAGCCTCTATGCGCTCTAGCTCACGCTTCTTGGCCAGGATACGGTTGATCTTGACTGTGAGATTCTTGTCCTTGGCCTCCTCATTCGTGAAGTACTTCGAACCCTTCGAAGCATTGTATATGATCTCGGAGACCCTTTTCTGGTCGACGCCATCCTGGCCAGACTTGGTGAGCGAAGGGCCTAGCAGATGATACTTCAAGGAATGATGTTGGGAGGATGCGGGCGGGGCATTGGTGATGTCGGCGGCAACAGTCGCGTTGAGAGCATCAGAGGAAGAGTCCGTAATCTCATGTACCCGCTCTGCCTTTGCTTCGGTCATCGTCGCAGTCGCATGGTCGGGGATGATACGGCGGTTCCGGGGAGGAGGAGGGTGAAGTGATGACGAAGGGTGGGAGACGTGTCTGAGGCGTGCGTGCGATGGCGTCGTTGATGATCGCGTAGTCACGTGACTCGCAGCCGAGCCGACCACGCGCAAGCCGCATCCCTGCTCCAGACTGAACGTTAGCTCACACGGTGTTTACAGGGCTCACTGCGCTCGTGTCCCGCCATAACAATCGACTCCTCCAATCCGGTTTCCTGTCATTGTCATTTCCGCGCTCGGAACGAAAGTCGACACTGCCAAAAGACGGCGACGACCGCAGCGACGATCCACACGGCCAGCGCATCGCATCAGGCTCGCCATCGGAATAGCATCGGGAGATATATTCGCAGGGTGACGTTCACATGCTCGGGTCGGTTTGTGTAACGAACGGCGGTGAAGTGTGAATCTTGGGGCTTGGTGCAAGGAGACCCGCACAGCAGTTCACACGGCACACCATCTGTACAAGCTTCGTGGTTCGCGCAACGTCGCTCAGATGCACACCCGGCGTCGTTGAGCTCGTCGACCTTGCGGCATGTCGTCCGACCGCAATTCTCGCCCGCTAAAACCCTCCCTTGCCTCGACCAGAACTGCAGCAAGAACTCCGCTCACGCCGCGCGTTGCAGCTCCCAATGCCTCTGCTCCCTCTGCGTCCACGCCCGTTGCGAGGCCCGCCGCGCCCAGACTGCCAGCCAACAGGACTCCCGCAGTGTCACCAAGAGTCAGAGCACAAGATGAGACGCTGGGGCGGGACCTAGCGACTGCGTCGACCGTCACGCCTCGCTCTGCTACCAGGAAGACGCGGGTGGAGAGCGCACAGAGCTCCCCGTCACAGGATGATCCGCCTAGCGATTCGAAGTCGAAGAGTTCTCTGGGCCCTGCCGATGCCATGTCTGGTAGGAGCAGTGCTGTGAGTGGATTCAGTCTAGCTTCCAGCAACATGACAGCCGGGAAGCCGCGCGAGCCAAGGCCAAAGAGCATGGTGGGAGGGACTGCATCCAGATCACCACCTCTGGTGCGATCGCCAGGTCTTGTCGAACTGGGGCAGTCTGGACAGAATGATAGCATCGACAGTCGCTTCTTTCATGCCAGCGACGTCCGAAGGCAAGAGCCTGCGCCAAAACGGCCGGAGCCAAAGAAGAGCGCCTCATTCTTTTACGCAGATGGTAGACAGGATAAGCCGACTATCTCGCCGCCCAAAGCACCCTCGCCAGTCCTATCCGCCGTCTCCGAGCAGCGGTCCACCGGGCGCTGGATCCGTCCAGAATCAAACAATAATCCTTCCAGAAGTCCGTCTGCGTTATCGCCATCCTTTGCGCCGACTGCGGTAGGCTCGCCGTACTTTGCATCAGCTGTTCCCAACCATGGCCCGTATCGATCACCTTCGCCCAGCAAAGAGAATATGCATTTGTCATATCGCAAGGGAGCGTCACAAATTCTCGGAATGCGACCGACGCCATCTCCAGCAGTTTCTCCCCGTGAGGAAGAGCCTCGCCGCACAAGCTTCGGGCTGTCACATAAGAAATCTCCAAGCCTGTCCTCTATCGACTCGGGGGACTTCCAGCAGTCCAGACGGCGATCTGCCACTGCCGCCGATGCAGGCGCTTCGACATCACCTCTCACACACGAGATCAAAGCTCTACCTGTTCCTCATGTTAGCAGTCCACCAGCGGGCTTGCCTTCCATTGACACATCACTGGCATCACCAGCAGCTATGAGTTCGCCAAGCCAGCCAATACTCAGTCCTACGAAGAATGCAGCGGAGCTTGCAGCAGATGCCAGACGTGAACGAAAGGTGCTGGACTTGGAGATCTCGAATAGCTCCTTACTAGCCATCAATTCTAGTCTGGAGCGCGAGGTGAAGAGGCAGAAGTCGGAGCTAAAGCGCTTCCGACGCCTCTCACGCGCAGGACGTTTCTCGATGGCTACTAGCGAGCTCTCCGGACGAACGTCAGACGGGCTGAGTACTCCGAGCGAAGACGATGCGGACGATGACAGCCAATATCCTTTCGATAGAGCCTCTGGGATGGCAGAAGAGGATCTCAGCGAATCTGAAGAAGATGCCAGCCTGATGAGCGGTGGTGAGCCATTGTCTCCTGGTGCACAAGCCAACAGGGAGCAAGATCGCCTTGCTAAAGACGAGCGACGTCTGAGGGTGGATCTCGACCGACACAAGGAGCTCCTAACACAGAGCCAGGCGATGAATCAGAGTATCAAGCGTTGCATGTATGCCACAGAGGAGATGATACGAGATGGCAGAAGAGCCCTCGAGTATCATGTTCGTGTTTCTGACGTGAAGCTGGGTGGTCGAATCCTAACCGGCCACGAAGATGAAGAGATTGAAGTCGAGGACAACGGGGAGCACGAAGGCATGCAACATGCTCGGGAGTTGCTCAACACATGGTCTGGTCTTGGTCGACGGACCGAGGACAGCGAGGTTTCTGGAGATCGAGACAGCGGGATAGAGGTTGATAAGCCACTTCTCAATGTCTCAGCCCGTCCTCCACACACAAATCCTCTCGGAGACTCCGGACGACCGCCCGAGTTGCTTTCGAGGGGCTTTTAGCAAGGCCTATCCTCAAAAGCAAGCAGTGCTCTACCTAGGCTGCGGCTCAAACCACGACGTCACTGGAGGGCGACAGGGAGCCTGAAGTCTGCAGGATCTCACAGCAAGAATCAATTGCTGAAAGTCCATCGCAGCGCTGGCAGCTGTCACAACGATCAAGGACTGTTCTCGAAAAGATTGTACTACATTGAATCGCGCGTGCTGTACAGAATCCGACTACGTTGATTATTGCTTTGTTGCTTTGCTTTGCTTTTGTTTTGTACGACATACTCCAAGATACCCCAGTACATTTCGTTTGTGCGGTCAGTCTACGATGCAAAGGGGTATGGTGGGATTGAAACGCAGGGACGGAGAAGAGCTCTGAGATGCCCACTCGTCGTCTTGTCAGGAACACCGAGATACTTGGTAGATTATAGCCATCACGGCACAGAGGCGAAGAAGGATCTCGTCACTCCACTCACATCGTATGGCTCGAGAGGGAGCATCGAACCAAATTCTTGTTTCATCATCATTCAAAAAAGGGTGCGTTCTGCTCAAAAAGGGCAGGATGTTGCATGTCTTACTAGACTGGCAGCTTGTCTGAGCTGATCCAGAGACTAGTCTCTTGTCTCATTGGACCAGACAATCGATATCGGCGCCGATCTCGACTTCATCACCAAATCCTATCGTCCTTCAGAATAGTCATGCGTTGCTTCTGATAAATGGCTAGTATCGAGAACGATTTTCCAGACTAATAGTAGAGGACATACTCACGATTCCATCTCCAGATTTGCAAACCTCTCTGTCGTTGCTTCGGTGTCTTGATCCACTGACAGCACGATACCTTTGTCGTTTCAAGGCGTATGAACGGCGGCCAGTGCTAGTCCGATCACATACCACATGGCTCTCCGCACCATCATGCACCCGGCAGTCTTTCGAGATCGTCGAGACATCTACATCGCTCTAACAGCGCCGGCACTGGGTTACCTCGCCGCGAGACTGATTGCCAACGTCGTCTCGGCGGCCTCCTACTCCGGCATCCTCCCCAAGCCCAAGACCTCACGGGCACCGGAGCAGAAATTCCTGACGGCCGCGGAGACGGAAGACGTGCCCTATGCCCCCGACGCGCTGCCGGGCGGCCGCAACGTCGACACGCCCTACGGCAACGCGCGCGTCTACGAATGGGGCCCCGTGAACGGGCGCAAGGTCCTCTTCGTCCACGGCATCAGCACGCCGTGCATCGCGCTCGCGCGCATGGCCAAGGCGCTGATGCGGAGGGGAGGCTGTCGCGTCATGCTGTTCGACCTCTTCGGCCGGGGGTATTCCGACACGCCGGACCCGCGCGTCTACCGGCAGGACATCAGCCTCTTCAGCGCGCAGATGCTGGCGGTGCTGGCGTCGTCGGAGCTCGACTGGATGGGCGGGTTCACGTTGGTGGGATACTCCCTGGGAGGCGGCATTGCGGCCGCGTTCACGTCGTACTTTCCCGATCTCGTGGAGAGCTTGGTCCTCGTGGCGCCGGGGGGACTGCTGCGGTCGACCCGAGTCAGCGTGAGCAGTAAACTGCTGTATAGCGGTCTTCTCCCGGACTGGCTGGTCCATTACTGGGTCGGGAGCAAGCTGCGGGCGGCCGGAGACGTCAAGCCGAATGTGCCCAAGATGCGATCTCTGCCGCCGGGAAAGATTGACGTGACGGACGCCGCGACAGAGGAACTGCCCGACGACAACGGGGCGCATGGGCAGGACAGTATGTCGCCCATCTTCGAGGATCGGCCCAAGGTATCGCCCGCCACCGCGGTCGCCTGGCAGGTCAAGGCACACGAAGGTTTCATCCCTGCTTTCGTTTCTTGCGTGAAGTATGCACCCATCCACGATGGTCACGAGAGATGGCGGATTGTGGGGAAGCGCTGCGAAGCGAGGCGGAATCAGCTCGAGGCTAGAGGCTTGGTGGAAGGCAAGGTCTTGTTAATTCTGGGCCTTCAAGACGTCGTCATTTCTTCGTCCGAGACAGCCAAAGATGCAAAGGAAGCACTGGGGGAAGAGAATCTGCACATGGCGATTTTGCAGGGAGGACATGATTTGCCCATCGTGAATGCGGAAGGCTGCGTGAAGACGATGATGGACTTTTGGACAGGTGCTATATGATGGAGTAATCTGAAGAGAATTGACGAAATTGTTTACCTAGCACGTGTGCTGTTCAGAGCCTATGCATGTTCTACTGGACATTTTGGCCTCAGCTGCTGTTTATAGCGCAGACATCGTTGTGACACTTCCCGAAGTATCCATGCTCTGGCGACGTTCGGTGTAGACGGACAGATGACGATTTTCCCTCGAATTCGACGATGCGAGCACGCAAGCCTTCCGAACTTCGTCTTGAGGAGGGGATGAATTGGTGGCGAATGACAAGTCTTGAGCTTTCTCATGTCTTGCTCTAGCGAGTCCAGATCATAGCAACCGGTGTCATGAACCTCTTTCCTAGGGTGTGGTCTGTCAGTCTGCCAGTCGTTGCACATGATAAAGAGCCGCAAACGAGGCCATCGATCTGTAGTAGTCCCATTCGTGCGAGTACGAGGCGTCCATGGAGCTGCATACGGGCACCGATGCGCAAAGCTCATAATTGTTTGGAACACGAGCCAAGCGACATCGGCGCCCCGGCATTGTTTTACTCGAGAGACACAAGTGACACCATTTGCAGAGCATGGCGTTCGGCGTCGTCCATCCCTCATCAACATTGCCAGTGGTCTAATTCAGCTGAGTTAGGAGGGCGCCCTTGGAGGCTTTATCGATGCACAGCCTTAACATTCGCTTACCACCATCCCTCACCAGCTTCTTTTCAACGGCACGGGAAGTCAGTAACACCAAGTTGCCTGTGCCAGTGGTAGTCATCGGGAGACTTGAGAAGGTCGCTTGCCTTTGCGGGAAATCGGTGTTGAACGTAGGCGCCCATTCATGGCGTTATTTCGAACTTCTGGCCTCCCTCGGCGGTCGGGATGCACCCGAGGCATGTGTGAGAGATGCACAGGGTCATGTGGTCGAAGGAAATGTATCAGACCTGAAGACATCCAGCAGAACATGAGGCCATGGCTTCCATCCTTGTGCGGAAAAGACCCTTTGAACGACGTGACCAGGCTGCAGCACCTTCAAGGTTGCGCGTTTACAGCCTGACGCCCCCAGTGCCGGATGATGTCTTGTTTGTACTTGTTTGTAACGATCGAGGACCAACTTCGCTTCAGATCTTTCGCCCTCGGAATCTGAGACGGTAGTGGAGAGAGTTCAGGAGGAATCGCATTGGCATCGCCACAGAAGGTAGGCAATGAAGAGATTTCATATTGTCTGAAGGCCGCAGATCGCGTCGCACCAAGCCGCAGAAGACGAGAAAATATGTTGATCGTCTCTTGGAACACAGCAGGTGAAGGTTCGTCCAAAGGTAAATTGAGAAGAGGGTCTGTGATTACTGCCCTCGCCAGTAGGGGCATCGCGGACACAAGTCTTCCAACGGCCCGAGGTTGAACCACATATCCTGGTATATCAAGTTGTACCTCTGTACTGCGGTGATGGGGTCAGTTCATCCTTCCCGATATCCAGGAAACTGGTCACGAGAGGCGCGGTTGGTATGAATCAAGGTACTTTGGCGGGTGCATCGAGTCTGGGCAATGGTGTGTAGTCTGAACAGCGTGTGTGTCAGAGCTAGATAACCCTTTATCTTATGCCTTGAAGTCTCGGGCAGTTTGCCGGCAGGAGTGACCAGTGAGGTGGTCGACACCGCGTTGTCACACAGGTCCTCTCGAAAAGTGAAACCGTGGATCTTGAGAAGTACCCGTGGACACAGTGCGTGGAGGGAGGATGGCTCGACTTCTTGATAAGGCGTTTGGCAAGGTTTGGATGGTCTTACACAAGCGGAAGGCTTGATTTCCATGGCTCCTACACGCCTATGAAAGTGCTGTGATTGAAGTACCCACCAAACGTCTGCCGGCGAAGAGGTCTGATGATGATGATGATGATGGAGCTATGGCATAACTGTAATGGCCGTGAGTTCAATAGCCTCGGGCTCGAGCTTGTTTCCACGAAGTTGCGGCGTTGGTGAAGGGCGAGCGGGTGTGGAGGGTCAACCCTGCCCCGAGGCCAGAGACGTAGCGGAGCGCCTAGAGAGATGATCAGCAGTTCGAGAAGGGTTTCCGACGTGTAAGCCGCGCGAGAGAGCGCGCAGACAGACGCGCCGGTGGGGGAGATTCCGGTGCGGAGTGCCATAATAATATTAAGGTACATGATGTGATTGATGGTGGGCGTGAGGAGGAGGAGGAGGAGAGAATACGAAGAAAAGGAGCGATGGATGCTTGGCGGAGGCATTGGCTTGCCCGAGCTGGACACAATGTCGCGAGACCTTGGAAGAGCGCTGCGCCACAGCGACCGACTAGTAATAAAGCGGAACGAGCCTCGACGAGACCAGATCCGCGCCGACCAAACGCGCTGCAGACGCGACGACGCACAACGCGAGCTCCTGGAGGAAGGTAAAAAAGGTAAAGCTCGTGTCTCTTTCGTGCTGTCCTCGTTGAAGTCAATATTGATGTAGTAAAACGTATTCTGTCTTGAAAACCTCGGCAACTATACGACACGCTGCCGAGAACGAGGTTCCTGTGTTCCTGGTGCCTGGCAGGGACTGTCTCCCAAGTCTGCCAAACGTGGATCTGGTGGTCTGTTTGTCCCTGGCCAAGGTTTGGCCTGTCGAGTCGTTCGTGAATGGAGCACCAGCGCTTGCGTATGGTTTCTGCACCTCGGAAACAACGCCTGTCTGGCGCTTTCTCGGATACGTCACCGCGCTGCTGCGAGAAAGCAGCGGCACGCGACCCTCCTCGCTCGCACATGCGCGCGTAGGAAATTTCGGCTACTAGTTCGTGTTTGGGATGTGTCTCTTGAGCAACGTCCCAGTGGTCTCAAGCCCACAGCTGGACCGGGCTCTTCGCTCACCGCAGTTGCAACGGAATAAGGATTACATACTGCCTACGTGCGAAGTGGGCAGACGGCGCGAGGAGAAACACTAGACGAGACGGTCGAGAGGGAGAGAAGCGTGACACCGTAACACTTCCGAATGTGTGGAGAGAAGCGAAAGGACGAGCGAGATTTGCGTTTCAAGGCCGGGTACGACGACGCTCACGTAGGGTAGATATTGAGATGCGTTTCACAGCCCACCAGAGGCTGCTGTCGTGACCTTGACTTGAGCGTCCCAGCCGCCGAGAGAGCGCTGATCTGCGGCAGCAGCAAACAATTGTACGATGCGAGAAGAGGAGGTGTCCGGTACTGGCGGCGACGCAGCGATGGCTTGCCTCCAGCAGCTGCAATTTGACCTACCGGACTGGAACCCTGTCCATGCCCGCCGTCCGGTGTGGTCGAGCAGCGGGAGGGAGCATCTCATGAGTAGTAGCAGCAGCAGTAGCGTTGGACGTGTTATCCTGCGAGATTCGAGAAGCGCCTGCCAACCAGCGCGCGCAGGGATGGAGGCGAAAGGAGTCGCCGAACGTTAGCGACATTGGCAATCGTTCATGACTAGAGGTGCCCATGGCCGCCACGGGCGATGACGAGGTGTAACTGATGATTGCACCCTTCGACATGGAGCGCCTTTCGGAGGCTGTGGTCGAGGACGCGTCTCATCAGGACTGCACGCGGCTGCCATCGAACGCATCCACACATCTATCCGACGTGCTGGGTACTAGACGGGCTTTGCATGGATGATGCCGGGAGTTGACGAGGGCAGCCGGGGTCGCGGAGCTCAAAAGCACTTTAGCTGCAGCGAGACGCAGGGCCCTCTGAGGGATATGATTCGCCGCGCGCGACGGCGAGCATGGTGGGCCTCTGGATATAGCAGTCCAATGCTGGCTGGCATGGTAGCGGAGCAGCTGGGCATGGGCGTGGGCATGGGTATGGCTGGCCGCGGCGGCGTGCGTGGTGTGCTCTGGCAGAATTGGGTGTCGGACATGCGAGCATGCCATTATTGCCCGTGAGATCATGATGGATTGATGACTGCCTGCTTGCTTGCTTTCTGTGGACGGCCACGAGCGTGGAAGGCGTGTGAGTGTGATGATGATGATGATGGAGCGCCGAAAGAAGCATCGCAGCCGGTACCTTAACATGGCATGGTAGAGCATCGTACGCCAGCCACAGCTGCCCCACCGACTTTCCAGATGTGGACTAGTGGAGGTGTCTATCCGCTCCCGCCGACGCTGCCGGAGATATTCACCTCCATCACAATGAGGCTACGGCTATTATCGTTCGTCCCTGTGATGAGTGCCTGGTGAACAATTACAATGGAGCAGTGCGATGCGTTTGAGCAAGACCCAAGGTACGGCTGGCGACTGGAAATGCGTTGTCTCACACGCGGAGCGCGCACAAGCCACAGCACGGCGCGGCGGATCTGCACTCCTGGAACTGCTGCCACACGCCCTCTCTTCCATTGCCTCTGCTGCAGGCTCGCAACAGTAGCACTAGAGGGGGTGGTGAGAGCGAGTCGTGCCGCGGGATTCGAGGCGCGAATCCTCGTCGTTGGCGGTGACCATCGCAGCAGACTGCAGTTAGGTGTTGGCTGCCGCTGCAGTGCCGCTGCGGTGCTTTGTGCTTGGGCCACGGCGTGGACGGCAGCGGGAGCCAGGATGTTGCGTCAGGTGCGGCAAGGAAGAGGCTAAAGTAGCACTAGTACCCTCTCACGCACACTGCAGCAGCAAGCAGCAAGCAGCGAGCGGGCAAGTCGGCTCTGGCCCATTGGTGAGAAGTGATAATAATAATACAATACCATTATCGTGTTCTGGCTAGCGCCTCCCCGGCCCTGCGGCCGCCGTCCACAGGTCCGTCGCTCCCAGCTGCACTTGCCTGCCTTATTACCTAACCTTACCACTGCATCCTCCCTCTACTACTCTCTCCCGTCCGGCTGGCTGTCTGCTCGCGTACCGCCGCGCGCAACCATCCCATCACCACCCCACAACCCTCCTCTCTCTCTCTCCCCTTCCGTCCTTCATTACTACCATTACCCTTTTCCCTCTCGTCTTCCCTCCTCCTCCCTCCCTCGCACCCCGTCTGGCAATGGAGCCGTGACCGCAACCAGGGAGTCTCGGGAGCAGCAGCTTTTGCCATTTGCCCAGCGCCAGAGCTTCGGCAAACGCAACGCACGGGTCCCAGCTCTTCGGCCCTCTCCTTGCCTTGCCTGCTCGTCTGTGTGTCCGTCAACCGTCCACTGCCCGCACTGCAGCAAAGTCTCTGTGCGTTGGTCAGCCTCGAGACACCGACACGCTTCCTCCTCACCTACACCTTCGTCCTCCTCCTCTTAACCTCCGTCGACCGCCCTCTTCGTTGATCGTAGAGCTCTTCGACTCCCATCCGCCCTCCTCCTCCTCCCACCTCCGAAGCCGACACCACCTGGTCTCGTGCCCGACTGCATGCCCTTCGAACGGCTCCCTACGTCGAGTTAAAAAGGTAAGAATACACTTCGTGCAATCTACACAGAGGTGGAAGTCGGTGCCAGCGGAGCAAGAAAGAAAGCGAGGTTGGAATTGGGATGTGGTGGATGGCACCCAAGCCTCGTTGGCTCCTGCTCCAGTTTGCGTGCCTGCCTCCTGCCCGGCTGCGACATTCTCCAAACTTCCCAACCGTCTGGCTCCCACGACTCAGTGGCCCGACCATACGACCTGCGGCCACGGTGCTTGTCGCAGAGGAATCTGGCATCGAAAAATTTGCACACGTCGAAAGAGATGAAACCATCCTCTGCTTATATCTTGGCCCACCATTGAGCAAACACATCCATCCCAAGGGCAACAGCTTCATCACCTCACACGTAAATTCTATACATCACCATAGAGAGCGTGCTCCAGGACCTCTCCGCCATCATGGTCACATACACCCATCACCTGGGACAGCGTTGGGATGCCGAGCCAGCTGCATTCCTGCACTGGAAAGCATTGGCCAATGCCATTGCCATTGGAAATTAGCTCTCTTCGATATTGGATTGGCATTCAGAAACCTTTGCTAACTGATATTGAACAGCCATCAACCCGCCGCCCAAAAATTGAACCTGGATCCCTCTCGGGGTTCTCCTCTCGTCCATTCTTCACACGAAGGACGTTGTAATCGCTCAGGTATGCTCACGAAAGCCAATCCTCGGGAGCATGCTCCCCCTTGCCTCATCTTGCATTGCTGTCCGAACAAGGAAGACTGAACATTCCCCAGATTCTTCATCAGATTCCCTTCGGTCCAACCACCGTTCGCCGGCGACTGCGGAGACGTTAGCTCGTTGTCTGCAGCCTGTCAAGATCCACTCAGCAACAATCTTTCCGCAATCCCTGCCGTTCGGTCTATCCCATCGAGGCTCGCAAGGAGACGATCTCGTTCTGGAGCGACAGATCGTGCGCACGCTCACACCCACGGCTCCTCTAGCAAACCTGTGTAATTTAATTCCCAAGGTATGCACGCCCGTGACGATCAGCCTTACATCGGGCCATTGCAATGACGCCAAAACAATCACACGCGACCAGCGCTGACACGTTCCAGGCGCCATTTGGCGGTTGTCTATAACCCGGTCGTTCGACCACCAGCTGTCGAAAATCTCTGTTCTAGACTGTTCATTCCTTTGGTCTTCAAACACCAACTAATTACGATCTTTTACGACACGGCCGTACTCCGGGCCCTACACTCCTTAATATCGTTCAGCCCTTGAACATCCACTCCTTTGCACACCCCTGTGCATCGACCAGCTCGACTTGCAACGACCTGTCAACAATCCTGGCGACTGACAGCACGTTCCCACACGACACCACCCTGGAACTCAACATGGCCTATCAACCACAGCCACAGCAGCAGCATCAAGCACCGCCGTCGAGGAGCTTTCCGTCCTTTGGATACTGCGACTCTTACTTTGTCGAGAACCATGATGACGAGGGCATCTACGCTCGAGCAGCCGCTGAGCGGGAGCGGGCTCGTAACGTTGCGAAGCTGAGACAGAAAGGCATCGCCGAAGAGTTGTCTCGCTCCACTGCTGAAGAGTACCAGGAGGATGTTCTCGACCACATGGAGTACATGCAGGAGCTCACAATGCCCGACATCCAGTCTATCGAGATCCAGACCGAGATCCAATGGTTTATGAGGCCTTACCTTCTGGACTTCCTCCTCGAAGCTCATCATGCCTTTCAACTACTTCCGGAAACTCTACACCTCGCCGTCAATCTCCTCGACCGCTACTGTTCAAAGCGAGTGGTTTACAAGAGGCATTACCAGCTCGTGGGCTGCGCATCCCTCCTGATTGCTGCCAAGTACGGCGATAGAAAAGAACGCGTCCCAACGATACGAGAGTTGAAGTCCATGTGCTGCTCGCTGTACGACGACGACATGTTCACGCAGATGGAGTGGCACGTTTTGCAGACACTCAACTGGGTCATCGGCCACCCAACTGTCACGAGCTTCCTCCAGTTGGCATTGACCGAAGTGGCCTTCGACCCGGAACTGGAGCATATGTCGTGGTACATTTCGGAGTTGGCTTTGTACCACAAAGATTTCATCCCAGTGCGCCCATCGGTCATGGCGAGGTCGTGTCTTGCTCTTGCAAGATGCATCCTCTCTCGACAACAATCAAGATACGACGAGTGGTCCTCGCGGTACGACCCACAAGTGGTTCTCAACCTCTCGAATCACCTTGCCCACCCATCCCAAGCGCTGCTCAGGAAATACGCTTCGCCTCATCTATCATCGGCATCAACGACCATTGATCTGTTCCTCAAGCACCAGGCGATGCTTGCTCAGCGTGTCTCCCAAGCGCCTGTAAACGAGCTGCCTCGCATGGAAATTGACTCTATCCCGGCCGCGAGTCACTACCTCACGCCTCAGACACCCCAAAAGCCTGGCTACGTCGGTGCAACACACGGCATGCTGACGCCGCCCATCACGCCGGACAAGGTGGAAAACCTCACCACGATGACCTATGGTCTCAATCAGGGTCTGCGAAGAGTCCAATGTGCACCAACACCACCGCCCAATGAGCATACCCAGCTCAATGGATTCGCAGCCGCACCGCCGCAACAGTACATACCACAACCACAGTTCGTCCGATAGGCCTCAGCATGAGCTTCCACATCACAGTCCAAAGGCCGACTGCGTCGACCACGGCTTGCAGCCCTCGCAGCATGCATCAGCAGCTGCCGTTGTATCAACAATGTACGAGCGTCGACATGTCCTTCAGCACAGCATAGCAAGCGAGCGTTGCATTTCTGAAAGCATTTTCTTATGTGTACTAAGCCCCGCGACAGCCACCACACGAGGGTCCAGCGATTTATAAATGGACGTGGTGGGCGAGGCCGACCGGAGTAGCATGTATGGGTACATTTTGAATTGGAAAGATCAAAAGCAACAAACCTACTTAGCTCAGATTGAAATGGGATGGGAAATAAAGATGGATCACTCGCAAGACCCCAGTGATGGCGGAAAGCTGGAGGAGTTTGCTCTGCAATTTTAGCGTCCTGTCTTCGCCATTAGAAGCGTCAGATACCCAAGCAAGTTTATACATATCGTTGCTTTCAAGCACACGAGAACTTGGAAACCATAAGGGGCTTCAGATTTCCTCAACATCGGTGCTCGCGCACTTCCTGCGATCCGGCAAAATGGCGAGAGGTTGCACCGGGTGTGACAAGCTCGGTTGCTTAGTGTTTCCTGAGCAACTGCCACTCTGGACGGTATGCATTTATGTGTGAGGTGCACAATTCCCTTTGTGCCGTGCGTGCTTAAGTGGGTATCTGCTCGGAAATTTCTACCACGGCTCGAGCACCCTGGTATTGTCTCCTGAACTACTGTCGCTCGCTGATCACACGCAGACGGATCGTGAACCGTGAGACCGCTGTGTCATCCGCAATGGCCGTGTTCCACCTTCTCCCCGTTCGAAGAAATTACGATAAGGGACTATATTGTGGCAGCGCAGAAGGGATGGCGGAAAGGAGATGATGCATCGTATGGACGCATTGCGCCACTCCCCCCCCCCGTTCGAGACGTGTTCATTGTAATGTACAGGTCTTCTGTGAGCAGCACATGACGTGGTATGTGGGTTGCCTGATCCCGTGATGAGGGAGTGAAGTCCGAAGGGATCTGTGGATTGACGGACCCCTCTCCGCTCGGCGGACGGCAGAACGTAATTCCGCTTCCCAAAATTTCGAAGCTACACCTCGACTGGCAAAAATTACAGGATACGACAATGTCCATCGTGCCGCTACCGCAGCGGTGACCACCCTACCGCTACAAGTATGGACGTTCACCGATCACGTTTCGTCGCCTATCCCGTGGAACCGATCACTGCGCTCGCCTTCTCAAGGACCAACGACAATGGTCGCCAAACAGGGCTTCCTCAGCCTGCATTGAAATTGGCGATTGGCAGAAACGATGGAGCGATCGAGCTATGGAATCCTCAGCGAGGAAATTGGGTCCAGGAGACGGTCTTTCCGGGTGATGGCAAAAGCATCGATGGGTTGGTCTGGACACGCGAGCCGGACGAGAAGGACGCCGACGGGCACGTTTCGCTGGGCCAGCACAGACTGTTCAGCATCGCCTCCTCGCCCACAATAACGGAATGGAACTTGGAGAGCGGCTGTCCAGAGCGACATTCCACAGGCAACTTCAGTGAAGTGTGGTGCTTCGCGGCGCAACCAAGGCAGTCACAGCTGGAAGGAAAGCAAGAAGAACTTCAGTCGCAGGACCTCGTCGCAGGCTGCGGGGACGGCACACTCGTCCTGATCTCTACTGCAGACAATGACTTACAATTCAAGCGATACCTGGCGCGCGTGCCAGGAAGGAAAGCAAAATGTGTGAGCATCGCTTGGCAGGATGCAAATCGAGTGCTAGCGGGTTTCATGGACAGCACGATCCGGGTGTTCGATACAAGAAATGGGACCAGTATTCGCACGATGAGTCTCGGCGTTGGTCTCCCTCAAGCTCCCAAAAACGCGATCGTTTGGCAGCTCAAATGCCTTCCAAACGGAGACATTGTCTCTGGCGACTCCAACGGAGAGGTTGTTTTCTGGGACGGACGGTCTTATTCTCTGTCTCAACGGATCCGAGGCCATCCTTCGTCAGAATGTCTGGACCTTGTCACAAGTGCAGATGGACAGACTGTCGTTTCTGGAGGCAACGACGGAAGGTTAGCTGTTTACCGCCAGACTACGTCCTCAACTGGACGTAAATCGTGGGCCAAGTCTCATCACCGGAAAACGCACGATGGCCAGGTCAAGGCTATGACGGTTTTCGACAGCAAAGGACTCAGTGTCGTTGTTTCAGGGGGACAGGACCTGGTACCTATTGTCACGCCACTGCGAGAGTACGGAAGAGAGAGCAGTCTTCAGCTACCGGCTTTGCCGCAAGCATCCGCGGTGCGGAGCTCTCGTCATGGTAGACTTCTAGTCAGTTGGTGGGAGAAAAGCATCAGCATTTGGCGCTTCGCCCGAAAATCTGCGACCGACAAGTCTCCGGATCGCCAGCCTCCAAGGAAGCTTGTTGCAAGGCTGGAACTGGATGTGAAGACCAGCATTAAGAATGTTGCAATCTCGGACGATGGCCGAGTGCTGGCGGCTTCTACGATGTCGGAAGTAAAGATGTTCCAACTACGAAGGCGACCTGAATCAGATTCTCTGGGTATTCGCAGGCTTGCTGTGCCAAATGTTCTTGTCGGCTCAGGGGCGCGCTTGCTTGAGTTCTCGCCGGACAGCAGATGGATTGCAGTCGTCAATGTGGAGAACGAAGTACAGGTCGCTCGCTTAGCTGCGATTCCCTCAAAGCCGAAGCACGTTCAAGTCATCAACCGAGTAGTAGAGCTGGAGCGCAGGAGCAGACTAGGAACAACAAAATCCGCATTCTCTCGCTTTGATCGAGTCATCAGTCAACTGGCTTTCGCTTCGGACAGTTCTGTGTTGGCGGTAGGTGATATTTCTGGATATTTGGATGCTTGGGTCCTGGAGGGACGTGAAGACCTTACTGCACCTGCTGTAGACGTGACCAAGGATGACTCCAAACGAGACGGTTCGGATGAACGCTCGGACGACTCTGACAGCTCGGATGACGACGACGAACTGTGCATTTTCTATGGTCAACATTGGGCCGACAGTCCAGGTGGACAACTACCCAGCGTGGAGGCAACTCCATTGGTACTATCTTTCCGGCCCATCGCGGAAAGCAAGCATAACATGGTCAACGGCAATCCAGGCGTGCATCGCACGCGCAGCAACCCTCACGCTCACTCTCATGAGCTCCCGCGTGGTCCCTATCGCTTGTGGGTGATGACGGCTCCGCACGAGATGTATGAGTTTGACGTACTTGCCGGCCGGCTGAGTGACTGGAGCAGACGTAACCCCACGTCTGTCCTGCCCGAGGATTTCCTGAAGCTGAAGGACCGCGTCAAGGGCGCTGTCTGGGATGTCACGCCCAGCAGAGAGCGCATCTGGCTCTATGGTGCTACCTGGCTCATGATGCTCAACGTGGGCTCCGACTTGACCCCGCCCGCACTGAAGAAGAAGCGCAAGGTGGAAGAGGATCTACAGGACGCCAAGCGACAAAAGACGGTCGCCAGCAGCGGTGCTGGTCCGAAGCTCATCTCCTCGCATAGGGAAGGCTTGCCGGAATCCCTCAAGCGTTACGAAGACGGGTCATGGACCGATGTGAATCTCGATCAGGCAACGAAAGCAACAACAGGAGGCGGGGACGTGGAAGATCAGGAGGAGGAAGATTACGCAGACGGCGATGCTGGCTTGCAGCTCGCGCGTTTGAAGAGTGTAGATGAAGAGGGCGAACCAAGTTCCAGCGCTGTGAGTGCGTCTCACGGGCCTCAAGCGCGAAGATGGTGGACTACCTTCAAGTATCGATCGATACTTGGCGTGGTGCCGCTCGCGGATGATGCGCAAGTGGACGAGGACGAACCCGCGGAGATGGTCATTGTCGAGAGACCGCTATGGGACGTGAAAAAGTGAGACGGCGAATTTTTGTACAAGTATGCCTTTCTAGTTTTGTGGGAGAGGCCCCCCCCCCCCTCCTACCTGTCGGATACTGATCGTGGTATCATAAACAAGACGCATGACCATGCGCCGCCATGCCCGTTGTTCATTCTGTAAGATCGTGGAACGCCTGTCGCCATGCACGCATATCAAAACCTGGCCCTTTTGGCCTACTCTCAAAAAATGGTGACATCCTAAACTAAGAGTGTCTGTAAGGCTCAAAGCCAGCTTGAGCCGGTGCGTGTCCGTAGCCGGCTGGTTGGGCGGCGTAATTCTGCAGAGGCACATTGTCGCTGTCGTGGCCCATGTGATGTACCGGCTCGTATGCACCACCAGTCTTCTCGACCTTGAGACCTCGTGCACCGTAGTCTCCGTATCCCTGGCCCTTGGGTTCGGCATTCCACAAGCCTCCCTTGTTGTTCTTGTGGTGCGGATTGCTGCGTCCAGAGCAACAGCAGATGCTGAAGAGCCAGAAGAACGTTGCGGCCCACGAGAATGCCACGCCAAGCCATGTGACGGCGAGCGCATGGTGTCCGAGTTCCAGCTTGATGCCGTAGTCTTTGAGGGCTTCGTTGAGGGCGCTGACGAGGACGGGGAAGAGGATGGTGCTGGTGAGCACCGCGGCTAGGGTGAAGAAGGACGAGACAAAGGCTAGGATCCAGGTCAAGAGGGAACCCCAGCGGCTGAAAATGGCGAAGATGCCGACGACGATGGTTGCGAGGGTGGTCCAGAAGCTGACTTGGTAGGCGATGAACATCCTGCAATGCATCTGTCAGTTCTGCTCTTTTTCGTGCGGATTGCTCTACTTCAAGAGGATGTGGCCCTCTCCAGACGTTTCCACGTACCATTTCGCTACCTTGCGGTATGCCTCCAAAGCCTTCCTGCCACTGCTCCCCAGGATCTTATCCTCGTACTCCTGCGTATCGCCCTTGACGCTCGCAATCGCCGACTCGACGGCGTTGTCGGCGGAAGAGGTAGACGTAGCACCGGTACTGTTACTGACCTCAAAGCCCCAAACATCCAGAGGGTCGAAGACGAAGCCGGACTCTCGCTTGGAGCATTTGCTGTTGGATCCGTCGGTCTTGTTGGAGCTGCAGTAATTCCACAGGTAGACGTCGTAGTTCTTGGCGATGCTGCTCTTGGCTGAGTCGATGGCGAGGGTGAGGACTGCGTTGTCGGAGCTCGAGGTGGTCAGGTTCGTGGTATTTGCCGAGAAGAACTTTGCACCATGGTGTCAGTGTGGACTCCAATTGAATGCGTGGAGACTTCCAAGTTAGCGGAATGCGTACCTGCATGTCCTTGATGGTGGAGCCGCCGAGTTCGACGAAGATGAGGCAGACAAACGAGGCGATGGTCAACGCCATGGGCGTGAAGATACACGCTATCCTCGCAGCCTTGCCCATGCTGGCGGTAGTGGGTATGTGTGTTTTCGTGCTCGATGTAGGGTGGGGTGCACAGTCAACAGACGAAAGAAGGTCGTGGATGGGCGATGAGAGCAGCAGAGAGGGAAAGGAGATGGATGGGGAATAATGGGAGAGGGCTGACCAGCAAGCAAAGAATGTCCGAGAGATATAGTGCTAAGGCGAGCATTGCCTGTAGCAGGATCCAATATGCACCACCACCAGCCCCGTGTGTTTGCGCTGCACGCTGGTGGCTGAGCAGAGCTGTCACAGGCTGTGCTCGCTGGCCTAACGACGTTAACGCGTGGAGGCAGAGTTCAGGCTCGGCCCGTCCGCCCGCTCTTCTATCTGCCCTACGATGTCATCGCCGCCGCATCCACCACTATTCAAGTTCACCTCTCTTGCTCTTCAAGATGTATCTATCTCTTAGCAACGCGACAATATCTATTCCCCTTGAAGTAGAGTAATAATAATGCAATGCATGTCACGCAAAGCCCAACGAGACATTCAGAAAGACAAACCTTGTTTTAGTGTACGTGTTCGGTCTCAAAGACGTGTGAAACAAGTCAGGCTTTGCCACGGCCGCGTCAACTGGGCACTCTCCTCTTCGTTGTCGCCAAGCCCTGTGTTGTCGCGTTGCGGTTCATTTCTGAGTCAATATTTGATGCGTCTTTGACCGTCTCCGCATCATTCGTCTGGTTCCGCCGCTCCATCCTCGGCCCTAGCTGACGAAGCCCTGACGCTATTTTCGGAAGGTATCGAGGGACCAACACGCTAATCTCTCACCCCGTCGGGTCCATCCTTACAAAGGCCACGCGCCAACGACGCCAAGACTGCCCAGTCGTCCTGTATCGGGCTGTATGGCCTTTGATGCCCACTACTTGGTAGAACGCAGAACACTAAGCACATAGGACTCAAGCGGTGAAACTTTGAAAGGAGCACGCAACGGAAAGTATCGCGGTAGAAGTTTCGAATTTTGATCTCAACAGCTGCTCTGTGCAAAGCCCAGGCAGCCTCAATACACTCTCAACTCACTATCTGAAAACAACCTTCTCTTGAGGCTTGCGTCGTGGACTCCTCTTTCACCCAAAACCCATCCCTTGGTATAGACACTAGACTTAATCAACTCCGCGCCGATGCCGCCCATATCAGATCGTGACATGAGCGAGACGTGATCCATAAAGGCGATAAAATGCGTGCGCCCCGCCATAAGTGTACGCTCAACGCTCCAGTTACTCCAATAGCTCCACCACAAAAGAAACCCAAACGGTCCAGCCTTTTGCAGTGCAATAACATACGAAACCGACTCCGTGTCGTCGCGCCGAAAGCAAATCCAGGAGACGCCGTGCTAGATCGCGTCAAGATGTTGATGAAACGGTTAAGAAACGATTGTGAGGCCCTCTACTGCTGCCTCTGATCCCGTGGCTGGTTGTCCTGTTGATGTCGAAGGACATCTCGAGCTCGTGCTCGTTCTGTGTGTCGAGACTCGGCGGCCTTCTGTGCATCCGCGTCTGATCTTGATGAGCCTTTGGCTCCATCGCCGCCAGGAAGGATCCGGCTGACGTTGAATGCAAGCGCTTCGATGATGAGCTTGCGGAGTTCCGCATCCTCCTTCATGTCTTCGGCATTGAGGCGGAAGCGTTCCATCTTGTCCATGTCCCGACGGCGCATGGACCTAATCTCGCCAAGAATGTGCATAAGCACACCCTCTGGGCAGCGATTGCGAGGTAGAGCATGCTCAGTTGGGTTGCGAACATAACGGCGGGTGACATCCTGGCAGCCATCCGCAGAGAATGCAATACAATACGCAAGCTTCTTTCGCCAGCCTAGATATGCGTTAGCGTTCCACACCAGACTAATTCAGACAGCGGATGGTTAACTTACCGTGGGTATAGAGCAGAGGAGCATCCCACGAACCCTCGCAGCAGTCGACGTGCACCCAGCGCTTCCGGTGAGTGCTGTAGACTTCTGTCCAGACGTGGTCTTCGGAGTTCCAGACCCATCGTACTCGGCTGCCAATGGCTCTGCAGAGCATGGAGAAGCAATTTACCCACTCGCCCACCCTACCCCTCCTGGTTTGAAGAAGTACGAAGGCATCGTTGTATCTAGGAAATCGTTCGAAAGACTGGCAGAGCTGGTTGCTGCATTGATACAGCTCCACTCTGTTTGCGCCACGCGCCGACTCGTCCGGGATGGGAGCGACCATGCCTTTGCCGATGGTTGGTGCATGACAGGTCGAGCACTTGGGGTTGTTGACCCACTCAAAGAAGTCGGCCTTGAACCACTTCAGCAGCGCACGAACAACGCAGTCCTGATATCCCCATGCTGGTCTCATGTTTGGCCCGAGTGATGCAGCCTCGGCCTGAAACAAGTCCGATTCCTCCTGCGCGTCGTCGTATATCCTCTGGAGCGGCACTGCGCGAAGTGCCTCGTCCAGTAAGCCTGGGTTTTCCCATTTACACGGTGTATTTGATAGTCCTACTAGCATGTGGCGAAAGCGAAGAGACTTGTTGTCTGTCGGAGGCGTTGGTACGGTTGGTATGTTTCTGATCGATGAGTATGAAGGAGGCGGCGACCTCGGCGGCACAATGCCTTCATCTATCGGTGCACCTGGGACTGGAGGCGCCTGCCTCGTTGGTGGAGGTGGTGTTGAGTCCGCAGTCTGGTCGTGTGACGGAGCGGGTGTCTGGCGGGGCTGAAGGACGATTTCGGTGGGGATTTTCGACGACGAGCGCCGTTGCGAGCCTGGCCGGCGACTCAACTCGTTCATGCGCTTCGTCGAGAGGGTGCGTCGGAACTGTTGTGTGAGATCCGAGGCCCAGGTGTCGCTGAGAGGTGGAAACTGAGGCTGCGGGACGGGCTTGCGTCGAGGAACGCCATTCTGGTCGGCCATGATTGCGTCGCAGAATGCAGGCGCTGGGGAGACAGTGTGCAATGAGTGTCGATGGGAAGATGTCGTGTGGTGTGAGTGGGAAAGGAATGGAGGTGTCGAGGGTCGCGAAGCGGCAGTGTGCTCAGCCTTGGGCGATGGCTCTGCCTTACTCCGCCCCCGGGTTGACGGTACCGTGCTGCGGTGCGCCAGAGAGTTGGCTGTCGTCGGTGGGAGAGGTGGTGACCGTCGGGCGATCGCGGTGTTAAGGGCGGCGTCGAGGTCGAGGTAGAGATGGAGGTGGAGGTGTCGAGCGTCGTCACGGCTCTGGCTCACACGCACACGGACAGGTGGTGTTCTGGTGGTGGAGGGCGACGGGTGCAGCGTGTTTCATCAAAGCGGAAGAGAGCATCAAGGGGTGCAATGCTCGCACCCGCCGCACGGACGCCTCTGCCGGCCACGCAATGAGAGCAGGCGACGCGTCAGCGCTGTTCTACCGCCGTGTACGACGACTCTTGCCTCTTGCCTCTTCCCTCTTCTCACCCAAGTCACCCTCGCCCACCTTCCGCATCCCGCCTGCGAGAGATGGATCTGATCTGCTCGTCGGCGTCGCAATCCTGCTCTGTGCTGCTGATGAGATGATGAACGCGGGCCACTCAGTCATCAGCTCCTGCCGCATCGGGTCGTCGTGCACTACTACTCCTCTACTGTCGACCCCACGATTCACGCATCTCTCGCCCACGCACGCAACCACGACGACGCTGCCGCTGCCGCTGCCGCTGCCGCTGCCCGCTGCCCGCTGCCCGCTGCCTGCACCACCAACATTATTGTGAACGACGCCCACGAACTATGCAGCGGAACGGGCGCGACGGGTGTCGACGGTCGAGCCTACGCCTACACCTACACCTACACCTACACCTACACTCACCGCAGGCCACCACCTCCTGCGTACTCATCAACTGCAACCTCTCTCTCCTCCCCTCTCCTCTCCCCTCTCCTCTCCACGCGACTGCGACCGCCCGCCCACCGTGCTCGGACGTGGTAAAATAATGAATGCCGAGCTTGCGCGCTCCGACTCTGATCCGTGATCCGTGATCCTCCACTACGGAACTACTAGTCGTCTATTTTCACACATACGCTACCTCGAGAAATACTATCCTCTTGCCGTCGTACTCATTATTCTTCTGGTGAGTGTGATGGCTGCTTCGCAACTATCAACATCTACCCTTCGTGTCAAGTCTTACTCACGATCCGCGCGAAACACCCACAGACCTCTCACCGCATGGGTCATCCTTCCCCTCTCCACGTGAGCTTGCCTGTAGGGATGTGACAGGTATACGCGGCTCATCCCACAAGTGCTGGGACACGGAGATTCCATCTCACGGCCCAACGGTCGTACAGGATTGTTGCTGAGAAATCGACATCAAAGGCAATCTTCTGTGACGCTGAAGCGAGGCAGTCTTGCAGTCTGCAATCTGCGTACCATCCCATGCGCCGAGTGATGAGGAAGAGACAGAGACATCCCTGGACTCTCTGAGCAAAGACCGGTTCACCGACTGCTCGGCTGTTCAACCGTTCAACGGCAGGGGCACTGTCGTCAGCCGCTCTCATCCTCTTCCCCTTGATCTGGCTTGCCTATCACTCCTTTGCTGTCGCTATTAACGAAGTTGATGCTTCGGGGCATCTCAAACGCAGCCACGACAGTATGGACAGCTCGTCGTCCGCAGTGCTTGCAATTGGCCCAAGGTGTCTTGAAAGCGCCACGGAAGCTCGCAGAGGATGTCTTAGTGCTGCGCTTGACAACGAACATACTTACGAAGCTCCCCTCCCCCCAGTCGATGAGCTGTCACATATTTCACGGAGACGTCAACCAACATCTCTGTGAAAATCCTTTCATCGTCACTTGACCGCAACATCTGCTCGCTTACCGGAACGCCATGAGCCAATGCCAACCTCCTCTTTGTCATTGCCAATAGGGCGCCGCAATCCATACGGGCCTTCTACACTCCATTATCAATGACAGTGGCACCTCTCTTCATTTCAATATCTCCAGATCCACTTCGTCATCCAGAAAGGCAACTGCGACGAGACGTGAGGGCCGCTCTCGGGCCGTGCTTGCATCGCGCACGGCCCCGTGCAGCTGTACCAACTTCATCTCTAGACCCGCTGTGGACAACCTTGGAAACATCGCCTGAGATGGCGACTTGCCACCCACTCGCAAAATTTTGTGCGCCATCGTGAGGGCAATAATAATGGCAAGACAACTTGGATGGACACGTTGGAGACTGCTCTGCTTGGTTTGTCAGCACAAGCCCGAGCTGTCGCGAGAATGATTGACGCGGCTTGCCACGCATAATCTACCCATTTAATGAATGCAACTCGCGGTTTGTCCGACCCCGACGACATCGGAGCCTCTCACATTTTATACGTTGGCAAGGTGGGTGGGCTTTGCCTGGACTCTTCCCTCGAGGCTCGGGACGGAATACCTCCCCACCGGACGAGCTCTAGTACCCACCACTATCCATTTTGCTGCTCTCAGATGCCATATAAGTTGACTCTTGTCTTCTTTAGATGCATAGTTGCCTTGTAATATCACGCCTGTCGACGAGTAATGTCGTCTATGGCTGAGCATGGACTTTGTCAACGTGTGCCTCAGGATTTGATTGAACTTTGAATAGGCCTTCCCATTATTACCCGCCAGGACAGTACTTTCTGGTCACCATGTCTGCATTAGGTTCGAAGCTTGTTTCGAAGCAAGCCTGAAGGACAACGACGGAATGGAAGGAGCGACAAATGCTAGGGGGAGAGTTGTTGGTTGCAAATCCGATTCATCTCTCATGCGTGAGGCCGGTACATGCGTACTATTTCTTGTGTCATTTTCAATTTTACAATCTTTCTTGTCTATTCGAGCTTTCCTTTCCAAGTCAGCGCCCGTCTTTCCCATGTAATGTCCGATCGATGTAGAATATTTGACCATACCAGCTTTAGGAAACGTGGACATACTATGCGAGCAGATACTTGGCCGCGTGCTCCACATGGTCGTCCGAGAAGGTGCTGATGAAGAAGTAGCTGTGATCGTAGCCGTCCTGATAACGCACATTGACCTTCTTGCCCGCCTTCTTCGCAGCCGCTTCCAAGTTCTCCGGCAGCAACTGGCCTTGCTTGTAGAAGTTGTCCCCCGTTCCGACATCAATGAGGATGTCGGTGTCGTTTGGAAACTTGGGAAGAAGTTCCGTGGCATCATACTCTGCCCACTTCGATTTGTCGTCGCCAATGTACCCACCGAATGCCTTCTCGCCCCACGGACACTTGGAAGGATTCGAGATGGGTGCAAAAGCAGAAACGGATCGGTATTTCCCCGGGTTCTTGAGGTAGAGCGTCAAGGCACCGTGGCCTCCCATGCTGTGTCCGGTGATGGACACTCTCTTGCCGTCCAGCTCTTTGAAGTGGGCAAAGAGAGCCTCGGGAAGTTCTTGTGTGATGTAGCTGTACATGTTGTAGCCCTTCGTCCATGGGTCCTTGGTTGCGTCGATGTAGAACCCGGCCGCACTGCCAAAGTCGTAGCTGTCATCTTCGCCGGGGATGTCGAGGCCTCGTGGACTTGTGTCTGGGTAGACGACGGCAATGCCCTTCTCTGACGCCTTGTGCTGAAAGAATCCCTTCTCGGCTCCATTGTCGCCTGTGCAAGTGAGGCCTGCGAGGTAGAAGAGGACAGGAACGGGCTTCGAGCTTGCTTGCGGAGGCAGGTAGAGATTCAGCTTCATGTCGCAGTTGCATACTTTGGACTATCGCGACTCTTATCAGCGCAAATTCTGTTGCTGTCCGACATGCCTCTGTGGAAGCGTACCTTGTGTGCAAGCTTCAGCAGCTTGCCGCCAAAGCTGTTGATGGTGCCGGTGGTCTCGAACGACATGGTGAATGCGCGAGTGGGTATCGATCGGTAGAGAGAAAGACGAGACGTGAAGGCAATCGGTCTGAAAGAATTGAATGTAAATTTAGAGAGCAATAGCATCTAAGGCAGTCACTCCACCAAAGTCATCCGACGAAATTCTGCATTGGAGGGGTCGACATGGAGGGTCTTCGCGGGGAGATGCGGGTGACGTATGTAAGAAGCCAGTCTCGGCACGGGTGACTGGAGAAGCTGGAGTTGCTGCTCACATTCGGAAAGAACTTCCGCGAATCCCAGCTAGATTTGTTGATTGCTCCCATGTCTGCGACGGTTGCCAATTTGGTAGCAGCTTGACCGAGATGCTCGACACACTGCTGCTTTTGAGTAGCTCGTCGCGCCTTATGCGCTCCCGCAAGAAAAATGACCTGAAAGCCTGTACTCCCCAACGCCATCGCTGACTTGGCTGTGAACTGCCCTGGATATTCATCCGAAGTCCTGGCTCCTCCGTACTGAACAAGAGAGCGCTACTAAAGCAGCTCCTCACATGTCCAGTCCTCGTAGTAGCCGTCTGGTAGATATCTCCGGACGACCAGTGGAATCTTCTTCTCGCGCAGCTCTTTGAGAGCAATCTGAAGTGGGTCGGTCTCGGACTCGACGTCGACCAAGACAGGAGCACCCATACTTATCTATCATCAGCTCTGGCCTAAACTTCGAGTACGGCTTCGCCTACCTGATCTGGAGCGCTCGTGTACCGAGGACACGCGCGCGCTCGTACTTTGTCATGTAAGGAGTCGATGTTCGCTTGTCGTTTGGGATTTTCTTGCTCTTGACTCCTTTGACAGTGTTTAGGCCCGGCTCTTGACCACTTGTGACAACGTTTTGATCCGTGTAGTCGGTGCTGTTCAACAGCGCGTCTTGAGGAGCCTCATTCGGATCCACATCCAGATCTCCTATCTCGTGTCAACTTCTACCTCCTGCGCAGATGGCCAGCCAGTTCATCTCTGGAGTATAGACCAACCGTTTCCGCCAAAGTCCTCGTAGGTGGTCTCCTCGATCAGGTTATCATCAAATCCCCTTCAGCAGTTAGCGCATGTGTAGCACAGATTATCCAGCTTCCAATGGAGCTCCACATACTCAGCATCGCCGAAGTCTCGCATGCCCTCATCGCCGTCGCCGAAGTCACTCATTTTCGAAGATCGCGCGGAGGCTTTGTTTGGTATAGCTCGGGGGACCGCGAATCGGACGTGTTGCAAGCGAGATCACGGAACCCTGAGAGGTCGGGACGAGATGTGTGCTGTTGTGAGTGGCCTTGAAACTTGCAATTCGTGGAAAACCGATCTCGTCTCCAACTCTTTCTTTGAACTTGGGGGACAAGGTGAAAACTACTGGCGCCGGAACGAGAACGACCGACTCCGCGAAGCTTAAATTCGCGCTTGGCGATCCGCGAACGAGATCCCTTCGAGATTCTGGGTCCTTCACTTTTCGCCTAAATCTCAGTTCTTCGATCTCACCACCGCCGACATGTCCGCTCCAATGGCGACAGAGTCCTCGGGGACGAGCCCGATGAAGAGAAAGAGATCAGCTCCGGATTCTTTCCACCCGGAAGATGCTTCGGACGCTCTCATCAGACAGCTTGAGAGCTCTCCGTCGCGCAAGAGGAAGAAACAGACTCGCTCTCAACTGTTCGACGATGACTACGAAGATACAGACTCCAATGTCGCTACTACCTCCTGGCCGTCATTGGCAGATACGAACACTGCTACTGCTACCATCGCCGATACCACGACGCCGTTCACCGATGCCTCGAGCCGTGCCAGCACCGGCAAGGCTAGACCTAAAATCTATCATTGCACATTCTCGGATTGCAACAAGGTCTTCGATCGACCTATTCGGCTGCAGGCTCACATCAACTCGCACACTGGAGAGCGTCCTCATAAATGTTCAAAGGACGACTGCGACAAGAGCTTCTACAAACCAGAACATCTCAATCGGCACATGAAAGAGAAGCATGGCAATGCGACATTTGTCTGCACTTTCGAAGTTCGGAAGGATAATATTAAGGAAATTGAGCCATGTGGAAAAACGTTTGAGTCAGCGAGTAAGCTCAAGCGCCATGTCGCAGCACATGAGGATAAAGAGGAAACGACATGCAGCTGGGAAGGGTGCGCCAAGGTGTTCAGAAAGCAGGAGACGTTGCAGAGGCATATTAAGAAGGACCATTTGAACGAGCATTCCTATCAGTGTACTCGTGAGACTGCCGACGGGAGTGCGTGCGGCACCTTGTTTCCAACTCTCGGCCTGCTTAAAAGCCACTATGCCGCGGACCACGAAGCTCCCAAATATGTGTGCGACATCTGCACTGACGCTATGGTAACGCCGACCCGGGACGAAGTGCCTGCGCTGAACGACTTGGATCCCGAGTTCTTGCCTGGGCCTGAAGACCTTCAAGAGCCTGGTGACGAGCTCGAAGCTAAGATGCTTGACAACTTGTCTCTCAAAGACGCAGGACCCCCGCGAATGAAGGGCCCTCCTGGTGTGGTCTGCTTCCCGACCTATCACGATCTTCAGCGTCACAACAAATACGTGCATCCGCCTGTCTGTACCGAGTGTGGAAAGAAGTGCAAGAGTAACAGGGATCTTGCAGCACACGTTGAGATTCAGCATCCACCGCCAGGCACTATCCCAAATCCGCCTCCTCAGCCCAACAAGAAGTATCTGTGTCCCCAGAATGGCTGTCCCCGCTCGCTGCCTGGCCATGGATTTTCTAAGAGGGGAAACATGGACGTCCACTTTAAGAGTGCTCATGCGAAGAAGAGGGACTTTGTGTGCGGCGAGCACGATTTGAGTGGCAACAAGAAGGTTGAAGGTTGGAATGGACGAGGTTGCGGAGTTGCAATGACGGCCAAACAGGCGTTGATTGCCCACATCAGGACTCAGCATATGGGACTGCCTACCAACGGTAAAGAGCCAATGAAGCCGAGAAAGCGCATCACCGCCAAGAAAGGCACTGATGCCGACATGGACATCGACACTGAGAATGCTGGCCCTAGCACAGTAATGGCGATGCTGACCGGCGATGGCTACGAGGAGCTGCGTCCGTATGCATGCTTACTCTCTAGAGGCCCACACGGTTGCCAGATGAGGTTTGCAAGAGAGTACGATTTGTGCACACACCTGGAATTGACTCATGGCTGGAACGTCGACGACATCAACGACGCGCTCAATGCTTCATCAGGCGCTCAGGATCCAAGCGAAGATGATACCTTCAGGCAGCAACTCGAGACAGGGATGGCAGCTATGGAGAGAACAGACGGCGCTGCCGTCGAGCCAGATATGGCGGAATAATGTGCGAGCAAAAGCAGAATGGGGGAATTGTGAGAGATGTTCGAGGGCCCGGAGATGTTCATTGCTTTGTTAGAGATACCCCAATGATGAGGAAGCCAGGCCCATACAGTGGAAGGTCCACTTCGCTCTTCACCTTGTTCGGTTAGAGAGTCCTGTAATGCATCGAGGTCTCAGCTGCGGCTGGCTGCGCCTTGTCGATCATACGCTTGCGTTGCGATCCTTCAGCTAATTGAATGTGGTCGGGACTGAAAGCTCATCATGTATTACAGAAGCTATAGTGCAACTCCAGGCAGCTTGAATGACCGTGCCAGCTGGCGGCTCGCTGCTCGGTAACTTTTACTCTAGAGCTTCCACTTGGGAAGCACGTGGGCTTGTCTATCATCGAGTATCAGTGGTCCGCAGCAGTGAGAACGAAGGCACTAGCCAGCCAGATGCAGCCGTGAGGGCGACCGTGCGGCATGATGGCCCTTTGCTCTGTCCTCTGGCTGTACTTCTTCCTTCTTCGACTGCTCTGCATTTCCGTCCCAGACTCTGCATCGCTGTGCCCTTCACATCGCGGCTCGCTTCGTGCTCTCGAGCATTATTGCCATGGTCGCCTCTCCTTCTCGTTCGGCGGTCATTTTGCTGCCTGCCGACGCGATGCCTGTGGGTTTGAACAGACGTAGGTAATGTTGTTCGCCAGTTGCTGATTTGAACACTAGGCAGTCTGCGGAGAGCGAAGCTGAGAGGAAGGCGGTGATGCACAGGCTGGAGGACTCCAGTGCCATTTTCTCTGTCGGGCCTCTACCTTTGTCTCGCGTGAGCGATTTAGAAAACGATCTCCAAGCCTCGGATCCACGTCGTCTGCTTGCGCAGCACAAGTCGAGATGATCCTGGCCTCAAGGCCTCTCCGGCGCCAAGCGTTGTTACAGCCAAGCCAACCACGACTTGGCGTTAAAGCACGCCTCCGGCACGCAACAACTCATTCATCTGAGCAACACACGCAATCCACTGCAATCTTCTTACCAAGATTCCTGAGAGCACACGCAACACCGTCTCCAATGTCCAATGGCATTCAAAGACGGTATTTTGGAATGCCCCATCATTGGCTGAAGACGGCGTAGTGCTTGCCATCATGCCGACTTGGCGTTCGGGACCAGGGCCGACGATAAGCAGGAGGGAGCAGGCGTCCTCACCGTGGCAGCGACCGACGGCGCAGGTCTTTCGGTCTGTGCTGCTGCAGTGGACTGGTCTTTCCATCGGCTCTTGCGTTTGACTAGAACGCATTCATCACCTTCTGCTCGTCGTCGACGTCTCCTGGAGGCGCGACCGGAACGCCAAACTTTCCGTGATGCGGTCCCAGTCCGCGCGTTCCTCATGCTCCTGGACCTGGGTGGTCGCGGCGCCACTGCTCTCCGCTATACTGCTCCTCGCGAACCAGCTCGTTCAGGCACCTGAAGCTGGCTCACTCAAGCCGAAAGTGTTCGTTCTGGGACTCTCCAAAACCGGTACCACTTCGATCGGCGACGCGCTCGAGCTACTTGGTTATCGTCGCCTGGGATGGAGAGATATCAGGAGTCGCCACATGGTCCATAGCTTTGTCAATGGCGACCAGACGCCACTGGTCGAGCTTACGAGATACTACGATGCGTTTGAGGACCTCCCGTGGCCATTCCTGTACCGCGAAATGGCAGAGCTTCACCCTGACGCGAAGTTCGTACTGAGTCTCCGGAAAGACGAAGAAACCTGGATGCGGAGCATGAAGGCTCATGTTGGCCGGGGCAGATGGCTCCCCTACACCCATTTCTACGGCGCGGACACATACGAAGGCAATGAGGAGATCATACGACAGTCTTACAGGAACCACACCCAGAACGTGCGAAATTATTTCGAGGACAAGCCTCGTCGATACGTGGAGTTGAGCATTGACGATGGGGATGTGAATTGGGACGTGCTCTGCCTTGTCGCGCAATGTCCGACAGGCAAAGTGCCATCTCTGGCCTTTCCCAAGAGCAACACGGCAGCGTCTTGGGATGTAGGTTGGCTGTTCAGCAGTCTGCAGTGGCTCTGGGGGTGGACTTTGACGAGACTCGAAGAGCAAACAACTTCATACTACTACTCCAGTGGCCACACCACGCTCAAACCTCTGCTGAGTCTCTGTTGGTGGATCTTGGACTTCGTCGATCGCGCGCACACAGAACTCTACTTTCGGATCTGGCCCGCTCAACCGCGCATTACAGTAGCTGACACGTTGGGTGCATCAACTGTCTGAGATGCAACGAGACGACCGGTACGGAACGGACGGATGTGCAACACTATTGCAATTGTGGACTGGCAACTGGAGATCGACTCTATGCAATCCGCGCATGGCTAGTCGTCGATGCGGGATAGCAGTTGCAGTCTGCGATACTTTCCTCCTGAGCTGCGGATACAGCCACCTCGAGGTGTCTGTTTGATGGGAATATTGTCGCTCGGGACAGAAACTCTTCTGCTACTGACGAATACAGCAATTGCGATTCGGACGTCGCAAATTTCTGCAGGGACAGCCCCGGGCGTCGGTAATGCTGGCAGAACGTGTACTGTAGCGTCCGTAGTTGAGGATAGACCACAGACCCTTCCAGAGACATCTGAAACGGGGGTCAGATAGCAAGACGTACTTCGAGGCAGCACTACCAAGCTGTACCTCGTCTTTTCGGACGTACGTAAGACGACATCATCTGTCACGCTCACGGGGAAGCCAGCTCATGACCTAGGAATATCCAGCGAGCGTGCCCAGTTTTGGGGCTCAGACTTCCGAGACCCCGCCTCATCAAACCGCTGAACACGTGAGTGGCTTTCAAACGTCCACGCGACTTGCGCCAAACGGGAAACTGTAGCGGCGCGGCTGATGGCCCAGTGGCGGAGGGCTGGTTTCGTGGTGGTGGTTCTCGACTGGCTCCTCGAAATGTCCAGACGCTCCAGACGAGGAAATTCTTGGAGCGGCGAGTCGTGCCGATCAGTTGAAACACCGAGGGGGCCCACCAACGGGAGGGTGCACGCTGCACGAACTGGTGGTTCGACCAATGAACGAGTCGGACTGCATGAGGGGAACGCTCTGTGCTCTCCTTCGATCAGCAGGCCCCGATCTGCGATGGCCAGTGTGCACGCACGGCCACCTGTCTTGCCTGTGAAAGCGAGCCGTTGCGGGTCTCGCAAGCCTCGCTCTGCGGACGTGGTAACTCATTCTCGGAGTTCGTCGAGCGCTTTGCTGCAGCTCAACACAGAGCCATTGCTATATTGCTGCCGTCATCAGAGACATTCGACGTTGTCTGACGGCCCAAAAAAATATCTGGCCAGGGAGAGCTCGGTTGGCCGACAAGTCAGGGTAAAAGCATCCACAGTGTCTGACACCAGACACCCCTACTGCTACCGAGCAAGGGCATGAGGGTGTGCGCGAGCGCGCGAGCGCCTGCAGGTTGTCGTTAGCCGCCGAGTGACCAGCGTGTGGAGTGGTTAGCAGAGGGTTCCTGGCACTAAATTCGGTACGTACCCAAGAGCGGTGGCCGGGCTCACGGTCCAGACAATAATCACGGTCCCAGGCCAAAAGATACAGGCCCAGGCGGCCGAAGAATGGCAGGCAGCTGATGAGGAGTTGTTTGTTGTTGTTGTCGTTGCATATAGTATAGTGTGATTAATCGTGTCTGTCCTGCTGCATAACATCGGAGCACGGAACAGCAAGTGGATGGTGCTGGAGATTTAGCTCTCGCGATTTATTCGCCCATGTGATGCCAGAAATCAGCGCTTCAACCGGTCCTGATCCAAGCAGCGCTCCAGCCTGTCCCGATCTCAGCGGCGGCGTCCAGTGTGATTGTCTATTCCCTCGTCGTTCTCCCCGACACGCCTCGCGTGATTAATAACATTGCCCTCCCGACTCGGGCTGCGAAGGTGGGAAGCGAGGTTCTCACAACAAGGGCTTGGAAGTCGAGTGTCCGGACGTGAAGGCGAGCAGACACGTCTTAAGACACCATCCCGGTAACCCCACCTCGACACGCCCTGCGCACGGCAAGACGAGCTGACGATCCGCCGAGCAGCGGCAGCAGCAACAGCAACAGCAACAGCAGCAGCAGCAGCACCACCGCCAACACCACCACCACCACCACCACCACCCTCCCCCTCCTACAACTCTCCTCACTCGAGATAATCTGTTCCCGTCGACCCACTCTGACGAACAGACCTCTCGGCCGCTCCGCCACCCTCCGCCGCTCCGCCGCCGCCGCCGCCGCCTGGTCTCATCATTACCAAATCCCGGCCCGCGTCCATATCTCCAGAGCGGAGCCAGTTGAGGCGAACCACTGGGCCGAGCAGTGCACCGCAGTGCAGTGCAGAGCAGCGCGTGAGCGCCTCCGTACTCAGCACTCGAGCACCAGCGCTCGAGTCACTTTCCCTTCGACAAGTGTCGCTCGTTGGGGAAGTTGGGAAAACAAAGAAAAAGGAATCTCATTCCTCGCCTCGCTGGCCACACGCGCAATCATGACTTCGGCAAAGGTTCGCCGGCCTCTCTCAATTCTTGTCCTCCTGCTCTCCAGACTAACCGATTGCTCTGCAGGACATGTCGCGCCCAGCAAGCCAGCACCGTCTGTCCGTGGGCTCCAATGCCTCCAGCCTGCCTTCGCGCACCTCCTACGCTCGTACGCACTCCCACTCTCACACCACCTCGCAGGGCTCCCTCGGTGCCGCCAACCGAATCAATCGCCGCAAGAGCTCAACCTTTTCCAAACCCTCCCTAAGCGGCGCCGCCGTGGAGAGCGCAGTGGCAGACGGCTCCGTCACTGTCAACCCCCGAGGTTCCATGTCCAAGGCCGCTCTTGCCAACCTGAACGACGGTACCTCGCCTTCTATACCCAGCAGCCTGCCCCATCATGCGTCGATTCCAGCCGACGTCGCTTCAAGCGCGAGCGCTCTCGTCGACGGACCTTCGCTTTCGTCCTTTCAGAACGCCGAAAAGTCCAAGCTGAAGATAAGAAGAGCCAGCGACGGTACCCGTTTGACCAAGAAAGAGAAGGCTGCAACTGGTGATCTCAAGTGCGAGCATTGCGGAAAGGCTTACAAGCACGGCAGCTGCTTAAACAAGCATCTGTGAGTGCTATCATTCTGTCGTTGGATATGTTGGACTATTGTCGCTGACTAGCTGTGTTCCAGTTGGGAACATACACCCCAATGGCAATACACGTCCAAACTGCTTATTTCGAAGCACCAGCAGGTCCAGCTTCTCGAAGCAGCATCCGTTCTGGTTGCAATGAACTCGGAGGTTAAGGATGCCAACGACAGCGACAACTCTTCTTCCCCTGCCGCGTCTGGCTCCTCTGACATGCGGGAGGACGAAGTCAGCTCTACCGAGACTACTCCTCCACCACAAAGCGAGCAGGGCTACCGGGACAGCAAGCGATTCAGTAACAACAGCAGTGTCTATTCGCGATCCTACCAGTCGGTCTTTTCTTCCGGCAGCGCTCCAAATAATGACAGCGCGTTCTCCCACCACCGCCAATGGAGCGCCTCTAGCAATGGCAGGCCTCTCACTGCCAACACTTCCATTGCAGAAAGTTATCACGGCGACGAAGATCCTCAGGATCTGGCCGCCGCTGTCGGGTTGCTGAGCTGTAGCTACGGAACTCCCAAGAGCGTACCTACTGCTTTGCCCATGGACGTTCCACCGGTTCCACCACTCCCAGCAAAGTACCAGAACCTTCGTCATCAGGGCGACGTGGAGATGGATGGCGATGAGAGCTTCGACGACGAACCTCACACGAGAAATGACGACATGGAGGACCACGGAGTGTTTGGGAAGATGGACGCATAACCTGCTTTGTCCGAACCATGACCTGTCGATGATCTATTTCGCAGAGCATACTTGGGGACTGTATTTGGCATGCACCAGGTGCAGAGATCTCCGAGGGAGTTAACAGATTGCATAACGGCTGGGGAATCACGTCACGGCGATTGCTCCGCAGGCTCCTCCCAGTACCGATGAGTCGCCTATCTCTAGGCCACGAGGTTGAAACTGAGGCGAGTATCTCGAGCGTTGAGCACGCTGACGGCGAAATACTTGGGTTTAGGAGTGGGCTCGCAGTCCCCCCCCCCCAAATACTTTTGTTGGTCTTCATCTTAGCATGGCGTAGAGTGCCGCGGGATCGAGAGGGTCTGTCTTGAATTGAACGAACGAACGAATGTGCTATGGAGATATGCGAGATTGAAGTACGAAATTTTTCTGTTCTCTTATTGTGTAGCCTATTGCAATGTAGTGGTGAGGGAGAGAGCGCGAGTTCGACGAAGATCTCCCCATACCGCCGACTATATCAACATGCACGCGCTGATGCATCACTCAACCTCTTCCACTACAGCGTCTCTGGACTTCGCAAGATTATCTCGACGCTGGCTACTGCGCACCGTCGTTGCTCCGGTTTTTGCCGTCATTTTTGTCGGAAAGACCTTCTTCCACTGCGAAGATATGGGACCACAGGACCAATTCGCAATCCTGTTCTTATTATCATTATTGATATCCGAAGATAGCCGATATCCGATATTCCATCGGGGCATGCCTTCCGAATCGAATCGAATGACGAGGTGAATGATGCGGACCGTCGAAAGTGGGCCTGCCTCGCATCCACTCATCACGAGTGACGAGCCCGCTCATCATCATCAGTATCGTGGTATCATCAGTGCGCCCGCCTAATCATCACGTGCCTTGTTGTTCGGATTTTGGTGGAATGATAATGTGGGTGGGTCTCGGTTCACATCACATCACATCGGCTCTCACGCGACTTCGATTCCGTGGTTTCGATTTATCATAGGAGCTGGACCGGTCGGTACATATGTGATAGCGGAGGACAAACACTAACTATTACCTATTGTCGGTTCGTCGTTGAGCCGTTTTGAGCGTTGATTTATTTATCTATCTGCTGGTGGAGATGTTAAACGCATGGGATCGTTGCAGGGTAGGATGTAAAGGATGGAGGTACATATATTGCAAGATCGACTTCGCTAACACATACGGCCACAGGCAGCTGAATAACAGGATGTCCGCTGCTGCTTCTATGATTAAAGATAGATAGACAATAGCGGTTCCCAGGTTCTGTAGACCAGTCCTCTAGTGTTCGATTTTGGTTATAGTCTTCGTAAGAATCACGGATTTGATCCTTTCTTATAAGCATAGAAGCCGTGAAAGCTTATACCCGTACTAAAGGAGAAGTCAGGTTGTGATGTTTACTTATACAGTTCTTCGACCCGTGATCCAGGATCTCGAATTCGGGTCTGTTATGTTGGCGCTGCGTACATCTGAGCCTAGAAGCTCAGCCGTGCCGACTAACAGTTGACGACGAGCGAACATTCTTACGCGCTACTGGGCAGCTGGGTGAGCACGACTAGCTAGCAAGGCAAGCTAAGGAAATATAGACTAAGCTACATTGTGTTGTGGCTGTCTCGTTTGAGAAGAACCAACATTCATCAAAGCCTACAGCTTCTGATGTAGAAGGCCTGTGGTTGGAGCCTAGATGAAATAAGGTGTGCCACGCCGGCAGCCCCGTGGCCTACTTTCGAGAGATGAGAACAGGCCATCGGTTACATCGTCGTCCGTGCTTGCACAGGGCTGCATTTGCTGTTATCTGCTACCCAAATCAGCATGCCCATACCTCATCGTTGAACGTCTCGACTAATAGTCTTATCATCTTGCTACTACAAAGACTGGAGAAATGTCCTTTGGCGTGCTACAAGAAGTTGTTACGACATTCATTGACTGTGGTCATCAAATTACCGACCGAGACAACCGCCGGTAGCAAGAACGATCTCGGAAAAATTCTGGACATTCATTTTGGGCGCGTTAACGACTCGAGGCTCTTGAAGGCGTGATACCAATGACACAGTACTCCTGCGTCCCCAACGACTTCCAAGATTCTCTCCCATGAAGAACATCTATACTGACGTTCCTTAAGGCTGGTACTGTTGTCTGGTAGCACCAAAGGAGATGCCCGGGCTAAGGCCGCTACGAAGAGAACTAGAAGTTGGAGGGATGGCATGTCGAGGTCGAGCGTTAAGAGCACTTGAAGCTGCTGTGATTTATTAATGCTAGGAGCACTGTCGGTATGTGTCTCAAGGAGTATGTAATGATAGTCAGCCCGCTGCCTGTCAACTCGATGTGCTGTCTGGCTGGCTTCCCTAGAGACTACTTATCCTTCTGCTCTTCGAACGATGTCAGGCTAAGCTCGTATAGCCGCCCCGGGAGTTCCTCAGTCGCCATGACATTCGACAATCCCCCGAGACACTTCGTTCACAACATTACAGAGCTGCCTCCGTCTCGGGCGATTCGCTTTCAGACCAATCCTTGCCTCATTAGGCTTAGCTTGAATCTCTGCTACCACGTTTGGTTACCCGACCCTTTTGGGGGGCACAGTATCGGCGTGCTTCGATGGGATCAATCAATCACATCTCATGGTCTCCGGAATTAAAGGGTGGATCTTGCACGGTGCCGCTGTATAGTTGGTACACGTGCCGGTTCCGCCGGCTCCAACATACCGCTGATGCTGGCGCTAATTCCACGACTAGGCGCCAGTGTAAGCGCCCAAAAGTCGTGCATATTAGTTCACCGGCCGCAACGAACGTTCCACCTTACTTGCACATCCACGACCTCCAGAATACCGTAAACCCAGACGCAAAAACAATCGACAATGGCTTCACCTCGGACATTCGGTATGCACCTTGTTTAAGCCGGCAACCTGTACTGATGTCCGTACTTTGCAGAAAACTGTCTACCAACTTCATTGGCCCAGTCCGACCGGCCTGTAGGCTTCGACAGCAATAATACTCTGCTCTGCGGCATACCGTAGCCGCAGACAGATCGAACGCCTAACATTGAGCCTTGCTGCAACGATCCCGTCTAGCATTACAACGGGTGTTTCCAGTACTGTACGCCTCGAAACGCGTCCACGTTCCAGATATGTGTGAACAATCGTGCCAACTACAGCTCGGGGCTGGCAATAGTATGCAAACATGCATTTTCTTCTAGTGCCACCAAGCCGAAGCGATGGGGAATCAGAATGCTAGCGGGGTTCCTTGTCACTTGTGTGGCGGCGGGTCTGCTGTGAGGCCGATGCTGTGTTGGGGCGTTCGTTGGTAGTGCCTCGGTGTCGACAAGATATAGTGCATGTAGTCATCCGCAAGCTGTGCCAGTGTTTGCGGGCCCGAGCCGCATCGCGCCTACTTCTTTGTACAGCACCGTGATCTCAAGGATATGTAAACGCGTGTAAATCGGCTATGAAGTGATGTTACCGAAGTCTGTCAATTGGAACCTGGGTGTAGGAAGGTCTGACAATGAGCGATGGTATTCGAATGAAGGCGGTTGAGGCACGGTCTGGCTTCCGAGGGCAGACCCAGCGCAACGGCAACGGTCCATCGAGGTCGTTAAACTACGCGTCCGGAGCGACGAGTCGTACCGAAGGAAGCCTGGGGATGCAGCGAGTGAGTGCAAGCGGAGGGCACATGTGTGGCCGGTGTTTTTGGGAGGTGCCAAGCCTGCTTCTGATTGGCTGACCTCCACCGTGAAGTCTCAGCTATCAGGAAATAGTGTTG